GATAGCCGCGACGTTCTCGTCATCAACAAGGTCTGCATCCTGTTTCTCAATGAAAGAGGCAATGTAGTCCTGCAATGGAGCCTCAGACCCAGACTGCAGACATTGAATATCAGGTTTCCAGTTGACATACAGGCATGGGTGGCGTTCACCGTCTGGATTTTCTCCCGGGTTTGCTGAATCCCTGGAGGCACTTCCCAAATATAAAGACATTCGTACGTCTTCCATATGAATCACTGCTTTGTTTGCCGAGTCTCGAAGGGTGCAGGATATCCTCCGAGTGGAAACACCAGTCCTTTTGGACTGCGCATGAACTTTGGCCTCCAAGTCGACCGACTCGGGGGGAGACGAGATGTCAATTCGACATTCCTTGATGAATACCGGAAGATATGCCTGGAGCTCACTCACATTACCTGCACATGTGCTCATGATACCTGCTTGTAGACATGCGTCGATGGTAATGGGATGAACTGGGTAGAATGTGCCTTCGCTTTCGGAAGCCGGAGGTCTCATGCGAATGATACCTACGGCCTCTGTTCGTTCCCTGCTCTTATCTTGATCAAGGAAGGGAACCGAACGGAATGCTCTACCAAATTCCAGACCTTGCAACGCGAATTTATCGTACCACCGTTCTGTACAAACTCTCTCGAATCGTTCTACTTGGGCGATAGTGACGCTTTGATCAAGTCCTGAGTTGTCTACTTCCCGGACACTGCCTACGCAGTGGACAGTTGATTTACCGGTTTTATACGACGAGATGGAGAAATCATACCAATAGGAAGAAGTATTCATCGTTGAGATTTTTCGTGGTGATATGGTAGTGTGCAGTTCGGTATCTTCCGCTAAGAGGCCATTTTGATCGTCGATTATAAGCGCAGTGTTGAAACTTACACTGCGGAACTCGAAGGCGAGAAGGGGTGGATATGACGGCTCTTTAGCGTCTTGGATCTGATTGAGTCCTTCTATGACCATGGCAAGGTAGCCAGCGGCTGGGAAAACTACCTGGCCACTAACTGTATGGTCTCGCATCCAGGGCATCTCTTCGAGACGCACGCTGTGATTGCGCCAGTTCCAGTCAATACCATTACCGGCGTACTGCTGCGATCCTAACAGTTCGTGGCGCACATGTTTGCGATTGCGAAGTTCGCGACTCGAACGTGACTCATGATAGAGTAGCTTTGTGCTGTAGTCCCAGGGATAGGGAGGAAGATTATGGATGGGAACCTGGTTGCTTAGGTCGACAGAATTGACTTTCTCCCAGTTAAGATCATGTCCATGCATGAACAGCGTACCAGCCAATTCCTTCATGCATAAGTCCGCGTCTCGATCCCGGACCAAGGTCGGAGCATAGCGGAAACGATCAGAATTGACCATCATGCTTGCAAGGATTTGATTCACCGGTCCTTTCAAAGCCGGATGTGGGCCGACTTCTATGAACTGGAGATCCGTAGAAGCTACTAGGCTTCTCAAGGCAGAGTCAAATTGGACTGGATTTTCGAGGTTGTCTCGCCAATATCTAGCCCAGTCTGTGCTAGTATCTGGTGTCATCAATGCGTCACCGATATTCCCTACCGAGGAACACATCTGAACTATCCCGTGAGTCGAGCCGCTATTCTGGTGACCTTTGTATATCGGACGCAACGCTTCCTCGTAGGCTTCGCCAACTTCTATTATCATGTGAGAATGATAGGCACGCCCATCCGTGAGCAGTATCCGACAGAACTTGTTCTGCTCCTGTATATGCTGCTGTAGAAGCTTGATTCCTTCGGTTGTTCCGCTGAGTGTTAAACTCTCTGGCGCGTTAACACACGCAACGCAGACATGATCGTTGAGACCATTCTGCTGGATAAGATTTTGGGCGGTCTTAATATCGATACCAACAGCCATCATTAATCCCATCGTATGTAGCTGATCAACTGCGTAACCTCTGAAGTATGCCGTCAGTATAGCCTGGCTTTGGCTGATCAGGCCTGCACTATAAGCAGCAGCAATCTCTCCAGACGAATGGCCGATAACAGCAACAGGATTGATATTCCAGCAGCGAAGTATATTGACGATAGCGATCTGTATAGCGGTGCAGACTGTCTGGCTGAATGTGGCGCCATAGGTCGGACTTGTCGCTGCGTGTTCAGCAATGGACCATTCTATACACCAGGTGGGTGCCTTTTCTGGTGCAATGGCCTGTAGAGTGTGGTCCAGTTCCTGAATAGTGGCCCGAAAATCATCACTCCGTTCAAGAAGCTCTCTAGCCATGCCGGCGTAGTGAGCCCCTTGACCCGTGAATACGAAGGCGTAAGGCAAAGGGTCTTGCGTACATCCATTGGTATGGTTTGCCGACTTCACACGCGACCCGCTGGGTCTCCCACCATCGCTAGGCTTAACTAATAATAACTGCCTGTATTTTAGCTTGGATCTGCGCGTGCTGAGAGTATATGCGAGGCTTTGTAGTGTGTTCCAGCCACAGGTTGGAATCATCTCACATATCTGCCGGATACGGGACTCAAGTGATTTCTCCGAGAAAGCTGAGACAGGTATGATTAGCTGTTGACTAGCAATTGCCGCATAATAATCATGTTCTGGTAGATGATCGGGAGCTGCAATGTGAGTGTCAAATGCCTCAAGAATAGCATGTGCATTCGCGCCTTTTCCAAGTAAGCTTCTTCTCCCGTTTGCAAGGTGCTTGCAGCTCACCTCCGTAGCCAAAGGAGTTGACACTTGCCCTACGCGTGGGTCTAGGCCATTCTTCCATCTCTGTCACTATTCTCATGTTCGAAGATTCGAGCCGCACTATTTGTGTAAGTGTTCAGCAAATCGCTGTGAATACGGGAAGCACTCACGATTGGGATTCAGTCTGACAACACCACGCGTAGGTGGGATCCTGCCGTGCTCAAGAGCCAAGATGACTTTAATAAGTGAGGTGATTCCACTGGCTGCTTCGCTGTGTCCTAAGTAATGATATCAGCCACTAGCCCTAGTAGCTTTACTACGGCTGTTCCAGGACGCAAACCCACCTAGATTTGTTTTCACCTAATGCGATGTCAGTATGATATACCAATGAAGTAAACCACATGAGCCCAGATTCACCAGCCAAGCAGTAGGGCAACTTCGTCGCTATACTGCAATCTTTTAAAGGGGGAACTTACGGCCCCGATAAGTAGAGGTAGTTCTCTGGATCGTGAGAAACAACGCGCGATTGCGTCTACTTCGATGGGGTCTCCAACGGGAGTCCCAGTGCCGTGGCATTCAACGTAATCCGTATCAGCGAACATTAAGCCAGCGCTGCTGTAGGCTTTCCTAATCACGGCCTCCTGCAACTTGGCACTTGGTTGAGTGATACCAGGAGTCCTGCCATTCCTAAAGCGACACGTTAAATGAGATATTCGCGTATACTTTACGGGCCTATCTACTCACGAGTTTACAGCAGTCGCACGGATGACCGCCCGGATCTTATTTTTATCTCTCATCGCCGAAGACATGCGCTTTAAATAGATGGCATTTACAGCATCAGCCCGCCCATAGCCATCGGCTGAAGCATCAAATGTATGACAGGTAGAGGTAGGTGACAAAACGCCCGCCTTCATGGACGCAAGGCATTGTTCTGGAGCGGCGATCAAGTTTACAGCAGCGACAATGGCACTGTCACAGTCGCCGCGCTTGAGGGCATTGACAGCACTATCTAGACAGTATATCGAAGATGAACATGCCGTGTCCAAGGTGAAGCTGAGTATTATTTAGTCAGACACCCTTACACACATGTGTTGCTTGATCAAGGGACGTACCTTGGCCCCTGGAGATTAAATACGTGACTGATTCGATTCGCTAGAATTGTTGTGCCAACTCCTGTTGCGCTATACCTGTGGATAGTATCTGGGTCTCGCGCTTGCATGGTCTGGTGGTCCACCGTGAAGCTGCCCACGTACACCCCAGTATTAGTACCGGAGATCCCTTCGAGTGTGTCCCCAGAGTTCTCAAGGCACTCAAACACCACCTCAAGGAGCTTTCGTTGCTGAGGATCCACTTGATTGTTCCCGGTCAGCCATTCGCTTCAACGGATGGGTATACAATAAGCGAGTAAGGAGACCCGTCCTGGAGAATCGAATATCACACTGACGTGTCGTATGACTTACTATAAGCCGCCTCCATATTGTTAATGCCAAAAAATGTGTTCTCGAAGAGGCGGACATCTTCTTGGATGAAATAACCGCCATTTGCATTCATCGCCCCGGCTCTATTGCCATCTGAATCGTAGAAACCTTTTACGTTGAAACGGTTGCTTGGGACAACCGATTGAGCATTCTGTTTCTTGGCAAGGAAATCCCAGAGGTCGGAAGGCGATCGAATGCCCCCCGGAAGATGGCAACCTGAACACGGCGGACTTTAGTAAGATCACTCACTACATGGAGCAGTGATTGAGGTTCTATACCTATTCCGATAATGCATACGGGGTTTTCGTCCATGTTTGACTTTGAACTACTAGTCACTTCATTGGGAGTGGGAAAAATACCGTGGCTGGCCTGCGTGCTTGTTCATATATCGTAGGAGTTTGTTCATGGAGTCGCGGTCCAATTTCCGATGTCGAGTTCATGTTGATCAAGCTCATAGTACTATTGCTGTCTACCTAGGTAGGTACGTAAACTCGATGACGCAGGAAGTACTTCGTGGGAATCACTAAAATGTTGGATACACAGCATATGGATTGTAAGAGAAATGTGAGAGTACAGTGATAATCTGTGGCTTACTTAGAGCAATGCATGTGTGACACTGGCAAAGCCGTCGGGGGGGCGTGCATGAGAAATTATCGTCCTTATCTCCGCCTTTTCTTAAAGTTATATAGTTGGCTGTCCTAAAATCATAAATTCTTATCCTATAATCGTCGGAAACGTGGGGGAGATTCCATCAAGCTTGACTGCCCCTTTTGCACTACGTACGTACCTACCAGGTAGGTACGTAATCATTACTGTCCTTCGCCGAAGCATCCGCGTCAATAGCCAGTCGCCTTTGAAATGGCAGGAAGGGCACGCTTCTCCCTAGTCACTGGGTAATGTCACAGCAGAAGAGATCCTCATCGGTCCGACCATTCGCTTACTTTTGTCAGATGCGGGCAAGGAGGCATGGGAGAAGCCCTTGTCAGGGAGTTTACGAAACAGAACGTCCGGCCTATCGCCACTCTTGTGCCTAACGAGCCGACTGAACATCTTGACCAGGGAGGACTCCGTGATGGGTTGAAGAAGCATGTATATGCAGTCACAGGTGGTGATCTGGACATACTAGTTAACAATGCGTAAGAAATCCCTTGAGTAGCAGAATGGGTCCCAAGTGCCTGATTAATACTGGTTGTATCAATAGTAGAATAAGTGAGGTCAACAATCGCAGTGCAGACTTTCAAGCTGAGTGCCACCAGCTTATACCATGACTGCCATCGATACCGACGTTCGTGAGGTGCAACACATGTTCAATGTCAACGTGTTTAGGCCTATGCGACTAGTACACCACTTTCACGACATGCTAATCCAGTCATCTGGAACTATCGTTAACATTAACTCCGTTGGAGGTATTGTGCCATATGTTTACCTATGGATGTGAGGAAGGGCTGCTTGTGGAGTTATGGAAACCTGTCTAACATAGTGAGCAGCATCCTACAATGCGTCCAAGGCGGCTCTTCAACACTGGTCTAACACGCTTCGTGTTGAGATGGCTTCTCTCGGGTAAGTAATAATACATCAGATAACAGATGGGTCTCGATCTCATATATTAACTGGGAATTCACAGCGTTCAAGTTTTAACAGTACGCTTTCTCATAAATTGCTCTAGGTACTTATTCCCGCTGCGAAATCTCACAATAATAGGTTATCAGTGGTGAGATTGGTACGAACATCTTGAAGAATGATTTCGACAGAGAGCTGCCCCAAGGCTCGTATTGCATGTTATTACTAGCCTTTTCATTGCTCACTAGCTTATAATTGAGAAGGATCTTACTACTCTCCTGTAGTCCACGAATTCCGACAGCATGTGCGACAAATCCCAGGTGCGCCCTTCCAATTACATACCTAGGTACCTACCGAGGTAGGTATCGTCAAGTATGAATGAACTCAATACCCTAGTTACCACAAACCGTTTTAGTTATGCCGGGAAGTTAGTTGCACAAAGTTTGAACCGATCCGCACCAGCGTGGTTCTGGTACGGGAAAAAACATCGGTGGTCCGCCTATTTGATATTATCGGATGGCGTACGGTTTGGGTACCTTAGGTAGGTATCTATACGAACCATTCCGCTCTCGGCTTCTTCGTATTCTAACATGGCTGCAGGACTACATATTTTCGCATATATTCAATCTTGAGAGGATCAGGGCGAGCAAGAGCAAGAGAGCGAGAGATGACACCAAGTAGACAGTCGAATATTCTCCATACTTTAGTGTTCTCTCTATCCTTCAAGGAGTAGAATTTGATTCATAATAAATCGTTATTTCTCGTTTCCTTTGTAATACTGTCCCAACAAGCCAAGATATCCCTCAAGCTTCTTGCCCTCCACGTACACGTCCTTGCAATCAAGCAGAATATACAGCATACGACCAGGCATAGTACCATTGCCCGTGATATTGCGCCACTGATGCGCCGCAGCCCTCTGCACACTGATATCACCTCTTCTCATGATTCGTGTCTCGCCAGAGTCAAGCGTCAATTCGAACACGCCCTCCAAGACAACGCCATAGTCCAGGGACGCCGCACGATGCATAGGAGACACCACACCCGGGGCAAAGTCGATCATGCGGGCCACGGTACCATTTGGGTAGTGTAGCGGAGGCTGAGGAGAATTTAGTTTAGCACATACCTAGGTAGGTAGGTAGGATTTGGAAAGACAATCAACCTCATTCTCTTTGGCGTGCTTCACGTCAGCGCTATCGTTTAGGTCAACAGGCGTTTCTGCAGTCGAATATATGATGTTCGCGACGGCTTGTTGCTCGCCCATGATGCGGTGGTGGTCTCCCGAATCAGTGCTTAGAAACACGGACTGGCCGTCTGGGTTGAATCCGGTGATGTGGCGCACAGTCCGGGGCAATCCAGGTGCTGGGAAGCCATTGGTGACATAACCCGCGCCAGTAAGGTCATGAGTCTCTGATGCCGGAGACTCCATGTCGAAAGAAAAGGTCGATAAAGCGATATGCTCAATGCAGTGACAAAAGTCAACGACAAAAAATGATTGATATGTTGCTACCCCTATCTGTTCACTGTATCTGTATTTGACCTAAGCAAGGCTGTAGTTATGATGAAATATCCGGAAGTATTGGGCTCCGAATCCACCACTACATCGAATCCTCCTGTGTGTAACCGGACAACAGACTGATAGATGCAGGTCATCAATCCTACGGACTGCACACAGATTGCAAAACCTTCACCGTAGTAGGTTACTGAAAAGGCGGACGCTAAAGCTTGCTAGCTAAAGAAGTACCACCATCCACAATGAAGCTGCTGCCGGTGATGTAACTCGACCTAGGGCTACATAAGAAGATGGCTGCATCGGCTACTTCTTCCGGGCACACTATCCGCCCAATCGGTATCGCTCGCTCGATCATCTCCTTCAGCCCGGGCACACTGTCCATAGCCTGCTGCACCATCGGAGTATCCACCCAGGACGGGCATAAACAATTCACGCGTATGGCGTGTACCGCATTGTCCATCGCTTGAGGAGGTGATGTGAGCTGCAAGTTTCACTTCCTATATGCAGGATTACGCTTACCGGCGTTCTTGGTCACGCCCAAAACTGCATGTTTGGACGCTGTGTACTGAACCATGTGAGGCTGCGATATGTACGAAGCGAGAGAACCGAGGTTTACGATCGATCCCCTAGTAGATCCGCGTTTGCTTGGGGTCCGAGCAGAGGCAGCAGTGAGCTCTTGAGATTTCATCGCTGCGTAAACGTAGCGGGTCACTAGGAAGGTGCCCGTAGCGTTGACGCGCATGAAGCGTTCGAATTCGGAGACATCCGCCTCGGAAATTCCCTTTGCGGCTTGGACGCCGATCTGTAGTCACATTAGGACATCTTTTCTGAAAAGCTCTGGGGACTCAGCTACACCGGCACAATTGACACAGTAGTCAATACGTCCAAAGAAGGCGACTGTTTCTTCGATTGCACGCTTCACCGAGTCATCTGATGTTACATCGACCTCCACTGCCTTTGCTTTGAAGTTAGCAGTTAAAGCTGAAGCGCTGCTCTTTTTAACGACCCTCTCGGCAGCTTCGAGATCGATGTCTGCGACCACGATTCCAGCAGCGCCTTCTTGGGCGAATGCAAAAGCGCACGCCTCTCCAATTCCACTTCCTAGGGTCCATTATCATGCTGGTTCAGAGAGAATGCAGAAGAGAGACAACAGATACTACGTACCCCCACCGACAATTAGTGCATGTCCATTAATATTCATCGTCGATTGCTATGCTGTTTGGCAAATAGGGAAAGAGAAGAAGAGATTGATGGATGACGGACTTGACATAAATACATGCGCCGACCTACCTTAGGTACGTGTCTAATTGTAGTGTCTAATGGCGAAACATGGCCCTGCGAGGATTTAACATAGGGGCCCAATTGAGCTGCAGGTAAGACTGTAATCGCTTACCCGGTCCTCCTCGCTCGTATGATAAACCCAGGCAGACCGCATGGTTGCCGCAGTAGAAAGGAGAAACATATTGATTCTCCTAATTCAAGTATGTGTAGAAGCAGATTGACGCTCTAACCAAACTCTATCTGCCTGCCCTTTAACATTAGATCATCTCAATATCCTCTGATAGCACGTTGACGAAGAACATATAGTCCACAACAACTGCAGCGACTTATATCCTTTTCAATTATTAGTCATCCTCCTGAGTTTCTTTTGTGCCCTACAGCTTGCCATACTTTGTCAAAGAAGAGACTCACAGTGTCGGACATTCTATGCAGCATGGCCTTATTCATCCTGTTCGTTTTAGTTATAGTGTTAGCAATCGCTGTAGGCAGCGGCTTCATTTCCTTGCCAGGCTTGCGCGAGGAGCATCTACCTCCAGGTAACCCACTTCCCGTAGCTATCCCCATAGCAAGCACTAAATTGACCTACAAAAGGACCCTCGACACTACCATTCATCGGCAATATCCACAGTCTACCTAGACTGGGTATGAAATTCAAGTTCGTCTTTCATGTCCAAGAAATATTATAGCATTAAGCTCAGGGGGTAACAGACTTTCTCAATGGGCAAAAGAATACGGCCCAATCTTCTCTCTCAAAGCTTTCGATGGAAACATTATTGTTTTAAACTCGGCGTACCTTGCCAACGAGCTCTTTACTAAGCGACCGGCATACTATAGTAACAGGCCACCGCTATATGTCCTAGATAAGTTGGTATTCAATGGAGATCACATGATGCTTATGAATGCAGACGAGCGGTGGAAGTTACGGCGCAAGCTCTATCACCAGCTTATGAGTCCATCCAGATGCGACAACAACCACAGTTCCATGATCGAAGCCGAGATTGTGCAAACACTGAAAGACCTATTCGTGGAGCCGAGCGCCTTGATGCATCACCCGGGGCGTTTAAGCAACAGCATCATCATGTCCTTGGGTCAGTATGGGATTTTCAATGACCAACAACAGAAAACAGAAACATGCTAATCGAATAATATCTTCTAGTTTTTGGGATTCGCACGCCCAGACACGACACATATCATTTTGACGAGCTGCGCCAGATAATGACCGAACTAGCCTCCTTGGGCGATATCGGAGCAACACCGCCAATCGACTTGCTCCCGTTCCTGAAATTCTTCCCGGAGCGGCTTTGGTGTAACTGGAAAACTCGAGCAAAACAATTGCGAGAAAGGATGCTTGGTCTCTACCACCCACTGGTTGAGAGAGTCATAGAACGGCGCAAACAACACGTGGCGCCCCAATCAAGCTTCTTGGATGCAGTCCTTGATCAACAAGAGAAACTGAATTTAACCAGGAACGAGCTCGATGTCATGTGCGGCAATCTAATCGAGGGAGGGACTGACACGGTTTCCACATTTATTTTGACCTTCTTTCAAGCCATGGCTAATCACCCCAGTGTTCAAAAAGAGGCCCAGGAGCAGATTGACTTAGTCGTGGGTGATGGACGGATGCCCAGTTGGAAAGACTACGATCTCCTTCCTCGCGTCGTCATGATCGTAAAAGAAGTGCTTAGGTGGCGGCCACCTACGTCTAATGGGTTTCCGCACGCGGCAAGCCAAGGTACGCGATGATTATTGGAAAGTGATGTGAAGATCACGTTCTAAAGATACTTATAGATGACACGATTGATGGTATGATGATCCCTAAAGGTTCTACAATAATCCTTAATATCTGGGATATCCACCACGACCCCGTTCGCTATCAACATCCTGAGAAGTTTACTCCCTCCCGCTTTCAATGGCAAACCCGTTTAGCGTCCGCGTATGCAAATTGTCACGACCACAGAGACAGAGACCACTTTGCTTATGGGGCTGGACGCCGCTTATGTCCTGGAATCCACCTGGCCGAGCGCATTCTGTTTTTATTCGTCGTAAAAGTACTTTGGGCGTACACTATACATATGGACTTAGATACAGAGGGTAATCCTATACCAATAGATGTCGACCCACGAACCGGATATCACCAGGGGGCGATTAATGAGTGTCTGCCTTTCAAGGTAAGGTTTGAATTCAGATCGTCAGATCGTCATAAAATGGTGTTCGCGGAAGCAGAGAAAGTTAAAACAAAGACTTCTCAGATATAAATCAACTAGTGCCTTTGATAGTCAATGAAGCAAGGTTTAAACCCAAAGGGATATATATTAGATGCAAAGCTAAGCTGTTCGAAGACGCTTTTGGGTTCCTAGGTAGCTATTTAGGCAAGCATCTATGAAAAGGAAGTCACTTCTATCCTTAGATTGAAGGATGTAAGTGTCAGGGGTATGAGGCACTAGTACGGATAGGGCCTTACGGCCCACTAGGATAGTGTATATAAGGGGCACGCTGCTCCCTCGAAGGTGCTTCGAAGGGCAAGCGTTAATAGATCACCACTATACACTGCATACTTGATATTCTACGTGCTACTGCTTCTAGTGTTCACTCTATGTACGACATACATCACGGGATCCTTCTGACAGTAAGTAAACAACTATCCGGAACCATACCAGGAGAATTGACTGTCACGACCCAACCAGATCAATCACGAGGCGCAATGCTACGACGCTACGATGCTACGATGCCCAGTCTATTGCAATGATCTAGTAACGCCTAGCCTTTTAATCTCCTTCAGAGGAGATAGCTACCTAGGTAGGTACCTAACCTACCCTTTATATGTCTTATATATAATCGAACCCTACTATATCCACATACCTCATATCCCAGATACCACAGCGAAAATCATAAAATTGAAATAGCAATATCTACAATATCAAGCGCGTTCTACAAGGATTTATACGCCCAAGAAACCAACTGAAATGTCCTAGCGAGTAAATACGGCCGTTTATTTACTGGAAAATATCATTCTGCGCGCCCGGCTGCCAACCCATCTTCTGGTTATATCCCGGAGACACGCCGGCCGGAGTCTCGACATTGTTTCCTTCGGCCTCTGCATGTTGTGTCAATGAGGGAAACGGTGCAGAATGGAGGGATGCACTTACGATTCCAGGCAATCATCTGCTTCGCGCCGGGGACGCAAGGTGTCGTTCCGTCGGCGCAATATACCGGTGGCTTGGCGGGAGCGAGCGTTCTGTTCGAAGTAGAGCCGGTGACTCGACACTTGAAGTTTTGCATGTACATGTTGGGCTCTCCGCCTGGGTTCATGTCAGTACACGATAATCGGTCGAAATAAAGAAGGAAAAAAAGAAGAAAAAAACAGCGTTCTTACATCCGTCCGGAACCCAGAGCCACGCGCAGTAGCAGCCGCCTTCGGGGCATGGCGGCATATCTTGAGGTACCTGATAAGTAGCAATGCGCTTCCAAGGCGTGCTATCACCCACGTTAGCCCCTATTTTTCTAATTCCACTACCAGATTACGTACTGCTCTAATAGGGTAAATACCACCAAGTTCTCCATCGTCACCTTGGAGAGATCCGAGTTGTAGGAGATAGCGAAAGCCGTGCCGGCTGCGGTGGATTCGTTGTGAGTATGCATGGCGCCTCCCAACTTATCGGGATTAGCATTGAGACAGGTATCGGGAGACGGGCTGTGCCAATCCTCCGGGTGATCCTTTCCGTCCGGCCACTCCGAGGTGAATTTACCGTCGTAGGAAAGGGATGATTGGGCGCGGTTGGAAGCCAGCTCGACGGTAAAGGATCCTCCGGCCGGGAGGTCGAGGAAATCTCCGGGGCTGGGTGCGACCTGTTCCGAGTCGCAGCCGCGGTCGTGCTGCATCCACCATTGGTTTTTTGGGAGCTGGAATAGCGGATTTACGACGGTGTTGGTGTTTAGGTCTTCCACGCCCGGTTGTGTACCGTTCTGATTAAATGAGCAAAGGGCGATAGCAGCGAATAAGATGAACTTACGAGACAGTACATGCCCTTGGTAAAAGCGGCGACATGAGCTCGGACGAAGCCGACCGAAGCGAGCGTAGCGGCGAGTGTGGTGATGGGCTTCATTGTGCAATGAAAGTTGATTAGGATCTTGATGAAGTTTCGATAAGAAATTGAGCTTGAAGATCTTCCAAGACTCGAATGCTGTTGGAAGATATCCATCTATTTAAGTCCCACCGTGGGCAAGATAGCCCATCCTGTAGTGCAGTCAGTCCTGTTTCATCTATCGTTGGTGCGGCTTAAAGAGGAAAGCCCTAAATAAAAGGTATTCGGCACGAGGGAAGCTGGCTGACGCCACCAGGTGAGGCTTGGCGTAGGCCAAATAACGATATATTGGCGGCTTCATATTTGAAATAGGAAACCCAAAGGATTTGTCTGATGCGGAACGGTGTGATCAGCTTATTATTGGGCGTTTCGACGACTCTTTCTTGAGCTTGATGGCGTCTCTTTAGATATGTCTTACGCCAGTGCGGAGGCATAAGATGAAACGCACGACGGCTGCCAAAATCGAGTTATACGAGATAATCTATTCAAAATCGCGTGGCTTTTATAGTGAATTTCTTTGAGAATTATTTGGTCGCTCGATTAAGCCTGCGATATTATTGAAGCTTACAGTCTCAGCTTCGGTAGATCGATTGTTGGATTAAATTCAAATCCTTGGTGTCGTCAGCCTCACATATAAGATAGCTATCAAACATTGGTAGCGAAAAAAATCGGTCTAGTTTAACACTTAGCGTATTTGCGAGGGCGAGGACATGCGAAGCTATCTCCAATTCTTTTGTTGCTTCCTCTGAGCTTGAACAACGCACTCACAATAGATCGGGATACACATATGAGTCGCCTGTATGATGATATCCACTCGAAACCCCTGTTCGAGTTTCTAAGACGTCCTACCGATATAAAATCCCACAGCGTACTAATGGCCCGCTATTTTTGGATTTACGGACCGTCCCGTACGGTGCGGGGCTCTCTGGTACAACACGGTAGCCGAATAGTGGACCGAGGTACGTACACCGTCCCCGAACTAAAAATTTCTCCCGAAATCCACTACCGCAAATCGGTCCATCAACAACCTCAATACCTCACAACATGGCGAAACCAAAATCCCTTACGAAGCAGCCCAAGGCAAAGCCGAAAAAGGAGCAGAAGCTAGAGTCGGTAGACGACTTTCAAGCTGCAGGGGTTGAGTTTGAGGAAGCCGCCGGAAAATGGCGTGCCGGAGACGCTGCCAAGTCCATGCGATTCTTTCGCCGGGCTATTGATATGTACGATCAGGGGCTTCGCATGTTTCCCCGGAGCATCGACCTCGCATATAATAAGTAAGACACTTTCCCGGGCGCTCTCGGTCATTTCTTCTTTCTCTCTCACACACACACACTCTCTCTTTTTTTTTCAAATTTTTTTTTTTTTTCATGCGATATACACTTGTTCATCCGATGAGCGACCGCCCCTATGCGCCACGTTCGTGAGCTAATAATCTTGCAGGGCCCGCGTGCAGCTGGAGATAGCTACGCATCCCATTCTTGTGGATCAATTAGAACAGCCGCTTAGGGCTGTTTTAGAAGAGGCGTTGGCGTCTCATCGGTACACTTTAGAGCTGGATCCGGAAAACACGGATGCGCTATTTAATCAGGCCCAAGTCCTTACGGCCATCGCCGAGCTTATAGCTAGCGATGAGGACGGAGAAGGGGGCGGCAACGAAGCCGAAGCCCTCAAGGCGCTCCGTGAGGCGCTCGACCTACAGACAATTTGTCTTACTCGGCAGGAGAGGAAATACCAGGAATTCCTAGAGCTGGAACATTTCGCCGACGAGCAAAACGCGAGCGAGAAGCCCCCGCCGGCTTCCGGCTCGAAAGAGGCCTCGGAACCTAGCGGAGCCGAAGAAGATGACGAATGGTTCAACGTGGTAGAGCCGGTCACGATCGACACGCTTATCGATACGCTTCTCGCTCAGATGGGCACCCTCACCACTTTCTGTAGCATTTTGAGCGGGTCGCCCGAACAAGCTCAGCCGGGCACGCTCGTCTGGGCGGAAGAGGTCGCGACGGAACTCGTGGAGAAGATTCAGGCTATCTCGGGCGAGAAGCAGGATAGGTTACAAGAGATCGCTCTGGCGAGAGCCAATCTTGTTTCGGCCATGCTAGAAGCGGCTTATAGAACTGGGCAGACGAACGCCGAAGCTTACGGTCGCGAATTAAATTTGGCATTTTCCAATCCTAATCTTCAGATTGATAGTTTTGTGGACGGTCTCATGGCGAAAGCTCGTTCTTTTCTAGCTCTTAGCTCAGCTATGGCGGATGCCGACAACGAGGACGCCCGATCGCAATCGACGATGCGGTGGAACGTCCTGACGGCTAGCATAGCAAGCCTCAAGTCCGCTTCAGCTGCAAGGGGGATTTCTCAGGAGGATTTGGTTTCGACGCATCTGTTACGCGGCGACGCGTCTTTACATCTTTATTCCATGGCGTTCCCGCCTCTATCTCACCAGACGGCCGTAAACACTGCCTCTCAGAACGCCAAGAACGCCGAAGTATACTACCGCAACGCGAGCAGGTTGACTTCTGACGGGGAAGAGAGGGATGTCGCTTCTTTAAAGTCGATGGTGGCTCAGTACCTACAAGCTTATTCCCAAGGAAACGCCCAAGGCGACATAAGCGGTCTTCTTGGAGCCAGTCCGCGAGGTCAGGGGTGGGTTATACAGCAGCTTGAAGACATGATGGCGGAGAATCTTGTGCCTCAAGCGTTGCTTTCTTAGCTAGACAGTGAGTAAAATTAATTGACTTGCATTAATACCCAGCGAAGTTGGACAGATACCTGAGCGACTCCAGATATTTCTACGCCGTATCCCTTCTCTCTCTCTCTTTTTTTGGCAAGGTCGCCAGACACAACCGCTCTAAAATATACACGAGTTACAGTTCACGATACAGGGTATATCTATGCGGTATGATTCAGGAATTACGTTTAAAAGTCACAGGTTAACTGCGCCAGGTACCCGCATTTTACATTTGTATTTGTGTCCCATCGCCGCTGTCTATCTTTATCTCTAGGGCCTTAATGGCCGTGGCCGCTATGATCGTGGCCTTCGTGGCTAGACTCGATCCAATCTTCAAACCCGTCTTCAAATAACTCGTCCAACCTCTCCTGGGCGTTGTCAGACTCCATCGCCTCCTCCCAGCTGTAGAATTCGTTGTCATTCAACAAACAAGCGTCGAGCGCCTTTCTCAAGCGCTCTTCGCCCCCTTTTCGCATCTGCTGACCGATAAAGACCAATTCCTGCCTTCGGTCCCCCCATTTTCCGTCGAAATCCCGGGTTATGGCTTTTCTCGTCTCGGGATCCGTGGGCCATTCGTCCTCCGGAACTTCGCACCGCCACAGATCTTGTCCCGATATGGTCAACATCACACCCGCTTGCGACCATTCGCCATACTAGGTCAAAATCACGTTAGCATCGATGATTAGCGTGGCTCGTTGAAGTACTCACCATCCTCGGCCTGGTCGCTAGCCATAAAAACCCCTTGGATCGCAACAGCGGTCCGAAAGTCTCGTCTGCCATCTTTGAAGCTAATCGAGCTTTAGGATTGAGTTGAGGTTGCTCGTCCTCCATATCTGTGTCTTCTTGCTCTTCCTCCTCGTCCTCCTCGCCTCCTTCTGTGCTGTCCACGTCCATATCTTCTCCTTCTATCTGGTACTCGGTTTGAATGACAACGAATACGTTCTTAATCATATTCCAGAGCCGCTCCGGGTGGAAAGGACGCCGAGCTCTATATACGAACGTGCCTATCCCGTACTCCTCCGTCTCGGGATTAATTTCTTCGTTTAAACTCTTAAGCCATCCGGCGCTAAGAGCTGCCTTTTCGTATGAAAATAGGCGGGTGTCGAGTATTTCCTTCACATCCAACCGACACTTCGTGGTGGAGATGACCTTGGCGTTGGGGTTTAGCTTGCTTACGACGCCCTTGATCCGGTTAACCTCTTCCTTGCTAACCAGGTCGCACTTGTTGACTATAACGATATCCGCAAATTCTACTTGATCAACCTGCAAGTCAGATATATTCCTATCGTCTTCCTCCGGTACGTCCGTCTGGCGATCGACTAAGAAGTCTGCCGTAGCAAAGTCCTGCATGAAGTTCACGGCATCTACGAGCGTGACGCAGGTATCTAGGCGTGCGACCTTAGATAGACCGCCAGCTTTGAGAATCTCTGCCAATTTCTTATTGGTCTCTTTATCACCGCTTTCTTCTGCCTCGAGATCATATCCTGCAGCGATATGCATATCGGCAAATCTGATACCGTCGATTAGTAAAAGCGGCTAAGCTACAGATGAGATATTGGACTTACTCTTCAGAGAAAGTCTCGGCGACTTGCATCGGCTCGCTAACCCCGGAGCTCTCGATGACAAGATACTCTACTTGCTTCTCCTCTGCTAACCTTGCAACTTCTTCGAGAAGATCTCCTCGTAAGGTGCAGCAGATGCAGCCGTTCTGCATCGCCACTACTTGCTCTTCCTTTCGAGTAACATCGTGAGAGGTTAGTAGGGCGGCGTCGATGTTTAGAGCGCCGACATCGTTAACAATAACACCAATACGAAGACTGTGATCGGGAGATGTGAGGATATTTTCGAGAAGCGTGGTTTTTCCCGATCCGAGAAATCCGCTAAGGAGGGTAACAGGGAGCCTCCCCTCGGTCTTGTTATTATCAATGAGGCGTGCTGGAGCCATTTTGCAAAACTTTTAGATATGGAACGTATCGTCACTACTTTGAGGAGGAAGAAAAATGTCCAACCGCGAATATTCTTCTGTCTACAGGGGGGCCACACTTTTATATTATAATCTTTCCCCTCGCTAGAACATGAGAGGGCTAGGGCAGAGGCAGGGAGAAGGCCAGGAAAAGGCAAAACTCTGTAGCTGATACTACATCTATCGACCTATAAGCCGTTGATATTCGATCGCTTATCATTTTATGAATGGACGAGACGGTTTGTGGGAGCACCTTGTTGGCTTTTCGGTATGATATACCTACGTACCTACTTTGCGAGAAACACAGTCTCCGGATCATGTTTATGCTCCTGGTCGTGTACATCCTGCCTATCAAGCACCCTCGGCTATACCTCGTGGAAGGCTATGTCGTTTGGATGGCTTATAAATGGGTGGAATCATATGGCTCGTGTGTTGAGGACCTTGATGGTAATGTTATGCAGGGTTGTCGACGAACCTTGATGGCTATGGAGATGGTAGCTTAAAGTTGAGTAATTCGTGCTATTTGATTGGTGCGAGCCGGTAAGATTGTCTACAATAAACTACGTCCTATGTCCTAACACTCCCTCCGTATATGACATCCATCACGGGCATACCCGACATTGGCGGCCAACTTATTGTTCAAAGCTGGCTGAGCAGCTACTAGTTTGTAATAATACTTGATGCATAGGTCGATATGTTCTTTGGCTGCAATGCGACGTTGCTGTGGAATCCTCATTGTTCAAAACAATGGAATGGTTAGCATTTTGGTGGTTGAGTGTACCAGGTAGGTAAGTATATCAAAATATATTAACTGCACCGCCATCTACGTATTTACCTTTGCATTCACATAATTACATCCAAGACCTGATTGATGCGAAACCGGCAATATAATATCTGTATCTTGCATCCTCAAAACGGATTGGAAATACAGGTAGATATGCGTTGGTGTAAGTGGTGGCCTTTCGCAACTACAATAGGTACCTCCCAACTCTCCTTTTTGGACGCCTCCCTTAACGATAAGATAAAGGCTTATCGATAACACCTATCGTTCGACTTCCCTTGGGGAATTTTTATCGCGTGCCGACCGGTCGGGGATAGCTTCAGAATGTTCTTGACTCAAAACCGACAGCATCAGGACTGCACAATTCGTATGGATGGGTGGTAGATTCAAGCTTCCATCGGAACTAGGTCTCATGCGATCATGTCTCCGCTCATCTTCGTTCCGTACGACGACATATAGTAGTATCGGCACCTTCAAGCCAAGATGGCCCTCTTCTCAATTCGCGCGGAGGGCCGGAGCCCTGCCGGGGACAACCGCTCGATCCTGGATACTAAACGTCCCGCGGCGATATAGCAGCACGAAGGCCGTAGTAGCTAGTGATCTAGAGCGTCGCATCGCGGCTATCCCCATAGAACGCTTTCGTAACTTTTGTATCGTCGCTCATATCGATCACGGGAAATCCACCCTGTCGGACCGTCTACTCGAGATCACCGGCACCATATCGTCTTCCAATACCAATCGCCAGATTCTCGATACTCTAGAAGTCGAGCGCGAGAGGGGTATCACCGTCAAAGCTCAAACTTGTACCATGATCTATAACCATAATGGTGTCGACTATCTGCTGCATCTCGTCGACACGCCCGGTCACGTGGACTTCCGCGCCGAGGTTACGAGGTCGTACGCGAGCTGCGGAGGCGCTATCTTGCTTGTCGACGCGAGCCAGGGAGTGCAAGCCCAGACGGTTGCCAACTTTTACCTCGCCTTTGCGGAAGGACTCAAGATTTTACCGGTCATCAATAAAATCGATATGACGGCAGCCGACGTGCCGAGAGTCTTAGAGCAGCTAGAGTCTACTTTCGAGCTCGATTCTAGCAAGGCTATAGGAGTGAGCGCAAAGACCGGTCTCAACGTCAAAGATATCTTACCGGCCGTAGTTGAAAATATCCCAGCGCCCACCGGCGACGAGTCTAAGCCTTTGAGGATGCTGCTCGTGGACTCGTGGTACGACAGCTTCCGGGGAGTTATATGTTTGGTCAGGCTCTTTGACGGAACCGCGAGGGCGGGAGACAGCATCGTGAGCTTCGCGACGGGAAATAGATACACCATCGGCGAGGTCGGTATTCGATATCCCACTCAAGTTCCCCAGACGGTCCTGCGCGCAGGCCAGGTTGGTTACGTGTTCTTTAATCCCGGTATGAAGAAGATCCAGGATGCGAAGATTGGGGATACCTTCACCACCGTGGGCTCCGAGGATATTGTCGAGCCTTATCCTGGCTTTGAAGAGCCTAAACCGATGGTTTTCGTCGCTGCTTTCCCCACGGATCCCGCCGATTATAGCCGCCTCTCGGACAGCATCAACCAGCTCGTGCTGAACGATCGTAGCGTTACCTTGTTTAAAGACCACTCCGAGGCGTTAGGAGCGGGTTGGCGCATAGGCTTCCTCGGTAGCTTGCACTGCTCCGTTTTCCAGGACAGACTTCGTCAAGAGCACGGCGCGAGCATCATCATCACGGAACCCGCCGTCCAGACAAAAGTTAGGTGGCGCGACGGAACCGAGTCGGTCCTGCAGAGCCCAACAGACTTTCCTGATCAAGATGACTCGCGCACCCGAGGCGCCACCTATTACGAGCCTTACGTGCTAGCTACGTTGACGGTGCCGGAAGAGTTCCTAGGTCGCGCTATCGAGCTGTGCGAAGCCAACCGCGGCGAGCAGGAGAGCATCGAGTTCTTCCACGGCATGCAGGTCATCCTCAAGTACCGCATCCCCACGGCACAGCTCGTAGACGACCTGTTCGGCAAGCTCAAGGGCGCTACAAAAGGATACGCGACGCTGGACTACGAGGACGCCGGGTGGCGCGAGAGCAAGCTCGTGAAGCTGCAGCTCTTGGTCAACAAGCAGCCGGTGGACGCCATCTCGCGGGTGGTGCATCTATCTCAAGTGGAGCGGCTAGGAAGGCAGTGGGTGACCAAGTTCAAGGAGCACGTTCAGCGGCAGATGTTCGAGGTCGTGATACAGGCGGCGGTGGGAAAGAAGATCATCGCGAGAGAGACGCTGAAGCCGTTCCGTAAGGACGTGCTCGCCAAGCTGCACGCTAGCGATATAAGCCGTCGCAGGAAGCTGTTGGAGAAGCAGAAGGAAGGTCGCAAGAGGCTGCGCGCCGTGGGTAATGTTGTGATTGAGCAGGAAGCGTTTCAAAGGTTTTTAGCCAAGTAGTTATGTGTATTATACCAATTAATTCAACTGCATTGATGGTATTTTTTCTTGGTCTCTTTTTTTTAAACTATATCCGTTAGATCCCTCCGTCCACGAACTGGCAATATTTCAAATATTTTGACCTTAGAGGCGTTAGAGTCAAAATGTGCCACAGGTGGTGTAATAGCGTAAGTTAACACCCCCGCAAAAAATGGCCTGGTGGGCGTAAATAGGTGGATAATGGTAGACGAGGCTATCTCCAACTGCAGATACCACGTATTGGGACCTCGCTCTGGCGTGGTAACCAGTCTGTGGGCATCCCCGTATTACCCCAAAGGTCGACGACACCTCTAACAGATAATTAAGAATCGAATACAATGATGGAATACTTTACTTTTTAGTATTTCGAAGTATATACGGTTATTTGACTTGATTTGACTTGTTGGACACGCTGGGTCGAATAGGAGTTAAATAGGGGTGAGTGGACTTAACTTGGGAAGTATAGGCTTGCGTGACGATTCCACCATGATGTATAAGTTGCCCCATTACATGGGAGCCTACATCTAATGGAAATTATATCGTTAGAAAGCCCTGATCGGTGCGACACTAGCTACATAATTTTTATATTTACACTCATGAAAAGGGGGATATAACAGAGGATGCGTTGGGGACGCGGCGTATTAAATTGAAACAACCCTAGGGATACCATGTGATGCCCTTTCCTATATGCGGATAAGAGGAGATAGGAAATTTGGTAATGCTACCCGATAAATAAATATCTTATCGTTGTGCTTAGATTAGAATCTTCCTAGCTACTATGAGATTATCTAACAATAGGTTGGTTTTCAATTCCATCACCCTGTCACCCCGCCAAATAATCCCAAGTAAACAAACCACAACGACTTTGCGTCCCAAGTTTAAGATCCATAACATCGCACACAAGAGAATCAATCAAGATGGCGCCGAGCGGAACAGAAAAAGACAAGGACAAATCCAAGGTTCATAAATTGGCCCTCAAAGGAAGCGCCAAACTTGTTGCCGAATTTGTAGGTGGCTTTTCCTCAAACCGCGCCCGGCTGAGCTAACAAATCAATCTTTCAGTTTCAATATTCTATCCATACGATCTTGTACGTATCAACTATTTCCATGCGATCCTATGCTCTCACTAATTTTTTTTTCAGATTCCAGAGAGGCGTCTACCCTGCCGAAGATTTCACAGCGTACGAGTCCCTAACCCGACCCTATCTATCTATCTATCTATCTATCGCCTACTTCGTACACACTCACTCCCCCCATAAACTAACCAGAGCAGCGTCAAAAAATATGGGTTGAACATGCTGGTATCCGCCGACGACCAGGTCAAGGCGTACATCAAGAAGATCATGTCGCAGCTCGACAAGTGGATGCAGCGCGGCAAGATCAGCAAGCTGGTGATCGTCATCACCGACAAGGACACGGGCGAGCACGTGGAGCGGTGGCAGTTCGACGTGCACATCTTCAACGCGGGGAAATCCAAGAAATCCAAGACGACGACCACCACCACGACCACCACGAACCAGGAGAACGACGCTCCCGCCTCCGCCTCAGCCTCCGCCTCCAACACGGCCCTCCCCGATCCCTCCAAGACCGAGGTCGAGATCCAAGCCGAGATTGCCGCCCTCTTCCGCCAGATCACCGCCTCCGTCACCTTCCTGCCCCAGCTGGCCGGCGATTGCACATTCAACGTTCTGGTCTACGCCGATGCGGATAGCGACGTGCCCGTAGAATGGGGAGACAGCGACGCCAAGGAGATCGTCAACGGGGAGAGGGTGCAGCTGCGAGGATTCAGCACCACGAGCCACCGCGTCGAAACGTTGGTGAGCTATCGGTTGGGAGAATGAACGTAACGCATCGGCTAGCTTCATTTCGCATCTAATGTTATTGTACTATTGGGATTGGTAAAGGGACGAAGTGACATGGCGTTATGGGTTTTCTTTCTGGCTACGAGTAATGTTTATACGTTATGCATTTAGTTTATAGTCTCAACTTGGCTATTGATAGAGTGTCTCGTCGAGAATATTTTATTTTTAGTAATAATGCTGCAGTCATCGACCGAGTTTCTATGAAGCATTGGATCCATTCACGATAGAAGCTTACAATATTTATTTACGCACAGGTAAGCGCGGGCAAAGTCCTCATAGACGCACAAAACGCTGATAGCTGGTACAGAATCTATTAAACGATTCCCGAATCAGCAGCTCTATCGAAGGCAGCTCAACCGCCAGGTAGCCCTCAACTATCTATGCCTCTGCCGGAAGTGTCTTTCTCGGATCTAAGTCACGAATGACCAATGTATGTATATCATGTATCAACACCATTCTCCCGGTTGCTCCAAATGCTCATCTTCATTTTACACGGTTAAAAAAATATACGTATGCCGTCTTCTTCATCTCTTCGATATCCCCTGCCTCCACCACCTTCTCGTCGTTGAAAAGCACCCACTTTGGCGTTGTAGTATCAAGTAGCTTGCGGATGAATGCCACGTAATGTCTATTTGGTTAGCTCTATCGTTGTTCCCAGTAAGAAAAAAAAGAAAAAGAAAAGAAAAGAAAAAGGCTTACCCCGTATGAATACTGGTTCCCTTGTGACACACGATGCTCTGCAGTTGAAACTTTGCTGGCAGATCCGAGCTCCCTGCTGGAGCGGTCTCTTTCGGCGACGATTCAGCTTCTTCGCCAAAATCACCCTGGTCGTCAGGATGGCTAAACAACCATTCCACCGCCCGTTCTACGTCGCCGTTCGTCTCCTTTAGCGCTTTGCGAGCTTGAGGCGCACCGAATCCCATAGATCCCAGCATCTCGATCTTCTCGGGATCCGCGGCGGCGCTACCACCCGATCCCGCTCCCGCCGGCGCGAGAACTAGAGGCTCGTCGATGTCGGAGTCTTCCATGTGTCCGAATAGCCACTCCATCGCCGCGTTAGCATCCGAGTTGCCCGTCGCGTGTAGCGCCTTCTCGCAGCGGTTGCGAGGGAATCCCATCGCCATAAGTCCTTCGAGCGCCGCTTCGTTAGGTATAAAAGCCGGGGCCGCGGACGCTTCCTCTTCGGGCAGAGGTTCTTCGGAAGGCTGAAGTCCGGAAGAAAGATACTTGTCCAGGAGGAACGGCTCGTCCTCCACAATCACCGGCACGTCAACCTTTCGAGGCACCCAGTTCTCTATCGTCATCTTCCGGGCGTTAACCACGAGCGTGGTCGGGAAGGTCTTGAATAAGGATCTCTTGGTAAATCCGTCCTTGCTCCCGCACGAAGCGCATGTCAACTCCACCAGCTCCGTACCGGTGAAGTTATCGAGACACTGCTTAAGCGTAACCGGCTTATAGCGATCGCCTTCGCCTTGTACGGCCGGCAGCTTCTCCAGGGGCACGTCGATAAAGATACCATCCTGCTCGTTGCTGCTATACCGGACCTTCTTGCACTTTAGGCACTGGAGCCGCTGCTCAAGGACGAATCGGAAGGGCTGGGTAGGATCCTTCAGAGGCGCTGGGTGCTGGGATCTGGTGATAAGCTTGACTAGATGCTGTAAGAGCTCGAAAGCGTCCTGTTGGCGCATCGTAGAGAACTCGGCGTGTCCCCGGCCGATGAGATGCTTCAGCATGCTAGGCGCCAGTCCTTTCTGGTGCGGAATCTCGGGGGAGTTCTCGGACGCGATGACGTCGGTGTCCGGCTTCGAATAGCGACCCGATAATAATCCGTCCCCTAGCTTCCGAAGCTGCGTCTCGAGATCCTGAGCCGGGTCCTGTACGATGGGAAGGTCGGCTTCGGGAATGTTGTACCGCTCTTGAAACGCGGGCAGGTCGAATAGACACTGGAGTATGCTTGCGAGGTAGCAGCTGTTACCTAGATTCTTTAGTCCTGTGAGACCGGGTCCGAATAGGGGCTTCAGTTCTTTTCCATCTTCGGTAGTCATGGAAAACTCCCAGCGCAGGTTCTGCTCGATTTGCATCTCCGTCAAGCTCTTCTCCGTCTTGACTTGGTCGGATAGGATGATGCCCCAATGCGCTAGATGGGTTGCGAGGTCGCTATCTACGCGCTCTTCGTCGCATTGGTAGCAGTAAACGTCTGCTGTGCCTTCCGGACTGATGGATCCTAATTTAACAGCGACAGCGTGCTTCGATTCCGTAGCGTGTGCCAATCCGTGAGAGTTTCCTCCGACTCCACCAAACTGAGCACGGCCGCAGCCCAAGTTACCGCACTCCAAGCATAGCCATAGATTCTCCTTTAAATCGCACTTGGAACAGTGACCGAGGTCGCTCTGAAGCTTTCGGCTCTCTTGCTGCTGCAAGAGGAGGATGTGTTCGCAAGATGTAAGCTCTTGCTCCCAAGCCTTGACCTCTTCTTGTCTCGAGAAGGTATTCGCCTTGAGGATTCCGTCGACGATAGGTGCGAGTTTTGGACTAGTTTTGTCGAGCTCGACGACGCATTCGTGACACTTAACAGCGGTGGTAATATCGTAACGGTCGGCTTCGGTCTCGGCCGCGATGGCTAACTTGGTAATTTTCAGGGGAGGCTCGTCCTTTACTACTCGCTTTCGAGTTCGTCGGATATTGAGAGCTAGCGGGTGGCTACGAGTGACGTGATGGAGTTGGGAATGTGCCCTAACGCCTAAGCATCCTCCGTTGAAGCACTGAAGACAGACATCGAGGCCTTGTGGCTCATCCTAAACTTGTAAGCAAACGCTCCGAGGGCGAGGCTGTGGGATCGGGATTGCGGTATGGTCTTCGGAAAAAAAGATAAAAAAAAATGAATAAAAAATAAAATAAAATAAAAGACTTACGATGGAGTCGAAACATTGGGTACAGTCTTCTCGATAGACCGACTGAGCTGGCGTTGGAGGGTGTAAAGCTGCGAGATGACAGAAGAACGTAAGCTATGTGTGAGCACTAGATATAAACAGTCCCTGCCTGGACTTACAGATTGAATCAAGATGGGGACACGCCATCTTGGTGAGGATAGAAATGACCAAGTTACCAAGTTAGAGAAGAGGTAGAGAGGAATGGGATGATTGGAAATGTGGCAGGGATGAGGCGATAAAAAAATAAAGTGAGTGCTGCCTATGAAGCCACAAACGATGTTTTAATTTGCGACCAAGTTCACAAACGTGAAGCGTGAAGCAAAGCTACCTCTAGACAAGAAGCTTCGGGCGGGGCTAAAGTTTGTGAATGGAGGGGTATAAGAGGTACCTACAACACTTATGCGACGGAAGGTGAGATTGCCCCAGGCTTTACGGAAGTACAAGTGCTACTTAAAACCCTACAATAAGGTACATAATATAGTGCATAAATACCTAATTAGGTACGTATCCAGCTAGGTACGCAACGAGTAGGTACCGCCCGTACTTAGGCCGGTTAGGTACCTAGATTCCCTATGTAAATCAGGTAGGTACGCCAGCAGTTGCCAGCAGACAGCCTAGAAAGTTCGGTCGAGATTATCGGCCTCGGGCCCTGTAAGCGCTAGATGCAAGCGCGGATCTGATAAGTAAAAGAAGTGGAGAAACCTCACCAATAAAGCCCACGAGCGCCCGAATTTGCACTGTCAAGTTTTATAGTGCATAACGCTACCACTGACCCCTCGTTACAGTGCGTATAGGATCTCCGAGGTTTATGATTTCATCGCCAATTTGGAGCGACTTGATTCGCCACAGAGCCCAGCCCCATCCTAATACCGAGATCGCCGACAAAGACCGCCTTCACTTTTTTTTTGGAGAGGCCCTAGGTTTTACCTCATCATCTCCGAATCATTAAAATACCCAACCTAGAAATTTCCACATCTTTGCTTTCTTTATTCCATCTCATCCGTAACGTAACGTAAGCATCGCCATCGCTTGCTCAACAAATTCATCAACCACACACGCGAAACTCTATCGCCAACGATATCTCAACTTACCTTAAAGCTTCACATCTCAACTTTTCGTATATCAAAATGTTCTCGCGAGCGTTAGCAACCTCTGCTCGACGAGTAGTCGCATCGGCTGCACCTCGCGTCGCCACCCGCCAAACTCTTAACCCAGCCGCCAACATCGCGCGCCGATCCTATCACGAAAAGGTTTTGGATCACTATAGCCGACCGCGCAATGTAGGGTCGATGCTTAAGACGGATGCCGATGTTGGTACCGGTCTAGTTGGCGCCCCGGCGTGCGGCGACGTCATGAAGCTGCAGATTCGTGTCGACCCTAAGAGCAACACCATCTCCGACGTCAAGTTTAAGACTTTTGGTTGTGGCAGCGCTATCGCCAGTTCCAGCTACCTGACGGAATTGGTAAGAGGTATGACGCTTGAGGAGGCAGGTCGTATCAAGAATACCGAGATCGCCCAAGAACTTTGCTTACCACCTGTCAAACGTAAGTTTCTCTCTCTCTCTTTATATTTATTTTATCTTATTTTTGCCCCTCATAAATTGCATCTGATACTAATGCTTAACAGTGCACTGCTCCATGCTCGCCGAGGATGCTATCAAATCCGCCATCTCCAACTACTACAGCAAGAATCCCCATGCCAAGCCGACAAATCTAGCTGGTACCGAGGCAAAGATGCCCAGCGTTAACGAAGCTGCGGCGGCAACTGCTTAAGTATGAACGCATCGATTTTTTTAAAGAAACCATTCGTTACTTGCATGGGATACGGAGTTAAGATCGGAGGGGAATGAAAAATCGTGGTTTTGATAAGCAGTTCATGCGGGGATACCGGTATGGATATTGCCTCGTGATAATACCAGCAACAACAGATCGCCGCGTGTTTCTGCTGTGAGAGGGGTGTGGAAGGGGTATATTTGATGTTACGGTTAAGTTTAGCCAGGTTTGGAGTTCAATGCGATGGACGTGAATCTCGTCAGTAATTGAGTTATCGAACTTGGGTTGTTTGAGCACTCATTAAGAGATGTACAATAGTCCTCACCAAATAAAATCGTGAAGCCGCTTTGTAGCTGCCTGAAGTGTACCTAATGGTCACGCTGTCGCATGGATACCTTTTCCTTTAGTATTCTCAATTCAAGTTCATAAATACCTAAGGTATCTACTAGAGCGGCGATGAGCGTCGAAGCTCACCTATGTATTCGATTGCGAGAAACAATACACTGCCCAATTAAATCTAATTATTTAAATAATTATGAATACCTAGGTACGTAAGTATTAATATTTCGAGCATTCTTAGATTTTATACTATTAAAATGAAGTCATACCCGTGTCTCCCGCTCAATCAACCCATGAACGTTGAGTTATTATCGTCAAATTGACTTTTTTCTAATTACTCAGCTCTCCACATATGCCAAGCTATAAGCGCCACTATGATAGTGGCACTGTCTGCATTATCGATCGTTATCTAATGTCTTATCTTATCTGATTCAGGGTCCTCGAATGATTTTTTTTCTTTTTTCTGGTTAGCTACCTTGATGTCCTCAAAGTTCTTGTGCTCAAGTCTTTTCAACGCCAAATTTACTTTTTGGTGTCGCATCTCACCGGCTTTTCCCTACGATTGAATAAAGTCAATTCAACTGCAAAGCCAGCTGTAATGTCGAAGCACCGTCTCGAAGATGCCGAGGTAGAGGCGGCCACTCTCCCGCGCAAGAAGTCCAAAAAGGACAAGAAGGACAAGAAAGAGCGCAAAGAAAAGTCCCAAGATGTTGATTCGACGGCGCCGACTCCGGTAGACTCGGCTGTAGAAGCAATTGCCCCAGATGTTGACGGCGAAAAAAAGACAAAGAAGGATAAGAAAGATAAGAAGAAGGAAAAGAAGGAAAAGAGAAAGGCTGAGAAGAGCAACGACGAGGTCGATGCAAGCAATGAAGCCAACGGAGCCACCGAGGATGCCGCCCCTGAGCAAAATGACAATGGCGACGAGGTAGATGTCGAGCGCAAATCTAAGAAAGAGAAGAAGGATAAAAAGGATAAAAAGAAGAAGCGAAAGACCGAAGATACCGAGACGAACGGTACCCTTGATAGCAATTCCAATGGACAAGTTGAGAGTACTTCGAATAAGACCTCCGAGGCAGCTCCCGCGTCCAATTCTTCGCAAGGTTACGAGCAGACGGCAGCTCTCTCCGCTGTACCAGAGTCTGATATCGCCGCCTTCCTTAGCAAGCATGAGATCACCATCACAGATCCGCTTTCTGATAAACCTTTCCGACCCATCATCGAATTCTCTCATTTACCCTCGTCAGGTCTGATCGCCAAGAATCCCTTTGCTTCTTTCAAAGCTCCGACGCCTATCCAAGCGGCCTCTTGGCCTTTCGGGCTCTCGGGTCGCGATATCGTCGGTGTAGCAGAGACGGGGTCCGGAAAGACTATTGCTTTTGGTCTCCCGCTCGTCTCTGCTGTGTTGGGAATGCCCAAGGCCAAAGGAAACAATAAGATACGCGCGGTCGTGGTATCTCCCACGCGCGAGTTGGCGATGCAAACCAACGAACAGCTAGCGAAACTCGGCAGCTTGGTAGGCTTAAATACCGTGTGTATTTACGGTGGCGCTTCCAAGGATAATCAGAGAGTGCTTTTGCGAAAGGCGGATATTGTGGTTGCGACGCCTGGTCGATTAAAGGACTTTTTAGAAGAGGGCTCTGCTAAGCTTGATGGAGCCAAATTTGTGGTGCTAGACGAAGCCGATCGCATGCTGGACAAGGGATTCGAGGACGATATCAAGCGGATTATTGGGTGCACGCCCAGGAAAGAAGACCGTCAAACTCTCATGTTTACAGCAACGTGGCCCCAGAGCGTGCAGTCTCTCGCGTCAACCTTTATGGTATCGCCTGTGAAGATTCAAATAGGCGGAAACGAGAGCGGCGACTTGCAAGCGAACACGAGAATCGAGCAGCGCGTGGAAGTTGTAGATCCTCGTAGCAAAGAAACCAGGCTGTTACAACTGCTCAAGGCGCAACCCAGAAACGAGAGAGTTTTGGTCTTCTGTCTCTACAAGAAAGAGGCCACTCGCGTCGAGGGATTCCTATCGCAGCGTGGTATCAAGGTTGTGGCCATTCACGGCGATCTCAAGCAGGAGCAGAGGACGCGAAGTCTCGAGGCTTTCAAGTCGGGGCAAACTCCCGTTCTCGTGGCCACTGATGTTGCTGCTCGCGGTTTGGATATTCCCGAAGTGAAGTTGGTGATCAATGTTACGGTACGTTCGAGTTTGATTCTCTCTATTTTTATTGCTTATTTTTACATGCTTCTGATACTGACTTCTTGGACTTAGTTCCCCCTTACCATCGAAGACTACGTTCACCGCATCGGACGTACCGGACGAGCTGGTAAGACTGGACAAGCCATCACTCTCTTCACGGAACACGACAAGGCTCATTCTGGAGAGTAAGTTTATTATTAATTATCGCGTCAGGTCTTCTACTAATGCTTCTCCCAGACTTATCAATATTCTCAAGGCCGCTGGACAGCCGGTACCTGAAGAACTCTTGAAGTTTGGCACGGTCGTCAAGAAGAAGACCCACAGCACTTTCGGCGCTTTCTTTAAAGATGTGGACATGACGAAGAAAGGAACAAAAATCACATTCGATTAAGTAGTATGAGGGCTTAGGAGCATTACTTTCTATGAAATTGGGCTATCCGTGGATTTTACACGTTACCTTGAGACTCTACCACGGCCGCGAATAGAATGATAGGAGTCTAACAGATACTTGCGTTCGGTGTAAGCGCTAGATTAACAGTTAGAATTCATATGTATACGCATAGAAAGATAGAGGGTTAGTCAGGGGGCTTACATGATAATTACGAATGGTACAGCTCTAGTTGCGACGGTAACGAGATCTGTAAATACGTGCGGTGATGTGCTCCCGACAGAAATCCCAGCTCTCATCAGGGAAGCCCAGAACGCCGCTGTAGCAACAACTAGGAAAGCCAGGCCGCTTGGAAGGACACTACTCCAGCTAAAGTCTACTCCGTTGGCTCTGAAATATCGCGAGATAAAGCTCCCGCTCCAGACGATACGACATAGCATGTTGATGCTGTTCGCGTACACGAGGCCGACAGCACCCAGGTCCAAAACTCGCAGCGAGACGAAGCCGGCGATGCCAAATGCTAGGCTAAAAGCAACCATCCACGAACTCTGGCGGTGTACCTCGGATTCCGTAGCGACCGACGATACGAACGCTTCCGCGACGCCGTTGATAGCCAAGAGCGGGATGTATAAGCAATATCGAGCCAATACGGCCCCGGCTCCGCTAGCCGACCATTTAGTTCCGGCAACGATTTGAACCAGCAGAGGCGCAGCATAAGGACCCACGGTGACGACCACGATGCTTAGGAGGACGTAAAACTTCAGTAGGGCTTCAAGATCCGAGCGCGCCTTAGCGATGGCTTGCTCTTCGGGGGAGCTCTTGGCGGATGAGAGTAATTTGCTAAAATAATTTCGACTGCTCTCTTCGATAGGTTGGAAGACCAGACGCGCTAATAGGCTCCCGTAATTATTGGCGAGAGCATAAACGCCCTGGGATCTCGGGTCGGACAGGATAGAAACTAGAAAGGTGTCGCCTTGAGTTAGGATGTGTTTGACAAAAGATTGAGCTGTCAAACTATAGGCAAGCTGTAGGGTTGGCCTATAAAAATATCCCAAGACGTAATTGGCGTCAGGGGCTCGTGTGGTCTTGGATTTCGCGTCCGTCTCTTGTTTCGAAGGAGTATTTTGCCTCAGGAAGACAGAGAATCCTTCATCCGATGCTAATCGTGCGCCATACCAAGCGTAGACGGCGAGAAGACCCGTGCCGTAAGCCAATTGTCCCAGAGCAAAAGGCAAAACGCCAATTTCCAAACCCTTCTTCCAAGCCCAATTGGCCGCGCCAAATGTTATTAGACATCGTAGAAACGTAGCGACAGACTCGGCCGCGGCGCGAGGCCCAAATCGCAATCGATATTGTAGTATGACGAAGGCGGGCTCGGAAAGTAGTTCTACGATAGCGGCGACGGCGTATATGCGAAGAGAGACATCAAGATATGGTGTAGAAGCGGTAGCTACGTCGACATAGCTTAGATAGGCCCATCCAAGCCCTGCGGAAGCTCCCAATCCCAACAGAAGGGATATGTGGGCAATGTTCACGACAGATTGGCTGTCTCTCACATTTTCGGCTCGGGAGTGGTTGTCGGTAGAATCAGAAGTGGAATTAGAAGCGGACGAGGGGCTCTCTTGTCGCTGGATAGCTACGCGCAAGCTCTCGCGGGCGAAGAATAGTACGGATATGTAGTAAACTTCGAGCTGAGTCGAGACTCCTAGCAGTTGAGCAGTGAGGAAACGGAGTAGCAGCTGATTGGCGACAAAAGTGACGGCGCGCGACGCGATCTGGAGAATGATAAGTAGGGATGCGCCATGAACTGCGGAACCCTGCTTTGGAATTTTATTGGGGTGCAACTTTTCACCATTGCCATCCTTGGAGGCAATTGCTTTGTTAGTCATGGTTATACCATTGATGATAGCTCAATGTTCCATTTTTGGAGAGATCTTTGGCACGCGACGGAGATGATGACAAGTTGAGGTTTCGGTCCGGGCTTACCTAACTTTTCGGGGTCCAGGCATTACCTAGTGGAGCCAACTGTTTGGAAATCTCTAGGTACCGTTTCGCGCTCTGGTGTACTATGTAGTGCCAAGCCATAGCAAAGTTTATTTCTCCAAAGGCTTTTTTTCAAACCTAATTTGTAATGTTCACAAGCACACAAGTATCTAATTACAAGAAGCATGCCAATTTACTCAATTAAACACAAGGAAATGGAGGGGATGCATTGTTTCAATTGGAGCTACAAGAAATAGACTCTATCCGATAGCGAGAGTGGTGATATTTTTTTACCGTCTTGCATTTGGCGACCATGCTTTGTTAAATTAGGTACTCGAAACAACTTTTGTAGCTGGTAGCTGACCACTAAACCTTTTATATAGGGACATAGGGAAATTAGGTACATGCTGACACGCTAACACGTGACTTGAAAATATGATAAGCTGGAGATTTGATAAGCACCACAATTTATCAACTCCCCCATCTTCTGTTTTTCCACACTTGTGGTCCTCCCACATTCTCCCACCTAAGTAAAAAACCCCGTGGGGGGACGAAATACTACGAAAAATTGATCCATCCGTCCGTACAGCCGTTACCTTAGGTAGCGTGACATATAAAGATTTCCAAGCTAATGCGGATATTAAAAAAAGAGAAAAAAATTTACTAACAGAGAAGGACCGATAACAATCCTGACCGCTCGACGCTTAGTACTGGAACCTGAATAGTATCGGACCGATGTGTGGATATAGGAAATATTACAATTTCACTTATTTCACTTGTTTAGTACTAACTTTACCGCCTACGGTGTAGTTCAGCTAATCTAACCCCCTAAGAATCTCCCCATAATCCCCATAGAACTCCATCATTCATTGCAGTCCAGATTGGGGTCAACGCAGCTTTCTCCTCTTTACTTGTTACCATCGTCACCAGTTTGAAAAGGCGCAATGCGAAGTCCAGAACGTCGTACCCACAATTAAGCAGTCAAGCCGGCTTCAGCTAAGCATCGTCACATCGATCATCGATCATCCCCTTTATGCGTCATAGTTAGGCAATCTTCGTATATTTTCGAAGAGGACATATGCATCCCAAATACCTTTGCTTACTGTTCGAGACTTTCTTACTGGTAATGACGTTTCGCTGGCGGTCAGTTATCACGCGCAGGTTATTATCCAGAGCTACAGAGCTCAAAATCCAAAGCCAAAGCACGGTAAGATTCACAAGCATTTACAAGCGATATCTCGAATTGATAATTATTCTATCGAGCGTCAATTATAAGTCATAATGATTACCTATCCCTCAAAACGAACCTTGGCCGCCGTGTCATCGGCCGAAATGCCCGCATTTGATAATTATGGCGAAAATCCCCGGGGAGCGTGGAGAAATGGGGAAAATGGGCCGACTCGAGCTTGTGAGGCTAGAGTGATTTTTTAATCCTTTTTTTTTCTTGGTCTCTTTTAGGGCGCCTCCGTCTCCCCCACGTATGCCCACATTCGCCCACATTGTCTCCCCACGCAAAGCAACGACAGAATCCCCATGGTACGACCAAACTAGTTTAGGTCGTGGAATTCCTGCGTTGGATTTTCTTTTCGACGGCATTCTTGATACAAGGTCAAGTTTCCAAGTATGACCCCCCCAAAATCCGGAGGCTACTTTCGATCTTGCTTGCAGCTTGGGCTTACATCCTCCTTTGGGTATTGCTACTGCGACGACAAGACGTGACCAAGCGCGCTAATGCGATGAAATTCTGTTACCGCACTCCATCCCGTCTGGGCGTCATGGGTAATGCCGTTGATCTGCTTGCTTGCTGCTGTGCGCGTAATACAGCATATAGATTTGTTCCAGGATTACCTCTGCTCGAGTGGCACGGCTTTCTCTCTTCGAAACTACTATGTACGTGCTTCCAACGTTCATCGTAGGACAATTATCACAAGAGCGAGATGAAATCTCAAAAAGCCCCTGACTAAGTCACGCTATCCAGTAGCTAGCTACCTCTCAGCTCCGCGTCGCTCCGAGCTTCTAGCGTTTGTGTTTGTCCCCTTTAAGTAATACTTCCATATCACTTATTTAATGCTTCCCAACCACGCGTTGTCCCACAAGGACAGGCTGCGGAACGAGCTAGAAAAAATGCCTTAGCCTTTCCTTGTTTGATGTAGCTGGTCCCGCAAAATGAAGGATTTGTGGTGTGAGTACCAGATGTTGGGGTGAGCTGGTGAGCTGGTAAGCTTGGCGAGGTGATGGATTCCATATCCGCGGGACTTTCGAGAATATCGAACCTACATCTTGCTGCGTTACAATCGGACCGGCCGGGGAACGTGGTACATGGACTTTGCGAAGTACAATCTTGGCAGGGTTTCCATTCCGGAAAGTAGAGAGAATGATTGATGACGATTTCAGGGGAGCGAGTTCTGGTACTTGCTGTAGATACCATCTCTCCTTTCCGCCGTCGTAACTTGAACGCTCAACACCAATATCATCGAAATATGTATGCGATGCTAAGGTACGTGATGTTTTCAAATCGTATAAAGATAAATAGCATTTATAGGGGTAGCTACCTAACCTAAATCCATGTAACTAGCTAAAAATCTACGAGTGTACATTCGCGAATGTACAAATACCTGCAGCCGAAGGCCTCGACTTCCACGGCGGCTCAAATCCACTTACCCATCCCGGTATCCTCGTGTTATTTTTTTCAAATAGGAATCCCTCGTGACTCCCTCTCCACCCCATTTTTTTTCTACCTTTAGTCCCTTAGTGTGAAGTCATCGCCCCCTGGTTACCACAGAACCGAGCATCGCGTCTATACCGCATCTGGTTTTGTTTGGAATCCCAACATCAAGGCACAGAGGTACCAAAGATATATTATATAAGGCATCTATCTGCCTTATTTATATTAAATCTTATTCATGAATCCCCAGCATTAATTAAAATCCCCATCCATACATCCATCCGTCCATACATACATACATCCCTCACTTCTACGCGCGACACCAATATATGGTCCTTCAAGTAGCGCGACTGCGTGTATTCGCCGATTCATAAAATTATACGGCGCATTAATAACTTACCATGGGTCGCTTCGCTGTGAAGAAGCCCGAGCATGAAGCCGGCAAGGCATGGCCTGCTATTGTCATCGGCCTGTTCGTGGCATTTGGCGGTATCTTATTCGGGTACGTCTAAAAAGAAAGAAAAAGGAAACATGTCGTTATTCTTTGCGCTAACTCTCCTTACCAGCTATGACACCGGAACCATCAGCGGTATCCTCGCTATGGAATACTTCCAGACCCTCTTCTCGACCGGTTATGTCAACACCAAAGGCCATCTAGACATTTCTCCTTCCCAATCCTCCGCCATCGTATCGATTCTCTCGGCGGGTACTTTCTTCGGTGCCCTCGGATCTCCGTTACTTGCCGATTCGATAGGCCGTCGACTCTCTCTTATCGCCTCTTCGTGGGTATTTATTTTCGGTGTCATTTTGCAAACGGCCGCTACGGCCCTGCCCCTGTTCTTAGCTGGTCGATTCTTCGCCGGCTTTGGCGTCGGTCTGATCTCTGCTTTGAGTACGTATTCGTAAATCCCAGATACTTTCCTTCTAAGCTTACTCGTAGCGTAGTTCCTTTATACCAGAGCGAGACGGCGCCGCGTTGGATTCGAGGTGCCATCGTGGGCGCTTACCAATGGGCTATCACGATCGGTCTGCTCCTCGCTGCGTGTGTAGACTATGCCACGCAATATCGTCAGGATACCGGCTCGTACCGTATCCCCGTCGCCGTGCAATTTGCCTGGGCAATCATCCTCATCACGGGAATGCTTGTCCTACCGGAAACTCCTCGATTTTTGGTCAAGAAGGGGCAGCACGAGAAGGCGGCGGCCTCTCTCGGACAACTCCGAAGGATCGATCGCAACCACGAAGCTATCCAGGAGGAGCTGCGCGAGATCAAGGCGAACCACGATTACGAGATGAGCATCGGAAAAGCTAGTTACCTCGACTGCTTCCGCGCGCCTCTGCTGAAGCGTCTTCTCACCGGTATGGCGTTGCAAGGACTTCAGCAGCTATCAGGTATTCTTTTCCCCCCTATTTTTCCTGTAAAATATTCTAGTCCGCTGACTTTTGTTAATAAGGTGTCAACTTTATCTTCTACTACGGCGTGAACTACTTCAAGAACTCGGGTATTCAGGACCCCTTCGTTATTCAGGTCATCACCTCTTGCATCAACGTGGGTTCGACCATTCCTGGTTTATGGGCTGTAGACAAGTTTGGTCGTCGCCCGCTTCTCTTATGGGGCGCCGTCGGAAGTAAGTGGCCTACTTTTTTATTTTGATTTTGATTTTTCCCCTTTTTTTTCATTTTTAGAAAAAGAGGAGACGTGAAAAATACGAAAAACATGTTGCTAACCTCCTGCAGTGTGCGTCAGTCAGTTCCTCGTGGCCATGCTCGGTACCTTGACGACAGGCCAAGATGCCGCTGGTAATACCGTAGTTCACAACGTCGCGGCACAAAAAGCTGGTATCGCCTTCATCTGTATCTACATTTTCTTCTTCGCCAGCACTTGGGGCCCTCTCGCGTGGGTCGTTACGGGAGAAATCTTCCCCTTAAAAGCCCGAGCCAAGTGCTTGAGTATGACCACCGCCACTAACGTAAGTCGATCCCCTCCCTTTATAGCCAACCTTCTATTCGAGAACACCGCGCTGATTATCTTTTATAAATAGTGGCTTCTGAACTGGGCCATCGCTTACGCTACTCCTTACCTCGTCAACTATGGCGAAGGTTACGCCAATCTCCAGTCGAAAATCTTCTTCGTTTGGTTTGGCGCTTGCTTCATCTGCATCGCCTTCGTGTACTTTTTCATATACGAAACCAAGGGATGGTCGCTCGAGGAGGTCGACGAGCTGTATAGCGAGGTTAGCAGCGCGCGCAAGAGTGCCGCGTGGACTCCGAGCAGTACATTCGCTCAACGGCAAGGCGCCAACGCTATCACCACCGATGTGGACGCTCCCGGCAAAGTGGTGGGGGAGAAGTTTGTCGAAGATGGCCCGCACGATGGAGTTTCGCATCACGAGGAGCATTCGGCTGTATGAGATCGGTTGGGATTATGATGACCTCTTGTTTATTTGATATTTGCGTAGCCCATGACATGTACTTTCGATATCCCCCCCTTTTTTCTATGTCTCCTGAGCCAAGTTTCAAAGAAAGACTTGCTCAAGAGTCGCGAGAAAAGCATGAATTCTATAAATTAATCGTTAACTACCTAAGCTCTATGTGCAAGTATCGTAATTCGTTCGCATTCGCCTGTCGTTATTCCTAAGTATAATCACCGATGGTTTAGGCGATATGCTTTTAGGTTGGGCTACAGCTGAGATGTTACAGAAAACGCCGAAGGCCAATGAATTCCGTGGAATCCGAATCCTATGGCGAAATCGCATTCCGCACGTCCCACCTCCTTAAGAGTCTTCGCATCTAGGCATAATAGGTAACTCGTTTTACCCGTTCCATCGAGTACGACGCTCAAAAGCACTCCATCATCTTCGTCCAAGTCTTGTGCTACGGGCGACTTAGGACGCGGCACGAATATAGGTTCTCCCGGCGTGTGTCCTTTTGGGTTATCCCAAAATGTCGCGCCGAGAGTCGAAACGTCCGTCTTCACGATGGTGTCGAACATGGTACTATAGCCGCGGTTGGCTACGCTATAGACGTAGCGGTGCTTTTTAGTTGCGTATGCCGGGTTAATCGTTGGTAGCTCGCCAGCGTGAGGTGCCTTGATTTCGAATATCTTCTCCGCGTTCCGTCGAGGCGCTGGTGTATCCCCGCCATTTAAGTATGATTCGGGAATCCTAAGCTTCCAACGAGTCAGTCGAACGTGCGAGCTTCGATTGCGCTCTTCGTTACCCCAGAAATTCTTAGCGGCCCCGTTTCTCTGCAGCATGACGTCTAATTCGTAAGCTCGAATCACGTCGAGGTTAGGATACTGCATAACGTCGCAGTAGACGTTGAGATCTCCCGTCTTTTCGTCCCGCTCTTCAAAGGAGTTTACGCTGTGAAAGTAAAAAGCCGCCGGGCTATCGAACGTAGCGACGACGCCACGGTTTTCGAGACGATCGATAACAAACCACTTGCATAATTTCGATTCGTCAAAGGTTTCCATAGCCTCCACCATATTACGTTTCCAAGGAACGCTCAGTCCCATCATTCCAAGGTGCGACGAAGGAATGCATAATATCACGAAAGACGGCGTGAAGAAGAAGGAGTGGATATAAGCCGGTTTTATATCGGGGGCGGATATGGTAGCTAATATTTCGGTCGCTCCTGTTGATGTAGCCGCTCGAAAAACACGATATACCGACTTGTATCCCGGCTGAAGGTTGTAATTATAGTAATCGCCCGTTTCCGGGTCTCTCTGGGCGTGAGCACAGCTTAAGGGGCCTCTGAGTAGCGGGTTCAACGCTTCTTGTCTAGCTATACCTATCGGTTCCAGGGTAGTTTGGTCTATCTCTTTCATATGTCCGTGATCCGTAGTTAACCATAGGTTCTTTATGCCTTTCCGGTGGCCGGACTCGACCGTAGCGACCGTAGCCTTAGCTTTCGAAGGCAATCCGGGTACGGTTGGTTGAATAGCGACGGACACGTTATCAAATTCGGGATTATCTCTCTTTGGAGATCCTTTCCAGACGCTCATAATCTTGCCAAATAGGCCGATGCATGGATCCATCTTTTGCCCGAATCCTATATCGGGTCGTTTTCCGTCTCTCTTGATAGCATCGTATAAAGCCTGGCTTTGGCGTCGGGACGTATATTCTACTTTTACGGGATTATCCCCATTTTCTGAATTGGCGATAATGTTGAATCTGTGCGAATGTCCTAGGCCGTCAAACCAGTGTGTGGTACGAAACGTGCCTTTGGGAGTACCTTCGATGACATATTGTCCGGGGCCGGTGCGATATAGCGTTCCAGCGGCCCAAGCTGGGATGGACCCTTTGACGGGAAGTTCTATAGGGCCACGTATTTCGTTTAGGCCTTCCATCTTGTGGTGTATTAGCATTGTATTAATATAGGGGGGATGCTTAAAAAGAAACAAACAAACAAAAAAAACTTACACCCGCCTCGTTTGGCCAATCTTCAAAGTTGGCTTCCAACATCCCTTGCACGGCAAGTTCGAAGTCGGCATCTTCGCTTTGGTGTCCTCCAAAAGCTGGCCGCTTTCGTTCGTCGTGGTTCTCCTTTTCTATCGCCATGATGCTACTTTCGAGGTAGTAATTATGTGCGACTGCGGATCTTAACCTCTAAAATTCGATAAAGAGAGCCGACATTGCTCAAATATATATGAGTCGATCATATGATACGTCGGATTGTTTATTGCGGCAAGGTGGAGAACGTACATAGGATGCCGAGGCGAGTGAATGATTTGAACCAACGAACGAACGGATGGTTCTTGGAGATATAAACGAATGCGAGGCTTGTTATTGATGACGATGGAGAAGGAAGGCGTCAACTGACGAGGAAGGGCGAATGAATCGATCAGACGGCCTCAAATAAGCACCTAATGTAGGTGATTGGTGTGGCTTTATGGGTATGATACATGTAGCATGCTTTCTTTCTTTTCTAAGGTACTTTTTAAAAAGGGCGTATATTTCTGCTATGTACCTCCTAAGGTGGACACCATCTTGAAATAGAACAGCTCTTTTTAACATGCAGGAGAGAAATACCGAGGCTCCAAGTCGAATCATGATTCATGACAACGAATTTCAAGGGTACATGTCAATTTCGTGCACCTTTGTACCAGGTAAGCTGCAAACTACCTAATTCAGCCCTCAAAACCGCTATAAACCAATAAAATTCTAGTGGCTTTTTTAATTGTCCCGAAGCCTCGGCCAGGGGAATAAAGAATAGCTTTCCCGATTGGCTAATCTTATCGATAAATCATTCCCCAGATACTTCGCATTCGCTTAATTCCCAGCCTACATACGGTAACGAAGGAACGGAGATAAGCGAGCAGCACGGCAGCACGGCTGGGGCGGCCTATTATGCACAAAATGGTAACTCCGTAGTAATCTCCGTTATTAGTTAAGAATAGATCGCGAACTATCCGTAAGGTAATGAGCTAAAGTTGAACTTGCGCATGCGACCGTGGGATCTTTTACATATGCATGCATCAACTACATTTGATGCAACGCGATAGATCTTGCCACGGTGGTGGTTAAATGATTTGAATTAAATCGCAAGAGATTTGGCGGTTGATGCTATTGAAAATGGCTTGTAGGTGACGAGAATTTGATCCAATAGCACAAGTGTTTGCTAGTAGTAAATTGAGATGGTGGGGGAGATACATGGTACGAATAGGAAATCTATTTTAATATCTTAGGTATTCACCGGGGCCGGATCCAAGTCTGTTATCCGGGGCGGATCGGTTCAGGGATAGCTTCAAGCTGGGTCCCTATTAGGCAAGATGGGTCCCGTTTGAAAACAGTTATTGAGAGGTGTTTATTGAAGTCTAGATGCATTAGAGTGCCCGCCGTCCCACCCCCAATCCCGTAAAAGCGGAAAATAAGCTTTAATCGAAAAGCCAAAGACTGGCTTAGGGACATAAGGCTCCTCGAGAAACTTGAGCTCTTCGGCTGTCAGCGTCTTTCCTCTCGAATCGCAAGCTTCGTCGATCCTAGCGATCGAGTTAAACCCAACGATCGGCACGGTACCCTTGGTATTATGCCACGCGAGGTTGACGTTGCTCATCTTCCACCCCTTCTCGTTAGCGAGCTTCTCCACGCGGCGGATGACTTCCTCCTCGTCCGGTCGCAGATCCTGGCCGATGAAGTTGCCCATCTTGGCGCGGGCCGAATCGTTCTGTCCCAGCGGCCGGGCTAGCTTGCCGCCAAAGTTGGGAGAGTACGGTATTATGCCGACCCCCGTGTCTCTGCAGAAGCGGTTCATCTCGCGCTCTTCCTCCCGATAGCACAAGTTATAATAGTTCTGCATGCTGATAAACTTGGTCCATCCGTTACGCTCCGCGACGGCTTGCATGCGCGCGAACTGCGTCGCCCACATCGAACTGGCGCCGATATACCTCACCTTGCCCGACTGTACGAGGTCGTGAAGCGCTTTCATGGTTTCCTCGATGGGCGTGGTTGGGTCGAATCGGTGAATTTGGTACAGATCAATATAGCTAGTACCCAAACGCTTGAGAGAGGCCTCGACGGCGTTGAAGATGGCGGCGCGAGAAAGACCTATTATGCTCTCCGTTAGCTTGATGCTCGTATTTTCCAGCCCCGGTTCGGTCACTTGCCTCCTTGGTTAACATAGTCCTTGCTCTTGCCATGCGCATCCCAAAAGAAAGGAGTAAATATGCCGACCTCTTCTCCGACGTGCAGGTAGCACTTTGTCAAAATAACGACCTTCTCGCGCGGGATGGAGTATTTCTTGAGCGCTTTTCCGATAACCTCTTCGCTCAAACCGTTGGAGTAGGCGTTGGCCGTATCCCACGTATTAATGCCCCTATCGTAAGCGGCCTTGAGAATTTCGAGTGATTTCTCTTCGTCCAATACCCACGGCATCCATTGGCTCGTTCCCAGGGACATAGCACCTAGGATTGGCGAGGATACGCGAAGGCCTGAGGAGCCTAGTCTGACATAGTCGACTCTGGTGCTGCCGAGGCTCTTCTGGAGAGATTCGGGAATTGGAAATTGAGCCATGATTACTCTGTTGGATATTTTTGACTTGGGCTAGAGGTTTAAAGACGAGAGATGGAATTACTCGGGTATTTTGATACTTGATTTTAATATATAGCTAATCGATGTGGTGAATGAGAACATTCCAAGACGAATCTCATACCATTTATATATCTACCTAGGTATCCATTTTGCCCCTCTTCATCACTTCCTCTCAATCTGCAGCTCGGATATTGGTCCATGAGTTCTCCGTCGTTATAGCGCCGCCGAGATGCCTAGGTGTGAAATGCGTAGGTAAACGACGTTGGCGATGGACAGGAGTTAAGCTAGTGTTGTCCGAAGTCCGCAAAATAAAGGTTTCGTACTTATGCCCCCCCTGTTATTTCTTTCTAAGCAGCTCGTGTGAATTTTCGGCTCTTGGTTTTTCATAGAAATGAATAGCTGCCATTTACCAATGCTTACATATCGAGTATTGAGCGATGTTTGCAATCCTACGCAATGCAAACCTAGTGTCACGTCGCAGAGCATGAGGTAGGTCAAACAACTTCGTTGTTCCGCAAGGAACTCTAACTACAGTTACTTTGAAGCTAAAGCTATATACAGAATAACTCCTTTGTTCTAAGGAGTCCCAAGTGAGACTCCTGACACCTAGGTATGTCCTGAATGTTGACCGGCATTAGGTAGTGTTTTAAGAATGACGAATTGAATAAGTCTTGTGAAGTTGATTTTTAGCATGCGGCGAACTTGGCGTGTATCGTAAAATAAATGAGATCCAGACGCGTTTTGCCAGGGGGTATTTGCTTGGGGTATCCACCGTAATACTAGGTAGTAGTACTCTCACTTCTTATGGACGCCCCTCTGGAGTAAACTCATGTGGAGGATGGTTGTCTTCTTCCCACTTCTTGAGGCCTTTCATGTAGGACCCAGTTGTCATCGCCGTTTAAGTTCAAAAGCCTTTTGTACGAGCCCATGATTCTCGACTCGTTCGCAGAAAAGTGAGCATTACGTAAATGCACTTTCCAAGCCGACATAAAGTCTCAAGGAATCTCTTCAGCGGTGCATAAGTTGACATCGTTGATATGATTTTGCACCCATAGTGGGAATGGATTGTCATCGTATAGTATTTTAATCGAATTCTGAACAAGCGTGATGTGTCGAAAGTCTCCGCTCTCTAGCCATGGCGACTGATAGCTTTCTCTGTTCCCGGTGGTGCCACTCATCCCTGATTGATGGCGTTTTCCGGATGACATGTCGGAATAGTCATAGGAACTTACTGTCTCTGGCGTATCTGCTTGCTCAATGGTATCGTACTAGTGAGTTGGAGGTATATTGGGTGTTAGATCTTTTTCGATGAGGGCAACATATATCGGGCGGTGTACTTTGTGATCGCTTCTTCGAACTAGAGGGTAGTTCGGTTCGTGGGCTTTTAAATAGCAAAAATTTCGATATACGATTCCTGATATCTAGGGGAGGGGGGTAATCCAGGCAAGGTGTTCCTGATTGGGGCATTTGAACATCCATGATGGTTAAGATACGAAAACAAGCAAGGCTATAGCGCCTGGGTTAAGTAGGCATAAAATCTTAAGGAGTAAAATCTTAAGAAGGCGTAAATTCTTAAAACTGTACAGGAGGTAGGTGTGACTGTTGAAGGTTTGGTGCTGTAGGTGGTTAGGTGGCTAGGGCTGTGGCTTACGTAGGTACCTAAGCTATGTAGTAGGCCTTGCATACATCATACAATCCACGATGGTGACCATGAAAAGTAAAATGCTTACCAGGTAGGTAGGTACCTAAAGTACACTATTTTTTAAACTTTTTTTTTTCAACATTCATATTCACGATGCATGCGTTCAACTTTTTGTTCATGTTTGCGGAGCATCCCAAAGTCCCAGTGTCGACCGTCATAAACGTGTATAAATTACATCAAGGCCATCAAGGTACTCACTCATCCGTCATTTCATACTTATAGTCTTATACACGCCGCCCGTCCGCCCCAAGTTTTCACCATACCTTTGTCCTTTGTTTTGAGCCGAGTCCAACGCTTAATATCTCGTCAATTTAGGGCTGCCTTCGCACGCCGGAAACGAGAACTTGGTCTCGACAAACACCTTTTGGATGCCGTCCTCGCGATTGTCGAACTTGGCGTACACCTTTTCCAAGTCCTCAACGCGAACCCGGTGAGATACCATCTGCAGCGGGTCCAAATCGCCCTCTTGGATCATCTTTAGCAATTCTTCCCAGTATTTATGAACCGGTGCTTGGCCGTTGCCGATAAGTCGAATACCCCTCTCCATAAGAGCTCCGATGTTGAAGTGGTTGGTCTGCATCTGTTAGTGTTTTGAGAAGTCAAGTTGAATCGAAGGAGAACTTACGTAGCCGACGTATACGCCGGTAATTCCGCAACGACCAAAGTTTCGAACTCCCTCGATCATCTCGTTGACGATCTCGCTGGTGTCGGTTTCCGCACCTACCGCCATCTCTAGCCAATGCATCCATCCTTTAGCATATTCGCCCGCGGCACACTATGCAATATAATTAGTGAATCGTTTTCTTCTTTTTCTTCTTCTTTTTTTTCAAGGGATGGATGCATCGCTTACCTCGATAGCAGCGTCGGGTCCCCTTCCGCCGCATAGCTCCTTCAATTTCGACACGACCGTCGGCTTGTTCGTTACGCCGTAAGACAGCTTCTTGTAATCGACCAGCACCAACTTGTCGGCCTGGTCTGATGGCCAGCGCTCTCTGATAAAAGTGAGACGCGGCTCCGTGTCGACAATGATGACCTTGGCGGCTCCGGCTTTGATGGCAAAAACTCCAGCCATCTGACCGATGGGACCGGCACCGAATATAGCTACTTGATCGCCAGGATACACGGCAGTATCGTGCACGGCGTTGTAGCTTGTGGCTAGTACGTCGCTGAGATAGAGCGCCTTTTCGTCAGGTACTCCGTCGGGTAACTCTAGAAGATTCACGTCGCCAAGTGGCACTCGAACATATTCGGCTTGGCCACCAGCAAATCCGCCCGTAAAGTGCGAGTAACCAAAGAATCCGGCAGTTTGACCGCCATACATGGCTCGCGCGGTGGTATTCGCGTTGGTACGCTCACATTGAGACGTCAGCTTCTGCTTGCAGAAGAAGCACTCGCCGCATGTGATCTGGAACGAAGCCACGTACCGCTTACCCTTCTTAACTCTCTTGACAGCAGGTCCGACCTCGTCGACGACACCACAGAATTCGTGTCCCAAGATATCACCTGGAACTAATTGAATAATAACCCCTAAGCCCGTTAGAATTGATAGAGAAGAGTACTGGACGACAGCGGCATACCGTGGTATAGGTGAAGATCGCTTCCGCAGACCGTGCTGCCGGTAACTTTGAGGATTACATCATTTGGCTCGAGAATCCTGGGCCTCGGTACGTCGCGAACTTTGACCGAATATTTACCCATCCAGCACAACGCCTTCATCGTCTCTTCCTTACCAAGGCCACCGCCGTAGTTGGAAACATCTTGGGCGGTGATCGCGGTCCCGTCGTGGCCGACGGCCTTCTCAGCGATGTATGCTGTTTGCGATGTCATACTGCTTTTTTTTCTTCCGTTACTTTTTCCTTACTTTCTCAAGATTTATATTTTCCCACGAGTGAGATTGGATGTACGAGTGTTCACCGAGCTGTAAAGCATAGGATTGCATTCTTATAACGAACGGCTGACATTTCGGTAACGACATTAGTGCATCATCATAGAGTTAGAATTACCGATTGGGCTCTGCAACCCCACACGTCGAGACCTCATAGCGAAGCTTTTGGGTGTCGCTGGTGTATGACGTTGGGATTAGATATCGGATCAGGGGGGCGTGGGACCGGAATACGTCATGACTTGTTAAACGCGACGCAAGCGTGGATGCTTCACAAATGAGCACACGAATACCTACCTAAGGTAAATTGATAGGTAAGGGTGAAAGTTTTAATTATTCCGTAATGTACGGAAGGTAAAAGCTACGAGGGAAAAAAAACTTGGATTATTTGCAAGACAAGATGAGTTGAATCCACACAGGTCTATCCCCGGATTCTGATATGAAGCTTAGATTACTATATTGAACTGCACATCCTATGCCAAGATAAAGCAGTACATAGTATGCGCAACTCTCAACCAATCGCTCGAAATCTGTGTGAGTTCTATCCCTAGAGTTTTTATAAGGTGAAATGGGTGTAGAATTAAAGCAAAATATTTGCTAGCTCAGCAACCGCACGATCGTGGTCCCATTCAACCAGACAGCGTTTCTCACTTTCTTCCATCTTTTTCCTAATAAACGGCTCCATGGCTTCGATCTGTTGCTCAGTAAGGTGGTTGAGCCTCGCATGATGATCTCCTCGCTCGTTTTCCCCGAAATACTGCGCGTCTAAAAATCTCCAGAATATAAAATCAAACGCCCAGCTATCCCTAGCCGCGTAGTTGATCATCCACGTTTTCTCCTTCCAACTCTTTCTCTTTCTCCGGGAGAGAGGCACATCCTTGAAGAGCGAAGACGCAGTTGCATTCTTTTCTTCGGCCTCCAATACGCGCAGAAAGGTTTCGAAGCAAGGCTCGCACACTTTCATCCAGAACTTATATCCACCGTCCCAATATTCCGGACTTTTCAATAGAAGCCACCAAGGGGGATCGAACGAGAATTGTCTCGGCGCGGCGTACGCGAATTCCCAGTCGATCACGCCGACTACGCGGTCGTTCTTATCAACCAAGACGTTTGACGGACGCAGGTCTTCGGAATACAGTAAGAATTTGGAATTTTCATATGTATTTTCTTCACCACCAAATCCTGATGTAAGTGGTCCTTCCGAAGCGAGCTGCCGGAAGAGCTGGCGCGCTACGTACTTGTCTCGAGCGTCATCTTCATCCTTAACGGCATCGTTATGTTGAAATGTCAACTGTGCTAGATGCATATCCGCTAGAGCGCAAAGCCATTCTTCAGAGGTATCGTATGGTCGGGATGGCAGTAGTGTTGGAGCGACGCCCGCAAATTCCAACAGGGAATTCATATTCTTAATGAGAGGCCTTCCGGAGACGGAAATCTCACCGTTCTCCTGCTGATCTAGAGAGCCGATCCTAGGAAATGATAAAGTAGAAAGCTGTAGGACGATGTTGGCCATCTGTCGATAAAGAAACTCAAGCCGGGCCTCGTCAATTTTTGGATCTAGCACGTGAGACTCGTCCGGCTCTAAAGAAGGATCTTTAAGGGCTTCGGACAACGTCCTCTCGTGTTCGATATATTCCATAATGATGAAAGGACCCAGACCGACTCGGGTTTTCTGCCGCTGTGCCGAAATGATATATCTTGGGCACCGGAATAATCGTGTTTGCCGCGACATATCGCATCGTGGCGACCTCGTAGCGCATTTTCTCCTCGGGAAATTTAACAATACCTGTTCACCATGGCTTAGTAGGTTTCTAGCGCATAAGGGGGTCTGTTTCATACCTTGACACGGGATTCTCATGGCAGTTGACGAGCCATCTTTATATTTCAGCCGATAAAATACGTTATACCCTCCTCTGATCGGGTCGTGAAGCTCTATAGCCTCGCCCGGTCGGTATTTATTGATGAGGTTGGCGATTTCGTGGTAAATGTGCGCTTTGCTGAGCGATCTCTCCCACGCCTCGACGTCTTGGTCGCTTCTTTCCCAAGCTAGGTCGTTTTTGTCCATACGGACGTATCTTGGCTTTGCTAGCATGGCTACCTACCTAGTATAGATATCTTTTGAGTAGGCTAGTTAGTCTTCGCTCGGTTTGTTCGTTGTGTGAGAAGCCCGGAATCGTGATTTTATGTGAATTTATAGGGTGCCTAGGTAGAAAACAAATAGGATCTAGTTATTAGGCTCTGATGTCAAGGCCACCTCGCCCTGCAAGACACCTCTATGCAACTATAGGTAAGGTAGGTACCTTCAACTGACCACTAAGGTTATATAAATCGAGAAAAGGCTCGAGTTATATCTTCGCTATACCAGAGGCGACGCCCGAAACCCAAACTCCAAAGGATGGTATGGTTAAGCTGTATTCCACTAGATCTTCGGCTCTTCATGCCGGTTACTTTGCTAGAAAAGGGGTTATAGGGCGCCTTGGTGATTTTACAGAAGGGATTCTAGGCATATATACACTTCTTTCGCCATAAGTTTCCAGTATTTTCTCCTAGGATAGCTCTAGAAACCGAAGCTATACATACAAGCATCTCTGCTGTCCTTTCATGCAGACAAGTTCTTTGTCTTCTTACGTCTGACATCTGATAGTTACCTAACATTTTCGTTGAGGTTTTCTGCTTGGGAACATCATGGTACTGCTTAAATGAGGGAGAATGCCCAGCATTAGCGTCAGAAAACAGCAATAAACAGCGTGGAAGTGTGTCGTCTGATGGCAATGTCCAAAAACGCTGGAGTCGAAGTTCCAGGCGAGAAAAGTATATAAAATGGCCAGAGCCTCTGGTCTTGTAGCGTACACTCCAAGTCGACTGGCCATACTCTACCTTTGGAACCCACGCAAACCAAGGATTCCATAATTCCCAATCAATAATCAAAAGTTGGCTCATATCATTCAGGTGCGGTTTCGCTGACGTAGGAAGTAGTTCTAAATGGCCGACAGCATTAGAATCCCCAACGGCAAGGAGGAAACCCTCATGCAGGGTGCCGCCGACGCCACTAGGAAGCATCGAGAGGAAGAGGCAAAGCGCAAGCAAAGTAAGCAGACCGAGCAATTGCTGATGAGCTCAGCAGATAATTCTAAGAAGAGACGGGAAGACAGCAAAGTAAAAATGATCTAGTAACATTGATCAAAAGGGCAGGTCGATCCGATGATTTTACCATACATAGGTAGGCATTCCTTAATCTTGTTGATCCGTCATAGGTTGCGGAGACGATGGAACAACGCGCTCCTTTACCCCTACAGCACTATTCAAGATAAGCTTCCCTCCATGATGTAAGTTGCGAGGTTCCTACTTTTTAAAGAAAAATGGGATAAAATAAAAATGGACCTAGTAGGATATTTTTAAGCCTTGTAGGAGTCATTTATTTCATTTTATTTCATTGATCAAGCTGTGGAGCTTTACGTACAGTCCGGGTCTGAAAATATCCGGCCCACCCTTATACATCAAAAAAGTCGTTTTACTACTTCGTCACTCTGCAATTTCTTTACCAATGAAAATGATAAAGATGTTATTTTGGCTCTAGCTTGTGGTATCTCGAGCTAAGTATACCTTTCGTATAATAAGTCCCTTGATACACTCAAGATTCGTAAAGCTATCTTGGTTGAAAGTTGGCTCATATCAAGGTTTGGTTGGAGAGTTCTCATAAAATCCCAATTTCATGGGAAAATTAAAAGGAAGTCAACCTTCACCTTCACCTAACATGACTCTTCCCATATTGGACTTTTTTTTTATAAAATTTTGGCACAAGAGCTTTACTTCGTTCAAATATCTATGGCCTGGAATTAAAAGGATACTTTTATGATTATTATTGGTAGAGTTATCGCCGTGTGACAAGGCCGAGCTTTGGTGTGAAAAAAGGGGGGTGGGCCGGATAACTGGGGACCATTACTGTAACTCTTAATACTATAGGCGAAAAGACTCGAATTTGTAAAAAAGTAGTATGATTTAACTGGGTATCGTTACGTTGCTTCTCATATACATCCCGTACAGATTTATAAACTTGTATGCTTCAACCACAGATTTCTACTTTCCAAAACGCTAAATTCCCTCTTCTTCAAGGTATCGCTACCCGGTTAGTTCTATACTCACTCACTCACTCACCCACCCCCACCACAATCATAAATTTACGAACTACCTAACTTTCCCGCCTTAAACCCCAAGAGCCATGGTGAACTCGGCCGGGCCCGTGTACCGCTGGGAGATGGACGCGCCGTGCTGCTCCATGACGAGCTGGTCCGTGGTGATCTCGTACACGCCGGTGTAGTTGCCGTGCGAATCCTGGGGCGTGGTCACGCGCAGCTTCAGCCCGTCCTCGAACTTATCCACGGCCCACGAGTACGCTCCTTTCTCCGCGCAACCGGTCCAGCCGACGGTCGGTAGGACGTCAGGCCCCTCTGCGAAAAGTTAGTGCTTGCTCGTAAGAATTCGTCGTAAATTGCAGTGACGGCAAGGGTGGTTAGGTTACGTACGGAGCATGAGGCTGCATTTTGCTGGCGTAGGATTACCAGAAGGCGATGCTGTCTCCGGGTCGGTAATAGTATAGAATTCGTAACTACCAAATCGTTAGTAACCAACTCAGGTAAGTATAAAAATCTCACAGAGAAACGCTTAACATACCTGCACATAACGCTATGAGGAATGCATGACGCCGAAAAGTTGGTAACGGTGAATCCGGTTGCGTATCTCGACTTGATAGCAGCGCCTGAGGCCGAAGCAGCGAATAGAGTCGCGAAGATAGCGTTGATCTGCATGGTGAATGATTATTGATTATTTATTAAGCGATATTTTCTTATTATGGCTTTTTTTTTTTTTTTAACTGTGTAGAAGCGAGTGTAGAATTTGTGAGATATTATAATGAACGATGGCGAGGGAATATCACGATATGCTTCGCGATGTGATGCAATTATATATAGCTTACAACCACGTTATCAATCCTATATAACGACTCGATATACGTATACTATGTAAGTGCTCCTGGGCTCTGATAGCTCAGCCACTTTCCCGTATTCAATAGGCTTGGCTGCGTTGTCTGTCTGAAAGCGGACAGCTGTCGAGGGGGAAAATACGACGTTGCGTGGGACATGCGTTAAGCGATCTTGCGCTGGGGATCTCGATTGGGCAGACGATCACCTCGTATTTGGCTCTCAGGGGTCCCTTCGGCGCTCAGTGAACAAAGACATGACGACATTTTATGAGTTTTGCTACCTTACACCTCTACCTTCAATACTGAAAAATGATGAGCCGAATTATCGTTGGTACTGAACCACCGTCACTCTCTGTTGCATCGCGACTCGAATAGGGGCATACTCCAATTACGTACAGTACGAAATAGCTTGGAAGATGCTATCGATTATTTTGAGTTTATCATAATTTTATCTGCCTTCGTAGTTGAATAAATGGTCAGTACGGTTTACCGATGCTTGCTTTGACGCAAAACTGGTGATTCGATATAGTACCAGGTCAGAGTGTATTTCGGGCAAAGCCGTTTCAAAAACCCACAATTAGGCTGAACCAACGTTGCAGAAATACGAGAGAACAACTTCTAAGCTGACCACGAGGTGAATTTCCCCCCTGACGTTTCGCTTTATTTAGGATCCTGCTTGATAACTTCCGACCATTCTCGGCTGGAAAATTGCTTATTTGTTAGGGGTCGGCTTACATGCCGAAGCTTTACATCATCGGCGCTCAGGGTCCTTCGTGGGAACTCTTGGCCCTCGCTCTAGAACTTTTCGTTTTCCAAAGTCTCGCGTTTTCCCGTCAGATGTATATTTTTAGACATCTCTCAAATATCATAGCACCGGAGTTCGGAGCGTATATTTCTATCATCAGATCATACACAAGTCCTAAATATTCTTACCCAATCCTGCTATCAATTCCAAGTTCCTCTTCCCCAAGGTTATCATAATCATTTTCTTTCCGAGCTTTTGTATAATAGGAGGTAGGTATCCAAGCTTAAATATTCCAAGATACAGCCAAAAACCTGTGCCAATATTTCGTAGATTATCGTTAGTTGGGCTGTTTATAGAGCCAATCGCTATTTGCATCAACCATAAAATTCGTGATATTAAATTCGTTTGAGGCTCCGTTGGAATTACTCATACCGCCTCCTTCGTTATTCGGCGCGCTATCCGAGCTCATCTCTATCGAATTTTGCGGGCCGGAAGACGCCTCGTGACTAAATGGTAACCGTGGTACGTTGAAAAAGTCGAACACGTCCAAATATTCCAACTCGTTTGGCGCTGGTGTGCGCGCTGGAGTTACGCTCGGTCGACGGCTGGGCGCACCCGCTAAGTGACGAGGTTGGCGACTGATTAAAAAGTCGAGGTCGAACGCGGTTCTCCTCATATCCGCAAGTATCTTTACGGAAGACGGCGTGATACGCTCGCCCGTTTGACCTACGGCGCGCTCGCTATCGCTATGTTCGTCGAGAACTCGCTGAAGCAGCTGGCAATACCTCCCCGCTACCGGCCAATACCTACCCATGTCGCGCAACGTGTCGACAAGGAAGGCAATCTGCGGCGCTAGTTTATGTTCCACGGTCGAGCCGTGAACGAGTAGTAACCGCGCCGCTACCCATAGAGTAAAAGCAAAAGGGGGGCCGAGCTTATTTAGCATGCCGTTCTGTACGACAAACTCCCCTAGGGCGGCGATATTCTCTACGGCGCCGAGACATCGCTGACTTGCGCCGTACGAAGGGGTAAATATAGGTGATCTTGTAGTCGGATACGCGGCCGAGGAATGTAGTCGAATCACGGCAGTGTGATAAGTAGCGTGAAGCATAACCCAAGCGCAATTTAGAGTCTTGCTGCCGCCCGGTTGGAATAGCTTGGCCATATTACCGTATTCTCCCGGGAGACCGAATTTCCAGGACGCGAGGAGATTATCGAGCTCTTTATATCGAAGCTGCCACTGCTCTACGTCTCCAAGAGCACCGATATCTACGGGTTGCTTCAGAAACTCGTGGATTTTAGATAATATGCCGAGGATCTCGATATAATACGAAAAAGCGCCGAGATTCTCGGGTTTATTTTGTTCGTGATCCGGTAAGTCGGGAGGGCGATCTTGAGTGCGATCTTGAGTGCGAAACCACCTCGTTTCCACCTTTTGATTCTTTATCCATAAATCGTCGCGGCATGGAAGCGTTCTATCTATCTCTTTATCGCCCAAAGCGAAGTCGAAGGCCGTAGCTATCGTAGCGTATCGATCCAGGAGGTATATCATCCAGAACAGTCTCCGTCTCGATTCCTCCTCGATGAAATCCTTCGGCTCCGGTAAAATCATCGCTCGCAAAGTGTATATCGAAGCGTAGCTAGGCGATACGGAAAGAGAATTGGTCTCCACAGCTAGACCTAACTGCACTACGGAACGAGTGATCAACGCCATTATATTCCACCCGGGAGGGCCGTTGCTGCTTCCGCATAGATCTAGCGCTAAAATAACCAGAGCCTGAAGCGCTTTAACCGACGAGTTTTCCATGCCGTAGAGTAGAACCCTCTGCTTCGATACGTCGTGGTAGTGCCGCCTCTTCTCTTCCGTAAGTCGTGCATCCGTCGAGTATCGTAAAGTAGCGGCCACAATAGCGTGTAACAGCACTTTATCAGTGTCATCTAAGGTAGAAGGCCCAAATAACGAATCTAGGGTGGATTTCCTATGCAAAATAGGGCACCACGTATTGATATGCTTAAAATATAAATCTACCAACGCGTATAGCAAATCGTACGGTGGAAGATCCTGATCCGACGATATCTGCGTCTGGCCTTGGGTTACGCTGACGCCGGGGGATCGAACGGAAGGCTGTTGCGACTGGCCGTAATACTCCTGGGCCGTGGGACCCGGTTGAAGACTAGGTCCCAACTGATTAGGGGGAGAAATGCCGGCCATGGACATCTGCGATTGGAATCCATCGTGTACGGAGTGAATAGATGGGGTGGGAGGTGGTAAGCCGAAATCTACATGTTGAGATGTTGTGTGGAAAGTAGAAGGCTTTTGTAAAAATAATGCCGTCTCAGCTTGGGGAGTTCTAATAGATTCGGTTGGTCGAAATAGCGATATAGGTTCGCGCGGTGTACCTTGATCGCTTGGTAAACTCGGATTGCTGTTTCGAACGCTCGGCGCTACGTTAAGATGGGTGTGATTTATAAAGGAAGATTGTAAGATTTCGGAGTGAGATCTTAGTATCTCTTCTAGTTTATCGAGCCTCTGCTCCAGCTCCCGGCCGTAGCCAGCTCTCAAACCGGGCTTCTTGCGCTCGCGATATTCGCAAAAGACCGAGTTTCGTCTGCACCAACCACATGACGGCTGTCCACGATCACATTTTACCTTTGAGAAATTAGATAGTTTATAGCGGGTGAATTTTGAGACCGAAACGAACCTTTCTCTGTTTGCAAGTCTCACAACTTTGATTTTGGCCCGGATGTTAGCGTTGTCGTATGAGGTGAGACGATGAATGAGACGATGCGAAAACGATTTGGTGTGGAGAGTTGGTAAGAGTAAAGAGCATGAAAGTGTGTACAAAAATAAGAGATGAATGATTTTTTTTTTAAAAAAAAACAAGGATAGGATAAAATAAAATAGAAATAGAAATTAAGCTAGAGCGACGATCTAAATGAGGAGATGAGACGAGATGAGATGAGATGAAGCATGAGGGATATCAAATGAATTAAACGTCGACAGCCGAGACCAATACAGTTGGAGAATAGAGCTAGAGTTTATGAAATAAAATAAAGTAAAATAATAATAAATAATATAATAGAGGCTTGAAAATTATTGGACGAGATAAAAAATAAAAATATATAGATATATATAAAAAACTCACGATACGGAAATCGGCCTCTTACGCTTCCCGTTGCGCACGGCGCCGGTACTGTCGTGGTCATCATCTTGATCATTCTCGTCCCCGCTCTGTAAGACGTTATTACCGTCGTCGCTGTCGGGTTCCTGTTTGCTTTGCAGCGACGACACGTGGTTTTGCTGCTGCTGCTGCTGCTGCTCGGGTCCGGATACGGCTCCGTTCTGATGAGACTGAGAAGAAGCTGCTTGCATCATTGTGTCTCACGTCTGACTCTGAAGGGGGACCTTATGCGAACTCGGGTTTGCGCGCGACAGCATCGCGAGCTGAACCTTGAGCTTCGGGGTAATGTTGAGTAGAGGAAAAAAAAAAAAAAAAAAAAAAAAAAAAGACGGTAAGGTTTAATGTTGGGGTGGCTGACCGAAGCTAAGCTGTACCTCGGTTGAATCTTTTTTTTTTCCTCGTCCCTTCTTCTAGTCTTTATTTTATTTTAGGTTTTGGAGAATTGTGGATTATGGGAAAGGGAAGGGTAAAAAAAGGCGGTGCGAATTGATAATTACAAAGTATTAAAGTACTAAACTACGAATGGACTCGCTCATGGGGTAGGTATTTAAACTTGTAGCTTTGGTTGTTTTGATAGCTCTTGTAGTACCTGACTAGTCACGTAAAACGTAGGCGCGATATAATAGGTAATAAAAGGTCCGATGTTGACTGCGACAGAGCCATAAGGAAGATTATTATACTTACCTATGTATCGGTATCATTAAAATCAGAAAATAATCGAGAAGCTCAAGGCATAAATCTCCGTACATAATAGTCTTGTATTACATCTGCCTATATAACTCCTGAAAAAATAACAGTCAGATCTTTATCCTTTTGCGGGGGAAATCACTCGAAGCGTGGAGGGAAAAGTTGGGGAGACCAAGAAAGGAAGGAACAGGATTAGAGGGGTGGAGGTTTAAGATGCGGAGACCAATGATAGATTCACATAATTTACAAGGATGTTTCCCCCCCTGAGTTTGCGTTGCAACTCTGGAAAATCTCGTGGAATCTTACCAATATCTTTGAAGAAACATTAGCTAGCCTCTGTCCTTGCTTGGAACTCAAGTTGATGTTTTATACATGGCTCATTTTATATAAGTACCTAAAATAAATTGGTATATAATTCATACTAGATTTCATCATTATCCATGGCATCCTATTCAAAGGACCAAAATATCATCCCAACGCGCAGGTCCCTAGCCATTGTATGCGAGTCGACACCGTTGCTACATCAGGCGGATAATGCTCCCCGGTAGGATTTCGTTCCCACATCGGCAATATTGACCGGATTTTCAACTTGCGTCCAACTGCCGGTATTTCATTTCTCGCTTTCCTTGCCTTCCGGTTTCTGATCTTTCCTACGCCTAGCATTCACTTGGGAAAGTCTGAATAAGGGGTATGAGTATGAGTATGAGTAACGGGTATTTTTTGATGCGTCAAATTCGTGTGTCTCTCCTTTCTAAACGCTCGTAACCTTTTTCTCTCTCTCTCTCTCTTTTTTTTTTTTTTTTTTTTTTTTTCACGACTCCTTCGTTTCGACAAGCTACTTCTCGGCAGATCCCGCCTCCTCGTGGCCAGTCGAATCGGGCAGCCCTGTCGCGGTTTGCAATGCGTTCGTCGGCGGCGGACTTAATAAATAGTCCGAAGGGATCAGCTTCGCCCTGGCGGCGGGATTCAAGGTAAGGCCAAAGCCGGGCTTATCGAGGTCGGCGGCCGTCAAGAATCCCTTCGTCGGAATAGGTTCGTCGAGGAAAAGATCACCAAAGACCGGTAAAACACTCTTTCCGTCCGGAGAGTTGGCTAGATACTCTTGAAACGGGGTATTCGGTTGGGAAATAACAAAATGATAGCTATACGGACCGCTCGCGTGAGGCACGACGGGAATATCGTAAGCGGCAGCCATAGCAGAGACCTTTAGAAGCTCCGTCATACCGCCGAGCCACATGACGTCTGGTTGAATGATATCGAGGTTACGCCCTTCGATCAGCTTGCGAAACCCGTACCTCGAATATTCGTGCTCTCCGGTCGTAAACTTGAGCGTAGGATGCGCCCTCTTAATCTGTTCGAATCCGTCCGTGTCGTCGGGAGTTAAGCATTCCTCCCACCAGTTAATGTTCAGATCTTCGCATTTCTTAGCGATCTCGATGGTATACGGCACGTTTAAGCTCATATAGCAATCGACCATGATGGGAAAGTCCGGTCCGACGCTCTCGCGATGCTTTCGAAGGAATTCTATGTTCTTTCTCAGACCTTCATGTCCATCGGCAGGACAGTACGGAAGGGGAACCTTGGCTCCCCAGAAACCCATCGCCTTTGCCGCCGTCGGCTCAGGGCCCGTGCAGTAAAAGTCTATTCGCTCTCGCGCCGCCCCGCCGATGAGCCTATACACGGGCTCGTTTCTCAATTTCCCGAGCAGATCCCAAAGAGCTAGGTCGATAACGGAAATGATAGCTATGGGTAAGCCCTTGCGGCCGTAAAACATGGACGCTCGATACATCTGTTCGAACAGGAGGTTGGTATTTCTAGGATCAGCGCCGATTAGGAACCTTTCGAAGTGCTTGTGAACGATCCAACAAGCCGGAGGACCTATTTTAGAAAAGAGAAAAAAAAATTTAGCATATTGCCGCGTGCCCATGCCCAACTCTCATAGGATATTAAGGCGCGGATTCTTACCTCCAAAACCTGTTGCGAAGCCTACCGTGCCATCACTAGCTTCAATTTCCACAAGGAACGATCCAAGGACATTGATACCCCAACTTGTCCTGGATTTCTTATATTTATCCCATATAGAGCACGGTGTCGATATATCCGTATCGATCAGCCTAGAGTAAAACGTTGTTATTAATCCCGTCGTCTTAATATTCTTTCGTAAGAAACTTTCAGCCGAACGCTTACCAATGGCCGCCCTTGACGTTGTGATAGTCACCTCCTATATTAAATTAGCTACCGGCTGACTGGTTTTCCCCCCGTACGTTCCCGACTCAATATAAAAGTGTAGCTTGCATACCTGAGCCGACGCCGTTAATCACATACGACCTGATAGCTTTGATGGTGGGAAATTGTCTCACCGAAGCCATCGTGGACTACCCTTGAGACTAAAGTATTTTTTGTATATTTACTTTCAGTTGTGCCTCGGATTTATGATCCTCTGCCAAGGCTGTGGTGGTGATAGGTATACAAACGTAAAAAGAGGCAAGGGCGAAGGGAGAAGAGAGAAAGGAGAAAGGAGAAAGCTAGGTACACTGACAGCTTTAGAACAGAACAACAAGCGCCATGATCGGAATTTTAAATACGCCCAGAGACGAGATATAACAGCGTCAAGCTCGGCTCCCGAACAGCGACGTCCCCTGGGGAATCCTCGAAGGTGATGAACCCCAAAGGCCGAGTAGGTCCGTGGACAGCGGGGTGGCCGGGACAAGCCTCGAAAAGGAATGTTAGCTTCGCGGTTCGTTCGTTTTCATTCGTCCCCAGGTCGTTGGTTTTGTACATGGGATGGGCCATACGGGTCTAGCTCGCACTTACACATGCATTACGTTTCATGAGAGAACCTTTCGTCGTCCTAAGTCTATACGTTAGATCGGTCGTCAATCTCCCGACCAATGACTAAATGATCTCATCTCTAAGCTTTCCGTCGAACGGGCAATCGTATCAGCGCAAAGTCACGAGGACGATAATGTGCTGCAAGCGTATACGACTTACATGCGTAAACGCATATTTGACGATGCTATAGGTTGGGGTTCCGTATAGGTGAAGCGTCTGGGGTTATAAGGTAGCATCTTCCCCGCGATGGATTCACATATTTCCACTAATGCTCAAGTTCAGGTGAGCTCTGATGAAACACGAAACGCGCGGGCCGCGATGTTATTTACGGGAATGGTGGATGGGTACATACGTGTAAAAGGTGTGTATCTCCTGTTGCACTACGTATCCGCATCTCCGATTATTAGCTTGGAATTGGATGCCGAGGCGGGCCATCTGGTGTTGTTAGACCTTAAAAACTCGCTACGCATTACACCGAGATCGTGGGGTTGGTGCTAATCGCGGGCGGCAGGGGGGAGGATTTAGACTTGGCGATCTACACAAGTCTTGTAAGGGTTGGTAGTTTACCTAGGTAGAGATGCGCGATATTGTTATTTTTATGCTCAGCTTGGGATATATGAGGGCGTATGATGATGGGAAGAGATGAAGTGGAATCTGGGGGAGCTTGTTTTGTTGAGCTTGTGATTATTTTTATTTTTCATTTTTTATTTTTTATTTTTTAGTTATACTCCTAAGCTACCTCTAGGTACCTACCTGGTATACATAGAATACCTATAGGTACATGAAGGTTTCCGCTAGTCCAAGCACCTAACTCTTAAAACATCTAAAATATTTACAAGAGTTCATATGAAACTATATTCCAACTAATACTTGATAGAGCTATAGGTACCTAGATTATAGCACTTTTCACTTTGTACCGCGCGCCAAGATTAACTATTTACCTCTATACCCCGCTATACAAGGGCCCTAATAGCTCCCCTCATCTCAAGCGTAGAGCGTATACCTTACTTAGAGCGTACCTAACCTATACCCTATACTTTGAGCGCCTCCATAACGTAAATGGTTTACCTCTAGGAGAACCTTATAACCAACACTCTTTTTATAAACCCAAAACGAATAACGAATACAACCGAAAACTCACCACCATAAAGCTCTAATCCCAATTCCAACATGCCAGCTACGAATCTACTCCAAGGCAAAACCGCCATAATAACAGGCGGCACGACGGGCATCGGCCGAGCCATCGCCCTGGAATACCTGCGCCAGGGATCCAACGTAGTCGTCAACCACCTGGGATTCGAGCGCGACCGGCCCCACCTGGACTCGCTCATCGCCGAGGCCGAAGCTCTGAAAACCTCCAACGCCGACCCGGGCGTGACGATCGGCACGCTCGACCACCTCGCCGGCGACGTCTCCGACCCGGCCACGGGGCCTGCGCTCGTGGCCCGCGCGGTCGCGCGCTTCGGCCGCCTGGACGTGTGCGTGAGCAATGCCGGCATCTGCCAGTTCGCCGAGCTCTTGAGCCTGACGGGGGACCTGTGGGCGCGGACGGTGCGGACGAATCTCGACGGGGCGTTCTACGTGGTGCAAGCGGCGGCGCGGCAGATGGCGTCTCAAGAGCCCTTACCGTCTTCTTCGGCGCTATCCTGTTCGTGGAGGAAACCGCAGCGCGGGTCCATCATCGGGATAAGCTCGATCTCGGCGCTGGTAGGCGGGGGGCAGCAGGCGCACTACACGCCGACGAAGGCGGGGGTGCTGTCGCTCATGCAGAGCTGCGCGGTGGCGCTGGGGAGGCACGGCATCCGGTGCAACGCGCTGCTGCCGGGGACGATCCGGACGCAGCTGAACGACGAGGACCTGGCCGACGACGCGAAGCGCGCTTACATGGAGGGCCGCATCCCGCTGGGGCGCACCGGCGACCCGAGGGATATGGCGGGGCCGGCTGTCTTCCTCGCCTCCGAGGAGTTGAGCGGTTACGTGACGGGTTCGCAGCTGTTGGTGGATGGCGGTCTTTTTGTTAATTTACAATGACCAGATATAAAGTAATAAAATGAAAAACAAACAATGAAAAGGGGGGCGAGACCTCGGTCAGCTGGTCAAATCGATATACATATTTATTTACCGCGATTGGAAACCCGGCTCAAGTTCCTCATCCCTCCCTCGCCCCCTCCCTCCATTCGAATTCGATGGTATTGTGTACATTCGCCTTGCCATCCTGCATCCACGCCATTATTCATCGGGAAGCTGGAGCTAGGCGACGTATTGTAACTCCGTACCAGCAAACATAAGCGAAGATGCGGAGAAGAGTGAAAGGCGAGGTATTTATTTATGTGGAAACGTCGTCGATCACGGTGGCGAATGTAATATGTACAGGAGCAGCGAGAACGAATGTGGGTTGATTCGGGAGTTGGTATTTGTCAAATGCTAACTTACGCGATAACAGCTCGCCACTGGACTCTGTGTATAGCTTCTAAAGTATATAATTGGTCGAGCCTCATAGCTCTTCAACAGCAATGTGATTGGGCGTTGGATTGATCGTGTGGCACGTTGGTAGTTGACAACTTCCTCGGGATGCTTCTGGCGTATTAACAAGACATCACTAGGAGCTGCGTCTTACTAAATAATTCAAGACAGAGAGAAGGCGTTTCGCTTCGAGTCACCAAGGCTACCCGAGATAATTCACATCTCCAAGTCGAGCGAGAAAGCAGTGGTAAATGCTTTATTAAGAAAATCCCGATATTTTATATCGTCAACGCCACCTGATGCAAATATTCAACTTCCAACACTATCTAGATAGACAATTAAGCCCGTCTGATGCTCAAAGGACACTAATATCCCCCTATGAAGTATGCCCAGCGAATGCCCCTTTCTACAGCATGGTTCCATGCGCGAAGAGTATAGTAGCAATGTATAGAATAATTAAGAAAATAAAAATAGTAATAAAAAATAAAATGATAGGCAAAATGATAGGCAATTAATGGTATCATGAAAAAGTGTTTCCCCTCTAGAAAGTAAAAACTGGTTCGTGATCATTCGTAACTTCATGCGGTAAGCTCAAGCGGGCGCTCCTCAGCGGGGCTGAATACGGCGCAGTCTTGTGCTTCTTCCAAGCTCAGCTTGGGCATCTCGTGAAGACGCGGCTTCTGCGTCTCGTTCTTAATCCTGCGCTCCATCTCGCGCTCGATCCCGTGGTTAACGGCATCCAGCACCGTGTTAACGGTGACGCGAGGCTTGTAGGCCGGCTCAGTACCATCCTGATAGACACCGGTCTTTACCAAGATGCTGTACCAGTCGTTCTCGGCCTTCTCGTTGTATTGGTTGGTTCCCCGGATGTCACTCTCGGGTGTATCACCAACGAAGTACACGGTCTCCGGCGCCTTGTTGAGGCGGTGCTGGTTCATGCGCCATCGCTTCAGCAAGCGAGTAGCAAACTCGAACGTTCCGATCTGAGGCTTTCCGAAGGCGTGGGTCTGTAAAGTCTTGCCCTTGGTCACCTCCTTAAAAGTGTACTCCACAATACCGCGCAAGGCACCCATGCCGAGGCGGACGTTGTCGTGAGCGGCGGACCAGACGACGTCGTTGTGAGAAAAGTAAATCGGCGGGCCCTCGTCGAATGTCTCGGATAGAGTTCCGATGCGGCCGCCCTTGGACATAGCTAAATCAAGAATAATCTGTAGGTCTCCCGCCCAATCACGTGAATCAGCAAAGACGAAGATGGCCTCGATGGTAACTTTGCTAAAGTCCCGTTCCTTTGAGTTTCGAAGTTCCTCAGGGGTCAGCTTGCGGAATGGAGTCGTGGCGGCATTAGCCTTGATGATATCGCCGGGGGTGACGACATCTTTGAAGCCGTAACCTTGAGCGACGGTACGGCATTTCTCACCTTCGCCGCCGACGACTAGGACCGTGTTGTACTTGTTGGCCATCTCGGACATGGGTGTGTGACCGCAGATGAACTGAGCCGGTGAGATCTCAATGTCAAGTTGGCCAGAGAGATCGGCGCAGCGTTCAGCCTCGGTCTTACCGCCGCCGTTGGTCAAAAAGATGTACGGGCTGCGTTGGTTAGCTCCTGATTTTATTTTATTTTATTTTATTTTTGTTACTTTGTAGTAATTTTCTTCTGTCTCTCTCTTTGCCCCCTTACTGGTGGAAAGGATTAAAACTATAATAAATCAATCTTACACTTTAATTCCGTATTTGTTGTTACCGTTCAAGACCTTCATGGCTTGGATGGCCTCCGGAATGGGACGACCACCTCGGACCAAGACGCCGTCGATATCAAAGGCGAAAGCGAAGCTATCGGCGACGAGCTCTTTGTCGATGGGTGGAGAAATAGGGGAGATGGCGCCGTCAGACTCGGGAGTCGAAGAAGTTACGCTAGCGGCCGGGCTAAGAGACGGGGCCGTCTCCGAGTCGGAAGGGCTGGTAGCCGGGGAATGGACGAGCAGCTTACGGGCGAGATCGGTTCGAGCGGTCTCGATCTCGTCGGCGAAGCTGCCACGGTGAAAGGTTGGTTGTTGCGGTTCCAAAGACATGATTGAAAAATAAGCAAGTTGAAGGGAAATAGGTAATGATCGAACTCTACACGCGATATAAAAGCAAAAAATAGGTGAAGACAGATTTAGAAAGGACCAGCCAAGGCGGTTTATCGTTTATAGCGTCCTGTTTTAGGTAATATTGTGTGGAATTTGACTCTTCAAGACGAAGGATGCTAGGTGATCCTGTCGACTTTGAACTTGATGGAAGTTGTTGGTTGAAGAAGAAAGATTTAAATGCATCCTGGAGCGTCTGGGTAAGGGGATATATATATCTTTGCATAAACAAGCAGGGGATCGAGAAGAGCGGTTCTATCTGGTACAATTAGAAAAAAAATACGTATGAGGGTATGAGGAAATACACGCCGTCATTCGATAACATCAACAAAGCAGCGCAGGAACGTATACATTCGACGTATATCTGCAGAGTCAAAAAAGACTACCTTGGTACATATGTACAATGATGTGTGATGCCTGCAGGTGTGTGGCTACGTATTAGTCGAACGTACCCAATGAGGACAGGTGTGAATGGGGGCGTTCGGAACGTACCCATGTTTCCATGTTTGCTATGTGGATCCGGCCTTATACTGGAGAAGACTCGAGCTCGAACTCGGTTATCTCTTTCGCCAAGGACATATTGTATATACGTACATATACTTGGCTGTAAGTACTCAGCGCATGGATACGCGGTGAGATTTAAGTCGTCGAGCGCGGGAAACCAATAGAAAATCATGTACTAGAGTACCGTTTTGCATATGAAAGTCGGATTATTATCTCACTGCTTTCCAACGTCAGCCTTGCCTGTGCATCTGGCGTTACCGACCTGTGACATTAAAGTTTATGGTGTGTTTTGGGGCCGGATGTATCGTACCTATCGCATCGTTACATATCGTTACGTGTCATACCATATTGGAATAGTATATTGTGTTATATTATGTTGTATTGTACCTACTTAACGTTCGCGGCGTATGGCAGGACGGATTCGCGAATGAGATGATAGAACCGATTACCAACCTTTCAAGGATCGAAAATCAGGGTCTTTCTTCTATCTAATTGCTTTGTCCTTTGTCTTTCGCTTGGCTGTCGAACCTGGCATGGCCGGGGCTCCGTCAGGCCTTGGAAGTATCCAACAACCCGACAACTCTTCGTGGCGTGCAGGACCAGCGGAGGTTAGCCTCGTCAGGTATGGATGACGCTGTTACCGAAAGAGGATATGATCTGTGACGTTGGACGGCCGCGCTTAGCAAAGCTGTTTATCTATCCGGCTTCCTGCGCCGGTGGCTGGTTCCGCCTACTGTACAAAGATGTAATCATGCTTTTTTTATGCTTCTGGAGGTTACTCGCTTCCGCTGAGAATCGAGCAAATAATAATAAATATAAAATATTAATAATAATAAAACGGGCGGTAGGATTCGATTCAACGTACAATATATGGCGTTACTTTCGTAATATTCCGTCTTTAACAACCCCGTCAGTCCGTCTGTCCGCCTTGCGGACTGTGATCGGGATAATTACCTTAGCGATGCATGTACGCAGCCCACAAATAGCACCAGGCTGGGTATATCGACGTTACATAAGGTCACATAAGTTTAGATAATTTAGAGGAGAACCCTACAGGCATTCTGTAAGGATAACCCGAGTAGGCAGGCGGACTGGAGTTCGTTTGGAGTTTGACGCATGTGTAAGTCGATTTTTAAAATTTCTTCGCTTGAAGCAGGTGGAAAGAGACGGCGGTATTATTACTCGGGCCGTTACCTATATGGGATCCTTTTGATATGAAAAACGGGAATGAAGAAAATCTACGGCCATGTATCCGTTAGAAACTTGCCGTTTTACGTTGCTTTCTTCCGTTACATAACCAGCTGCTACCCCAGGGAAGACCTTACCCAAGAGACGCAAGATTACAGGGATCTCTGATAGATCGGACCGAGAGAAGCCAGGCGTTTGGGTTGTTCTCAAACGTTGCAGCGATCCGTCAGTTCCTCTAGGCGATCTTATCATCTTCTCGCTTGAAAGAGAAAAAGAGAGGGCGTGTGTGCGCGTTTACGTGTATCTTCCCCGCTAAAATAGATAGATCTGGTACGATGCCCGCGGTTAAAACAGTATTTAAAATCATAGGAACTGTAACGATTTGGAGGAATTGATTGGATCACCACGGCTTGTAATTGGTTTGCAATAAAGAATTACATAGTAGGAGGTGTTGTTGAGCGGTTACAAGTTACTATACAAGTTGCTATACAAGTTACTATGTACTATGTTAAGGTTCATTGTAATCGTACAAAAAGACGTCTAGCCGCAGAAACTGTGACGTCAGCGCACCTGTGTAAGTGGATACTACTTGTGGGGCTCTTAAATATTTTTTTAAAAATGCAATCCAATCTGTACAATGTTAGGGATTATTCTTATGCCTGTTTGACCCCTGGCCTAGTGTATTTGGCAGCATTAGCCACTCTTTGATCAACACCCCTCCCTTTTTTTCCCCTCCACTTCTTTTCTTACCCCTCAATCGACAAACGTCGCACTAATACATCAGTGTGCCCCCCATCGTTGGACCCCCATATTCTTAGCATCGTACATTGTATTTTTGAATTCCCCTCGAGATCCATTACGGATGCCCTCATGGGGTAAGCGGCGGGTCAATCAGCAGCTTGTGTTGCTGCGGGTGTTACGACGGCGGTTATAACGGAAGGGAACATCTCGCCTTTCCGACTACGTTAACAACCTAGAATCATCCCATGTTGGACCGGTTTATATTCGATGGTAATGTAAGGTTTTATAGGCATGTCTTAAAGATTAGATACCTTGTAAGGGCTTCTTTTTTTGTTTGTTTGTTTTTTTTTCTCGTGAGTGAAGAAAAGAATTGAAAAAATAACTACATCAAATAAGCCCGTTAGATATATGAAGGTATTTCTCTGACTTACAAGCAATGATGCTTTACAAGGGCGTGCACCCGTCATCATTTAACCTGCCTTAGCATTTGATACTAAACAAACTAAATTATGTGATTCATGTCCCAGTTCTTTCGCACATACCAGCGAAATGATCAGCAATGATATGTTCTTCCATCCCTGTATCAAATATCCATATTCGACTCCTCCCCCGGGCCCGTCAATGCTAGCGTACAGCCGTAGCCCCGACCTCCCCATGGTCCGGCTGCTAGGCAGCGGCCGTCGGGTTCGGTTTCTATATTTGATAGGCCCATGGCCGCTACAGCATTCTCACTTACAATCCCGAATCCACTCCCTTAACAAACCTCAGCCCAGCTCGACCTGCACCAAGCGAAGATCTTTGGGGAAGGTAAACCCACAAAGGATACCCACCAAGGATCGAGGATCGGTCTGCGTATTGATATCCAAAACAGGGAATACCTGAGCTGAAGTGAAGCATAATGTCATTCGTGCACCATTCCAACGTTAGAGCTCGAAGATAAGCGACTTGAGCGGATTACTTCAAGGAGCTAAGATCTGACCCCTCGAGTCTTAAATGTTACGACTCTGTATCTTTAGTTCGACACTAGCATCTTGTGATTCTTGATACTTGTGGGTTTTTGCAACATAGGTAGTACTATCTTCCCCGTCAGTAGCTGTCAATCGTTGTCAGTATAATCATCTAATCATACATATCTTTGTCAGAATCATGCGACTAAGGATCCACGTAAAACCCCACAGAACAGATCGGTTTGGGCAGAGTTGGAACGAAACGCTACGGGTAAGAAAATGCCTATCATGGCTTAACGATTCGAGCCCGGTGGTCTGGATTGCATCTACCCATGTTCACATGAGGAACTAAAGATTAAAGTGACATTATCTAACCATCACACGAGAAATTCGACGTCCCGTGTAAGTCAGCAAAGTCGAAAGTCGAGGAATACCCCTGAATCGCACCGTGCTATTAGATCTGGTTCTGATATTCCAATCTGGCCATTCCGATTGGGGTCTTCCGCACCGCCATACTATTATACATAGGTACCTAGTACCTAGAGTCTGTCTAAACCGCAAAGATACCACCCCCCCTATCATGCGCCATATCATGCAAGGTGACGTCCCGCACAAGATACGGTATCTTCGGACGCGGAACTCATGCGGAAGATAGCATGTCTACACGTAAGGACTTGTACCATCACTATCACATCACCTGTAGCACGGTCCTATGCAGGATACTGTCCCTATTCCAATTGCCAACCCATGGATTTCAAGGTAGGGTTGTGGCATATAGCATGTGGCATACGGACAGGGTTGAAACTCCATTATGACTTCTTTTTTTTATGATGAATTATCTATGGCTGATACTTACCGGTGAGATCCTAATAGCTAGGTACCTATTGGATGGTGTGTGGGTGATGTACCGGCAGCGCAGTAATTATTTATTTCTATGGTCAGGGACGCATGTGAAAAGCCACCTCCCCTCGAAGCCAAGACAGCCCGTTACCAGTTCCTCTTCGCTAACTCTCTCATGAAATGACGACCGTATCGCTTATGGCTGTGCCACATGGTTAGCGGTCAAGGGACAAAGAGATACAATTATCTTCCTTGAACCCTTTCGATTCTTTTTGATCTTTTAGGCTTTTTTAATGTATTTTCTTAATGAATGCAAATAAAACGTAATACCTATAGGCCCGACTCCTTGTCCTGTCGGCTCCTCATCACCTCGTCATTCAATGACACCACTTCAAATCGTAGCGTACAGGGCTCTAAAGATGATCTCCCTTAGCGACCTTCTACATAGAAACGCTCACTATCCAATAAGCGTCGCTACAAAGATAATGGTATAGTGATTATGTGGACGCTACATTCTATATGCGGGCGAGCTGATCATTTCCTACCGGAATGCCACATGGTTAGACGATAAAGGCCAAGGCCAAAGATCTACGCCAACAGCCACTCCCCCTCCTCAGCTCTGACCCCAAACATCGCTGTCGACCCACGCCCTGGATTATTTCTAACAGGCAGGCAGGCAAGCAGGCAAGCACACTGGCTCACTAGTATTCTATTGTACAGAGAAGGGAAAGGGAAGTCATTCAAAGAATCTTCCGCAGAGCCGCCACCATCAGCGCACCGCAGCATAGCCAATGCCCTTGCAACACACTATCTGCCAGTAGCACGATGACGATCTACCCCAATCTACCCGCTCAAACGTCCCTCCTTTTCTCTTCCTGGCTTCGTGCCTGTTGCATGGGGTTGCTCGTACCTACCTATTTTCTGAGTCATCACATACTATGAACATGGGTTTTAAGTCGACGACCTATGCTAAACTACATGCCATGCACGTACCTAAGTATGTAACGCATATATGTGCCTAAGTATGCACCTAGGTACGTAGGGATGTATGTATGAGGCCTGTATGAATGCAAGTATATTAATGGACCGACGGATTCATCGATACGTGGTCGGAACCAGCGGGCTCGAGAGCACGGTATCAGCGGTGAGAGGAGACGTAACAACGGCTGCTACAATAAAAACGACGGACCTGAGAATGTGGCTATGGCATAATATGAGACGGTACCTAAGGTAGCATTAATGAATAAAACCGGGAAGCTTCATGCGAAATGGTTTGTTTCAATTAACCCATACTATATATATTGGTATATATTGCGTTGGTGGTAAGACCGCGCTTACCGGTAGAATCAGTAAAAAAGGAACGGCGATTATGGGAATACGGTAGTTCTTAAAGCTACAAGGACCTTATGTCTCTATTCCCAGTTGGACTTTGGTAAATTTCATAGTAGCCTATCTCAGTAACCCGGGCACTTTTTATATAGTATTTCGGTTGGGAATACGTATTCTAGGCTCCTTCTTTACCTTTGTATCCGTTATGATACTATATTGAACGGACTAGATCGGTATAGTCAACGAGGCAGGTGATTTTGACAGTATTTCAACTCTTTTATCAAGTAACCATTAGAGGTAGGTAGGTACCTACCTTACCCACGTCTGAATAGATTACCGATCGGATTGGATCCCGAAATCAGGCCATCGCTTTTCTAGAACGTAGCATTCGTCAGGGTATTACTTCCAACCTCAATATTTTATTTTTATTTATTTTTTTACGGAGCATATTTGATACGTACCTAGGTAGATATAGACGTCGACGTGGATATGTATACCTACTCAACTATGCATTCGTCGGTCGTTTCTCACCATGTATGTAAGGGTCACTACGTCGACGCCTTGCATCCCCGAGCTGCCTTACCAAATCAACACTGCATCCATCCCGTGTTCTTGTGCTACAAAGCCATCCATCCATCAGCCACGCCGATGAAAAGAAATTTCACTCGCCGTCGAATCAAGCCTCAGGTGGATATGCTTGTGATACGCTGGTGGTGATCATGATGATCTCATCTCGCTCGCTCTCTTGTCACAAGCAAATTCCAAAACTTGAGGGGGGTGTTTGTTTTGGTTCGAATTTACGGGCATACCCCTAAATAGATAACAAAAATAATAATCTGCCCCGTCTACCGATCTTTCCGACATGCTGAGTGGTGAATAGATACACTGCCGAGCAAATGAAAAAAAAAAAGATCTGCAATGTTGAAATGCTGTTGTTGAAACCAAATGATGCAAATGAAGCCATCGCCATAACCCGAAGGGATCCCTCCCTTTTCTGATTGATTTTTAATTTTTAATGTAGAAACCACCCAAAAAACTCCCCCCCCGATCCTACCCATCTTGTCATTCCTGCCATCCCATACGTACACTAACCACCCACCGTCCGTGCCCTTGTGTCGCTTTTGGTAGCAGCAGAAAGGGAAACAGTACAAGGTACCACGTCGTCACTTAAATATACCACCATTTATACCGGAGGGGTACGTCGCTTCGTCACGCTGATACCGCTACAGCACCGTTGAGTATGCGCCTCGACGTCATGGCCTCTCTTCCCACGGGAGAGGATACGTTCCTACCCAGTCTGATACTTCTGCGCGTAGCTGTACGATTTCGGAGTCTTCCTCGCCGGTACCAAGGTAGTCGAAGAAGAATTTAAGCTTGTACTTCTCACCCTTCTCTTCAGCCGCGGCGCGCGCCGCCTTATCTACCCTAGATGCGATGGCTACGGAGCGATCGATGATATCGGCCACCCTGACGAAATCGGCCTCGCCAAAACCACGCGTCGTCATGGCTGGCGTACCTATCCTCAAACCGCCCGGTATCATCGCTGACTTGTCACCAGGAACCGTGTTCTTGTTGCTGGCCACGCCTACAAGCTCTAGTACTCGCTCTACTCGCGCACCATCGACACCCTGCGGCTTCAAGTCTACGAGGACAAGATGATTATCCGTGCCGCCGCTTACGAGCTTATATCCCAAGCCGCCGCTAGATTTAGGATCGCCTAGGCGTTTCGCGAGGGCCTGTGCATTGGCTAGGACCTGCTCCTGATAGGCTCGGAACTCGGGTGTTTGCGCTTGCTTTAGAGCCACGGACAGCGCGGTGATGGTATGGTTGTGAGGACCTCCCTGATGACCGGGAAATACCGAAGCGTTTATGGGATTCTCGAGGTTATACTTTATCTCCTCCTTGGTCTTCGGGTTGACCTTCCTCACGCCTTTCCTGTAGAATATTATGGCACCTCGAGGACCGCGCAAGCTCTTATGACTCGTAGTTGTTACTATATCCGCAAAGTTGAAAGGGCTAGGTATAACTTTGGCAGCGACCATACCGGAGATGTGGGCGATATCGGCGAGCAAGTACGCGTTTACCTTCTCGCACGTCTCCTTTATGGCCTTGTAATCGATAAACCTGCCATAGGCGCTGGCTCCCGCGACGATGATCTTGGGGCGGTAGATTTGGGCTAGCTCGTCGAGCTTCTCGTAGTCTATCAAGCCGGTTTCTTCGTTTAATCGGTAGGGGACAGTTTCGAAATACTTGGATACGGCCGAGATCTTCTTTGTAGGAGTTTGGTAACCGTGGGAGAGGTGGCCGCCGTGAGGAAGATCCAGTCCCATCAGTCGATCGTGCGTGTCCAACAAAGCCGAGTAGACATATAGGTTTGCCGGTGCGCCAGAAAGTGCTATTTATTGTAACAAATCACCATAAGTTAGTCAATGTGGTGCTTTTGGTTATGCCCCTACTTCGAGAGTAATTGTAGGGTTAAATATGTAAAATAAAAAATAATAATAAAATAGACTCACGTTGGACATTGACACCCCATTCCTTTTCATCCAAGCCAAAAGTCTCTAATGCTCGTTGCTGGCATAATCTCTCGGATTGATCGATGAACTCGTTACCGGCGTAATACCTCGCCCCAGGATATCCTTCCGAATACTTGTCTATAATTTAATTAATTTAATTGAATGATTAGCTGCGACTCGTTGGAAGGATTGTCGTGGCATCTCGTACTTTGCATTACGCTTCCTAGCGCGTCGAGAACGGCTTGCGAAGTGAAGTTTTCGGAGGGGATCAGGTTGACGAAGTGCTTCTGTCTGTTTTTCTCCTGTTACCGCGATTTATAGCTATTAGTCCCTAAGTATGTAGACACCGTGATGTGATTATGGGATATAATCGCCTACCTTCTCAATGATGTCGAATACAGCGGGATCGGCATCTTGGAGGTGAGCCGAAAGCAACTACGCCCAAGACAATTAGCATCGCTTCTCGATGTTTGATAATTATAGAAAACAAGAAGGCTCGTACTCTTTGTTGAATGTCTATCGGAGTAGACGCTTTACCTCTTCTCGTCGCATGCTGAAGAGTAACCGGCGTCGGCCATCTCGATAGCGATAGCGAACGGAGAGCACTCGAAGCGGCTCGAGCTCGAAAAGCAGGTAGAGACATGATATGATCAATTGGCCGCCAATTGACGAGGGTTTGACGGGGAATAAAATAAGCAACCTTGCACTTTTAAAGACAATTATAACTTTCTACTTCGTACCTAGGTAAGGTAGGTACTTACGTAGGTACTTGTTATTGCTTTGAAGTCTAAGAAAAGAGTTCTATGCCGTCATAATGGGGAATAAAAGAAAATAATATGAATTAGTAACTACCTAGGTAAAGTAGGATGATACTCTTTGCTTTCTTTTGCTTCTAACTTAAAAGTTCTGGGCCGATAAGGAAATAGTTACCCTATCGTGACCTCGCCATTTAAAAAGCTTCATAACCGAATTCCGCTATGTACCTAAAGCACCTATAAAATCCATTCCACTTATCCGAATAAAACTGAACAGCAGACAATCGCTATTAGATAGCGACATTATCTACTCCGAAGGCGGGGTTTGTATTTCGATTCTTATCAGTAATCGGGTACATACCTACCTTGCATAACCTACATAACCTACATAAGCTAGATTATACACCTTAACCCTCATACGGAATAGCTCACACGTGACCTAGAAACTTCCCGCTATGAATTTCGAACTCCGAAATTTTTCTCTTTCTTCCTTTCTTTTCCCCCCTTTTCTTCTTTATCAACTAAATTGGGCGTGAGGAGCTCCGCTTCAATAACAGATTCGGATTCCGCTGTTTTATCCTCACGGATAACTCAGCCGGGAGCATGCTGATATGTCTCGGGCGGCACATCACCACCTTGAACGGGACAATTTGAAGACATCTGATCCAATATGGTTGATCTCTGTTGTTGAGTTTTAGCTTTTAGATTTTAGCTGTTTAGTGCTAGATGTGTTTTTTACATTTTTTTTACATTTGCTAGTGGAGCAAATCAATTAATTATTTATTTATTTATTTATGTTAAATAGCCTATGCATCCGTGATATGGCGTGTACAGACCTTGAGAAGCTGTGCATGTGTATCGAGCTAACTTGTTGGCTTTTAGTCATAGCACGGTGAAGCTATTTAGGTTCTATTTAGGTTGCGTGGTGTGATGGATGGGTATGATGCTGGGTAGCTGCACTGATTGCAATAGTGTAAACAGTGGAATGATATTTGAAATCGACAGTAGGACTATAAAGTCAACGGTGTGCAATTAATCTAGAGTCACGATGCGAATTACCTAAGGCGTCAAATTCATTGATTCCGTTTTTCATTGCCATACATGCAAAAGCCCCGGCGGTGGAAGCATTACGACCGAAGGGCGCAAAGGAAATAGAGACCCAACCATTTACTCCGAATGCAGCCGTCTCAGATTCCGGTAGTCCATATGACGATACCTCTAGCTCTACTATGTAGCCGGATCGCTTGCATATGGAAACGCATCCCCAAGTTTTCCGCTTACGACGCCTCCTCCTCACCCGCCAACGCGTTTCGCTTCGCCGCCTGTCTCTCCAACTTACGCTCGCGAGCAGCCTTGTTCTTCTGTCTCTTGGCGTCCATCTCCTCCTGGAGCGCACGCTCGCGGGCCTTCTCGGCCTTGGCACGGTGGATCTATACAAGTTAGAGACGAGTACCTAAACAAACAAACAAACAAGCAAGCATAAAAAAATAGATGGCAAAGCTTTATACGTACGTGCTCAACTAGCGCTCGCTTGTGCTTGAAGGCGTTACCCTTGCTGGCGTGGTAAAGCTCGTGGTAGAGGTGCTTGTCGATCTTACCGCTGGCACGGTACTTGACTAGGAGACGTCGGAGGACTCGTAGGCGTCGCATCCATAGAACTTGTTGAGGCATGCGAGCGTCGGCGGTACCCTTTCGCTTACCGAAACCTCGGTGTCGGCCGTCTCGTCGGGCGAGGTTTAGCTCGCGGGCGCGAGATCGGGAGTGCATGGTGACGGGTTTGCGGATGATGAGGCCATCGCTGACGAGTTTTCGGATGGTTTGGCGGGAGTTGGCGTTGGAGATTTCGTTGACCTCGTTGGGATCAAGCCAGACCTTTCGCTTTCCGCATCCGATGACGGACGCCGCGAGACGCTTCTGAGTGCGTAGGTTGACCCTATCGAACGAGATTAATTAGTTTGGTGGCCTATGATAAATTTGTTTGTTCGCGTGTGATGATGCTGGTCATCATAATAAATTGGTGAGCGGCCATAATCGATGACGCTGTCCGCTGTCCGCTGTTCGCTGTTCCGTGAAAGCCGCGCGCAGGTTTCGACAACCAACAAAAAAAATCGAATTCCATCTCGAAAATAAAAGTGACAGCTCCTCCATCGAACGAGGGATACCAAGCAAATCGAATCAACTTACATCTTGAATGCGGGCGTCGGTGATGGTCGAAATTTTGCTGCGAGGTTAGTAAGGTGTGGAAGGGTTGAAGTTGAATTGAGAGGCCCCTCTCGGATCTTTGCACAATCGAGAATTTCTGAATCAGAGCGCACCAAGGAAATTTTGTGGACTGCAAGGACCCAAATTTGGTGTAAGCGAGAGGGCAACCGAATCACATGACCTTATCGATTATTAGTGCCTTTCACACTGACGTACGTACTTAGGTACCTCTATCGCACTTGGTAGGTACCTAACCTAACCCAAGTAACGGGCCTACTTTATTTATTTTTTTCTCTTTATTTTTTGGGATTTTTATTACCCATCTATTCTAATGATGCACGCAACATTCATGCGATGTCATACCTACCTACCTAAGTTAACCTTGAACTTACTGCAGCTATACAGGTTTTGCCATGGTGGAACTGATTGGAGTGGATTGAAACAATTAAATTAAATTGAATTGAAGTGAGGTGTAAGAATCTTGTTGGTTGAAGCTATTCACAATGGCTGGTAAGGCGCATCTTGAAAGGTTCCGTGTGGCTAGCCCAATGGTACAAGTGTACGCTAGTAAATTCATATGGTGGGGGAGGTACATGGCTATATTCAAAAGAGAACCTATCCTGCGCGCGTGTCACCTTCCACTGTGGTATAAATTTACCTCGGAGATGATCGCACCATCTATGCGCATAGTAGAAACTTAAGATAATGTAAGAGCTTTAGAGCTTTAGCTTAGGTATTTCTTGCCGCTGCTCCTGTTAATAGGGGCCGCACCATGCGCAAAACTTACCAATCTTTTCAAAGCAGTAACGACACGAAGATACCATCGTGCTAAAATTCCTCCATTTTTTTCTACCTCATACGACTTTACCCATATGAACAAACCTCCATATGCTTAACATGCCTATATCCATTACTCGTGCCCTTCGTACTGACCATACATACACACAAGTCGAGGCTAATCTTGCGAGAAGACGCCACCTCCAATCTCCACCGCGCCTACACTCCATATCTCCTTTTCGTCTTCCTGTTCGTCGTTGCTCAATCCTAATCCGCCTTGGCCACCTTCCGCTTCTCTCCTTTCTCTCGCTTGGCTACCTAGCCTGACGGCCACCCGCTTGAAATAATCTTGCATGCTTCGCTTAGTGTTTGCTGGGAGTTCTGCACCCGCGCCGCTAATGTACTTCTCGAACACCTTAGTGTCTTCGTCCACCACGCTAAATAACTCGATGAACGCCGCCTCGGCCGCTAGCTTAACAGGAATGACCGGATCCCGCACCGACGCGAATACGGGCGGTGCTAATAGCGGGAGATGAGGACGAACTATATCCAGGTTGGCTCTCGAAACCGTTCGTACTATTACTAATGCAAGACGACGGGAATCCGACGGGTTTCCGGGGCTGATGATGGAGGCTAATGTCGAGAAGATCGGCTTTATCGATTCGAATGACTTTGGGGAGTCCGTTAACAGGTATTTGCCCGTTGCTAGAATGCTGTTATCCGCCACGAATAGCTGCATACAAGTTAGTAATGGCCATGATACCTCATTTATATATATTTATTCATTTTAATGAAAAAGGGAAAGAAAAAAGGGAGAAAAGAAAAAGGGCCAACTTACGTTCTTGTTAGACATTCCCTGGCAGAGCAGATCGGGCAAGTCTTCCGCTAACGGACTCTCTAACAGCGCCTGAGGAGATTCCACGAAAACAGCGTTGAGCGCGAGAACCGAAGCGTTGGTAAAGTGAGTCGTGGTCACGCGGTTCTTCAGCAAGCCGTGCGCGATCTCGGGGGGTACGTTCTTGATGAGCGCTCCGAGCAGTTTGGCGTTGGTCACTACCATCGCCGAGTCGTTCGTATCCGTGTCCATGTCGATCAATCCTAGTACCGCCGTCCTCGAGCTCTCTCCCATGTTAGCACCTGCTTTGCTAACAACTTCGTACAGCGCTTTTAACATGGCAGTTCTGACGCCCAGATCCGAAGTCTTGGAACCGGTGACGAGTTCCGCGATTAACGGATCTACTCGAGGCGTAAACTTGATCAATGTACCAAGCGCCTTGGCAGCACGAGACCGTAGTAACTCGCTGCCGGTATCCGCGAGCGCTCTTGCGAATGTTCTCTGGAGTTGAGGCAGGAAAGGCTTGAGCGCCGTCGGCATCTTCTCGAGCAGATTGTTGAGCGTTAGGAGAATAGCCGCTTTAACATCGGTCGATCGCTCGGATACCACACGGATAAGAGGACCGGTGATTTGCGTAACGAACGGCTTAAGAGAAGCTTCGCTTGTCCTATCGACGATATCGGATATAGCGAGCGCGGCGCTGGTTCGCTGTTCCGCAGTTCCGTTCATGAGACCTTGGAGGAAGATGGGAAGAATTGCGTTGATGCCCTTCGGAAGCTCGAAACCAGGAAGGTTGGATCCGGCGACGCCCACTTGTAATAACGTCTGTCTTGTGGATATAACAAGGGCCTCCATCTCTTCCTTTTTGAGTTTCTTGGTAAACTCGCTGAGGGCCGTCCATGCCGCCTTAACCACTTCCTTATCTCCATCATCGAACGAGATCAATAGTGCACGAACGATATCTTGGTTGTAACGCGAGTAATCCACGCCGGAGTTGGCGAAGAAGTTAGCAAGTCTCGATGCAGTGACGGCGCGCTTGCGGTGATCGTCGTTCTTGACCAGCTGCAACAATACGTTCATTACCGTGTTGAGTCCGTCGTACTCGTCTATCGATTGTATGACCGTGTCGAATGACTCTTCTAGCTCTGTACGAAGCTCTTCGTCCTTGGCATTCACAATGTTATCCATGAGGGAGTTGATGATATTCGGCAGACGTCTATTCATAGCGGTACCTGCGACGCGGGATAGAGACGCGAGGGCCTTGGCGTTGAAGGTGGAAATAGGGGGAGTGAGCAGCGTCGGAATAAGGTTTGGTAAGATGATGTTGGATCTCGTGGTCTCGGTGAGGAGAGTCAGGAGCGCGGACAGAGCATTATCCGCCTCATCTTCGGAGCGTAGAAGGTTGAGAAGGTACGGGAGTACTTGGTCGACCGCTCGCTTGCCGATAATTTGCTGCAGCGAGTCGAATGCTTCGGCGGCAGCTTCTCTAACGTCTTCGTCAGAATCTATGAGCGCCGTTCTCACAACGGATATTAGCGTCTTTTCGTGATCCTCTAGTGCTTCATCCGAGGCGGATGCGATAAGCTCCTTGAGCGCGAGACAGATTCCTTGTCGAGCGTTCGTATCCGTCGAAATTTGGAGGCCTTCTTCGAGAGTCGGGAGTAGGCTCGACAGTACGCCGTCGCCAGCCTTGCGAATTAACTCTCCCAAGGCGTTACTTGCGATAACCTTGTGTTCCATATTAGAACTTCCAAGGCGGCGGATAATTAATTGCGTGAGGGTAGGCGTAAGCTCCTTCAGAGTCCTTGGAGTAGCGACTAAAGCCTTCCACACGCTTACAGCAGCCGCGCGAACGGCGCTTGAAGTATCGCAGCGGCATATATACAAGGCGGAGAGAATTCTGTTACGCTTCTCTTCTCCGAGGACTTCGCGCAGGGACGCGCCGGCCTCCTTCGCGCTCTCTTCTTCATCCTCCGCATCAGCTTTACCGCTGATACCGGTGAGATTAAAGAGCAGGTCACCAACAAGCTCGACGGAGCTTAGTCGGATCCTGTAGCTGTCATCTGCTAAGCCACGCTCCAGCTCCGGCAGTAAAAGGTCGACAGCTCTAGCGGCGAAGTTTTTAACCAACAATCGACCGGCTCGGAGGGCTGTCTCGCGGATAGATTCGATATCGTCCGCAAGACCGGCGAGAATCGGGGGAATAATCTTGCCGAGATAATTGGCAAAGCTGTTTCCGAAGCATACGGGCAAGAAGATAAATAGAGACATGAAACCTTCCCTGACTGCGGGTTTGGAAGACTCCACATTTTGCAATATCGTAGGAAGCGTTTCCTCCAATCTCGTGGTGCCAAGTCCCGCCAGGACTTCGCTGAGGGCTTGAGCGGAACCGAGACGATCTCCCGCGCCGGTATCCGACTTGAGAGTCTGCATAAGCCCGGGAATAAGATCCGGTAGGGCGTCCTCGCCGAGCTTCTCGACCAAGGAGCCCAAAGCGCGGGATGCCGTTGCTCGCGTCGTCGGAACCGGATCGACAGCCGCCACTTTTAGCCCCGAAACTAGGACCGGAAGGTGCGCGATCAAATCCTTCCTTTCGGTAAGATGAGCCAAACTTCCGATGACTTGAGAAGCCTTGCGTTTCGTATTGGACCTGTCTCCTAAACCGCGCTGGAGAATTCTCGTAACGAGGGCAAGCGAAGGCGCGTCGAGGTAGTGAACGAATTGCACCTTGATGAGCGCGTCTAGAGCGTCGTCGGTGTATTTGGTAGGATCGCTCAGGGCCTTGAGTAAGATATCGACTAAGCTCTTCACTTCGGGATTCTCGATGACTTCTCCGAAGCGCTTCAAGCTCTTGTTCGCCGCTGCTCGTACCTCTTTGTGACTGTCGTTTAGAACGCCCGTTAGCGGCGGTATAATGTCCGGAAGGCTCTGCGCGAGCTGTTGCGGGTCCAAGTAAGCCATGGCACCTAGAAGATCGCAAGCGCCGCGTTTGCTACGCCATTGATCGTCATCGAGGCCGTTGAGAAGAGTCGGTAAAATCTGTTTCACACCGTAGGAGCTGAGCTTCGCGAAACAAGCCTTGGCCGCCGCTAAACATGCGTCTCTCACGTCCGCATTACTATCACCGAAGCCGGATAGAAGTTGGGGCACGATTTGAATAACGTACGGCTCAAATATACGGCCTAGAAGCATGGCGAAGAGTTCAAAGGCTAGAAATGCGCCTTCGCGCTGCTGAGGCTCCTTTCGGTTTTCGGTTGCGCTCTTCAACGTGATAAGAATTCGATAATCTCTTAATACGGAGATACCTCTTCCCTGGACCAAGCCGGCCAATCCGTACGCGGCACCTCGCTTTTCTGCGTATCTCTTAGATGTCAAGAGCGTATCGAGAAGCTGGTCGAAATATTTGGACGATTTATCGCCGCACGTCCGTACCAGAGGCGGCAAGCATTCCGCCACAGCGTATTGCACAGCTTCGGACGGCGTGCTCAAGGTAGCAAGCAGCCTCTCTAGAACGACTGGAATCTTTGGGTCGCCGGGCTTCAGATGCCTAGCCAGAGCACCGTACATAACGATAACAGCCTCGTTCACGCGATCAGCCGCCTCCGAACCTTTGTCCGGCGCGGCAAGCGTACGTTCGAACGTCTTCATGAGCTTATCCAGGAGCGCTCTACCATGGAGGTCAACAGCTGCTAGCGCCGCATCAAGCATCTCGCCCCTTACGGTAGCGTTTTGATCTCCTAGCGGGCCGCCATCGATGAGAAAGTTAAAGAAATCATCGATCTGCGGTTTCTGTAAGTAAGAAGCGAGTTCTCTAAATGCCGCCGCAAACCCGTCCCGTGCCTCCCAAGGATCCGATAGATCGGTTTTCTTAGGCATTCCATACTCGTCTAGCTGCGGGACTCGGGGCTTAGCAAACTCGACGTATGAAGATCGGAGCTTCGCCAGCACTTCGTCGACGGTTGAAGGGTACTCTTTACACGCTTCGGAGAGTGAGCGCGCGGCGGCTCTCCTGAGCTGGGCGTCTTTGCTCTCGAGATACGGAAGCATCTTAAAAGGAACGTCTTGGGAAAGCTTGAAGCCGCTCTCCTCCCAAATTTCGTGGCCTAGTTCGACGTTTTCGGGAATATCATCATGACAAGCGATCCATATCTCCTCCGAAAACTCAAGCTCGCTCATATCAACTTCGGCGCTGATTGACTGGAGAACGGTTTCGCGGACCGAAGCTTGCGGGACGATGACCCCTTTTGCGAGGACGGCTATCTCTTCGACGCTTATATTCGGAGCGACGCATCGGACCATGTCGGAAAAGCAATCTTTGATGATTTTGTAGTGCTGGTTATATTGCTGCATGGAGGTGGTCAGCGTAGATATCAAATCGGCTCGGGGGATCGTCTCGTCGGCGCAGACGTGAGTGTGGAACGCAAGGAATTCGATAGCCAACACAAGCTGAGCATCCCGCTCGTCAGCACCATTTCCGACGCCTCCTGTTCGTAGTATCACAAATATCAAGGACAACATATAAATAACGGAGATGGCGTCAAACGGACGCTGCTCGCCGGCAAAGCGGATGCGGTATAGGACTCGCGTGACGAGTTCTTCTAAGCCTTCCTCGGTCATATTCTCCGGTAGAGAAGTGATTCCTAGAGCACGCAAGGTTGCGACGCCGATAAAAGGTCGAATAGCTCCTAATCGTGGAGTGACGCGATCAGAACATGCTAGGTAAGCCGTAGGGCCCGCATCGCCTGTGATGAGACCGGCACCAGCTTCCAAGGCCGCTAACAAAGCACTGATCGAGGGTCCGATCCATAAATTTGGTTCCGTCGGTGGACTGCTGACGAGGCTGCTGATGATACCAAAACCTCGCATGAGTCGCGATTCTAAAAGCTGGACCTTTCGTCGAATTTCTGACTCTTTCTTCAGCTGGGCATTGACCTTGGCCTGTTCGTCGGCGGTAAGCTTTCTCTGTTGTCCCTTTTTCTGAGCTAATTGACTTCTGAGCTCTTCTTCCCATTTCAGCGTATCGTAGTCTCTGGTATTCTTATCCGGAAGAGTCTGCTTTTTCGCCAATACGTCGATAAAAGCGGTGCCTTCTGGAGTTCGGAAGATGGCCGCTTCGACGGGTCCTACGTCTTTTAGCTCTTCCGTGTTTAGGTCCGCTTGGATGAGCTCGACGATTTTTGGCGTCACAGTATCGGGAGCCACGAACGCAAGGTCTGCCGCAGCATTGCAAGCTGCTTGCTTGATGGATTTTGCCTGGTGTTTGTTAGTTTAAGTCACATAGATATCCCAATTCTTTTGACTGGGCGCTTGCTTAGAACTTACCTTTTGATCAAAGCTCGTCTTTTCTATCACCTGCCGTATTAATTCTTCTTCGTACTTCTGGGCTAAGCTTCCGGGATCAAGACCGACTCTCAAACAAAGATCTATCCAGCTTGCTCTTGGAATCAAATCATTTCGGGCGATAACTAGAAGCGAACACATCTGCTTAGCAAGTTCTTCTTGGGACTTTTCTGCGCCTAGTTGCTTAAATTCTTCCTCGCTTAAGCAGATCGACTTAAGAACCAGATGCAAGTGCGCATCTTCAAATTTAGCGGCCGCTGCTATGCTATCCTTATCTTCGGTGTGAGAAGACTCGATCCATCGCCATAAGCCGTCGATAGCGACCTCGGCAAAGAAACTCTGGTCGCGAACGTAAAGTTTCGAAATAGCCTCAGTGGTCTCTTTACGAACCTGAGGAGGTACGGCGGTTGAGGATACGAGATAAATGAGAGCTTGAAACCAAATCACCTGTGCATTCTTCGGAGCTTTTGGTATATCATCATATATAGCCGTGAGCGCTCGTAGAAACCATCTAGTATCGTCTTCTGTGGATAATCGACCGTAGACGCGATGATTAAAGAGAAACGAAGGTTTAGGATCGGCCACGAGACATTCTTTTGAGACGGATGTCTTCTTGAGGGTGGGTTTAATAGTAGCAGCACCGTCGATCTTAGAAAGAACCTTCAAAGATAGAACCGAAGAGACGTATGCACCCACGATCAACCCGCTCTGAGCAGCCGCTGCGGGATTCTTGATAATTTCAGCCCAAGTATCCGCAAGCGGCCCCGCGATAGCTTCGGCTAGCTTAGCAGCGTTTCCTGGAAGAGATCGAGCTTCTTGGCTAAAAGGTACGAATATTTCACCGGCTCGAAGTAGCCATAGTCTTCGAGAAGGTATCTTTTTATCGCTAAGACCTTTGGCAAAGGCGTCAACGGCGGGCTTCGGTAATTCGGTACCGTCATTTAATAAATAGGAGACTGCTCTGCCGATAACCGATATTTCCGCCCCCAAAGCCCCTTCGTTTCCTTCCTTGGTGGCGATCGGAGGAAGACTAGTAGCTATCTTGGTGGCGATCGAGTTAGATAACGGTACGTAGTCCAACATCTGCGAATGGAGAACGCGATGGTCTGCAGAAGCCAATTTTCCAGATTTCAGGGGATTTAGAATCTCCTCCGCAACTTGATCCGTAAGTTTCTCATCGTGACTACGAGATACCGCCTCCTTAAATGCGGCTAAGACGCCGTCGCGAATCGTAGCATTGCTAGACTTGGCATTCGATAGTAAGGGTTTTAGAAGACGTCCGCTTAGAGCTTGCGAAAGATCCAGGGATTTAGGAAGAGCGCGAATCAACGATGCTACCAAATCCAAAACCACCTCAGGAGCACGAAGGAGGCCTTTTTCGATGGGGGGTATAATATCCTTTTCCAGGTCTTCTAGAGTGACGAAATCGGAAAAGAAATCCCGTAAACCGGTAGCGATATGAGCGGGGATGGGCGTGCGAGATCCTATAAGTTCTCTGGTGAAAAAGGAGAAATATTCCGATTTTACGGAAGCCAATACATCCTTGGCTTGAGCGTGTCGAGAACTCACACCAGCGATGACACCCAGGAAGACAGCGTTTCTTGCCGTAGGCTGAGCTCCTTTGGCCGCAAGGGCTTTCACAGCATCCTGTATCACTTTGTCTCGAAAACCACCGCTCCAGAAGGCCGCACGTAAACCACGACGAGTTACCACCAAAGCAGAATGCGCAACGCTCGGTCTAGTTGTAGGCTGAAGGCATCTTTCGAGAGCAGCAGCGTCAGCGTAGATGACTTCCAGCCCGAAATTGTCCCACAAAGGCTTTCCGGCGAGTTCTTGCAATAGGATAGAACACCACTCGACCAAGACGAAAGCATTCTTGGGAGCTATTCCTGCTTTTTGGGACTCTTGTCGCAAAGAAGTAATAAACAACGTCAGGGCTTCGGCATCGCTAATGGTCGCGAAGACGGACGTAATACAAGATTCGACGGCTCTCCTAGACGGTCTATCATCGTAAAAACGGTGGGTATCAAATAGTAATTGTAGCAACGGCGGTATCGAGGACTGGTCGATAGCTACAATACGAATATCTACATTAGCATAAGTACACGAAATAGAGCATTTGACAGTCCAAGAAAAAAAGATAAAAAATAAGAATTAATACTACTTACTCTTCTCCCTTAGCTTCTCGTCAATTGTTCGCAACTGGGCTATGCGGGCCTTGGTAGAGGAGGAAAGGAGAGCAGGTTTAACTAAAGCAAAGTCGAGGCCAGCTTTTGAGGCACCATTCGCAGCCGCTTCAGTCATTTTGACGGACCGACGGGAGATCTATTGACATGATAGGGAGGTTGAAATTACACCTTGTGGTGGCCCCTATCATTCGGGGAGGGGTGAAGCACGATAATTAGTAACCGTTTGTAGAACTCTCTAATTTATCGTAACATTGACTTTCGTCAAGTTCATATTTGACGATGTGCCAACTACCTAATGTATGTGGGTTGAAAATATTGGTGGGGTCATTCTCTGTAAGCTTATCTTATCTTACCTTCCTACGGCGAATGACTCAATGGGAGCAAAAACAAAATGAGCACCTGCCTTAGCATTTCCTCTCGATGGCCGGGTCTTAACATTGTCGAGCTTTTAGAATTTTCAAACAACAAATATTATTAAAATAGGTAAGATAAAAAATATCAAAATTCTTCCTAGAATATATTGTATATACCCATAGCTTCATCCTATTTTTTACGATTTATTTTCATCGTTCTTTTCGTGTTATAGATGGTACTATTTCTGAAGAGAAATGCCAAGACCTAGCCTTGAATTCTTGAGCCTGCTGGCCTAACAGCAGCAGGCACCTTTACCAAATTATAGAAGGCGCCCCTCCACCCACCTGCTAAGCCTTTCCCCACAGCGCCCGCAAGCATTGGAACCCACTATGATGACTGGTTACACCTGAATGTCAAAGTTCGTTTACCAATAAACAACTTTTTTATTTTATTTTATTTTATCGAATTTTGGTGCTTTCGCGCGGGCGAGATTCGGCTTCTTTTTCCTTCTTCTCTCACTCTATTAACTAGTTAATAATGGCCCCTAAAAAAAAGAAGACGAAACCAGCAGCCAATCCGGCTCGGGGCTTTGCTACCACTTCGATCGCTTCAAAACCGAAACCGAGAGCTGAAATTGATAAAGAACCGGCGCAAACCGCTGCTGCTAACGAGGGAGGAAAGCTTGATGCCCCTCCAACGCCGTCATCTCGCGATCCTAACCCCCCACCATCGAATTCCAACTCTGACAACGCACCCAATACTTCCCAAAAAAAGGATTTAAGCCCGGAAGAGTTCGAGAGGCAGCTAGAAGAATCCGAGCTGCAGCTTCTAGTCGAGAAACATGCCCAGAAAGTAAAGAGGGACGCCCAACGCCAAAAGTCTAGACTCGAGACCGACCGTCGGCTACTTCGCGGGCAGGCAGAGCCTTTAAATACGAGAAAATGGCTACCTCAAGAGCTGATGGATCATATCTTAGACTTGATCCAGGCTGAAAATCGCTTCGGCGCATCCTCGCTGGCCCCTGAAGGTGCGAATAGCAGCGGCAAACTACCCTCAGAGGAAGATTTGGTGATCAAGTTGTGGACCCTGCAGCAGACCTTGACGGGCGCCAACTTCCCCGAGGACAAGGTAAAAGCTGTATTACAACACGTGCTCGACATTGCCGCCACTATAGGTAGCACGAGTAAGGATAACATTTGGGGTTTGGAGGAAGCTCTAGACTGGCTCGCTCGCGAATGCACGAGAGATGAGCTTCACGATTACGATTACAGGGGTAGGCCCGCAAGGTCCCAAGCAGATACGCCTGTCGACAGCCCTTTACCGTCCGGAGCGAATACTCCACGCCTCTTAGAAGTCAACAACGGACAGAAGCCTTCCAATTCTAAAAATGGAGCGCTTAATCTGAAATCGACAGCTTCGAAGAAAGTTGCTATCGTCTGCCACGAAGATATCGAGCCTGACGATCTCATCCCTGCTTATCTCGAAACTAAGGCAAAATTATTCCATCTTCAGAGGCCGAAGCAAGATAACAAAAAGAGGAAGCCGGCTAAGAATCAGAAATCGAACAGCGCGATACAATCTGCAGCGGAACTGTCAGGCGACGATTTAGAAGAGGCCAAGCTGCTGGCAAAAATTGAAAAAATCGAGCAAGACGTACTTTTTGATAAGTTCTTGGCCGAGCAGAAATGGCGAGCAGATCAGATAGAGTTGGAAAAAGAATTCGCCGCCAAAAAGAAGGCGGAGGCGGAGGCGCGGGCGCAAGCAGAAGAGGAAGCAAAGGAAAAAGCGGAAGAGGATGCTGCTGCTCCCGACGCGCAGTCGGACGATGACGAGGTTACCAAGGAAGCTCAACGGGTCGCAGCGGAGATCTTGCAGCAGGATGGCTCCGATGATGATCAAGCTCTATCCGATCTTTTCGCAAGTCTACCCGTTCAAGAGACCGACGCTGTAACGGGAAAGACGGCTACCGTAATCACCGGAGCCGATGGAGTTAAGATTACGATTCGGGACTTTGGTAAGTGGACGGGCATCAGCCCGATGCGCGTTTTAGAGGAAGCTTGTCGATCAAGGTATTTATTATCCCCCCTTTTTTAATAAAAAATTCCTTTTTTTGGGGGGAAAAATAAAGCCTCTACTTTCTCCGCTAAGTTTTCGTCAGGGACACTTCCGTAAAAATCATATATAAACTCGTATCTGAAAATGCATATTCCAATCGTCATCTAATCTCTGTCCAATGGTCCAAAGCCCAAGAGCTTATACCAGTTCCCGAGATTCCCTCTATCGAGAGTGTCATCTCTCCTCAACAATTCCTCTTCCAGATGGCCTCCGTAGCGACCCCGGATTCTAAGCAGTCCGAAGCATATATTGCCACTTTGGCGCTGTTTGTGATTTTTGGATTCACCAAGGAAGAGAAAGTCTTTATGAGGTTACCTTCTGTCTGGAGAGAACTATGGTCGGAGCTCGCAGAAGAAAAGAAGAACCGGACCGACGCTGCGGACCGAGCGGCGATCAAGGAACTCCGCGCATTAGTTCGTGAAAAGCATGACCAAGAGCTGGAAGATGGCGTTCTTCTCCAAGGCGCTTTCAGAGGCCGCGGTTCGCAGCGAGGCACGAACGAAACGGGCGACGATTCCAACGCGGAGCGAGTCGCGAACGCGGCCGAGCCGGAATATTACAAGAGAATCTGGGCTGATAAATCTAGCACGCCGAGATTCCAATCTATGCTGGTTAGTGCCTCCCGTCGCATCGCATTTCTTTGGCGTAAGTTATATCTAACATGCTGTATCTAGCAATTCCGAATGCAACTTCCGATGTGGCATTTTAGAGAGCAGGTTCTCAGCGCTATCGAGCGAGAACAAGTCGTTATCATCTGCGGAGAGACGGGATGGTATGTTTATTTTTATTTTTATTTTATCTCCCCTTTACATATATTATACAAGAAAAAAAGAAAAAAAGAGAGATGAAAATGAAAAGTCGCACAAAAGGTCATACAAACTCATAGCTAACGAATCTCTAGCGGTAAGAGTACACAGGTACCATCATTCCTCTTAGAACACCAACTATCTCAAGGCCGGCCGTGCAAGATTTACTGTACGGAACCTCGACGAATATCCGCCATATCGCTTGCTCGCCGTGTAAGTGAAGAGCTTGGCGAAGGCAGAGGCGATCTTGGTACTTCTAGATCTCTCGTCGGTTACTCCATCCGTCTAGAAGCGAACACGTCAAAGGAAACTAGATTAGTTTACGCCACGACCGGTATAGTGATGAGAATGCTTGAAGGTTCCAACGAGCTACGCGAGATCACTCACCTAGTCCTTGATGAAGTTCACGAGCGCTCTATCGATTCCGATTTCTTGCTTATCGTACTCAAGAAGCTGCTGCTTCGTAGAAAAGACTTAAAGGTAGTTCTCATGTCCGCCACGGTCGACGCGGAGAGGTTCTCCAACTACTTAGGGCGCGCTCCTGTGTTAAACGTGCCCGGTCGCACGTTTCCGGTACAGGTGAAATACCTGGAAGACGCCCTCGAAGCTACCGGTTACGTACCCGATCAGTTAAAGCACGAGAAGATGACAGATTTAGACGACGATCCGGCAGAAATCGATACTGCTGATTCAAACTCTGCTACAGCCGCCGCTGCTAAAGAATTAAGGCAATATTCTGCCAGGACGCGGAACACGTTATCCCAGATGGACGAGTATCAAATCGATTTTGACCTCATCGTGCAACTAATCGGGCGCATAGCCGTCGATCCATCTTACGTAGATTTTAGCAAGGCGATATTAGTATTTCTCCCGGGTATTGCAGAGATCAGAGCTCTAAACGACTCCTTGCTGGGCGAGCCTTTCTTCCAGAGGGGTTGGGAGATATTCCCGTTACATTCCACCATCGCGACCGAGGACCAGGAGCGAGCGTTCCTTGTTCCTCCGGACGGCGTTAGAAAAATCGTGCTGGCAACTAATATCGCGGAAACGGGTATCACTATACCTGATGTGACTTGCGTTATCGATACGGGAAAGCATCGCGAGATGAGATTCGACGAGAGGAGACAACTTTCGCGTCTTATCGATACTTTCATATCGAGAGCGAATGCTAAGCAGCGGCGAGGTCGAGCAGGACGTGTTCAGGAAGGTCTATGCTTCCATCTCTTTACGAAATACCGTCACGATCACTTGATGAGCGATCAACAGACGCCAGAAATGTTACGTCTCTCACTACAGGACTTAGCTATACGCGTCAAAATCTGCAAGATCGGTGGTATCGAGGAGACTCTTGGAGAAGCGCTTGATGCGCCTTCCGCGAAGAATATCCGAAGAGCTATAGATGCTCTTATCGACGTACGAGCTCTAACGAATACCGAGGAATTAACGCCGTTAGGACACCAATTAGCGAGGCTGCCTCTCGACGTATTCCTTGGTAAGCTTATACTTCAAGGCACGATTTTCAAGTGTCTCGATATGGCTATAACCGTAGCCGCTATACTATCGTCAAAATCACCATTTACCGCGCCTTTTGGTCAGCGAAGCCAAGCAGATCAGGCCCGTAAAGCTTTCAGGAGAGGCGATTCCGATTTACTTACCGTATACAACGCATATTTGGGTTGGAAGAAGGTGTGCCAGACGTCCAATAACGACTTCCAATATTGCAAAAAGAACTTCTTATCGCCCCAAACGCTGTCCAACATCGAGGATTTGAAGGGCCAGCTACTCGTCGCTCTCGCGGACTCGGGCTTTTTACAGCTGACGGACGAGGAGCGACGCACTCTAAACCGTCTTCGGTATTCTAACAGGAGGCGCCAATTTTACGACCTCCCCCAGAGAGTTAATATCCACAGCGATAACGACGTCATCGCGGCGTCGGTAATCGCGTGGAGCTTCTACCCGAAGCTCTTGGTGCGCGAAGGGAAGGGATTCCGTAATGTCGGAAATAATCAGAGCATCAGCCTGCACCCGTCGAGCGTTAACAAGGGACATATGGAGCTGCGGTGGTTATCTTATTATCATATTATGCAGTCCAAGCAGTGAGTCTATTTTATTTATTTATTTTTCATTTTACTAATGTTTTTTTTTTTTTCTTTGTAACCCTTCCCCCCTGGCTCCCCCCTTTTCCCCCTCCCTTGTGTAAGTTTTCAAGTCTAACAAAACCAGGTTCCTCAACGCCCACGAAACTACGGCCGTCGAGAATTTTGCCATCGCCTTGTTATGCGGTGACGTGCGTATGGATGTAAGTACCTTTATATACCCCTAGTTCCTATAATTCCTGAATAATTTTACTATTTCCTACGAAACGACAACTAACCCTCAAAAATAGATGTACGCAGGCGTCATCGTACTCGACGGCCACAGGGCGCGCTTTAGCGTACCCGACTGGAAGACGATGCTCGCGATCAAGGCGCTGCGAACGCGGCTGCACGACGTGCTCACGCGCTCGTTCCGCATGCCCGGCAAGCTGCTCACGGCCCAGCAGGAGAAGTGGCTGGACGCCTGGCAGCGAGTCTTCAGCCAGGACTTCGGCAGTAAGGCCTAGGATGCCGTCCCCACGCCCTGTCCGAAGGCGGTAGGGATTCTGCGGTTTAGGAAGTGAAAAAAGTCGGCGTTGGCGGACCGAAAACGGCGGTTTAAAGGGTACGGAAGGCTAGATAAGGGAGGGTCTTCTTTTGGCGGACGGGTTAGCTTGTATACCTTACATACATACAGACGGACAGACAGACGCACATGCATGCGTGGATATCATGCGCACTGTTTGTTTGTTTTTTCCCGGGCGGATAGGTTAAGCAGGTGGTTAGAAGACCGAATTCGGTACGCAATGCGCGCGTTAACTCCCCCCTGAGCTTCCTCGATGTTACTCTCATAAGTCCGGTCCATGCACGATGGGATGGGATTGGTAAGGGCACGAGAATATCATGGTACAAAGGAGTAGACGCGTTGATAGAAGCTCAAATACATATTTCGCGATGAGTTCAATGCTTAATTAAAATAGCCAACCCGAGCAGGGTGGGAATTGGCGACTACGTCGTTCCTACAATGGCATTTATAAAATGTGGAAAATCAGATCCGTAGAGAATTACGGTACTACTTCATCTCACGTAAAACACAGCAAGCACTCAGACATAAGAAAAAAAGAAAATAAAAGAAAAACATTCACACTTAGACGTTCATTCGTCATCTTCCAAATAAAATTGAAAACGTACAATTCAGCCAGATTTGACTAGGTACCGTAATACATTAACTATGAGCTCACCCGCTCGCGCAAGCTAAAGCTAGATAAACAAGACAATGCCAGTTGAACTTTATGAAAACATGACATGCAAAGCAGCTCAGCTTTGCGTTACGAAAAACAAAAAAAAAATTGGCATAGCAATGAATACTCGACTCGAATAAAAATAAGTAAATAAAAAAAAATAATAATAAACAACACCTCGTACCAGCAAAGCAAAGCAAAGCCCCCCTTTCATCCCCCTTGCCAATGATAATGAGTTCGACCCCGAACCGAACCTGACCGAAAACCGAAACCCGATGATATGATGATTGAGTGATTGATTGATTGATTGATGATGATGATGCCATGAATGTCATGCCTGTTCATTTGCCTTTCGTGCCCCTTTTTCTTCTTTTTCTTCTTCCGTTTCTCTCGCATGTAGAATAATTAAATAGGGGTTAATCTTAATGCTGGGGGTATCAAAGGAAAGAATCTCAACTCGAACAATAATTATTGCTCCAACTTCCGCGCCATAAAAATAAACATGATCCGTAATTATCTCTCCTCTCTCCTTCTTTTAGTTGAATGCATGCTTCACAAAATGCTCTTATGCACCGTCTACTATCGGACTTATCCTGTCCCGTTAGCTCGAGCGGCTCCGACGTGTCCATCCTTGTCGGCGTTGCCGTCTCCCTTTCCAGAATTGAGGAACATCGCCTTAAAATCGGCATTGCTCTTAGGTTTCGTGGCAGATCCCGTACCATTCGTATCTGAGGCCTGATGATTTGACATGCTGTTATCTTTTTTGGCCGCCACAAAACCTAATCCTCGCTTCGGGCCGCCTCGTCCGAGAACCGGCCTTCGAACGCTTTGAGGAGGGAGTATAAACCCAGCGTCCTTGAAGCCGCCCTTAGTAGTCGAGGATTTACCTTTTCCGGTAACGAACTTGGTCTCTCTTATTTCGCTCTTCTGCTCGAACAGCTCCTCCTTAGTGCCCGTGCGTAACCGACGTCCAGGTGCAATTTCGAACCCTTCGAGAGCTAATGTAGCTCGTCCGGCTGCGGCCACATCTGCAAATTCGACAATAGCGCCTTGATGATCAGGTCGTAAGATTAGCTTCACAATTTCACCGTGTTTCTCGACGACAGCTCGGACGCGCGCGTCGTTGACGGTATCCGGTATGTTCATGAGGGCTATCGTACGCTCCCTGATCTCTTTAAGCGTCGGATTGCGACTTTCCTTACCGGGTTCGCCAGATCCGTCCGTCATCTTTACGTCCCCATCTCCGCTAGGGGCGGGTGACGCCGAGCGTCTATCTCGTCTGCTCGTGGCGAAAGGTTTAAAATTTGTCTCCTTGGTAGGCTCAACTGAGAGAACTTGAGACTTGAACTTGGTCTTGTCAAGCTCCAAAGCTTCCTCGGCCGCATCCTTCGTCTCGAAAGAAACATAGGCGATGCCGAGGCTCCTGCCGGCGATATTCTTGATGATGCGCACGTGAGTTACGTTGCCGTATTTTCCGCACATTTCTTGAAGATCGTCCTCGACCGCCGAAGGGTCTACATTTCTGAGACGAATCTCTCGACCCTCTGCCACGGCACCTTCACGGTCCTTCTTACGCGTGGGATCCGAATATTTCGATTGTAACTTGAATCTGCCTTCTATGAGCTTCCCGTCAAATAACGTCGCCTTGCGAGCAGATTCCTGGTCTTTGAAAGAAACGTAACAAAAGCGACGGTGAGTATTAAACTTCAGCGACGGGAATCGCACGCTGAATACCTCGCCACATTCTTTAAAGAGATTACGGATATATTCCTCATCCGCTGTAGGAGGATAGTTTGATACAAAGAGAGTTAAGCCTGTACCGGGTTTGACGTTGATCTGATTTTGATCGAAGAACTTCTGGTCTCGCAAGAGAGCAGATTGCACATCCTCCGTAGATCGAAATTCGATCAGAGCGGAGGTAGACTCGCCATCCTTCTCCCTATAGATGTCGAGAGTGTTGATGTGTCCGTATTCTCTGAAGTATTTACGGATAGCCGTCTGCGTCACGTTTGCGGGTAGGTTCGTAACCATCACCGAAGTGTTTTCTCGGTCGCGTTTTAGCATCTGCTCGTTAGCCGCGCTATTTGTGCCGTCAACCTCTATGCTCTTCACCCTTTTGTTTAGACCCTGAGATACGTCACCCGGTGTAGGTTCCCGCTTCCTCTTAGAGCCGGACGGTGATTCCGGCGCCGCGGCATTCAAGTCGGTAGCCGCTTGCTCATGTTCCTCCCCCTGCTGCTGCTGCTGCTGCTGCTGCTGCTGCTGCTGCTGCTGCTGCTGCTGCTGCTGCTGCTGCTGCTGCTGCTGCTGTTGGGCCTGCCGCAGGTGAGAGGCGTAAGCAGCCTCGGCCTCGGCTTTCTCTCGCTCGCGACGCTTAGCAACCTCTTGCCGAGCTTGAGCGACCGTGTCGAGAGCGCGATGGAGAGTATCTGCTCGCTCAAAATCGTTACAATGTTGGAGGTAGATCTCCATAATTCGCTCGGGCCAATCTAGCTTTGGTCTCGCCAGGGCGCGTTGCAAAACGTTGGTAGCGAGGCCCGGAACTCGTATGATTTTGGTGCCGCCTACGGGAGTAGCCGGAGTAGGACTTCGGGTTTTCGGTTTGGATGCGTAAACCATCATCTCCCAAAGATAATAATTGACCCAAAAGTCGTAATTATTCGCCAGGAGGGACTGGCTAGCCATGCGGTCCCAGTAGCTTCGCGCTTCGTCGATCTCTCCTTTTACCTCGGTGAGATACTGGATAAGAATACGCTGCAGCCTATAGTTAGGATCCCCTTGGTACGCGTCCTTATACAAACGCCTGCCCCATAGGTCGACATCCTCCAAAGCAGCAAGCAGTCCGACCTCGGCAACGTCAGCGGCATCTTCGGGGGCGTTAGGATCCATAGCGGTCCGCTTCAAAAAGCCGCACCACGCGGTGTACATGTCCAGAACGCTCGCCATACCATTTTTATCGAGTTCCTTCGTGCTCGTGGCGGCGTGCTTGATCGATTCCACATTATGGAAAGATAGACCCGCCTCCTCGGCTGTCAAGATGTATCGAGACCAAAGAGGGCCGGACCACGGACAATGAGACGTGGCTCGCTGGTAAAAATCAAGCAGGCTAGGGAGAGGTAACTGGTGCGCCGACGTCCTAGCTTGCTGTTGCAATCCGTGGAGATATATGGCGGCATCGCTCCAGACCTCTTCGTCAAAGGCGAATATGCCGCTCAACGCCCTCGCAAAAAGCCCAAAGCACAACGAGACGGAAAGAGAGACGTTCCTCGTCTTCTTCACCTGTTGCATCTCCCAAGCCAAGTATTCTTTCATGATGGCCTTCTGCGCCTCTTGATCACCTGACTTCACAGCCTTGTTCAGCCTCAGCTCGTAAGGCTCTCTCAACTCGTAGGCGGCCTTCGCTTCTTGCGCGCTAGCGGTCACCTCCTTGAACTCGGACTCGTAAGCGATATTGTTATACGTGCTTAGAAAGCTAGAGAACATCTGCGAGGTGTTATCCCACGTCGAGTGAGGGACCTGAAGCCTATCGCGAAAGAGGTGAGATATGCGCCTCACGCCGACGGGAGTTCGAGTTCTAGCCAGCTGCTCGAGCTCTATCGAGACCCAGCGGTTCCAAAACTCGTGGCTGTCGTTGATGCGGTACTTGATAGCTTCGTATCCTTCGCTCCAAAGACTGAGGGCGGCGTCGAAAGAGAAAAGCTCGCGACCCAGCTGCCTCTCCTCCTCGGGCCATCCGGCCTCGCTTGTTTGGCAATCGGTGAAGAGCGACCAAAACCATTCGCAATAGGATAACCAAATCTTTAAGCTTCCCGGTTCGGCGGAAACGGCGCTCTTGAAGAGCTCGACGACCTTAACACGTGCCTCGAGGTCGGTAGCGTGACGGCTCTCTTCGTCGGCGTAAGCTAACCAACTATCCTCGCCCACGGGCTTCGCCATTTTGTCCTTGTATCGCGCAAAGACAGCCCGGCCGGCTTCATGTGTTGTCCTTGCAGGTAGAAGTTCTTGAATCTGAGCTCGAATCGGGTTTTGGTTTTTTTTTCGTTAACGTGAACTTGCGCTCTAAAGTTCTTTTCCTTTTTCCTTTTCCTTTTTTTCTTGTACCTGCAAACGGCAAACTTGTCCTCTTTTCGATACGCGACTGATTTAGTCCAAACTGGGGACTCCAAAAACTATTGATTGGACGGGCTTAAGAACACGATCGGTTAGTCGAAGAAGGATACGTATCTTGCCGTGGTTACGTAGTGTGTGATGTGCTTTATGTTAGGTAGGTTTGATATGGGGTCGTCTAGGTTGAAACTGGACGATGGGCCTGGTAGACGGGGCGCGCGTGCGCGGGTTGGTATGTACGTAGTATGTATGCAGTATGTATGGTAAATTTCCAAACATAGGGTAAAGAATTGCGAGATGGAAACAGACGAAAAAGAAAAAATAATGAGATGATCAACACGCGACGGATAATATTTAGTTAGGGAAGTTTTGATACCGCGGTTGGGTCTCGAATTTGCGATCGGCGAGATGTTCTCGGTATTGGGGGATAAAAGAGGACGACGGATTAATTAATTTTTTGATGAACCTTTTTTTTTCTTGATAGAGTCGAAAGATTCACTGAAACATCGCCGAAAATTAAGATGTTACGGGTTTCCCTTCTTTTGTCCTTCTCTTTTTTTTTCAATCTTCTTTTATCGTCTTATATTTTCCAAATAAAACATCACTTCGTCAAAAGAAAAAGACAAGAAGAGGGAGAGGGAGAAAGATGTCGATGATAAGTCAGATGGATCCGACTTCATAAAAAAAAAGAGAGTTAAGTTTGAGGATTATTCGAGCAAGAGAACTCCACTTTCCCATGTCGGTTTTTCTTAAAGGTACAAGTACCTGGTAGGAGGTAGGTACGGAGTGTAGAAGTACCTAAACTAAAGTAAGGTTGCGGCTAGCAGGAGATCAAAGGGAAGGTTATTACGGATTGTTCGCTACTGGTACAAACTTATAGGCCGAGTCTAACGTACTGTACCTAAAATGTACGGTACAAAGACCTTTGAAAGTCCAATTACATCCGGTGCAGATCCCCCCACTAGTCCGCCATGTGGTTGTCTACTATTTTGTACCTATTACTACCTAACCTAATGTAATGAACAAACAAAAGTATGGAATGGAATAACAATAAAAATAAAAAGTTATATAATACGTATTCAATGCACATGCGTAAATGATAAGTCTTTCAAATCGCATCGCATCGCATCGCATCGCAACTTCATGTAAACATAAAAGCGCTAGAATATAAAAATGGCTGGATCATTTGTAAGTGCGCCCGCCCTCGGCGCTTTCGGTATTGCGTATGTACGCATCTATGTACCATCAGGGTAACCACCTAACCTAATATCAACTAAATAAATCAACTCACCGTAGCTTATGTACTTATGTTAGATATTTAAATTGCAAAAATTTGCATTGGAAAAATAAAAGATGAAAAAAATAAATGTGTGCAAAATATTATCCTACAAAAAGACTAGATAAAAAATGACACGACAGCACCGAGCAGAGGAAAGGTCTGGCTGTGGTTTTAGTTGTATTTAGTTGTAGTTTGTTCTAGCATGGCTTGTACCCGTGGACCCGAGGCTCTAAAGACGGTTCTAGGCCATCCCTAGCAACCCCCGAATTGATGAACGGTGCAGCTGCTAACCGAATCATTTGCGACATGCAAAAGATGCCGTACCCGCAATGTCGTCATATTGTCTTACAGCGGCCCCCCTCCCCTTGTGGTCCCTGTGGGTCCCCCTTGTAGGTTTTCTTGGCTGCATTGGCTACAATGGAAAGGTTACGACGAAAGGACACCGAGTCTTACGATTTTTCCACCGTATTAATTGTAGTATAATCCATCTGAGAAGAATATCCATCCATTTCCATTCATCTTTGTCTCCTCCTATCGTCTTATCGTCTATCGTCTATCTTCTCCTTTCGGTAGGATGAGTAGTGACCCCCCATTTTTATTTCCATACCATGTGTTATGGATCTTTGTTTGAGCCGGGCATCTAGCATTTACACTAAAATCAACCGTCACGTAACATCGACGCAAGACCTTGAAGGTAGAGCTACTGACATTTAGATGTGTGTATACGCATTGGGCTCTTTTTTTCTGTGTGTGTGTGTGTTTTATCACTATTCTAGATACCGATTCGAATATATATTCCAGATCCAAGCTACATCACGTCTCAACTTTCGTTAATTATGGCAAGAGAAAAAGAACGATACGGCATGTTAACCAAATTACATATCCAACGCTCGCATGTTCACTTATTTCACGTAAGATTGTAGACCCGACTCTCCTCTGGCGTGTGTCAGAATTAGAGGATATTCTTACGGAAGAAGGACGAAATACCTAACCTAATAATATCAGTACGCTTATGTCTGTTGCAGATCCGTCTCGTGATAAGATCGTAAACTACTTATATAAAGATTCAAGCCTACAAAAGCAAAGGGTCAAAAAAAATTACTAGCCAATGAAACCTCCTCACGTCATATAATATTCCAATATGGAGGATATCTCCTTGATTCCTTTTTTTTTTTTTTTTTTTTTTTGCGGTATAATTTCTACGTAGCCAATATAATCTCCTCTTCCACGTTCTACTGTATCATTTCCCCGCCGTTGAAAATTCACCATCTTGTCCATCCCTGCGACGAATACCTGAAAATCAGGTTTATGATTTCCATCAAGCCACATAGCATTCAGGGGCGGTTACACACTTGAGTACATGTGTACCAAGCACGTATAAAATATATACCCGTGTTTCCCAGTCGACGACATTTGGTTCTGCCGCCGGATGCTCTCGATTTTCTATGGTTGTCCCTATTAATCACACCTGGACGACTTTATATGCCGGGTTTGGGGGTGGATCGACGTAGCACTTCGGAACGCTCTCCGGGAGGTTACCTACGAAATGTCAAAAGATCAGGCGCTCTACCGAGAAAATGCATTGCCTCTTCGAGCCAGATTACATCCTGGAGGTGGTTATGTGGTGATAGCGTCGAATAAACCTTATACAATCCCGATTGGTAGCCTGATTGATTTAAGAAGCCGTAGAATTGATGATGTACACAAACTCCTACTTCTATTCTCAAAGAGATCACCCCAGCGACGCTTCAAGCAATATTCGGCACTTCCGAAATGGTACAGATATAGATAATAGATATAAATACGTACGTACCTACGTATATATAAATATTAATACTTTTATTCACTCTCCGTTCCTGTTCAATAGCGCCTTGTGACTTTACAAGCAAATACAGAAGTCTTTCAAGTCTCTATGATGGACAAAAGGACACAATAGTAGCATGTGCCTATAATATAATATTATATAAACAATAACTCTTATTCACCTAGGTGAAGAACCCGAAGCAGCGGACGTGGAAGTAACTCTAAAGTTCGACCCAATCAATCGCTCGTATTGGGTAACAAGCCGGAAGGGCACCCGCCTTTCAGCGATATTAAGAATATCCCACCCATCGTTGGTAAAGGGCGTCATTATCAGGCCATTATATCTGACCTATCAAGCCGCCGGTTCTAGAATCTGAGTAAATACATTACCACTACCATAAGGGGACATCCCATTGGGAGTCGTTGACATTCCAAGCCTCCCTTGTTACTGTTTTCGAATCTATTGGGCATCAGTACAGATTGAGTCTTTCCGTATGTCTATTCCTCTCGAATTGTATAAGCCGAGCTTTCCCACGCCGAACTCGTCCGGTGCGGATCGTTGCTACACATGGTGACACAGTAGCGCCATCCCCAAAAGACAGATGCTGCCGTCGCAGCGATGGCACTCTGATGAGCACCCCGCCATAGACTACTACCGCGCGCACACCGCTTCTAGAACCTGGTGTCCATCAGATAAGACGCTGTTTATTGTCTTTGTCGTGAAAATATGCATCTCCGAGGCATTTACGGGGACCTATGGGCGTGCGTCTACACTATTTCACAAGGAGGGGAGAAGAAATGTTCAAATTGGGAATAGAAACGCTTCTAATCTATAGGAAATACGATTCAAGCAAAGATTATATACTTCTCTCCGGCTTATAACCCAGTTATATATTTACTTTAGTTGAGATAAAGATATGTCCTCCTGATTCACGAGAATAATCAGCTTCATTAACTAAGTCGTACACTGCCTAAGCTTTGTAACTCAAACATTGGTATTTATATAGGGGTTTATACAATCCAACTGACTACGAGTCTTGAAGTGCCCATATAGAAAGATATACTGTTGAATAGCATATGTCTTTATTTAAATCAAGCGATGCTTAACGTATAAAGTTTACATATTGGTTGAGTTTACATACTAGTTGTAGTACCACAAACTTTCTGTTAAGATCAATACACCTATTCCTGTGTGTAGTCTTTAAAAGCTTATCACACTTAAGGAGCTCCAAGGAGACGACTGTAAACTTTTGACAATGAGTTACATCCCGTCCATAGTCTATCAAACTCATAATTTAACATTATGACTGCCAATTCAACCCCCACGCTCACTTATGCGAACCTATATAGTACCCCAAGTTACATTTATAATATCAGTTTCAAGAAATCTCCTGATATCCTCGCTTAGGAACTCATTGGGAAATACTACTCGTTATATATACGCGTAAGTTAGAGCCTCAGGTACAATGAGAGTGGAGAGTAACGAAGCGAAGCCGAATAACCTCCGGATCGACAACATCAGAATGATTAACAACGGGAAAATAAACAAGGCCATGAAATGAATACCCGTACGATAATGCTTAGGTAAAAAGTGCTCTCTACTTCTGAGCAGGCGATCAAAGAAGTCGGGTTAACTTAGATTCTTGCGCGAGCTGTTGGTTTGGGCCGCATTGTCTAAGCGTAAAGAATAACAAGTCAAATCTTAACCTTGGTAACTAGCGAAAGACCTTTTCGCACCTTCTTTGACATGGACTTAAAGTATTCATATTCCTTTCGGGGGGAAATTCGGATTTTGGCAACGGGGTTTGTTGCGACTTACTAGGACCTGCCTATTATAACCATGATCGACTGCAAAGAGCATATTAGCAACGGCAGAGACAACGGCGAAATTCGGTCCGATGACCAGCAAGAACTCTGATGTTTTAAAATAATAGCTGAGCACCAGACCCCGCTACTTATTTGTTGGTGATCATGGACCATGAGCCACGCCTCCGCTACTTATACCTCGGGTCAGAAATACTAGTCTCAACGAAGACGCATATATGGAATAACTGAGTTGAGTCGTGTACATTTGTGAATGAAGTAAGACTTTACATGAGCAAGCTTTTGACGAATCCTGAATGTCAGGTGTAGATATTAGTGCCAAAAATATCCACCCACACAACCTGCGCACACATCTATATTAGCAAAAACTGAGCCTCATCGTTCAACAATCGCCACTAGAGCCCATCACAGCTCAAAGGGTCAACCAAATCCAACTCGGTCCCATAGCTCAGTTGGTTAGAGCGTCGTACTAATACTGATCGTGATCCGACGATAGTATCTAGTCCATGCGAAGGCCGGCGGTTCGAGCCCGCCTGGGACCATTACTTCTGTAATATTACTTGGGTACCTAACTTTTTTGTTCCATATCTATCTCTTCGCGTTCAACTACATGTTTTTTTTTTCGGAAATTTCTGAGCAATAGAGAACAACCGTTTATATACGCCTGAGCAGTTCGAACTTTTAAGCTAAGGGCACGTAACCTATTGATATCGCTGCTTAACGACAGGTGCATAGAGGAGCGAGGAGCTGAAGAATAGGAGCAAAATAACGGGTCAGCTCCATATGTAAATTTAAATCCTTAATCGATGTTTGTTGTGTGAATTCCCCCTGTAAGGCTCAATATTCCCGGTGTCGAACGCTAGCAGGGCCCACGAATCGAAGGGTTTGCTAAATATTCATAGCCGTGAGAAAAAACCTCTTAGCGCGATTAGACTAACATATGCTAATTCATAGTCTTTCGAGCAGGACGGGGGATTATGAACTTGTCGTGCTGACCCTACTATTTGCTACAGAAACTTTGCGAGGTGCTATGTCCTAAAATATAGTCAATTTAGCTAGATCTAGGTACGCTTAGAAACGTTCCTTAAAAGAACAGATAGAGCGAGATTAGACTCTATCGAGTAGATTCTGATAAGTAGAAATCACCGAACTACCGAGGAAATGGCTCGATCCTTCAGCCTAGGAGATCCTTTAATGCGACAGTAATGGAAATAAAAGAACATCATGGCATGTGAATGGCCCTACGGATCTAGATACCTACTAAATACCGAAGATAAGTCTTTTTTTATTTATTTATTTATTTATTTTTTTTTATAAGCTATGTAGGAATAGCTAGGAAACAAGCGGGAGGCGGATGATGCTTGGAATAGCAAACTAGAGAGACCCATTTCACTTGAAGCTATACGTGTCAGTATAAAATCTATACCAAAGTTACGGATCCGTGGGTGTTAGATTGAAAAAAAAAAAAAAAAGGTAACGTATTAGAGTCATTTCGGTGCCGCCCAGAGCGCGTAGGTTTAATTTCCCGCCCGCGGGAATCTGGTCACGATCTTTACACCGATTGACGAGAGGCCATCCCCCTCCAATTTAAAGTAGAGCTGAGTTTTAGTGTAACGTGGGCGGCAATAGATTGATCTGGGCCAATCTGAAGAGACGATCCTGGGTGGTACGAGTGGTAGCAATTGTCTCGCTCGTGGGGCCATCAATCAAACATGGCCAGCCTTGCGACACGCTTGTGAGTAGCGAATATTGGCAGACTTTTAACCGGTACTTGAAGGAATCGAAATAGGGCGGAAAACAAGAAAAAAAAAAAGAGAGAGAGAGAGAGAGAACACATTGCACAATCTGATCCTAAAGCGATTAGTGAGATGGGATTTTTAAACGCGAGAGAGGCCAAGACTAAAGGATCCGCATCGCATGAACATCGTTCGGCGGTTGATGACGGAGCTAAAGGGTGATGACACTGGCGGAAGCGCCCAACGACCACGGGGTCTATAAATTGGTAACCTGGGATCTATATCGATCATTGTGTTATGCCGAGTTGGCGCCTTTGTTTCTTGGGGATGGAGGACTTGAGTAAAAATAAATAGCGCTGGGCCTTTATATGAGAATGCGAATACCTTGGAAGCCCCTGAGAGGCGCCGCTAGATCGCTAAGCTACGGTATTCAACATTCGGAGCCGACGGGTTGATCTTGTGTAGCGTGTACATAGTAGCGGTTCGTGGTCGCCCCTGTGAAGATCTTGTTCACTCCCGTCTAATCTGTCAATCTGCCAATCCCGCTCGCAAAAGCATGATTGGTACATACCAAGAAATTGTATTGCATACGATAGGTACTTTTATATCAGGAGGCATATAGACATAAGACGACCTAGGGGGCCTGGGGGGGGCGTAATCCCTAATAGGTACTATGTAGTATGTACCGAGATACCGCGCGTTTACCCCTGGTATAAATGACGATGGCATTGACGACTTGGTCTGGGGTTCAAGTCTCGCCTAGTTTTTATCGTGAGACTAACGATATAGAGGTATTGTTAGTCTCGATTTTTGACGACATCTGTAACGGGCCACAGCACCTATATTTTCCTTTTTCCATCTTTCTTTTTCAAATCGCTTCAGAAATTCCTATTCATATCGTTAGTAATATTTAACTCGTACGACAGATCCATCTTCGTCGTCATCTCATACGTATGTACTGCTCTCTTTTTTTTTAAAAAAAAAATTGCATGTGCCACCTGACGGAATTTAATTAGAAGCGAGTGTATGATGATCGTGTATGATGATCGCGAAAGGATATCTGACGGGATCGTCAACGATTATAACCGGATATTACAGGTCAGAATTTAAAAGCTTGGCTCGAGGAGGCAGGTGTTCGTAGGGCTTTTTTTCATGGTTCATCTGATAAATTCAGATAAATTGAATAATTGACCGACGCCTGGTTTCTGCAAAGTAAATCGTTCCTATGCAAGCAATTACAAGCTGTAGATCAGAAAGGAGCCGAAGTGGTAGGTACCTACCGTACATGGATGGTACACTAGGTACCTGGTATTTTCATACAAACCTTAAGAATCGGCCAATTAACATCGATTCATATCCCAATAGGGTAGGCAAAAGAATACCTAGGTACAACGTAGTACGTACGTTCAGGTCATAGGTATGCACCTGGGCACCGATGCAATTCAGCTTTCATACGCTGTTTTACGTGTCTGATGTACCTGGCCCCTCGAGATTACGTACCTCCTCTTATATAATCGTCTTAAAAAATCATTGCTGTTTCAGATATTAATATGGATTATTCCTTTCGAGTCGGTACTTGCTTTAGGTACATGCGTACATGCGTACATAAGGTCAGGGTGGTACTTGTTTGAGGTTCAAAGGCACAGCTCCACAATCCTTGTTTGTCTTAGGATGAATTACCGACCAATCAAAAGCTTCCATATCCTTCAGCAACCTTCCCGATACAATCACTCTCTCCCATTTCACGCCGGCAAGGTCCTTCTCTCTTTTTTTTCATGGGACCCCTCCTTTTTCTTCTAGATCGTCTCTTGTTTCTGGCAATTGCAACTGCAGCTTTGCGGATTGGGAACGCGTGGTTTGTCGAATTCTGGTAATTCACCCGGCACTTTCGTACTTTCGTTCTCTTTTCGTACACTTTCACTTCTCATCGTGCATTTTACCGCGTACGCTGTTGCGTCTGCTACATCTGCTGCATCTGTTGCATCTACTGCATCTTCTGTCGCCGACCAACTTTCCATTCATTTGTATAAAAAAAAAAATAAGAAGAAAAAAAATACTATTTTTCAACCTTCTCTCTACCAGAAGGGATTTTTTTTTCTTACTCAACAATCCCTCGGCTGCGTACATACTGTCTGAGGAACCTCGAGTTAACGTCAAGTAACCGAGTCATACACAAAACGAACGGGGACAAGCACCACGAAAATTCGACGATCCAGAAAAAAATTGTTTGTTTGGACTCTTTACGTTTCCCTCCCACGTCAGGTGGTTTTTCCTTTTTTTTTTTTTTTTCAAAAGGCGATTTCCCGTTAGGTAACCCTAAAGCCGTTACGATATCACACGGGCTTCCGCGAATTTGGATCACCTTGTACAAGTTGTTCGTCGACGCTGCTGAATTCCGAGCATCTCACAATTCTTATCCGGCCTCATCTCGCCTTCTGGCCTTTTTACTCAGCATTAACCAATACCGACCACTTTGTTTTTCGACTCAGAATGGTCATGGGCTACCTCGTGGGACTGTGACAATTTTTTTTTCTCGTTTCGTCCTACATACAGTTCTCTTCTATTGTCTATTCTTCAGCTCGGCCAGCAAGCTTGGTCACTTTCAACTTGAGATACCCCCCTCCTTTCCAAATCTTCGATTCTTGTTCAACTTCTTTCCGCACTAGTTTGCGGACTCCTGTCGATTCGCCATCGGCATATTACGTATTATCATAACGATACTCTGAATTGTCACTTGCGAGCTTATACTTCTCGGTCACGAATCTCACGATGATGTTCATAACCGTTTTCACTTCCCTCGCCCTTTTAGCGGGCCGAGGTCTCGCTCAGGATACTACTGGCCTCCTACCTTGCGCAGTAAGTAAAGTTCCTTTGAGATGTAGCCGCCTAATAATTATCATTATCATGTGGTTGAACCAAGCTTCCTTTTTATCTCTTATATGCGTATGATTGTGCACCTAATCTATAACTGACTCTGATCTAGTCCGGTTGCGTCAGTGGCGTCTTTGCGAATACGGCAGCTATGGGCTGCGGTTTGAATGACCGCCTTTGCGTCTGCGGAAAGAGTTCCGACTTCTCGGCTGGAATTCGCGATTGTATCAACAAGGTCTGTCCCTCTGAGTCGGCGGCGGCGCAGATTTCTATCGCCCAGGGCTTAGGCAATAGCGAATGTGAAGGTAAGTAACTCTTGATCCTCCTGTTTGTTTTCTTTTTTAATTGACAAATTCGTTTGTTTTAGCCGCCTCTTCTGCTGCGGGCGTTCTATCTTCTCCTACGCCTACGCCTACTCTTAGCCCGCCGGCATCTTCTGCTACATCTCAGCCTACCGAGCAAGTTATCAAGTCTGCTCCTCCGACTACCACCGCGGAGACTACTCAGGCAACTAAGCCGAGTCCGAGCCCTGCCTCTCAGCCGGGTTTCTCTGCCGCCGAGGTAGAATCGACTGCTTCTAGTTCGACCCCTGCTGCTACCGAATCGTCAGCCCCTGCCAAGACTTCAGCAGCCAGCTCCGTATGCTTCCTCTCTCTTTTCATATTTTTTCGCTATTTTTTCACTTTTTTTTAATTTCTTTATAAAATAAAATACTAATATTCTATTTAGTCGTCTGCACCGTCAACCACATCTAGTAACTCGGCTGTTGCCGCCGGAGCGACATCTACGGCAGAAAAGACCGATGAAGAATCATCGCCTAGTCAGAATGGCGGTTTAAGTGTTGGTGCAAGAGCCGGAATCGGTGCTAGTGTTGGCGTTGCGGTAGTTGTCTTAATGATCCTCGCATTCTGTTTCCTTCGTCGCCGTGGAAAGAAACCCGAACCAGAGCGCGCCCAGACCATGCAGATCTCTCAACCTCTTCCCGGATCCGGAAGACAGTATGCCGAAGGTGTTCGCCAACCCGACCCTACTCTGTCTAAAGACTTTACTCCGCGAGCGCCATCCCCCCAGTCGGCAAATCGGACCCCCTCGCCTGTAGCCCGTCCGTATTCGCCATCTACCGCGTCGTACGCTTCCGAACTCGACGCCAACGCACGTCCCTACGAGGATCTGTCACCGCGAACGCAACCTCGAACTATGATCTAATCGACTTTCGCGTGCGCATAACCCCCCTTTTTTCGATTCTTACGCGCCCAACTTTATTTTCCGATTAGGATCTCTTTGTTGAGTTTGCGAATGCTTTTTTTTATGAGTTAAGAACCTCCGATATCCCAAGTCAAATCCTTTTTTTTTCAAGGATTTATTGCGGATGCTTGTAGCATGGACTCGGTTCGTTTTAAGTGGGTAAGTTCCACTGAGATTCTAAAACCTGACCTACTTGGAGGTTGAGGAGAAGAAAGAAGAGGAGAGGAGAGAAAAGAGAGGAGCGAGAAAAAAGGAGGAGGAAGAGGTTTCTCCAGTTTGATCGAAACGATTCCCTTACGAGAGATCAAACTGGCAAGTACAGTCAAGACGCAGGAAACCGAAATGAAGTGGAACGGTGAAGGGTGTAGTTACAGAGAAAAGGGATGGATTCGTGATGAAGCCTTGCTATTTATTGGCATGACACGAGAACAATCGACTTTCTTTGTAGTGATTGTGTGATATCAATGTAGCTGCGTGACATCGATGTGTTTTGCTGGCCAGCTTATGCAAATCAGATGGTCCCTGTTATTTGTTTGTTTGTTTGTTTTGTTAATGTTGTAATTAATGTTCGCTGGTAGAAGCATAAACTTAGGTAACGATGTAAAATCTCGCTGCTTGGACGGCAGATTTTAATTTTCTTTTGTACCGTCCTTTTTGCACGATTCCCTCTCGAGAAGAGCTAATGAACGTACGTATTCTCATCGAGTTGATTTGTTTATTTTGATTTGTGTGTATGGTACAAGTATCGAGATGGCCCGATGATTCGGGTATCTCTTACATGAAAGCATGTGCAGCTGTAATCCGCTCTTCATAATCGCATCGAGCAAGCTTTCATATCATAGGTAATTAAACCCCCTTGACTACCTACCTACACTGGCTATTCGTACTTCCCTTTTACCAGCTGTAATATGGTCTCTGTGCCGTAACGGGCCGGTTCGGTAGATGTACCCATGGGCGTTTCCGTGCCTGCTTCTCTACCTTTTCGTCGTGCTGTCGTATCCTCGTCTTTTCTTCCTTGAGAACTAGAGAGATGGCTACAAGAAAATGAGAGGTTAGTAATCTTTGTGTTTTATTCATTTATTCATGTTTATCTAACTTGTTTTCTTACTCGCTCACTCGACAAGTCGAAACATAAAGCTAGTTTTTTTTTTTTTTTTTTTTTTTTTTTGGTAACAAAAAAAGGGAAAAGGGGGAAGGGGGCATAGTTTGAGAGATGAATAAACGTAAACTTACCGGCAGTCGGCCTCCACATCTGCGACATACGACTTCGCGCGTGGTACTGGATACGCACGCCGCGCCAAGGGCCCTTGGTGACCCAGGACTGGTCGACGTACAAGGTGGACGGGTCGGAAACCTCCATCCAGCGCCCGTCCTTGGTCTGGATCTTGCGGGGCTTCTCGAGGGTCTTGCCCTGGGCGGCGCCGAGCCCCATGCCGTGGGCGGCGATGGCGGCGTCGCGGGCCTCCTCGAGCTGGACCCGGACCTCGCGGGCCATCTTCTTCTTGCTGAAGCGCATCTGCGTGATGGCCTCGTCGACCGTCTTGCCCGCGATCTGCCGCGACAGGAACATGAGCTTCTTGGTGCTCGTGGGCAGGTTCGGGCTCGCGCTCGCGTGCTCCTTCTCCGTGAGCCGCACGCGCTGCTCCCGCGTGAGCGGCTTGTCGCCGTCCCGCACCATCTGCATCACCTTCTTCTTGAGGAAGCGGACGCGCCACCGGGGGTCGGGGTTCTCGGCTCGCTCCATGTGTTCTTTGACCTTCGTACCGGCGCCGATCGGCGTAGCGGCGACCTTCTTGTCTTCCGGTATATCTCTAGGCGCCTCGCCCGGCGGCTGTAGCTGCTGCGCCGCCGCCTTCTCCGTCTCCTTGATCTCCTCCTCGAAGATGGAAGCTCCCTGGGTTCGCTGCATGTTCTTTTCGGCGATCATCTGCTCGCGCTCGCGGCGGGAGAGCTCTTGCGCGAAGGGCGACTTGGCGGAGTTCGAGGAGCCCCAGCCGAACCAGGCATGACGGCGCTGGGTCGTGGGCTGTAGATATTGTAGATGTAAGGATGGCTTGCCGGCGGCGGCGGCGGCGGCGGCGGTGGTGGTGGAGGTCCGCGCTGCTATATTTAAAAGAAAATAATTGATTAGCTAGCTTTTAGGGGGGCGGGATTCGAACAAGGTGAAAAAGTACCGGCTGTGGCTACCCGCCTTGCCGGCAGATGTAAGCTCATGGCTTCTACGAGATTGGGAGGGGGGTGCGAAGCTTATAGAGCGGGCTTTCGAAAGGGTGATCTCGAAGTTGTAGTTAAGAAAAAAGTTGAAATGCTTTGGAGGGACGGTTAGGAGACCGAGTTTTGCCGATGTTTAGCCGGGTGTCGGATCAAAGGGAGGTACCTAATCTAATCGTACCGCGTTAGGTACTTTAGCTATGTATTTAGCTATGTAATCGACTAATTCACGTGACTCATACAGCAGAGAGAAGCTCCTCTCCAAAGCTTCGCGCGAATTGGGAAACTTGATCATACCATACCATTCATTTCCAACCAACTTTTTTGAAACGACATACCCGAGAATTCCACGAATTCGCCCGCCATCTTCCCGCTAAACCTACCTCTCGCACGTCCTCCTTAGAATCGCATTCGAAATGGCCGTCGCACCTATCACCGGCGTAAGTTATTAGCTCAGTTGCCATCGCTGCTTATAACCCCTCCAAGTTCTCGAGGCTGATTTTCGTCATTATAGATGCTCCGACGGGGCCTAGTTACCGACCTCGCCATTGCGCTCGGTGCGTTTACTCGCTCCATTGCTGGAAACGATCCTATATTTCCAGGGCTTCAAATATCGTACAAAGGGGGCATTTTAGCTAATTCAAAAATCGCAGGATTGGGCTCGATTTTCGGCTCTTTGTACTGGTAAGGACAATAGTTCATAAAAGCATACCCCCTCCCCCCTGGAGGAGCGGGAAATTCGAGTAAAGAAATAGGTAATGGGCTAACTTGCATTATTCAAGGCACGGATACCACATGCCGCGCACCTATGCCCGAGACAACTTCTACAGGAAACTCGAGCAGGAGCGAGCCGCCGCGAGAAGCGTCTAGATTGCGAAGTGCGAAGACAGCAGCAGCAGTGCGAAGGGGGAGGAAAAGCATATAAGATACTAGACGAGAATAACTTGACTGTGGTTGGGGGAATGCTGTAAAAGGTGGTCATACTTTGAAAGCTGGAGACGGGACGGCCGACTGCATTATACGAACGAGTACCCGCCTACCGAATCTAGGCTCCCTGAGCATTTCTTTTCTATCCTATTGTCTTGTGCAGCGTAATTTGATGATATTTGTGTGATTGGGCGTGTTATCGGCCTTGTTCGTATGACGGTTATGACGTAGTTGTAGTATGTAAATTTGAAAATTAGAACGTCAGTAGCATCAACCTTATACTGCATTATACTGCGATTTAAGATAACTATCATAAAATTATACGTCAATGTATCTGTGTATCCCCGCTGCGACTCTCATCTCTCTTGGTCCCCTCCCAAATCGTTGTCTCAACCATAAAACTCCCCTTCTTATCCTGACATCTAAACCCCCAACTCAAATAATTAGATTTACATTACTATTTTTTCTTATTTTTTTTTTTTGTTAAGGGCGAACAAGCTTTAACTCACCGGCGAAACCATCGCTGCACGGGCCAGCACCGCACCGGACTATTCGACACGTCCGGGCGATCGATCTGGCACTCGTACTGGACCATCGAGAAGAGCTCGCAGGCCGACAGGTCGACCCGCCCGCCTTTGCGCGCGCGGCCCTCGGTCGCTTGGATCTCGGATTCGAGCCGGGAGGCTGGGAAGACTCGGCACGGGGGTGCCATATCGACTCTGTCTTTCTCTCTTCGTCTTTCTCTCTCTCTCTTTTATTAATATGTGATATACGTGAATGGAAAGAAAAGGAGGATGAATAGGAACGTGGCAACGGCGAAACACGTCGGTGCTCAATTATTGGGTGATATTGAAGAGGGCAGCTTGGAAGAGGTATGTCTATGCTTTCCTAAGTCGCGCTTTTGGCATATTTTTCTTCTTTCTTTTTTTCTTTTTTTCTTTTTCTTTTTTTTCTTTTTTTTTTAAAAAAAAAAAAAACTATAGGAGTGATGCTGTATGAAAGATGCAAGATGGAAGGAAGATGGCTCATAGCTTCGATTAAATCTTATCTTATCACCGGTTCATAAATACAATATATACTACCTACCCATCGCTCTTATAGCGGATGTATCATCGCAGAACCATGACTTTATTTATTCATTTTATTTGTAAACTATTTTATTTCCCTTTTGATTCATTTATTTATCTATTTATTTTTCATGATCATTATGATTATTTAAAAATAGGACTAATCGATACACACCAGCTTCTCAACTCCCTCCGCCTACATCCCCCAGCCGGCTCTTCTACTCCCATCCGCCCAAACATCCCCATCCCGGCCCTAGCCAACATAGCAACTCGCCACCACAAAGCAGCGCAATCCACCCCACCACCTGTCCTCTCCGTGAGCGGGCGATACCTCCCGTTCCTGTACCACTTGATATCCTCGCTCATCGCCGAGCCGCACACCTACGCGGTGGTCGTAGTCGACGCCGAGCGCCGTTTCGACGTGTCCCGCCTCGTCGGTTCCCGCTCCCCGAGCAGCTATCCGGCGCGGCTGGACGATCTGCGCCACGTATACGTGTGCCGGCCCGCGCGGGCGCGGGACCAGGTGCGGGCGGCGGTGCAGGCGGCAGGAGAGTGGATGCTGTACGGGGCGCACGGGAGCCGGGGCCGGGAGCTGTGGGGCACGGTGGTGATTGGCGGGGGCGAAGGAGGAGGAGGAGGAGGGGGAGGAGGCGGTGCGAGCGTAAAGGGGGATGTACATGCTGGTTGGAAGGGCTGGCTTAGGGTCGAGAGGGAAGAGGTGGAGGGATTTCCGGCGGGCGCGAGCGTAGAAGAAGCACTGCGCGATAGGGATAGGAGGCAGGAGGTTGTGGAAGATGCGGGATGGGTAGCGAGTTCGAAGGTTGGGAGTTATTTGTGGAGGAATAATTGATTAATTAATTCTTTTTTTTTTTTTGCTGGTCTCATGGATGTGCCTCTCTATGTTTTTTACAAGCAGTCAAGCCCCAACATAGCCAGACGATCACACCAAAGTATTTTATTTCATTTATTTATTATTCATTCATCTTACTCTAACTTGTAACGCCAATACGTTTACGTTAATCCGTTATACAAGCCTCTGGTTTATATATAACTCGTCTCGCTAGATTTGCTCATCCATTGTCATCCTCCCCTTAGAAGCTAGAAAGCCGTCCATACGCCCACGCAATGTTATGCCCAAAGTGAACGCTTATATCAAAGCTTTTTCTGGTATAAAAAAGACTATTCATCGACGCCGCAGCCGTATTGCTGGTCAGCAAGGACGAATTCTCAAACGTCGAGGCAGGCCTCCAATATCACCGGATTTATCTGCTCACGGCTAGTACCTTTGTCACCGAGTCGCGCATCTCAAGGCGCTCGTAGTACTTCTTCAAATTCTCGTATACGCATCCATCTTGCTCGAACACGTCTTGTCCTCGTGTTCCAACCGCCTCGTGAAGGATGGGCCAGAATACAAAGTCGGCAAGGGTCATAGTATTTCCAGCGATGAAGTCGTTACCTTCCGCTGCGTAATTATCCCACGTATCCAGGTCCTCCTTTGGCAATTCTTGCTTTCCTAACAAGGTACGTGCTTCCTGGTAGCGATTCGCCTCTTCTTGAGTATTCCGTGCTGTGTCCTTATTTTCAGGGCCGTATTGGCGTTGGAGATATTCCATAATTTCGAATTCTCCATGAACAGCCGTCTTCGAGGAGTCGTTATCGACAAATTTAATGGGAGGATTCCCGCTAGGTTTGCCATCTTCTCCGCTGTGATAGGACGACATACTACCTCTCGCATAACCAATTCCATACTCGGCCAACATTAGTTGAACGCGCATGTTAACCAGCGGATCCGGCGACAAGAATAGTCGGGCCGCGGCGGTGAGGTGCAAAACATCAAATCCCGCACCGTAATACTCGTCCCAATTAAATTCTGTCGACTGATTCTCGCGCCCGAAACACTGTAACATCCGGATAGCTTCGGGCGTCTGTCCGTTGATCACAGGTTTCGCGTGCTCCCTCGTCTTCGAAGTAGCTCCTTGCCCCCAAATTAGCTTATTTTCACCATCCAGGAAGGTTCCTATCCTCCTGAACGTCAATGAGATGCGACCACCGTCGTAAGCTAATTCCTCTTGGGTTTTTTCGCGATCCAACCTCTTATCCTGTCGGATACCGTGAAGCCATCGCATATTCGTCTGTAATCCCATCTGAAAAAGCGAATTATGAGGTAGAGGCGCTCGTTGGATCTGACGTTTAGTCTCCTTAGTCTCTGGAGATGAAAGCTCTGCTCCGTCTACCGAATTCTTATGTTTTGGTTGTCGCTTCGTTCGTAACACCATAACTCGTTCGGCCCCGAGACTAACATTAGCGATATAGCTGCCTTTGGCGATATCCAGCGTCTTATCGCTATGCTCCGAGATATAGTCGTTACCGTGGCGGTAAAATTGTATTAGTACGTGATTTAAGGGATGTCCCAATTGCTTCTCGATAACTTTTTTAATCTCGAGTACCGTAGGTGAAAATGGTAATAAAGGGGGCGATTCGTCCGACGGATGGCGATAGATAGGCATACTGCCATCCTCTTCTACTTCTCCTTGGACGGCGACGAGTCTTGGCACCTCGCCGCCCTGGTGAGACATGCTTTGCCACCGAACCTCATCTCTCACCTTCTGAAAGATATTTTCCGATAGCGGGTGTGGTAGCACGTCGTATACGACTTTAGTATCACCTTCACATAGAGGCTCGCACTCCCTCGGCTTTACTTCTGACGCCATTGTCCTACTTTGGTCAACTTTAGTGTTCGAACCTTCCAATGGACGTTCGATACGTGCTATGTGCTTCTCGTTGTTTGACGGCTCACTCACAGCTCCTGATGAGTTTGTCGTATTTTCTATAGGAGAAGGCTTATTAGAATCGCTCTCTTCTGCTGGTGAGGTGGATTCGTCGCTTTTTAATCTAACCGAATCGGAAACACTTGGTTTATCCTTTTTGTCTGGTTGATGCGACGTTTCTGAATCTTGTGGAGTAACAGAGGCTTTATCGTCCCGCGGTGAGATTTGAGAGATATGATCGGTATGACCACATGTTTGTGAGTCATGGTCGTCCGAGTTTTGCTGGAGCTGGAGCTGGAGTTGGTGCGGATGCGGATGCGGATTGGATTCTACCTCGCCATCGGGCGCGACCGTGGAACTAGCACGTGACTTTCGATTATTCTGCGCTGTTGGTTTCACCACGGGTTGAATCGGTGATGTTGGCTGTTCTTTCGCGGGTGATTGGACGCGGGGAATAACATCGGCTGCGCGCTGAGAGTTTAGCGACAGGTTTTCAAACGAAGATAATAGATCTGAGGCCGAGGACGCAGCATAATTATCCTCTTCCCCGGCACGACGTACTGTAGAGTATCCGCCCGCTGGAGAAGTTGCCGGCCTATCGCCTGGCCTTCTAGAGCTCTTCGGCTTCGGCTTTAGGGACGCCACTATTTGTCCCGCGAGCAAGACCTCACAGCCCGTCATGTTAGAAATCTGCTTGAGGGAGTTACGATGTTGCGCGATGGCGTTGTAACCGCAGCAGTCGTTGACTAGTGTAATCGTGTATCCGTGGCTCGCGGCGTCGATAGCGGTCGCCATAACGCTTATATTAGTTACAGAGCCGCATATGAAGAGCTCCGTGACGAGCCTCATGCGTAATAAGCGAAGTAGGTGCTCTGACCTAAAAGCCGAGTAATGCGACTTCACTATCGAAAAATCCCTAGGTCCGACAGCCCCTTTAATAGTCGGGTGTATCTCCGCCCCGGAGGTACCTGGCCGTACGCATTTTGGTTGGCCTGGAGATTCCTGAGCTAGGAACGCTTCCGGCGACTCGAGTTGCTGGTTCGTTTGCGGCGGCGTCTGCTTTCGACGACCTCGGGAGACGTCTGGGGATCGGGAGTAGCTCGACCGATCCGACGGTAGAATTTGTTCCTCCAGAGAAGAGCGCGATTTCTCGAATCTACTACATACCCAGATGATATCGTCGCCGCCCTGTCGTAGCGAGGTTGCGAGATTTGCTATCCGCTCTGGGAGATCCGGGGGCATCTTCATGGGTAGGGCGCCATCTTCAGCCAGAAAGTCGTTCTGGGGATCAACCACGATCAGGGCTCTACGTGTGGTTAGAGACGGGAGAAGGCTCCTGTCTATAGGAAACATGATATCAAGAAACTGGCTTGCGACAAGCAAAAAAGAAGAAGAAGAAGAAGCTTCTAGGCTGTTAGTTAGGGCCGTGAAGTATAACATGGTAGGCAGCAAGAGAGTGAACTTACTTTATTTATTTTTTATTCGATTTTTTATTGAATTTTTTTCAACGGGGTATACCAACCACTACGACATGCTCGAAAGATAGCAGCCTCGTTCTTGCAAGACTCGAGGTTAACGACGAAAGGGCGTGACATAAAGTAGAAAATCGACGTATACCGGGGGAATATACTATGTATGACTAGGGCTGTAGAATAAGCTTGGCAAATCCGCGTCCGAGCCAATATAAGTTGGATCGAGCCAAGTAATCAACCGATACCAAGAAATCGACTGGGATTCGAAGTGGGTGAACAGGCTATGCCTTGACAATCGGGAGCGGAACCAAGATAACCACGGGTCCGATATAGAAGATAATCCTTGAGAGGCCAGGCGAGAATTCGTGTCGATGTATATTCTATACGTTAGGATGTAAATAAATTTAAATAAATATAGAACGTAAATATAAAAATTATGAAGACGAGGATAAAGGTAAATGCGAATATAGAGATAGTAGCAAGTGTATATATACAATTTCCGCGCTCTCGGCCGAGTGATTAAACGTGTTGTCGACGAAGGAATAATAAAGGTTGGTCACAGGTCACGAAGGGCCCAGAGACGAGATGGTATAAGATAGTAAAAGTATGCAGGACAGGGCAGGACAGGGCAGCCTGTCTTGATATGACGATGAATAGCATCTGCATGCATGTGCGATGGTCTAATAACAGCTCGACATAGTGATGCATAAGTAATAGCAACAAAATGTCAATTTGAGGTTTAGTGCCCTTTTTTATTTTTCTCTGTGTTTTCTTTTTTTATTCTTCCGCTCGGGGAATGGAAAAGATGGACAGGGGAGTGAATCTGAAGATGGGGGTTTTGGTTGGAGGGGTGTGAGACAAGGGGAAAAAAAGAAGTAAAAATAAAAATAAAGTACTTTCCTTTTACTTGGGGGAATTACTTTGTACATAAGGTTAGGTACAGGTTAGGTAGACAAGAGCTTATTTGGGGGAAGTTCGAGGCGAGAACCACCCCCAAATCTGATGTACTTATGTATTACTCCGTTTAAAGCCCGCATTATACAATATTTAAATGCTGTTTTTAGTGGTGATGCAACTAAGATATAGTACATGGAGGAGGCTTATCCGCTCAAGTTTAGTTGTTAATTTAGTGCATGTAGTTACGAATTTGTACATTAAGCCACAAGTAACAAGCGCCTGCAACGATGAAGTTTAATCGTAATTATTATTTTACCCCATTAAAGTCTAGTGTAGTCTAATCGCTCTTTTCCTTCATTTTTTTTCATTTTCTTATTTTTTTTTTCAAGTTAAAGCTTGAGAATATTGGAGAAATTACCTACATTCCATCATTTCTATATCCTTCTACGCTGACCACGTATTCAAATTGTGTCAAAATATGTACGCTCGGGCCGGTAATCTGCGAAATCTGATGGGGAGGTCAATGCGGATCTGCGGGTGCTTCGAAAAATCTACGTATTATGGCAGATCCGAGAGCCAACGTGATTCCGCCAATCTGTTCTAGACCTCTTCAAGAAAATGCCCTTATGGCCCTTGTTGAGGAAATTCCCCGCCGTGATTTGAGATGGCTGGATGACTGGATGACTGAATGGCTGAGATATCCACCGAGTGGATGCGCTTTTCTTTTCTTTTGTCGCCCTGCCGCCTTCCCTTTGAGAACTTGGCTCGATTCGGCTCGTCGATCAGACTATAATGCTCTGATCTATCCTCTTCGATGCGGGTAGGAGCCATCATACAAGCAGACAAGGGCATCTGGGCATATAGACGCAGGACGAGGAGCTGCTTACGATCTACAATGCCGCATGCCAAACGAGAAGCGAGAATCTATACTTTTCTTCGCCTTATTGATTCGCCTTACTGATTTACCACGCATATCCTATATAATAGGTATACCCATACCCATACCCATACCCATACCCATACCCATACCCATACCCATACCCATACATATTCCTATATATTGACATGCTCGTACATATCTGTATTCTCCATCCCGAAGCCGTATAACCCGGCCAAGAATACCCTAATTGGCTTGGCCGTGCATGTACGTATCCGAAATCACGGCGCTATGCGTGAGGCATTAATCATGTGCTGTTTTGCATGCCAGATCCAAATTGACACGAGCATCCGTCACTGATCGAGGGCGAGGCGAAAGTAAGCCGAAAATGAAGAAGAACAAAAGGGTCTCGTGCTGACCGCCCCTTGCGCAAGTCCTGTAAGTGACAACGTGCTTGTAAACTTGTAAACTTTGTAAAGGTGTGTACTATGTAGCTCCTGACGATCCCTCGGGATAGTCTTACGCCTCGCCATAAACAATTTATTATTTAGTATCTCATCCCGACCATAGATAAGTCGATTGCCTCGTCGAAATGGGCTTGGGCTACGATTACTACGTGACACGGTATGTGCAATGGTATTTAACCGCTCGTCAAGGATACTTACGCCTCGATTAATAAGAGAACATGATGAGCATGACGTTCACGTGGGTGAAACTTCATGATCTTTTACCCATCTCCAACACGGATTCTTCGTCGTCATTGGCCGCCCTATCTGCTAACTACTTTACGTATCTCATCTATTTCACCTACCTGACGTAGGCAAAACAATGCTACATACATACCTACGTACAACTACGCTACTATGTTTGTGTTAACGTGCTAAGGCGTACGAAAAAGAACCATGCAGGGTGTGGATCTTTCTCCAGTTCAACCCCACGCCGATGCCCCCTTGTCTTCTAATGTACGCTAGCTTTCCCTGCCCGTTATCCCCCTAGATATATGAGACTTACCCTCCATGTTCTCTCGCTTGGTTTTAAATAAGTTGGGTAAACACCCTTACGATCGAGTAAAATCTACGGGCCTGCATTCCTCCGTAGGACTTCTAGAAGGTGGCAAGGGCAAGGGGCATAGGCATGGGTATGGGTATGAGCGAGGTCATGGGCATATTGTGCAAGGGTTACAAAAAGTTGTTATTTTCTTTTCTTTTTCTCGTGCGAGAAGGATGCAACGATATATGCTAAAAGCCGACCGTGCGAATCCCGCAAGAGTAATGAGAAAGCGATTGGAGGACCTTGTTGCCCCTCTCGCGCGAGTCGTTGTCAAAAATGCATAGTACTCCGCTGGAAGGAAGGGGTTGTGCTCTCAGGGGTGAAACGAACTGTCAGCGAGTCACACGTAAGATCTTTATTATTATAGCTGTCTCTTTTTTTTCCAACTTGAAAGGTGTAATTTAGGTAGGTTAATGTCAATCCATAGGTTGGTGAACGAGGCGGAGCGGAATAAGAACCGCTGTCGAGTGTTACCTTTCATCGTACTGACAACTGTAGGTACGTGGAGGCGATACAACCCCAAACGGCGTCCGGCTTCTACATACAGACGGATACGTAGACGTACATATAACAAGCATGTACAATACAACGAGCAACAAGCATACACGACAGGCACAAGACAGGCGCGAGCTGCTGCATATACGTACATATTCTTTCGGGTCTCCCCCGAGGGCCGCGTGTCGGAATTGTTTATGTCGAGCCGGGGTGGGAAACTTCCGAGAAAAAAAAGATACGAAACGAATCCGAACAGCCCTCTCCATGTAACGAGGTCTTTGCCTGCCGTGCCTAAGTGAGAATGGCAGTCAACAAATGTAGGTCCGTAGAAATATACATGTACGAGCGGGCGGTTCCGTAGCTCCCTACATATTTTCCGCTGCGGGAGGAACGGGCCATGCCTTAAAATGGGAGGTGAGTATTCGGAGCTGAAAGGAGAAATAAAAATAAAATATGGGCTAATGTAAATAATAAACTTTGCGATGTATAACGACTCGACCGAGTAAGATCAATTGAAATCATGCTTGTAACTAAGAGCCTGTAACTACTGACCTACTACGATTCGTATAGTAAGGGGCATGTGAGAGCGGCTGGATGGTTTCCCCCCTAATGTCACGTATATTACGCTTGTTTAACCATCCCGAGTCATCATCTACCACTCGAAACAAATGGGAATCTACCTAGTAATTATTAACTTATAACCGACGTTGGGGAGTTAAGCCCAGACGTTTCCAATCCCGAGAGGCGTCGGCTTTACGGATCCGATATCATATGTATTATTATAGTGAGTGTATGATATGTCTCTTTTGGGGGGGTCATAATAGGGAAGCATGACTTGTATCCTTTTTTATAATGGCAATATCTTTTTTTTTTTTTTTTTCTAGAAAACTTGTCTTACCGGGGCCTAACATATCTCAAGCTGCCCACCCCCTGCCGTATGCACAACATCGTAGAACGAATAATAATAAAAAGAATAATAATAATAAAAGAGGAACCTCGGGATTTGATCGAAAAATGGAGATTAGGTATCATCTCATAGCCCATTCCTTCCCTCCCCCCCACACCGTTGTAATTGTCGAGCGAATCCTTGATGCCAGATCATCGAGACCCAACCGAACGCGTCCGTCACTCTATCTGGCCGCAGTAGCATTTGTGATTACAACCCCATACTGTAGCGACCGCCAGCTATCGATTTATGGCACTTTAACTACCGGGTGATCTCATTGAATTTTGGCCGCATGGCCCCGGTAGGATCCGAGCACTGACGATGCAGAGCCGCGAGCAGCACACCGACTCGTAGCTCCCGCTCGTCAAAGTTCGGCCTGGCGATTCGCCAGACGTCCTCGATCAGATGGGCGAAGGCCAGCGCTTCGAGCTTCTAGCGCTGCTGCTTATGGTTTAGGTTACCCGTAGATAGACGCCGCGCCGAAGTCGCCCAGAAGCGCGTGTCCCCCTCCTTCTTCTCCTTCTTGGTCGTAGAGCACATTATGAGCGTATATATACCTACCCATGTGCGACGCCTCGGTCGTGCAGGTGGTGTCCTGCTGCGGCGGCGACGCCTTGAAGGATTCGCGAACCCTGGCGTGTGGTTAGACTGATCTCCTGCGAGAAGCAGTCCCTCGTGCAACGCTGCAAGGACGGTGGGAGCCCTAGGACACTAAAGCAAGTTGGCACAAGCTGCATGACGAGCCCTTCCTTATCCGGGTGATCAGTAATCTTCCCCAGAGGATCTATGAGATTAGCGTGGGATCCCGCGGTGACGCACGCTAGCATCTCGTCGGCGGGCGTTCCATCGCTCGTCACATCTCCCTTGGACAGCTTGACAGCTAGCTACCTCTCGGGCCTGGCCGGTCGCGTTCCATGCTCCCTTTGAGATAAGTCCCGAGGCGCCTCCGCCGAGGAGGTGGTGAACCTGACGATCCGTCCAGCTGACATCGGGAAGGGAGCTGAAAGGAGTGGTGGTGGTATCACTTACACCCTTTTAGGTCGCGGCTAGGGAGGAGGAGGAGGAGGAGGAGGAGGAGGAGTAGTAACAACACGAATTGCCGGCAAATGAGAGGAAAGCGAGCCCAGGTAGGTCGAAGAGCCAATTTGGCAGTTCTCGGAGGCGATTGGCGGAGAGTCGTAGCAGGCCGAGCTTCCTACATGCGACCATGTCTTCCGGCAGGCAACTCGGTTGGTGTGCGGTCAGCAAGCACTCCTAGAGGCGTCCACACCGCCCGATGCTCTTAGGTAAACGTTTTATCCGATTGTTGGTCAGGATCAAACCAGCGAAGGCTTCGGCGGCAGAGAATTCTCCGGCACGTCGGGTCATCTGGACAGGACGCCAGCTGGGCGGGAAAGACGGTAAAGTTGCAGTCGGAGAAGAATGCTATCTTGAGCTGTTTTAAGCGACTAAGATCATCCTCCGGTAGGCTGAACAGACCTGTTCCCGAGACATCTAGATGTCGAAGCAAACCAGCCGCGTCGAATACGTTGGTTGGGAAGCGACGTAGATGCACCTCGGGCCTAGATTTATTAATTATTTATTAACTTGGCTTTATGATGATTCATTATCACGTCTACAGATGGCTATAGTAATAGACAAGTTGGGAATTGAGAAGCGCCACCTGGGTAACATCTAAGCCAGCCTCTTATTAGTATCTTAGTATATCACAAGAGCAGTAATCTATGTGATGTGCGTGCGATTAAGTACCAACAGATGGGCTATAATGAATTACTTGAGTCAGTTCAGCCAGCGATATCTCTATATATTTTAGGTACCTACGTCGGGGGATGATGATAATAGAACTTTAGTGTATGACTAGTCGCAAGCAACTTTGGTGATGAAGTCCTCGCGCATGCTATTTGCTATTTTGCGCTACACTAATAGCACACTAACAGCTCGATTATTGATTATTTACCTGGTAAACAATAATACTTTAAATCGTATAAAGTACTACATTAGAATATCAGTGACATAGGATCGCCGAACTAACCCTTATAAACCTTTTCAAAATGTGTAAATAAATTGAAAGAATTCATATCAATTCAATTTTATACCGTTACCAATTTTAATGCTTCCATTATCATATGAATGGGACAGCTGCGGCATGCTTCACGATGGTGTTTCGTCATAGGTCTCTACAACATTGTCAAGTAGTCTGGCGGCCTCGAGTTTTAAATGAGCAGCCCTACCAAAACTAATAACCTACTTCAGCTACTTGTAATTCTATAGCCAAACTAACAGTAAATAATACACGAATTATATCAAAATAATTGTAAAAGTATATATTATTTATGTGATTTTCCTTATTTCTTCTTTACCTTTCTACGAATTTCTATAATTTTTTTGAATTCAACATGGTTGGTCTTGTATGTGCTGTTGTTTTTGTGGGTCAACTGCTCATTTAATTTTCGCGCCTGCCAGGTAGTCAAGCCACAATCGGTCCTTGCGGCCACACCGGCCACATGGCACCATAGAACGGTACGTATCGATTAAAGACAACATAGGTAGGTACATGTACCTTAGCTCTTTCAGGCCCACTTTACAAGGCCGCAGCGTGAATTAGTGGAATCCCTGTCGGTTCAAGCTCGGTTCAAGCTTCGTTTCCTTCTTCTCAACATCTTCAACATCTTCAACTTCAATCACAGAGCCAGCCTTGTCGACCATCTCTTTCTGATCGCTGCTTTGAATAAGCCTATTCAACATATTTTGATTATCGCATTTTTTAGGCTTCTCAATCCGCTCTTATATCTTCTCGAATTACGAAAGGATCCGACATCACCGCGTCCGTTCGCAACGTCGCTGTTTATAATTCGATAACTGCGTTTATTCATGAGATATCGAGGTCTACGAGACCAGAAGCCAAAGTGCCGTAGGGAAGGCGTTTGACGAGCAGCCAGCTAAGCTCGGCGAAGCTTTATCCCCCGCCTTCTCGACGCTATTTCCGTGCGAACGAACGAACGCGCGGGTATTCTGCCGGCAATATTCGATAGTCTGGTTTTTTCTTCACGCATACGCCGACGAAATCTGCAGCCATAGCCATCTCGTCGGCTTCCTTCATATTTAATTTTTATCCTACTGCAACGAGCCGCCTGGAAGGACGGGAATATTGGATACATACCATACGACTCGTGCGAATAACTGGTGCGAAGCACCTCGTTTTCAAACCGAGATTAGGAGACTTGCGTGCCTCGCCAGAAGCCCCTTCTTTGTTATACTCGTTCTTACGGTCCCGGTCTCGCGATATACGAATTGCAGATCGAATTTAATAATTAATTTCATATGATGGATTCCTCCCTCAAGCGTGCCGTTCCTACCGATGACGAACCCCAACAAGAGCCTCAGGCTAAGCGACAACGAACAACCGAGCCCGATTCCCGTTCTGTCACGCCAGCCGATGTTGATACGTTAGAAAAGCCCGCTTATAACGTGGTGAGGAGACCGAACGCGGAAGATTTTGGTAGAGATGGGCTACGACGTTCTATAGGCGTGGCGCTGAAGCACGTAGGCTTTGATGCTGCTACTCCTGACGCTCTGGAGAGCTTTACGGAGACGGTTGACACATGTATGTGCAAAATAGACGCGTTCTTTCTTTTTTTTTCTACTTTTTCGATTCTCCGGCATTCTAACTGTAATATAGATATCACGGGCTTCATCAAGCACCTCCGTCGTACGGCAAATGCGGCAAGGAGAAACGATCCTATACCCGAAGATTTCGAGCTCATCCTACGTCGTCACGACGTTGACCTATCGAGTCTAAAATTGCATCTTAAGAATCCGGTGCGAGAAGAATACCTTACGCCATCATTTTTCGACCCCGTAACGGAGGATGTACAATATTTACAGAAGCCGAGGCCTTTCCTTGGCGAGGAGCTATCAGGAGAGAAGGAGAAAGAAGCGCGACCGTGGATACCCAAGAATTTTCCCGCATTTCCTAGCGCGCACACCTACAAGTTCACCCCCGCGAAGTTAGAGCCCGACATAGAAAAGGAGCAATTACAAGCGGAGGCGGATGCGAAGAAGGGCGAGGCGGCGTTGAGGCGAATTAACCGGGCTGCTAGGATCAGTCGGCAGAAGGAACTCAGAGCGGTGGCGCAGCGCGAACCGCTCAGCCGTAAACGACATCAAAACTGGGAGACAATCATGTCCGAGTTGTTACCCAAGGCCGGTCCGCCGGCGAGCGGCGCGCCGGATATCGCCGACCATAGCACGATCGTTAACTTTGGGACTAAATACGGGCGGAAGGGCATGCCTAAAACTAGCCGACGGCCGCAAACCGATCCCTTTAACGGGCTAATATGACGACCGGGCATATGGATTGGATAGGTAACTTATATTGATACGGACGCCACACATGATCTCGATGGGCGATTAATACCTGGTCTTAGCGGTAAGAAGCTGTATTTCCTTGTATTGGGTTGAGTTGTTTTAAGAGAATTGACATGATTAATAGTGAGATATAGGTTATCTCCCGAGCAGCTTCTTTCGGCTAAGGTGTTGAGTTTTATTAAGCTCTCTTGGCCGCCTTACACAGAAGTATTATGCTACGTTGTCGGGGAACTAGGTTGATATTACCTATTCCTACGCGTCCCTGTAGTCTCTAGACATCCTGAGAGTGATGCGTGAAATGCCGCTAGAGGAGGCTAGACCAATCGCTCCTTGAGGAAGAGCAAGAGCTATTCCTAATTTTTAGCGATTTTGAGATACACACTCAGATGTTATTGTTTAAAGATACCCAATTTAAGCGTTGTTCTGATAACTCGATTCTACTTTTTTGAGCATCGACGGAGGTTATGTTATTAATGCTTTATTTTACGACCGCATCGTAAGAAGGTAATTGTATGGCTCCTTTCACGACCCCTTTTCTATTAATTCTTTACTTCCCCTTTTTTTAGTTCCTTAGTCTCCCTGTAGTTACATAAGCACGTAAAAATACCTACCTACCTATGTACGCAGTATTGTACCTACTAATGAATTACTTACATAACTTAGGTAGAGTTAGGGAGATCAGTTTGCTTTGCCAGCTGCGAAGAAACTAATGTGCAGCTGTATACAAGCTAGCTCCAAAGTTTTTTTTAGGGCGTTCGTTGGACTTATCGATTAATTGATTGGACAGAGCCCCGCTGGTGCGGCAAGGCTGGTCTTGTTTTCTTAGGGAGCTGCCGTCAATTTAGCGATTTGACCCTAAGAAATTCGCACACAAAATTTCTCGGGGAAAATTTCAAGTCTGTCAAGACAACCATCTCGATCACTCGATCAATTCAGCGAAGCACATCCAACACTTCCCTCCTCGCCAACAATTTAAAGGTGTACTTCGCGAAAGATTCGAGTATCCCTTCACAATGGCCGAGCAACTTATTCTCAAGGGCACTCTCGAGGGCCACGTAAGTAACGATTTATTTTTATTTTTATTTTTTATATTTCTATTTATTCGTCATCTCGGCGGCGCCAACAGCACAACACCAACAAATGGCAGTGACATCGCTCGAGCTGGAGATTTAATAAATTAATTATCTACGAAAAACCACCTATAACAAACGCATGGCTAACCGGATTTCTTTATTATAGAATGGCTGGGTTACCAGTTTGGCTACCTCTATCGAGAAGTATGAACCATCATTTACTACAATAACGCCTCTATTCGTACTTTACCAATCGCAAAAGCTTACCTATCGTCGTATAGCCCCAACATGCTGCTGTCCGGCAGTCGTGACAAGACCCTAATTATCTGGAACCTCACTCGCGACGAGTCGCAATACGGATACCCCAAGCGATCTCTCCACGGTCACTCTCACATCGTCTCCGACTGCGTATGTTTTGTCCCTCACTGAAAATCATTACGAGTGGTGGATATAATAATTATAATAATAATGGTGGAGGAAAGAAACTTTGCTGACGGAATTCGATATTCAGGTCATCTCCTCCGACGGCGCTTACGCCCTTTCCGCTTCTTGGGACAAGACACTCCGATTGTGGGAGCTCGCTACCGGTACCACCACGAGGCGATTCGTCGGCCACACCAACGATGTCCTCTCCGTCTCTTTCTCCGCAGACAACCGACAGATCGTCTCCGGTTCCCGAGACCGAACCATCAAGCTGTGGAACACTCTAGGTGACTGCAAGTTCACCATCACCGACAAGGGCCACACCGAATGGGTGTCCTGCGTCCGCTTCAGCCCTAACCCCCAGAACCCCGTTATCGTCTCCAGCAGCTGGGACAAGCTCGTCAAGGTACGTCTTACAACACCACCGATTTTGTCACGTTTGTTCCAAAAAAAGAAGAAAAAAAAAAAGAGGAGGAATCCCGCGAAGTCTTTCAAATGATGCTCTGCATATTCAAGTATTTGCTACTTCAGAGCTTGCTCGCAAGCCATGAGACATCTTTAACACCATTGCACTGATGATATACAACTTCGCTACCCCTTTTTTCATGGTATTTTGGGAAATGAGATGAAAAACACCAATTACTAATTCTTCCGCTCGTTAGGTTTGGGAACTCTCCACCTGCAAGCTCCAGACCGACCACATCGGCCACACCGGCTACATCAACACCGTCACCATCTCCCCCGACGGATCCCTCTGCGCCTCCGGTGGTAAGGACGGTACCACCATGCTGTGGGACTTGAACGAGTCCAAGCACCTGTACTCTCTCAACGCCGGTGACGAGATCCACGCCCTCGTCTTCTCTCCTAACCGATACTGGCTCTGCGCCGCTACCGCCAGCAGCATCATCATCTTCGACCTCGAGAAGAAGAGCAAGGTTGACGAGCTGAAGCCCGAGTTCACCTCGGTCGGCAAGAAGAGCCGAGAGCCCGAGTGTGTGAGCTTGGCCTGGAGCGCGGACGGCCAGACTCTGTTCGCCGGTTACACCGACAACATTATCCGAGCATGGGGCGTTATGTCGCGAGCATAAAATCCTTTTCCCCGGGGGGTCGATATTCGGTCATTGACTGGGCGTATTGGGATGGGCTGTCATTTGAGCTTTTTAACTTAAGGGGAAAATGGCAACTTCTTGTGGCTGGGCAACGGAATTACATTTTAGAGAGAACGTTGCGTTGCCGCTTGGTTGCCGCCGCCGTCAGGTAACCCAAAATTCTAAGGAATCGTGAAGACAAATAATACCGTCTTGTTATATGTGATGATATCGTGATGCGAGCTGGAAGCTTGGAAGCTTCAAGTCTCTTAGTCGTAAGTTCGTACGAGCGCCCTAGGATTAATGGGTAAAGAGTTATCATACACACAACACAAAACACAATATCAAGACGTGACAGCTGAAGTAATATGATCTTCATCAAATTCTTTTAATATTCTCGTCGCTTGAATTTAGTAAGACCCATCTTTTAGTAGTGTATTGTACATGCATTTTTCTTATTCCTTTACTTTGCTCTCCGCTCTGGCCTCCGGATCTCTCCGTGCTATGCTGCTTCTTTTTTCTTGTACTTCATCACTCGTCGGCCTTGCAAAAGAATTTCCCGCTTCTATGTCGTCAACGTCTGCCGCGCCTACGGGCGACCTGGGACTCCAATACGTGCTGCTATGCAGCGTTTCCGAGTCCACGTCCGCGTCCGCGTTTGTCTTGGAAAGGTCATGAGGTCGGTGGATGAACGGGGAGGAGGGATGGGGCGTAACGAAAGACGGGTTCGGGCGCGTGGCGTTATTGCTATGGCTATAATTGTTAAAATTGGTATCGTCGGTCCTCCTATCTCTTCTTCTCCCACCGCCGCCGCCGCCGCCGCCGCTATTACTACTGCTCCCGATATTCGACCGCCGGAAGCGCGAGGTGACCGTGTCCGAGCCCCGGTAGAAGGCGGCGATGCTGATGAGCGGCAGGCCGGCGGCTACGAGCGTTTGCACCCAGGACCCGGCGTCGAAGGGTAACACGCGGGTGTTTCCCGGGCCGGCTGCGACGTCGAGACCGGCGAAGATGCCTATTGTTGTGTGTTAATTTATTTTATCTCTCTCTCTCTCCTTTCCTTTCTTTCTTATTTTATATATATATAAGAGAAAAAAAGAAGAAGAAAAGAAAAAAAGGGTAATATATAAAATCCAGGGGATCCACTCACAAGGAGCCAGCATGAGAATCCCATTCCCAACAGCCAGTATCTCCAACGAAGTCAAGCCCCTCGCGCCTCTCCCGCCCCCGCTCCCTCCGCCCAGCGACAGCGCGATAGACATCTTGCGCCCATTCGTCCCCCTCAGCACGCGCCGCGTCGCCGCTAGGTGCAGCGCCAGGTGCGCGAAGAAGATGCCGCAGAAATAGAACACGGACATGGCGCTCGTCACCACCGACGCCTTGCCCACGTTGTCCAGCGGCACCGGCAGCGTGTGGCCCCGCAGCGCCTGCGTGTACCGCGCCACCCAGACCGCGCGCAGGGCGACCGCCGCCACGGCTAGCGTCACTGCTAGGAACAGGACCGCGGGGCGCCACCAGCATTGGTCGATGCGGATCCGGGAGGTGGTCCCGGTCCCGGCGGACTTGGAGGAGGAGGGGGAACTGCCGACGGCGGTGGAAGAGGGCTGAGAGGAGGAGGAAGAAGAAGATGGGAATGGGGATGGGGGTGTTGTTGTTGAAGAGGCGGCGTACACGCCCCAAGTCCGGACCAGCACGCGGCTCTGGAGCATGAGCGAGGCCTCGACCAGCGCGAGCTGCAGGACGCTCAGGGCGCTGGCGGCGGTGGTGTCGTCGTACGCGGCGGGCGGGAGGACGGAGGCGTCGCGGGTCCAGGCGACGTAGTACTCGGTCAGCGGGCCGGGGAAGTACAGGACCAGCAGGGCGAGGCGGGTGACGGAGACGGCGAGGCACAGGACCTGGGCCAGGTGGACGGGGCGGCGGAGCTTGGCGGACGGCAGCAGCAGCAGCGAGGTCAGGAGCGACAGCAGGCACAGCCCCAGCTGCACGCCGTAGTTGATCGAGGTGCTGGCTAGCCGCACACGCTGCGCGTCGATGACGGGGAGCGAGATGGCGATTAAGGGCGGGGAGTCCGGGTCGCTGGTGTTGGTGAGGTGGGAGCTCCCGACTATGAAGAACGTCTGGTTTTGGGGGTCGAAGGGGAGGTCCATCGGACGTACATGGACGGAAGCTGGATGCTTGCTCGTACCAGGATGGTAGATAGATGGATAAGTTACCTAGGTAGATAAGGTAAGGTAAGTTAAGGAAAGATGGATGAAAGAGAGTGAAGTTGAGGTTTGTGGGGACGCGTGATGGATCGTATAGCCGCTAGAGTTTTGTTGTAGCTCTTCTAGTTTCGCGCGGTTTCATTCCATTACATTTTTTTATACTCTCAAGGAGGGCGGTTTAATGAGCGTGCTAGGGACTTGTGAACTACTATATGTGATAATGACGATATACACTTTTTGATGGTAGAAGAACGTCGAGATGGAAAAAAAAAAAAAAAAAAAAAAAAAAAGAGAGATCGAGAGACAGAGACAGACAGAGAGAGATAGAGAGGTGGGAACGGAGTGCGGTCGCCGCCAATATTAGACATAGATTCATAGATAACACGCCTCTTATCCTTGGTAGACCAGGGCTGACTACCTAGCTGGCTGGCCCGGGGTGGAAAAGAAAAAAGAGGGTAAAAAGCAAATATGGATGTCAGCTTTGGAATTACACGGCGACGCCTCTGAGTCCTCTTACTGGACGCCCGCGTATACGTCTAGATCGTCCCCTCGACCTGAGACGCGAAATATGTACAGATGCGTGTCTCGGGTGTGCGTAGTTTTTATTCGCCCGGTCGAAAAGGGGGAGGGACCGGGGGGGGGGCACCCAACGGTGTTGTCCGTCGTAAGACAAGTGTGTGTCTGATAAGAGGTAGCATAAATGGTGTATCTTTTCTTTTTCTTTCTTTCTTTTCTTTCCCTTCAGCCTTAAGATCCTACGAAAGTGGTCTTATGTTATACATGTAGTTACCTATATCGCCCCGCGATCTCGAGAATTTGAACTCTTTTGGGTGCTGCTTTCGGGGATCAAGATTATAAGCCGTGGCTTTAGATGCCCGTATTGTCGGGATTGTGGCGGGCATAGTTCAAGTGTATGTGGGTTAATTAATAAGATATATATCTCCGTGTTGGCTTCGTGGCAGAGGTGGTTAACTTGGGTTTATGATACTTGTCTTGGCTTTCCGTGGCGAACACATATATCTACTAAGTAGACAACTGCTCTTTTCACTATTCTTAGGTGCTGATTCCAGTATGAATGTTTGGAACACTTCTTGCCCAACAAGTGACATCCATACTCGTCCTCAACCATAGGATCATACTGAGACTCTAACAACAATAGACTCTCTCGGTAAAGTAATACAGTTACTAACCATCAGTACATCCCCATCCTTTCATAATCTTATTAGTCACTTTTACGAAGCCGGCTGTGCGTAGATTCCAAGTAATGCCATCGTCAATCACAGCCAGCGATCGACAGGATATTCATACCCTTCCAGAGCGTATTAACCGCTTATCTTTGGTTAACAAGTTACCTTATTATCAGTGCTTAACTATAAAGTCCAATTTAAACGTCTGCCTATGTAGTTAGCTCGCGCTCAATTATGTTATATATAATGCGTTACCAAAAGTCTGCATGCACCCCCCTATTTTACACCAAAAGTCAACACTTTCAACAAGCAATGAAAAATTAAAATAAAATAAAATAGTAAAAATATTTTACTTCATACAGTATTGAAGTAAATCATTATGTCATCTATTATTCCTTAGAAGAGTCTCGAAACATGTTATCTTCGTAGGAATGTTTATAGGTGTATCAAAGGTATTACACAGTGAATGTAAAAGGTTGAATGTACTGTCCCATGCAAAATACTAGGGGGAGTACACCAGCCCCTTATTTCTCTTCGTCTCTTCTTTTTCAAACCTATCCCAAGCAATAATTTCGGGAGATATTCGAAGATATCAAATCTTGCAAGGTTACTTAGATTAATTAATATATATGAATAAAGTTGGATTGATTTTTAGTATTTATTTCAAGTATTTAATTCTTCGTTGAACATGTTGGCTTTTGGTGTAAAATAGGGGAGTGCATACAGACTTTTGGAATTAGGATCGGATCGGCTTTGATTTATGAAGTGAGCACGTCTTCGGATCCCCCTCTTCATTTGAACGAGTGGTCTGGAGGTGAAATCGGGATTAAATTTGCTACAACTTTGGATAGTTCAAGAGTAGCTAATAGGTCACGAGCCTCTCCCCTCTAAAGAGGTTATGCAGCGGTTGAAAGTTACCTATTCTAATGAAAGGCCTTAATAAGGAGGTCTTCACTCGTCTTAGACATGGCAGAGATACCGTCTGACATATTTACGAATCGTGGAGTCTACCTGACAGCTCTATTCCTCGTCGCGTTCTTCTCGGCGAGAAACGACTACATATCGCTGAACGGGGGCCACCCGATCATCCGCTTCGTTAAGTAAGCCGGTCTATTTTCTCAGTTTCAAGTAAATAAGCTAATTAACAGCGTATAGTAGGCGCGCGTTCGGCTACAGTATTCAGATCAAGTTGGACTTTTCAGAGGCTTTGATGTGAGTTATATCTACATATGTCTGGTTCCGTCCAGTATGTTATTACACCCACCATCTCCGCTAACGTGCACAAGCAGCGCAAACAGATATATACCAGGAACTACCGTATGCTTGGCCCTCGCGAGTATCTTCTTATATATAAGATGGCGCGTTAATGATGCTCGGCAACTCGAGGCGAAATCACAGACTCCCGACCTCGGAGCGGGTCGTCGCGCGCGAGAGGAACGTGACGGAAGCAATACGGATCGACGTTCCAACACCGCCGCGCCGCCGTACGAGTTGGCGAGTCTAGGGATCGAAGTCCGCGGAAATCCCAGGGGGAGCTGGAGCGAATCGACACGAGTTGGAGAGTCGGGAGAAGGGGAGTCCCTTCGAGCTAGAGCATCGTGTTAAATACCACGAACTAGGTGATAGTTATCTTGATGAACGCAGCAATAGGGCTATTAATAAATAGAGTTATAAATTTAAATTTAAACACTACGTAGGCGGACCAAAATGCCGAGGGGCAAGTAGTATTACGCATTTAATACATCAACTCTAAGACGTCACGACGCAATTATATATAGCTCATTTCTACCGTGGTTAGCAAACTCATTCTTGTATTCATAACGGCACGAATTCACTACATAGATTAATATTTTTTGGGGGGCATCTGATCGTAATAACACCAAACCTGCAACCTCTGACGCCCAAGTGCAAACCTTCAGTTACGAATTTCGGCTGAATACACTGAGATTAAGAACAAGAGACAAGAAGACAACGCCGGCCCTATGCTTTTTATATGCGGGCAGAATACTGACCCAATCGTCATCCTCCATCCCGCCAAGATCCTCCCTCATTAACTAACCCCCCCTCCCGGCTTCACAAGTTTATCATCCTTAACGGATGCTAGCACCGGAACGATCGGTGAACAAACGAGTTCCGATGTTCATAGCTTGAAGCTCCTGGAAGAGAAGCTTAGCGGCGTACGGGATGTGGACCTGCGCAATCTTGGTCTTGTTCTTGCATGGGCGACACTCGAATGAACCCTTGCTTAATATGCTACGGAACCGTGTTAGTATATTTTTTACGAGACGAAAATCCGGGACGGGGGGAAGCAACTTACGCAATTGGGGTCATCAGACCGCAAATCTCGCAGACGTGGACTCTGAAAGCGTCCGAGACTTCGAATAGACGTTCCTTCAGGAAGGAGGCGGCACCGTGGGCTATCATACAGTCACGTTCCATTTCTCCGAAACGGAGACCTCCATCCCTAGCACGACCTTCGACGGGTTGTCGGGTCATAATCTGCACGGGACCTCGCGCGCGAGCGTGGATCTTGTCGTCCACCATGTGCCTGAGACGCTGGTAATACGTGGGGCCGAAAAAGACCTGGGCTCGTAGCTTGCGTCCGGTGTGACCGTGGTACATGATCTCGAAACCGCGGGATTGGTATCCGTGCTCGCGTAGAAGGCTCGATACTGAATCAACAGTGACGTCGGTGAACGGCGTAGCGTCTCCCTCCATTCCCTTAAGGGTGGAGACTTTACTAAGCAGACACTCGATCAAGTGAGCAATCGTCATTCGCGACGGGATAGCGTGAGGATTGATGATGATATCCGGGACGATTCCTTCGCGGGTAAAGGGCATATCCTCCTGGCGGTACGTGACACCGATGGTTCCCTTTTGTCCGTGGCGGGAAGCGAACTTGTCTCCGATCTGAGGGATCTTCGTGGTACGAACTCGCACTTTGACGTAGCGTAGACCGTCCGGATTCGTAGTGAGGATGACGGAATCAATAATACCGGTCTCGGTACTACGAAGGGGAGTGGACGCGTCACGCTTGACGTGCACCTTGGTGCGCTGACCCATCTCTTCGTTATCGGGGTTGATGGGCGATGTTTTTCCGATGATGATATCTTCTCCCAAGACTCTAACACCAGGAGCGACTATTCCATCATCGTCGAGCTTGTCGTACGTGCCCTGCTTGAGCCGTAACGTGTCCGCTCGGAATGGCTTCTCAAACGTCTCTACCGTGTTGATACCCACTCGCTTCTCGCAGTCGCTGTAAGATCGGAAAAACAGACTTCGGAAGAGACCTCGGTCGATGCTGCTCTGGTTCATAATGACCGAATCTTCTTGGTTGTATCCGGAATAACAGGCGATGGCGACGATGGCGTTCTGACCCGCAGGAAGTTCTCTAAACTTTAAAAATTCCATAGAACGGGTAGTACCAAGCGGCTTTTGAGGATAGTAGAGGATGTTCGCCATAGTGTCCATACGGCGGCTGTAGTTGGTGAGATAAAATCCCATGGCTTGTTTGCCCATAGCCGATTGGTACGTATTTCTAGGGGACTTAAGACGGGAGAGTTAGTAATGAAATATTGCAACGGAATACAGACATTATTGCGAATAATACATACCTGGTTATGGTCGGGGAACGGAATGATGCTCGCGCAAATACCTAGGAGCATACTAGGATGGATCTCACAATGCGTATACATATGCGTCGTGGGATTCAACTTAGTCTTAAGTCGCTTGTTAATCTCGTCTCCGTTATCCTGAGACACGTCATATCCCAGCTTAGACATGCGATAAGTTTCCAAGTCTTCGGGTGTCATGCAAATCATGGCCGTCTCTTCTTCTTCCGCGTCAAGATACTCGATAACACCTTCATTAACAAGAGCTTGCCAGCCGAAGTATCCCTCGCTCGTCTGCTCCAGATCGGCGCTCGCCTCCAATCTCTGGATCATCTCTTTGGTGAGAGCAAGCGAGCCCTTCGTGGTGCCAGCCTCGGGATCATCCTCTTGCTGCACCACGAATAAGGGCCGCATGACACGACCGGCATCCGAAAAGATCTTGAACTCACGATCACGGATATCGCGTACCAGTGAGACTTCGGAGGGAATCTGGTTGGCCCGACGAAGCTGCTGCACATCTCTCACGAGAGACTTGGGATCCTGGTGAACACCGATCCAAGAACCGTTTAGGAAGATCTTGGTGGCGTTGGGGTACCGCATCGGTTCGTATTCCTCCAAGACTTCCATATTTCTAGTAATCATGTAGTCTACGATAGGATCCGTCGACGTACCCACGCTGATGGAGCACATGAGCGATAAGTTTTTTACCAACCCGCAAGCCTGGCCTTCGGGCGTTTCGGCCGGACAGACCAGACCCCAATGGGTGTTGTGAAGCTGTCGAGGCTTCGCGAGCTTTCCATCTCTTCCGATAGGCGTGTTTGTTCGCCTCAGATGGGAAAGGGTCGAAGCGAAAGTATATCGGTTCAACACTTGCGACACGCCGGCCGTAGAACTCATCGCTTTCTTCTGATCACCCCAGTTTCCTGTGGCGAGAGAGTATTTCAAACCGTTAGTCACGATGGCGGGTTTAGCGGCGAGCTCGATCTGGAAACGCCTGTTCTGGTCGATGCAGCGCCGGAGGTGGGACGTAATCTCCTGAACTAACCGTCGTACTATGTTGCGGAATAGTTTTGCGAGGAGAGGACCTGCGAGGTCGAGACGCTTTTTTCCAAAATGATCACGGTCGTCGGTGTCGCGTCGGCCGAGGGCACATTGGAGAAGCTTATGGACCATATAACCGAGGAAGAAAGCCTTCCTGGTTTCGCAACCTTCTGTTTGAGAGATGTGAGGAAGCATTTCTTTCTGCAAAATGTCCTTCGCCGCTCTTATACGACGATCACGGGCCACATTGTGAGATTGTCTTCCACGCTTTCCGATATAGTCTAACGCGACCTCGCGATCCTGAATGCAAAACGCCTCTTCGATACAAGGCCGCAGCTTCTCGAGCATCTGGCTGTCATTGCGATCGTAACAGATGTGATTTAGGATTTCCTCGTCGCTGACGACACCTAGAGCTCTAAATACGATAGCGATGGGTAGGTCGGCTCGAACGAAGGGGAGAGTAGTGTGGATCGTCTCTCCGTATCCTCCTCTGGAGGCGTCGCCCTTAGTATATAGTTTCAACATAAGTGACGAGATAAGCCGTGAGCCTTTTTCGAGAGCGCTTCTGATCTCGGCCGTGTAAGAAAATGGACTCGGCTGGGCCTTTTTGAAGACCTGGACGATGTTGGCAGCGGATCGCTCCTGGGCGATGAGAACCTTTTCGCTACCATTGATGATAAAGTAGCCACCTTGGTCGTAAGGGCACTCGTTCAGCAGGAACAATTCGTCGTCGGACTCGTTGCTCAGATGGCACGCCTTAGACTTCACCATGATGGGAAGTTTGCCGATGAAGACTTGATCGCTAGTCTTGCCTTGACCGGCGGCAGGCATGTCCAATACGTTTTCTTCCTCCTCCCAAATCAAGCGGGTCGGATGCTTTCCGGTAGCTTGGGCCTCCGCCTGCTGCTCCTCATCCATCTCGTGGAGAGGAATATCTTGTTCGATGCAGGCGGTTACCTTGCTGTCGACCTTGACATAGATGGGCGCCGCATACGTCATATTCCGGTCCCTGCATTCGTAAGGCAGGAGAGGGCCTGACGTATTGTCGCTTTCCATGGCGACGGGGCGGGCGATTGTTACATGGCCAAGTTTGAGGTCGTACCGACGAAGAGCCACGGTTCGGCCATCGCCGGAAGGGGGACTAGGTTCGTCGACGCTGATTTGCGAATACTCTTCGATTAGTTCTTGAATGGTGGTCTCCTGAAAATCGTTGAAAGAATCAATCTGCTGCGAAACTAGGCCCTTCCTCTTGAAGTAAGAGCCGATAACCGTCCAGCAATCTTCGGGGGTGATACTATTATCATCGGCATACTCCTCCTCGTATTCGTAGCCTTCGTCGTAGTCCGCCATGATGCCAAATCTAGCTCTATCCGAATGTCTATAGGTATTGAAATCGAAGTTGAGGTGCGATGTTCGGTTTTACGAGGAATGGCGCGACGCGTGGCGAACTGTAATCGTGAAACAGCTTCGTAATTAGGTTGAGGATATCGAAGCTTAAGAGAAAAAAAAAAACAAGAAAAAATGCGCAAAACTTGATTATGGAAATATGAGGGGTCCAAGATATTAGAAAAGCTGCCAGAATGTGATGAAAAGTACTCGCAAAAGAACAGGTACCGGAAGAACAGCAGCGTTCGTCGATATCGAGGTCGAGGACAAAAAGAGGTGAAGGCGAAAGGTGCGCGTGTTGGTTTCCGACCACGCTGGTTCAGACGTGACAGGTTAGCGCCTCATTCTATAGATTAGGATATCATAAATCGCATCGAGAAGCATGAGAAACCCACCACAGTCCTTCTACACCGACAAAACCTGATGTTTTGTCAAGTTCGGGGGGGTATTGTGATGGAGAGGATAGATGATGTTTTTGGTTTGAGACTCTCAATCTCAAAGCTTTGAGGCTGACCAAGCAGAAGAAAGATATGTGCCCACACCCGTAACGCGCAGCCCGAGTGGCGGCAAAAGTTAGCTTGATTCAAATATATGGGTCCTTTATCTAGGTTACGCCGCATTTGACTAAGCGCTATCGATAAACTAGATGAGGTAAGTTAGCAGGTAGTTAGTGAATATCGATAAGTAGATAAAGTTCCCATTGAAGATCATACCCGCAGACCTGTTATATCAATCGCATAATCTCATCTGCATTCATATTTGTATTTATATTTGCATTTATATTTATATTTATATTTACATTTATATCTGCATTTATATTTGCATTTATATCTGCATTCATATTTACATTTATATCTACATTCACATCTGCATTTACATCTACATTCACCGGGTACCTAAGTACGTATTTCAATCGTCATAATCGTGAGTCGTCCGGATTATGCAGTAACATCGCACGGTATCATTGTGATAGAAAGGATTCTAAGAGAATGCTTCGCATGGATTGGTGGCCTATAGATGAGTCTGAATTTGCAGTACTACCTAGATCAATGTGTCAGTCTGTTCACTCGGATGAGTGACTAATAAAAAAGTGAATTTTGATGTGCTCATTCTTTTCTCTTTCTTTTTTTCCCTTTTTAAATGTCTCCCATATTAAATAGAATACCCTCGTTGAATGTTAGGGCGTGAGTGTGACTGATTCTCTCAGTTCTGTTCTTGTGGATAGAAAAGGGGATTCAACATCCTGCAATGCATCCAAGAAACGACGAAGTGATGTACTGGACTAGGAAGCTTCAATGCTTTATCATGTTTGATCCCTAACGTTGCGCCTCGTATTTAAGATGCTTCTCTTCCTGCCGTGGTATATTAATCTCGTTAAAGGGGTATAAAACACATCCTTTGACTTGTCTGGCTTACTTGTATGCGCATCTAAATCGTTTAGATAATAGGATATTTACTTGTATGTTTAAATTTTTACTCAAAAACTATTTCACGTCGTTACCGATAGCTGTCCCATTGTCCATCTCCAAAGAATCTATCTAGGTATCTTGTAAATCATTATGCCCGGAGTTAGGTAATATTTGACGCCCCTATTCGCCCACCCGTAAATATCAAAAGAACCCACATGGTTGGAGTAAATAAGAATTATATACGTACCTAGGTAGATACTTGAATAAAAGATTCAAGCCAGAATATGGATTATTCTAGAATATACCTAATAAGAAAGTATTGGAGGGTCGCGTAAATATAACCGGGTGAACAACCGGAGCTCTGGACACCCAGATGGTATCGGATCCAATTCCATAGCAGGAAGGTAAATTTATCTCTCACCAATCAATACGGACCTCAGCCCTACAATGCATCATGGTGTCTAGATCCCGACGATCGCCACGGAGGCTCTTTAGGAGTGGGGGTCGTCGAGTAGATGTCGCGAGCGCTCGTAGGTTGATAACAACCCTACTACCGGCATAGGCTAGGTCCTCTCTACAGGAGATTATATAATGACTGCAGTAAACGAGCTTCTCCGTGGTAACATATGCGTAGAAGTGTAGCTATAGTACCGTTTCTTGAATTATACAGATGTTCGTATCATGTGATGTTAAGTCCTACTGGAAGCACTCCGTAGGACAATATATAACACTAAATTAATTATACCAGCGACGACACAATTATAAACTCCGTTTCCTATCAATTTTAAAATTATTTGACAGAAAGGGGGCACAGATTTATGCTAAGGAGATAAGATTCTTATTAACTAGGTAACATTCTAGTTTTGACGAGTGTCACTCAACCACACTACATACCTAGGTACCTAACTGAAATAAAAAGTATTGGCCGAGGATTGTATTAGCTCGGGCCATGTAATTCTTCATACAGCTTGTGTCTATTGGTCTCTAGGCGGAGCTGCAAGCACTCTACTTATTCTACTTGATGGCTTTGTAATTCTTATATGGTACTATTAGAAGACTCTGCCTTTTGATCTATGATAGTGCTGTTACCAGATATTCAGTATAAAGGAGGACCTTTCATAGTTGACCTCATGATTAACCTATGAAAGATGTTCCCGATGAAAGCGAGGCAGCTCGAGCATCAAGTTGAAATGCAGATAGAATGGAGAAGCGGGCTCCCTTTCGAGCTCTAACGGTACCACGTATGCTCGTTCTCGGGATCTAATAACCCCCCCAAGCCATGGAAAACGCATTTATGATGGGGCCATGTAAGTAAATAGATTAAACGAAAACGAATACCTACTATCTGTTGAGGAATCTCGTGATCTTTAAGAACCACAAAAGGGCATATTACCCCAGCCGCGCTAGTATCCAAACAAGCATCACGCTTAATTAGCTGGTGAACTAGCATCGAAATTTCCCACGTTCCCATAAGGCGCCTTTCTCCAATGAGCATGGAAGCGTGCCAACATCCAGCCCTTACTTTGTAATATCGATGATTGCGCGTGGAATGTTCTCTCCCCCTCACGAGATGGTACCATCGCTAACTATTGCTAGCATCGGTACCTGAGCGGGACCGCCAAGTCGCTAAGACTCTTGTTATATATATATATATTCATCACTGTTCCTTCTTGACCGTGAGATAGAAAACGTTAGCACTGTATAATTAGAGTTGCGGACACGCGAAGCGGACCGTTCTCTTGGCCTCGTACTGATGTTCGGAAAGCGTAAGGCAAGGGGATCATCGTTGAAAAGTAAAATAAAAAGACGAAATAAAATATAATAAAGTAGATGTGTACATGGGATCGTCAGTACAACCGTCTTCTAGCTTAGTGTAGGCTTGAGGGAACCACTTCGGTCCCATCAAATGCGGAGAAGCCTGCCCATGGGGAGCCTCCCCCACGCAACCCACGTTACCTTTGGTTTACATGCCTACACGTATCGCCAAGGGTCCTTTTTTTCTCTCTAGGTACCCTTATCGTACACCTCGTGTCGACGACATAGTAAAGTGTTACATGTCTTTGAAGAGTAATGTTTGTTAAGTTGTGACATGAACATATTTATATCCCGGGAACGTACGTTCCAGACCATTGGAGTGGGTTTTTAATGGAAACGCGTCTTATAGCAATCAGATATGTAAAATAAGATGAAGAGGTACCTATGTTTAAGTATTGGTACATTCAAGCGAGCTTTCGGTGGTTTGGACTCTGGAGAGCTGTACAAAGAAATTTGGTGTACCTAAAACTAGGTAGGTAGGTATTTGGCACGCAACCACGTGTCCAACGATTTTTCCTTTTTTAATAAATCATGGTTTGCTAATTGAAAAAGCTAACCTCTTTATTGATCCTGTTTGGGAGAAAAGACTTACATTCCTTTCCTTACCAGGTACTTACATTGTTTTTTCCATGTAGGTAACAATACTCTGCTGTTGTAGAAATAAAAAGTTGGGGCCCCGCATTAAAAGGATTAGCATTAACCTATAAAAGTAATTGCTTAACTCACTCTGATCTATCATCCGGGAAACCCCAAATCGCCAATCTTTCACTTATTATTAAGCATGCATCGCTAGATTAATGTAAAAACCAACGTAAGCAGTACTATGTTAGGTACCTACTAAGACCAGCCGATTTCTACCGAGGTCGCGTCGGGTACCTGTATAAGCTTCCCGCCTTACGTGCTTTCCCCAACTTTTAAGAGATTCCACTGGCCCTTACCCCTGGTTTCTCCCCACATTTGCGGCACCTATCACCTTTATGTACCTGATATGGCTTTATAGTCCGGATGGTACAAACTACGCTAAAAGGTCGGGGTAATTAAACATCTGAATCCTGCAAAGAGTTCGACCCACTTCGGCCGTGATGATTTTCAATTGTTCACATCTTCGCGCGTCTTCTCTTGTTTGCCATGATCTATGAATGACCTGATATTTTCTCGACTTATTCTTTTGCCAAGTCAGGCTAAGTAGTCACGTTACTCATATTATAGGAATTCGGACGCAAGGGAGCTCTTTCAAACCTTCTTTTGTTATTAGGTATTGATGAATTGGGGCTTCAAGTGCCGAGATTCTTTACTCCTCGAACCAACGGGTTTTTCTTATTCCATCGTCTTGTCCTTCCAGAGCTTGCATTGAAGGGAAGAGATGCCCGGCAGAGCTAATGCACATGGGATTCGGTCCTTTTTCTTTTTTTTTTTTTTTTTCTTACCTCTCTCCTCTTCTCTCGAAGCTTCCTGTGCTCGTGACTTGTTAATCCTTTATTCCATCTTATTTCTTGTGTTCCTATGCAGTTATTGATATCATTGCTGACTCCCACGCTAGTCTTTTTAATTTATTTTTCTTATTTTTTTTCTTGGGACCCGGCAGTCCGGGGGATACCGAACGCCTTGTCTAACGTCCATCGCATTTTCCCTTCTCCAATGGACTCGACTATGCTACCTTATATCACCTAGACTTGCATTAGAGGTATTTTCCTTGATTATACCGACGCTTGTACAACTCTAACTACTATGTATCTCATCGTCCCCACCGCTCTCTTGCCTTTACTTTCCCAGAGGACGGAATTGGCTTGGCCTATGTTAACCAGTATCAATTCTGCTGATACCTGATTTACCTACAATAAATATATACTTATGCGATGAGGATTCCTTACCTTGATAGAGCATATGGACTACTCCATAAATACCTCTAATGCAATACCTGCTGTAGTAAAAACAATAGTAGAAAAAAAAACATGGGAGCATGAAGACCCGAACTATCACGATTGGATTCCGATCCTTCTCTTGAAGCTGTCGGCTAACGTTAACCAACATCGGACCCCTCCAGGTTTGATGAATTCGCTACAAGAGCGCCCAATAAGATGTACACAGCCTCATAAAATCAGCTGCCGTATTTCTTCCTCCTGTGCTCAGACTAAAGACTAAGAAGCCAAGCATGCTTCACAGCTAACAGGTCGGAAGAACGAAAGCACCAAGCTTTTCCGACTTAGCGGTGACGGCGCTAGTTTGCCACCCAAAGGTCCTTTGTGTGTACATATCGTACATTGACTAAACGTTCATAGCTCAAGCTCAAGTTCAAGTACATAGTAGTTCTATGTACATAGGTATGTATACCCAAGCCGCTAGACGATACCCGTCGTCAATATTAGGAAGGTGAGCAACATTCCAGTCTGGAAATTGCGGAGAATCCCTACCATAGCTTGCTTGGTACTTAGAACTTGGACATAGCTTTGACGTGAAGCTTTCCTTTTCGTCGTCTTGTACCATTTTCAGAAGTCTATTTAAATCATGGCCGACCCAGACCGCTTTGATTATGACGGGTTGATCTCTCTCAGTCTCGTAAGATTCCTTCTTCGACTTGACCGAGCTGTTTCAACCGCTCTCTTCACCTGGCGGCCTGCTTGACCCCTCTCACGAAGCTATTAGTCCACCCGAGAGGTAGTAGACGCGATGCGTTCCAATCTGTTTACAAATCTCATAACCCTCGTCCCGATGCTGGGTAGCCTGGCGTTGGGATACAAGGTTCAGGTTAGGGCATTCCCCGTCACCCATGTTAACCTATCGGAATTTAAAACTTACACGCTCTACAGACTCCTCCTTTGGATACCGATTGGACCTATTCCGTGGGAACTGATCCATGGCCTGAGTATCCGCGTCCTCAGCTCCAGCGGTCTGACTGGAAGAGCTTGAACGGTATTTGGAAATGGAAGCAGGGAGGTTACCGAGGCGAAGCTATACCGTCTGCCGATAGCTTCCAGAAGGATATCCTCGTGCCGTCGTGTATCGAGAGTGCCCTCTCGGGCGTGATGGAACAGAACCACACGTATTCCTGGTATTCGACCGAGTTCAATGTTCCTCCCGGATTCGCCAACAAGGGCCGTCGAGTCTTGCTGAATTTTGAAGCTGTGGACCACGAGGCGACTGTTTATGTCAACGGTCAAAGCGTCGGCACTCACAGGGGCGGCTACTGGCATTTCAACTTTGACATCACCAAGTATCTTACTCCTCACGGTAAAAACACCTTGCACGTTTTTGTATTCGACCCTACGGATCAAGAAGGTAAGCGGACACCCTCTTCCAATCTTATAATATATAATATGATTCGCTAATTCTTCGCAGGTTTCATGAATCCCGTGGGAAAGCAAACTCGCACCCCTTCGCACATTTTCTATACGCCTTGCACAGGTATATGGCAATCTGTAAGCATGCGACTTCCGCTTTAATATGACCTCAACATGAGGGCTTTTATAGATGTGTCTTCACATAAGAGCGTGGTGCTAATCTAACAAAAATAGGTGTGGTTCGAGTCTGTTCCGGAAACATACATTAACCAGCTAGACATCATTGCTGACATGTCCGGACAAGGTCGGTTTCTTCATTTTCTACACTGTCACGATTCGCCGAAAATATTAACTCGTCCTTTCTGTAGTTAATGTGACCGTTGGAACCGGTTCCCCCAGCTCTGATAAAGTTACCATCTCTGTCATAGACACCAAAGGCAAGGTAGTGGGATCGGGGCATGGTGTTGCCAACAAGCCCTTCGACTTTGTCGTGGATTCTCCCAGCTTATGGTGTCCGGATTCGCCCACTCTGTAAGTTTATTTTTCTGTATTCAAATATTTTACGGAAGCGCTTCTAATAATTCTTACAGTTACAACGTCACCGTGAAGCTTGGACGGGATACCGTACACTCCTACACAGGTTTCCGAACTCTCTCTATCGGCGAGATTGACGGAGTTAAGCGACCGCTACTCAACGGCGAATTTATCTTCCAGTTCGGCACCCTCGATCAAGGTTTCTGGCCCGATGGAATTTACACGCCGCCTAACAGAGAAGCAATGGTCTACGACCTACAAGTCCTGAAAGATTTAGGTCTTAACATGTTACGAAAGCACATTAAAGTAGAGAATGCTCTCTTTTACCGGGCCTGCGACGAACTTGGATTGTTGCTTATCCAGGACATGCCGTCGATGCCTCTTCGAAGACCGAACGCGGAGCAGCAGGCCGACTGGGAGCGCCAACTCGATATTCTCATCCAGCAGCACAAGAATTACCCCAGTATCTACACCTGGGTTATCTACAACGAGGGATGGGGCCAGATTTCGGACACGTACTACCCGGAATTTAATCTCACCCAGCGCATCAAGAGCCTCGACCCTACCAGGTTCGTCGACGCTACGACTGGATGGAACGATCACGGCGCCGGAGATTGGCATGACAACCACCACTACGCCAACCCGCAATGTGGTACGCCTTTCTACTCCATCGCGTCCACTCCTTACGATAAGCAGCGCATCGCCATCCAAGGAGAGTTTGGAGGAATCGGTCACAACGTCTCTGGGGAACACCTGTGGAAGGTTGAAGAAGCTGTTAACACTATCAACCAAACGTACGAGCTCGACGCGGATCTTGAAGCGTATAACTACCGCGGCCACCTTCTACTTAGCGAGCTACGCGACCAGGTTGAGAAATATGCGTGCTCGGCCGCCGTTTGGACGTAAGTTAATCACGAGAATTTCTTTTTTCCGCTTTTGATTTCGAAGTTGTGACTAACTCCCCATCTAGCCAAACCACCGATGTCGAAGGAGAAGTCAACGGCTTCCTCACCTACGACCGCCGCTTCCTGCGTCCCGACAAGAAACAGTGGCAGGACGATATCCAGGCTCTGTACGACGCGGCGGAGGCCCGAGGAGGCAAGAAGGCGAAGAGGATGACTTAATTGGCATAGGTATGCCACCTTACATTTAATCTTCATATATAGCTGGTGCAGACATATTTCGTTGTAGACGAGTTCATGGTTAGATGAATACGTTTAATATAATCTTTGATATCCTGAATTTAGAGGTTGTTTGAACAATACTATATATTCGCATAATTTCGAGCGCGGCTGTTTTTGAGGGGGATTCTCCTACTCTCCTGATCTCCTTTAGAAAGGAGAACGTTTGTATGCGAAAAAGGGGTAATAATCAAAATATCACCCTACTATGTAAACCTTTTATGAATCGAAAATATTCTAAGGACTGCCTAAGAACTTGCTATCTAATGGGAATAATCTTTTATAGCTTCATTTCATTTTTTTTAAAAAAAAAATCCTTCCATCCAACACCCTAAATTCCTACGCCCCTCGGTGTAAGATCTTAGCAAAACTGCATTCTTAAATCGTGGCTTTTTATACATGCTCTATCACACGTACACCCCTTGACATTGGGACCAATTCGAATTTATACTTATAGGTAACTGAATTTAGGTAATCCAGGCCCCTCGCTCAACTAGAAACCGCCTTATGATACCCATCCAAAGCCTTCCAATCCCGACCCCCACCCTCCTTCAAAATCACCGGGAGCTCGTCCTGGACAAAACTCTCGGCCAGGCTCTTCTCCACGGGCCTCCAGCCCAGCGCGCGTAGCCTCACGGCGCGACTGCGACTATTCAGGCCGAGGTTGGAAAGCGTCCCGCTCCCGAACAGGTCGCCGTAGTTCTCCGGCGGGATGGTCCGCGGCTCCGGGTCCGCGATGAGGCCCGCCTTGTGCAGCTCCGCCCCGATGAGCGCCGCGACGTCGCGCCAGCTCGGCTCATCGTCCCCCGTCGACTCGCAGAAGTAGTACGGGTTGTCGAGGACGGAGGGACTGTTGGAGGGGCTCGCTTCCAGGTGGTGCAGCAGCGCCACGTACCCCCGCGCCAGGTCGTTCACGTGCACGTTGCTCTCGACCGCGCGCCCGGCCCCCACGTGCCCGGCGTACCCGTGCTTGAGCGCGTACCGCGTCAGGACCGGGACCTGGATCGACAGCCGGCCGTGGCGCGGGTTGTACCCGTAGATGGTGGGCGGAATCATGATGGCGATCTTGGCCTTGTCGCCGAGCTGCTTCTGCGCCCCGACGATCGCGAGGTCTATCCGCCGGTGGGGCGCGGTGTCGGGGAGAGCGTTGATCTCGGCCGGCGCGTCGTCGCGGAAGACCTTGTCCCCCTTATACGCCCCGACGGCCCCGTCGTCCAGCAGCGACGTCCCGGACGTGTGGATGAAGATGGTGCTGAGCCCCTTTTCCGCGCGCTGCTGGACGGCTTCCAAGATGGCTTCCACGCTGGGGAGGTGGTCTGCGGTGGCCGTGTGTATCACGACGTCGTGGGACAGCGCGTGCTTCGTAATCAACGCCGTGTCGTTGAGATCGCCGAGGACCGTATCGGCGGCCCCGGAGGCTGTGAGCTGGTCCGCGTGTTCTTGCCTCCTCACGAATCCCGTCACGGAGTAGTTCTCCTTTACTAATAGGTCGAGCACGGCCCAGCCGATGAAACCCGGTCCGACGATGAAGACTTTCTTTCCTGACGCCATCTCGGCCTTTTTGAAAATTGAGATTATCTTGTGGTCTTTGGTGTTGATATTGATCTGGAAGTAAGTTATGTGAAATAAATGCGAGTTTAAGCAAGATGTGGGAAAGTAGTGATAATGTAGTCTTATTAAAACACGATATGATGATGAACCTCGCTGAGATTCGAAAATGATATAAGGGATCTTGTCTTATATGCCTTTGTGTTTTATAGGAGCTAAAATACTATATTGATTATGTTGATTATACTGATTATATTGATTACCTACCTAGGTATGTATTGGCGGGTTCTAAATTCTCCTAGCTTATGAGGTTGAATCTATCATTCGTAAGGTTATCCAATCCTGTTACGAATTACAACGCTGATGATGCGCATTGCGTTTTGTTGGAGTGGTAATGCCATAGCGTAGAAAATACTTGATTGGTTTATTTTGAGGAAGTTGGAGCTTGAACCAAGAGTTGATTTATAATTGACTTTATAATCTTGCTTTATCCGTAAAGTGTACTTTACGTAGAGAGTTTACTTAATTGAAAATGCGACGATTAGTAAACCATTGTAGCTTATACCCCCGAGGTGCTTATAGTTTAGAGATAACAGATAACAAACGGTTGGCGGCCTAATATAAGGCAAAGTTTAAGCTTATTTGCTTGACCCAGAGCTAAATACCTCCCGTAATAGCAAGTTAATGGTCTCTAAAATAACGGGTGTTACACGGATGATTGAATAAGGGTACCCCCATTGTTAACTCTTAAGGAAATCAACTCGTTAATAACCCAAAAGTCCTCACCATCTTGCTAGATAGAATCTCTCATTGGACAATTTGGAAAAAAAAAAAAAAAAAACTGTCCGAGAACGCTCTAGCTCGACGGCTGCTGCCTAACAGCAGTAAATTAAAACCGTTCCTGCAGGCGAAGGATCCAATCCATGCTAATACCATACCATGCCATGGCGCTCAGGGGCTGAAAATGGCAGCCTCTTTTTTTTTTTCAGCTCGACTCCCGTTCCCTTTTTTCCTGTCTATTTAATTCCTCCCGTCCAACGGAAATCCTTCCTTAGCCAAGTTGCAAATCTTTTCCTTTTCGTGGCAATAGAATCTAGGACTTTGCCGTCCATTCATTCCTCAGTCCGAATAAGTACTATCCTGACCTAACCTAACCTAAGGGAACTTGGGTAAACACTATCGTTTAATATATTATATTATATACCTGTACCTATACCTTAGGCACCTAGGTATACATACATCCAACATCATGCACGCCCACGCCAAAGCCATCCTCCTCGCCGCGCTCCTCGCCGCCCACCAAGCGTCCGCCAGGACGGACCTGAGCGGGTGCGTGTCGTCGGCGACCGTGCGATACGGCGGCGCGAGCCTCATCTGGTACGTCCCGGACACCGGCGAGATCTGCGACTTCCTCGACTGCGGCGGCGGCCGCGCGCCCCCCAAGACCACCGTCCCCGGATGCGACGCCTACCAGGGCACCGCTACCTACTCCCCCAGCTTCCTGCCGGGCTTCGGTGCCGCCTCGGCGGCCACTCCTACTTCGACTGGGAACTCTGTCGTCGCCTCCGCTTCGGCCTCTACGTCTGCATCTTCTTCTACTTCTTCTTCTGAGGAGAGTGGTGGTGATGCTTCATCTGGCTCTTCTTCGGTGGCGACGACAGCAGCAAGTTCGGCAAGCTCGGCATCTATCTCCAGCACGACAGCAGGTGGTGTGACTTCTCTTCCGACTATTACCTCGGCTCCAAGTGTGACTGCGACGATAGTAACAAGTACGGGCGGCGCGACGGAGAGCGGCTCTTCCGCGCCGTCCGGAAGCTCGCAGGGAGCCGAGTCTGCTAGCACTTCGAGCGCGAGTAGCGTCTCCGAGGCGGCAGCTGTGCCGACCGCGGCTGTGAAGGGTGCTATGGGAGTAGCGGTTGGCTTGGTAGCGGGTATAGCGATGTTGTGAGTACCTCAGTAATGGAATTGGAAGAGGAGGTAGATCGCATGAGCTTTGGATATGTAGTAGTAGTAGTAGTAGCAAATCATAAACATTAATATATGTACTTAATGCTTATTGGCCATATTTCTTTCCCCTTCGAAGATGATCTTGCTTAGTGAGATTTTCGAGTATAGGTTATAATGAGTGTCAGGGATAGCGTACCGTTATTTCATCCCATTCAAGTTGTAACACCCGCCATTGCCATTTCACATCGCCTGCTATATCGCACATTAAGGTTCAGCCTAGTATCACAAGAGCCGCAGGACTCTTACACTCGAAATCAACTTCCTAATGTAATATTTATGCCCTATTCAACCCCGAGACGCTGGTATACACACCGTACATGACAAAAAGACCTACACAGGTAGGTAGGTAGTCAATTGAATGCCAGCGTATATACCCCGACTGAAGTGTAAATTTCAAGGGATTCTTACATGCATGTTAATAATATAAGAATATAACTTGACGAATAGAAAAAATTAAACGAGATCTATACATAAAAACGCCTCTCAATATTCAAAAAAACCCAATGGCACTAGATTAGGTACCTAGGTATTCAGTCCAACGCCATAAAAATCACGCCGGTGATCGTAGTGCCGAGCACGAACGCGGTCAATATCCCCGCGCCGGCTTTATCCCCCGTCGTCACGGGCGTAGCCTGCGCGAGCGTGGTCTTTGGATTGCCGGCGTTCGGATTGCCGATACTCGTGCCGCCGGTGCTGTTCGTGACGGGGGGGCTGGCGCCGTCGACGAGTAGGCTGGTGAGGGCGCCGAGTACGTTCATCTCCTGGCCGGCACCCGTCTGACCGTCGTACACTCCCGTGGTCCAGTGGAACCCGCACTGGCGGCCGTTGGCGCCCCCCGTGCACTGCTTGACGGCCAGCTCGGCCGACGACCGCAGCAGCTTCATGATGCGGTCGCGCGTGAACGGCGCCGTCAACGTCGTCACCGCCAGCCACCGGTGCACGTAGCCCTTGTAGCTTAGCATGTCCGACGTGCAGAAGCCGCCTTCGCAGGAAGGCTCGTAAAGCGTGCCGTTCACGAAGAACACCCGCTCCATCCCGTCTAGGAGACCGTTGATTCGGTCCTCCCATACTTTGCTGCCGTTGGTCTGTAGTTTGATTAGCTTCGGGGTTTTTTTTTTCTTGCTTGCCGAGAATAATAGAGAGTCGCTTACATATTCGTACATATAACCCGCGCCCGATAACAAGATGGCGGCGTTATACGAATATTGTTGCTTGTTAATATCCGTACAGTTATACTGCACGTGGCCTCCGTCGAATACGTTCCAATCTTCGTCGATGTAGCCGACGTCGTGGATCCAGTCGAACGTCTTTATCGCCCACTCGGCGTAGGTCTCGTTATTGAAATAGCGGGCTAGACGGGATGCTATGTTAAAGAAGCAACCGTTGGCGATAGCTATTCGTGCGTGTTAATTATGTTTGTTTCTAATTTCAACCTTATATTCCCCCCTTTTTTTTTCCTTCGTCGGGTAGGGGAGCTCTCACTGTTCTTGTAATCATAGCCCTTGTTGGTCGGGGCGATCTGCCACCTCATGCCGCCTCCGCAGATACCGTCGTAGTGATCCGGCGCGGCCTGATCGTTAAAGACGGCCTGGGCGAGGGCGATCCACTGCGGTTTATCCCTGGGAGGATCTCTGAACTTGTTTTCGGCCGCCAGCATCGCGGACATTCCCCAAAAAGACTGGTCGTCGTTACCGAGCGAGAGCGACCAGTTTCGTGGAGCGTAGTCCTCGTCGTCGCCGACCTGGAACTGCAAAGCTTCGAACACGACATCGTTATACGTATCGTCGCCCGTGTAATGCCAATAATCTACCATCGCACCCCAGAGCGCGCCTCCTTGCCACCTAATTTTGACGTATCGTTAGCGAATTGTCCCGGCGGCGGGTGAGATAGAGGGCGGCAAACCAGTAGTAATCTCCGTCGGGCGGCGGTCCCGGTAAGATACCCGGTACGTGACCTGATTCGTTGCCATGATAATAGGTCATCAAGTCATAGGCGACCTGTTTCGCAGCATTTTTGATGGATTCTAATGAAGACATCGACTATTTAGAATTGTCGCGGCACCGTCGGAGAGCCGAGAGACCAAATGCTTGCTTACCTTTTGAGTTCAAATCGACTTCGAGCGCTCCTAACACTACCGCCGGAGCGAGGCATAGTAAATGAAGGCATCGCGTTATAGATGACATTTCTGCGACTTGAGAGGTCGCGCGACGACGCTGTTTGAATTATCGATAGACCCTCGCGAAAGCGCAGTCGTTGGAAGAAATTCAGACGAGTAGGATCGAAAATACAAATACAAATAGCATTATACAAGTAAGCACGTACTACGGTCGTATTGCATTTTCGAACGGCAAATGAACTTGGTTGGCTTATGAGAGTCGTCTTTTGGTCCCTCGTCTGCCGTCAAATTCGTATCGTGTACTCGCCAAGAACTATCTAAAAAAAAAGTTGGAGAGATCTACTAGAATATGGGTGGTAGCTGTCGACTTGTGGTTTACCAACAGCAAAACTAGCTGCGCCTCGGTGTTAAGAAAGAATGAAATAACGGTCTGTTACAGCCCTATTGGCGAAGTGTGGTCTACATAAGATCATGTTTGGGGTCCATCACCCCTTGTATGGAAGCTCTTTTATCAGCATCCGACTCAGCGCGCCGATTTGAGATACTTGGCCGTAGTATTCGGAGTCTATGGACTTACTATGTACCTACATAGTACAATTAGTATGGCTGATGCTTTTGGTATCCAATGGCATTTCGAATATCCGATGGATCTCGTATAAGCAGGGGGTGGCTGTCCAATTAAGTCGAAGCGCTATGTTGGTAGCCTAGGCTGTCCGGGCTGTATGGTATCACCTAGAAACATGCCTGTCAATCTGGGTGGACGATTAAGTAAAAGATTAAATGCATTTTTGTATCTTTTCATCTCACTCGTAGGGTGAAATGATATCATGACAGAACGCGCCGGAACGCGCTGTTTCATCGATACAAATTGGGGATGGTCCTTAGGTTAGGATGGGATTGTTTAGATGGGGAACCACTAGCATAGCCTCAGTTTTTCATTTCGGTCTGGATTTATTAGCCGTTAAAGGACAGACCTGGTCATCTTACTAGGGCTTCTCGAGTAGCGTCGAAGGCTGAGCGAAAAATGATAGTAATAAGATGCTGCATGAATCTTCTCGCTTACTCTACCATATGCCGTTATCGTTGAAACCGAAACCCCCGCCGTAGGGATTATTTGACAGAAGTAATGGGTACCTAGGTACTAACCGAAAGGCCGTTTTCTTAATATCCCCGACCGTTTCCGCTTCCGCTTCCGCTCTCATTAGCATCTGGATTTTCTTCCGGTAGCTCCGAGCCCAGGACAATGGGATCGATCCAGCTCCGTCCGAGCCCGCCGCCTTTCTCTCTGGTAGACTCGTGCTGCTCGAGTCTATACGAGTCTCCCGGGTTGTTCATAGGCGCAAAGTCGAATATTCGATAGTCGGCGTTAAAATACCAATAACCGGAGACGGCAAGCCGCAAGAATGCCGAATGAGAGACGACGATGATTATCTTCTCCGGACGTTCGTATAGCTTCTTTAAGGCGGCTTGGGCACGCGCTAAAAGAGCTGGTTTCGTGAAATGATAGCGACTACCCGCTGGCGTTGTCTTGTCTGGGAAGACAGGATCGACCTTTGAGAAGTCTACCGCGGGGAACTCTTCTATGAGCTTATCGACGGGGCTTCCAGTGTCGCATGGTTGGTTTGAATTTTCTATTCAAACGGTCAATAACGGGTTCTTTTTATAATGTTTGAGTTTGTGAGTATACCTTGCCAATCAGCATCGGCTTCTATCTTTACACCTTTCTCGATGAGCCAGTCAACGGACCGTAATGCCGTCTGCACCGTCCTGCGCAAGGGAGAGACCACAATGAGCTCGGCCTGTTGAGCTAATGGATTTTCTATGAGGCTTTCCCGTAGATCTACGCATTGTCCGTGTCCCTCTTCGGTCAGGTCAGGATCGGGTATTGAAAAGTTTTCTGGATGAAGTTAGAATCAACAGCTGGAATCGTATGGTAGCACACTAACTTTCTGCATTATGGTAAGCTTGAGCATGACGGATTAATATGAGTGTCGGAGGCATTTTAAAGAGATAAATGTCAAATCTAAGATATCTTGTGGTATCAAGCGAGGTCTATCTCTAATTCGGTTTTTGGTAAGATATTGAAGGTTACCAGCTAACAAAATGAGCAAAGTATGAGTTCTTTCTATCTAAAGACAAGCATTGCAGGAAGTTAAAAAGAAAGAAAGAAAAGAGAAAAAAATAAATATTTAGGGAAATACTTATAAAGAGATTAGTTAGGTGAAGTTGAATGGAAGTTGAAGTTTATTGATTGCTTACTGTTGTATTAGACTGGCTCACAAATTGCACCTGCTTTTACTAGGTATTAGAAAGAAAGACCGACGTCTATAATCCACAGTACATACCTAAATTATAGTTTACGATACCTACCTCTATGTAGGTGCTGTGAAGCTATATTTTTCAGGTATGTTTCATAGGGCGCTCCAGATAGTAGGAGATAAGGAAATGCGCACTGTGTAAACTTTTGGAAAGTCAATTGGAGCTTTGCTTTACTTCATAGGTACTTCACACTTCACTGCGATGCTTAAACTTAAAGCTTACGAAATTTAAATAAAGTTATAGACATCTCTTTCGCAACAACACCTACGTCAACTACTTTTATAAATCTGCTACATAATGACCAGCATAGATGAACTTTTCAAGGTTGGTTAAAATATACCTTCAATCTTTTTTTCTTTACAACTTCGACTGATTCCATATTATAGGCATCCGGCGTCGGTAACAAGCGCAAGCTAGAACCTCTTCGGGATCCCAGTACGTTTCGTCGTCTTTTCTTCTCGCCTATATCATAATATTACCTTGCTAACACGCGTCGTTAATGCAGATGAAGTCTACAAATCTGCCCGCTTAACTTCCAATGGTAGCAGCAGCCGACACGCGCGCGTCGAGGACGAAAATATAAACGATAACGAAGATGATGACGTCGAAGCAGGACCCGCGCCCCCTCCGGAAGACGAAGAAGGCGATTACGGACCCGATCTCCCGCCCGACGACGATGAGGAAGGGCGCTTCTTTGGCGGCGGAATCACGGCGCAGGAGAAGGAAGTGTTAGACTACGTCGACGACCCGGACCCCAGCGCGAACGCGGCGCCGGACAAGTTCGACAGCGCGTGGCTACGACGGACGGCCCTCAACTTCGAAAAGCGGATCAACAAGAACGCCGAGCTGCGCGCCAAGTTCGAGGACGAGCCTCAGAAGTTTATCGCGAGCGAGGCCGACCTCGACGCCGACATAAAGGCCCTCTCCATCCTCTCCGAACACCCAGAGCTGTACCCCGAGTTCGCGAAGATCGGAAGCGTCGCGAGTCTCGTGGGACTGCTCGCGCACGAGAATACCGATATTGCGATAGACGCTATCGAGATCATTAACGAGTTGACGGACGAAGACGTCGCGGCCGAGGACGATCAATGGAATGCGCTGGTCGACGCCCTCCTAGAAGCAGATCTGCTGGGATTGCTGGTATCTAATTTCGAGAGGCTGGACGAGGAGCAAGAAGTCGATCGGAGCGGCGTATACTACGCGCTCAGCATAGTTGAAAATTTATGCAGCGGACGGACAACGACTGCAGAACAAGTTGCGGAAAGCGATAGCTTGCTCAAGTGGCTACTTCGACGTATACAAGCCAAGGAGGCCATGGTCAGTCAGAATAAGCAGTATTCCGCCGAGGTCCTAGCGATATTAGTGCAGACGTCTTCGAAGAACAGGAGGAAACTCGTTAGCTTGGATGCCGTGGATATTATGCTGCAGCTCGTAGCATCGTATCGGAAACGCGACCCCGAAAAAGGCGGCGAGGAGGAGGAGTACATGGAGAACTTGTTCGAGGCTTTGACTTGTATCGCGGACGAACCCGAAGGAAAGACTAAATTCGTCGAGGCCGAGGGTGTCGAGCTCTGCCTGATCATGTTGAAAGAGGGCAAGATGAGCAAACCCGCCGCGCTTCGGCTGCTAGATCATGCCGCGGGGGGGCCCGGCGCGTCAGGGACCAGCGTGTGTCAGAAGATAGTGGAAGCGGGCGGATTAAAGAACATTTTCACGCTATTTATGAAGAAAAACAACGACAGCCAGACGACGGAGCACCTTATCGGTATATTCGGGTCGATGCTACGTCTATTACCGGCCGACTCGGCGGAGCGGATTCGAACGTTAGCTAAATTTGTGGAGAAGGACTACGAGAAGACGGAGAAACTGGTTAAATTAAGGAGGGAGTACGCGGCACGGCTAGGTTCGGTGGACGAGGCGATCCGAGCGGAACAGAGCGGGATGAGCGCCGAGGAAAAGGAAGAAATGGCAGACGAGTGGTTCTCGCGACGGCTCGACGCCGGCTTGTTCTGCCTGCAGACGCTGGACGTAGTGCTAGCTTGGCTTGTAGCCGAGGACGACGGCGCGAGGAAGACGATCCAGAAGTTACTCGCGGACCGCGACGAAACGCTCGCTACTATTAAGTCTACGCTGCAAGAACAGATTGACGGCATCGACGTGGATGACGCGGAGGGCAAAGATACCAAGGAAATGCTTACGACACTGGTGGAATTCCTACAATAATACGAACGAACGGGCGGAACGGATGAGGGGAGGGTTGGTTGGTAGCATGTAATAGTTATAGTAGTAGTAATCAGTGAATAATGCGTATTCGTGCCGACTTCTCAGCACGACATCCCTCAAAATCTCTTCTATGAACAAATAGACGGACAGACAAGGCCGCTCTCGCAGTTAGTGATACCGACCCATCTTTTCTTCGCGTTTCTTCCCCTTCCAAAGACACCGGTGACGTGTTAATACAATATGCGCGCGCAACAAACACCACAGCCGCAGTCCTCCAGCAGACAGGATCCACGATATCAATTCCGTGTGGGGGTTGTATCAATACCAATGCCCTTTCTCCGCACGCACCGCGACCGACTTCTCCTGCGTACGACCGAAGCAGCGACGTTGAACTAACTAACAGGTATATGGAACTTCAACGTCGAGTTCCCCCCCTCCCACATTTACGCCTTCTCAGGGGGCGCGGGCTTGACCTCAAACACGGCTTTCAACAGCTCCTCGACGATCTTCGCTTGGCTCTTCTGGCCGGCGGCTTGGATCTCCTTGATGTTGGCTTCGGCCTCGCGGTTGGCTTCGTCTTCGGCCTGTTTGTTGCCTTGGGTGTGCTATATTTATGTGTAACCAACGTCTGAATTAGTATGTAGGTAGGTACGTAGGTAGGTATATAAATCGTGCTTTGCATCAACTTGATATAATAGGTAGGTAAATAGCCTTTATGTGAACTGTCAAGGGGGAGGGGAGGGGCGGGCGGTATGTGCTGCTGCGCGTACCTCGGCTTCGAATTTTTTAAACTCCTCCTCCTTCGCTTGGCGGTACGCTTCTATTTCTTTCTTGGCCTCGTCTCGCGCCTCTCGCACTCTCTTGGTTCGAACTGTAAGGTTGGAACGGGCTTGGGTTAGTATCTATTGTTTACCAACGTGCTCGAGCTTCTTCTTCTGCTTCTTCTTCTCGGCTTCTTTGGATCGAGGAAGAGGAAGGGGGTAGATGCGGGATGCGGGATGCGGGATGCGGGCAAGGGCGCGGGACTGACATTCGCGGGCTTTCTGGACGATCTTGGAAGCTTCCCTCTCGGCCTATGCGATCGCGGCGATGCCTGTTAGCTGGACACATTGCTACTACATATGTTGCTTTTGCTATCGCGATGGAGCTGGGGGGTAGCGTACATCGAGTAGGGTCTGAATGCCTGCCGAGTTCTGGGCCGACTATATTCGAGAGATGAGCGTGGTTAGCTTAGTTTACTACTATCTTCCTTATTATATAAGAGTGGTTGGGTCGAGTTATACCATCCTGGTAAGCTGCGATAAATTGATTTATATTTGCAAGGTGATTTCGGGACGACAATGAAAGAAAGCGTGGTACTATTCGTTGGTATTTTGTTTGTATTTGGAAACTGACGTATGGTGTTGTAAGTTGTAACGAAGGTAGCTGGGAGTTAGGAGCTCCACGGGCGAATCATTGACAACCTTCGCCGGGCTGAAGTAAACCACCTGGCACCTGCAACTTTAGAGCTTAATTTAGGTACGTACCTGCTTCGCGCCGTTTTAAACCGAAGTTTATGCACGATACTTAGTACATATTATGTCATGCATATTACTTTATTCACCCCTTTTACAACGAGCGCAACTTGATTTTTGAGCTGATCAAAAATATAAAGTATCACATTTTTTTAGAAAGAATATATTTGATATCGTATCAAATAAATTCATGAACGAATTGGTAGTTACTGCTACAATACAATTATACTATCTCACTAATTCATTCATGCACCCTAGGTACCTGGTATATATTCGAACCACTCCCACAGCTCGGGATTCCGACGATGCTGATCCGGACGCTCTTTCGCCATCCATCGTTGGTCGTTTGGCATCATAACATACTCCGTATACTCTGGTACTTTCTTAACATATTTACTCTTCCTCTCGCTCATCCACTTATATGTTGTTTCCCGCACGACCCCGTAGATATGTCCGTGCACGCATACCCAATTTGGTTGGTTCGCGAGATATACCGTCAGATGGATTTGATCCGACTCGATTCCCGTCTTCGTGCGCCTCGTCTGTAGTCTTCCGACTTGGCCGTAGGTATTAGCAACGTCGTGAAGCTCCTTTCTAGAAATTATAGGTAGGTAAGCATAAAGTTCCTCTGATTTAAGACAGGGATAAGTTACCGGATAATAACGTGAGAAAAGCCTAGATTTCTCGCCGCTTCTTGAGCAAAGTTCTCGCTCGACTTTAGCACATCTTGCTGCTTTCTCACTAACCGGTCGTAAAAGACTTTCTTTTCCCAATATACCTAAGTAAGCATATCAATGTTAGTTAATTGTAGGTATTATTATTGGGCAGGAGAACAGCCCTCGAACCTTTGGACATTGTGGCGTCCCGCAGCCGATGCTTGGCTCCGGTTTGATAAATACCGTTGCGCTCTTATCCTCGTTATCTTTAGGCAGGGGACCGCCTTTCGGGATGGCCATATCGGGATGCCATTCCGATTGAGCGTCCCCGATCTGCCCATAGGCCGTTATCTTGGACATGATATGGAAGTGTCTACGAATAAAATGACGTACAAATCAGAAATGAGACGGACGTCGGTTATAGATCTAATGTTTTTGAAAGAGGCCCTGTAGCATAAAGAACCCGGTACTTCCCACGGTACTATTTTTGTAACTCCTGTTCTTTGAACCTGATATGTTTTCGGAAGCTCTTATAATCTCTTTAGCCAACCGCCCTCATATCCCTTGGTCGCGTTATATGTTATGTGTACATAGACAAGACTTGGTACGGAAATGTAAGTATCAATGGCTTCAAATGAGCTGCGCGTGTTGATGATATTTAATACGTAAATATCTCGGACCTGTCACAGTGCTAAAGTGAAGTATTTATTATAAAATACATGTGTGTCAAACTCTAGCCGATGAAGGCTCTATCTTTGATTAAATACATGCTATATAAATAGTACTTTCGAATTCAAGATACTACATAGAACCACATAGTCTATCGAGCTGCCTGGAGAACTATCATATCGACCCGCAAAGTCGTGTAAAGATATAGCAGATACACGCATAATAACCCCAGTACGGGAGCCGCCCAGGTAGCTACAACGTGATACCAAGGACACTTTTCCGTAATTTGTACAGTGCGTACTTCTGTGACTATCATAGGCGGCGTAGCACTTCCTGCGCTTAACGACTCTGATACCTTACCCGGAACTGAATCAGCCTCGCCTAAAAAGTCTATGGCTGGCATTATATCGAATTCTTCGATGCTCGTCTCGTCGACAGTCTTAATATTTTTGAACCAGTCGTGCTCTAGCGCCTGAGACGCCTTAAGCCTCTCCTCAGGGTCGTATTTGAAGAGCCTCCCTAGAAGATCGCCAAAGATGGGGATTTCGTCCTTTGGCATATCGGCTAATCCCAGCGCGATATGTATCGGATTATCGAATTCGGAATGAGTTGCTTCGTACTTCTCCTGTAAGTTGAGCGGCTCTGTTAACGATCCGGTAACGGGCTCGTCTTCCTCGTAATCTGGCGGCGGCTCATCCGGATCGCCCTTTTCATCGTGGAGTAGCTTCACAGCGGCCGGCCCGTAGGTGGACGGGATTGGCCCAATATACCGCTCCATACGCCTAATGATATTCCATAGATCTCCGGGGAGCGGCCCAATTTGAACTTCCAGTAGCGTATAAGCTAGAGACCAGAGATCGTTTCCTACTCCTGTCTGTTTGCCAAAAAGCCATTCGGGCCCGGCATAGTTCAGCGGAATATTTAGTCTCTCGGGAGGGCTATCGACCTCGTACGCTTCGCCAAAGTCAACAATGGCGATGTCGTCCGATATCATGTGCGAAAGATTCCCGTTTCTGAAACTAAACGGTAGGTATGCGCACTTGGGCGCGTGTGGGCTTCGCTCGTCACCGTCTAGAAGCTGTTCTCCGTTCGCCTCTCCTATCAGAACTTGCATCTCATCGTACTCGATCTGATCGAGACAGCCGGGTTTCAACCTCATTAATATGTTGTCGGGCCTAAAATCGCCGTGACATATTCCCTTTTCGTGTAGGAAAGCAAGGGCATTCGTAACTTGGCGGCTTATTTTCTTTCGTCGACCAAAGTCTTCTCCTATCTTATCCTCCCAGTCTGTGAACTTTGGGCCGGCGACAGGCAATACGGAGCACAAGTGCCTCCCGTTGGGAGATTCTATAAAGAAAGTCTGCGAGGCTACCATGATATTGTTTTCATCGAGCTCGTCGATTCCTCGGGCCCGAGCTTCGAGCATTCGATTCGCCTTCAGGTCCGAGCAGTCATCCGACGAATGGCTTGCCGAGTTGATTTTGAGCGCTATCCATTTGTCTTCTTGCAGATCCCAGCAAAACCAAACGGTCGCGATGCCGCCGTGTCCGAGCTTGTGGACGACTTTAAACCTGCCGATTATCGTCTCACCAATATCTAGCGGATAAAATCCACGCGGTTGGTACCACTCGACGTCTTCGACTTCGTCCATGATTGAAAGGGAATTGTACTTCCTGGCGAAGGAAGCGCTGGACCGTGTAGTGTTAGCGCTCGACATCGTGGCGTTTGGGGTCGTCTAGCATCTGCAAGAAAATCGACACGTAGTTCTGATCGTCATATTCCACAGTGCCCCAGCGCTCACGTATAAATGTATAAATTTCGAATGCTTTTCAATGCCACATTTTCAATGTCTTTGTCATTCACCTTTCCGGGGATTATAAGTGAGGGACATGAAAGACTAAGAGAATCTTCCTTTGTTGGCCTGCATGCGACGGGACGTAGTGAAAGGGACCACAGCGGGAATCAGACTGTGATACCGGTCGTAGTTGGCGATACAGTATGAATATTCTGCTCAGTACCTAGTCAGGTAGCTATGAATGTATTGACAAATACAGCTATGTTGAATATTTGGTGATTTTTGAATTGCCTTATATATTATTACCTTACAATATTGCCTTTCTACTTGTAAATACCTCTACATGGCTCATAAATTCATGCTTGAGTCCGTAACCCCCTTTTTATGACGAGATTTGACCCTCCTTTGCGCGCTATTATGCCTGTTGCTTCCACATTTCGAAGTAAAAGTGAATCGCCAAGTCGACTATTATTCATCGGCATGATTTCTAGCATCGTCGCATCGACGAGGTAGTATCAATATGGACGGTGTATCTGAACAGCTAGTACGGGGTTCATCGCACTGCTTGTTTAGTTTCGAGGGGCCTGCCGCTCGACAACCGCATGTGAATGCCGGGATCGTGTATTCGCACATTTAATTCTTGATGATTCTCTTGTTTACCTGCCCAAACGCCGTATATGCATCTTGCAAGACAAATGCTTTATAAATCGGCTTGTTTTTGTCCCTTCTGGTTGCCTCCCTAAGCTCTTGTCCCGCTTATAATGCATTATAGGCTCTAGATAATCCCATGGTGACCAGGTGACTTTGGCTATCCTCCAATTGAGGGATGTGTGGCAAGATGATGGATAATGGAAATTGTTAGGTACCAGAAGAGAACTGGGCATTGTAGAGGCACATTGTAGAGGCGTAGAACAAAGACAAACGCTACCACAGCAATTACTCGCGGTAACAATAGGAAGAGGATTCAACTCCGCATAAAGAAAGAAACTTCAATCCTTAGGGCATCCTATAGCGGCTATTGTCTCCTATGAACAATAAGGAAGTATCTAGTGAATGTATGCCTGGCAGAGACGGATTACCTAGTGCCAGAAAGAGCGAAGATACAATTGCCCTTGAAGGTGTACTTAATTGAGCTATGGGATACTTTAGTAAAGTTGCTTTCAACTAAGTACCTAAACTAAAATTTGTCAATTCTTAAGATGCGAGGAAAAATTAATATACATGTGCTTAACCCCTTTTCTTTGCTTTTTAATGTCCTACCCCTTACCCCTTTATGTACCTAGGTACCTTTCGTTCAAGGGCCCCCCTAAGGATTCTTTTCTTTTCTCTTTTCTTTTTCTTTTTGCAAGACTCATTTCATACCCCTTTAACTGCCCCAAGTCTTTCTTATATTCAGCTCATCAAAGCATAGGTACCTACGTTATCTGTTTCGTAGGCGGTAACTTTGAGCTTTTGAAGCGCCATTATTGATACCCACCCTCTATATTTCTTTGTCTTCTCTTTCTCCCCCTTGTTTCTTTTTCTTTCGGTTTGCCACGCCATCTCCTAGGATGCTACGTCCCCGAATCCGAGCGAAAATCATCAACAATACCCAACAGGAAAGCCAAAGTTGCAACTGCAGCTCCGATACGCCCCTTATTTGATTTATTGGGAATCAAGCTTAGAATACAATGCGTTACCAAAAGTCAACACTTTAACAGATGATTAAATACTCGAAATAAATAGCAAAAATCAATATAATTTTCCAGCATTCTTTAATAACAAAAGCCACCATTTTGCGTAGGGTTAAAAAAGAAAGAAACATGGAAATAAGCTACGAGGTTTATGTACTTCTTGTGGTATTCTGTATAGGGCAGTACATTCAACATTCCACATTCACCCATACCTCCACACGAATGCACTATAAAGGATAGCAAATAACATCATAATTTACTTCAATACTACATAGGCGTTCTTTTCATCTTATTTCAATTTCAATCGCCCGTTAGATGCATTGCCTTTTAGTGCAAAATAGGGGAGTGCACATGTATTTCGCAATGTAAGAAATGACAAGCGCACGCTGAGGGAGCCACGAATAACCTAATAAACTGTATTCGAGGACCACCTAAATACATACGAGCGCTAGAATGCGATAAAGTCCTGATGAGGTTATTTCCAGACGCTGAGCCCCCTGAACCTCGTAAGACGTAGCCTCTCACGCCGTAGCCGTGGCAGCCATGATCCCATCTGCCCCGTACCATCCTCCGTTCCTCGAGCAGGACGTCTTGCTTGATTTGTTCGTTGACGTCTTGTACGAGGTTTGCCTGCGCAAATCGTTAGCTATCCCGCTACACACGGTGCCGGACTTGACGAAACTAATACGCATTGAAAAAAAAGAAACAGGACTTACCCAACCCAAACAGTCGCTTCGACATGCGTAGTAATGTACGCAATATCTGTCTGCGTGAACGTGGCGAAAGGCCGCGTGATAGTCACGGTGCGCGGAGGCCTGGAGTCGTCGCACTTCGTTGTCGGCGCGGGTGTTCTGCGATGCGGTTAGAAGTTCACTTCGCATTACCTACATCTATCTCTCGAGCAAAAAGTGGGACATACACTGTAGCGATGATCGTTTGGTAAACTGGACAAAAAAAAGTTAGCTTCTCTAGTACTATTAGGCGGTATAGGCAGGTACTTTCTTTCGACTTACCGTCCTCTGTCGTCGTCGATGGGGGGACCGTGGTAACGCTGGTGCTCGTGACGGTGTAAGTCGTCTCGGTGACCGTTACGGTGGTGGCGGCTACCGAAGCGGCGGTAGCAACTACGTTCGCGTTGCCGGTCGCGGCAGCTGTCTCGGGTGATATAGGTATGCCGACGGTTGGAAGGCAGGCGAGTCCGATGCAGATCGTCGGGTCAGGACCCGGTTTAGGAGGCGTTAGATAGTGGCAGTAAGCTGTCTTCGTTATCGTGGTTGTCGAGTAGCTCGTGACTTTCCCGTCCGTAACAGTGCGAGTGATTGATGATGTGCTAGTAACTGTTGGTTCCGTGGGTGTTATGGTCACCGTCTGTGTGGTCCCGTCGCATGGTATCGTCGCCGTCGCAGGTGGTAAAGTCGAAGTTAGCGTTTTCGTAATAGTCTTGTATATTGCTGGAACATGTTAGGCTCGAATACGTTGGTTAACCTAGTAAAGAGCGGCATACTTGTTGCCTCGGGAGTGCTTGTCACGCCAACTACCACTGTAGGCGTAGCCTGTAATACTATTAATAATTCATATCTGTATTGGTAAAACGATGCGCGTACTGTGACGGTAACCACTTCTGGGACGCCAACAATAAGGGCAATGGTCCTCTGAAACCTAATCGTATTTCCAGTCAAAACTATCCTGTAAATACCGGTGGTCATCTCAGAGTATTTAAGTTCGCTAGAGAGTAATGAGTGACTTTTAGTTACTAATCAAGGCTTGCGTCTTCTCACCATGTTGAAGTTACCTGCGTCCCTGCAGGTGTTGTGGTTATGTTGGAACAAGAATGTACTATGGAGCTAGGATCTACAACGACCGGCTGCACTGATTCTTGATCACATCCTAGGTGTGGTTAGCTTATATGCATGTCAAAGCCGCGTATAAAAATGCTGCTATACCTTGAAACGTAGTCGTAAATGTAAAGTCATCGTTTGAAGAGGGATCGATATCGTATGTGCCACCGTTCACATAATCTACGCCGTAACTGGAACAGGCTGCAGAGGCTCTTAAGGTGAAAAGACCTATAAGAAACCAGGATTTGGAGATATTAGAAATCATTTTGCTACTAAATCCAAAATGTTGTAGTCTTGGAACTGCTATAGATTACGAAGTCACCTTAGCTAGGTGACCGAAAAGCTACCCTTTTGTAGCTACAGTAGATATGACAAGAGCCTCTTATGACGATCTATTATGCGAACACGATGTGGTATTGGATGGTCCCGTGTTTTCTAAGAATAGCAGTAGAGCGAAAGCTCCGATATTCGCGGAACGGATTTCGATAGGCTATACGGAGGATCTAATACTATGTGATAGAAAGCGCATTTGGTAACAAACCATCAAAGGTACCGTCGAGTCATATAGGTATAGTTTAGCCTATAAGTGAATGTTTCTAGACCGCAGTAAGAGGCCGGTCCAGGCAAGGCTTCTACCCAGCATGGAAAATTAATTGGTAGATAAAAAAGCGAAATGTCAGCTGGAAACGTAATTCTAGCAAGCTTCGGTATCGTCATCACGCATTCATGGCTAGATGATTCTATTTTATAGCTCCAATATGGCGGTTTATCGATTCCAGATGCTTTCTCGTACGTTTCGTTGTGTCTCCTTTCGGTATGCACGCTGAACCTCCGTTCAACTCGGAAGTAGAGCACATACTACTCTTTAAAAAGTTGATGGCATTTCAAGGCGACAGAATTCTTCAAATTTTCAAGATTTATCCGTATTCATACTTCTCGTAAGTCAAGTAATTAGAGGTGCTCCAGGTGGTTATGTATTTTGCCAAAAGCCCCTGGTTATGAAGTGTCAAGTCAATATTATGTCACGTTGCATTGAACCAATTGCAAATATTCTATGGCTCGAAAGGTACGGTAGCTACCAGCAGTATGAGCCAGGCCTAGTGTAGACTCAGAGTAGATAAACCCTACTGCATGATGCCATGCTTCTGATCAAGATGAGGCATGATTGTTACGTTCTCTCATGTTGCCTTGCTGGCTTCGTTACGAACGTTGTACGTGTATGTTATGAGTAGGTAGGTATCCAACACAATTCATACTTGGAGGTATGTATAATCTACGGTGTAGCCACTATTAGAAAGCGCTTAGCCTGGTATTACTCTGCAAGAAAGTTATATAGTAGACGGATACTTGCTTGTGACGCATACTTATTTTGAGTAACGTTACGAGGCATCTACACAACCATCTGGAGCGCCCGTCGTCACTCGAACCATACGATTACTCGGCTACATGTAGTAACGTGCCCGCTATGCTTGAAAGAACAAGCATTGGACGAAGTAGGAACCATAAACGCTGAGAAGAAATTATAACAATTGAATATTCTCTTCGATATGCCATCTGATTGAAGTAGTTCCCCTTTCCATAGGCTCAAGAGCATATTGCCCGAGCACAAATGACATGAACCATGCCTAAACGCCTCATTAATGCATTCTATATCGGCACAGCCCGACTTATTAATCGTATCTACTATTCCACCTCCTCACACGTATTCTCGAGTATTCTGCTGCGGTCCAAGACCTCCTTTAGCTTGTGCGTGATAGGGCATATAAGTGCTCGCGGCCGGAATGCTCACATTCTGGCCCATAGGCTGTTGCGGATTGTTCCCTTGTCCGGCCTGGCCGTTCGGCTGGTTCCACGGCTCCAGGTTATAACCGGCCGGCTCGTTCTTGGACTTATTCCACCTCTTCTGGATGAACTTCTTGGTAACGAGGACGAGCATCATGGCGGGGAAGAGGAATAGAACGAGACCCGCGAGAACGTAGTTGTACTGCGATGCCTGGGCGAGCGGAAAGCCGCTGGATCAAGACGTGTTAGTAATTTTTATTCAGAACGGGAGAGGAAATAAGGCAGATCTTACAGGAATCCGTTGATAACTCCCATGACAATGATCACACGACCCATCCATACGTGAATAGGGGCCATCTTTGTTGTCTGCTGCGTCTTCTTGAAGGTGCGGTGGTGCAAGAAGCCAAGGGTAAACTGAGCAAAGATGAAAATGAAGATGAGAATTCCAATGACCTGGTGAGCACTGTTGACCTTTTTAGACTGCACACGTGTTAGTTTTTCGAGTCCTACCAACGCTGATATAACGGTTAGCTTACCCTGTTGTAGTACTTGCTAATGGAGAATCCAAGACTCGAGCCGATGATAGTGAGGATTAATGCGAACCCCTGGTTGATACCGTGCCAACGGACCCAGCTCCCCAGATGCAATACGAAAATACCGAAGGGGTATAATCCGACAAATACGAAAACCATGATGATCGCATGCATAATCGCCGCGACGTCCTTCTTGCCCTCCTTCGATAGCCCCTGGGTCGTGGCGATCAACGTGCTGTTTTCCGAGCGGTCAATAGCCGGAACGCCCGCGGGTCCCGTAGCGTGAGCCATATCTAGCGTGAAAGTCCCGTAGTTGTAATGCATCCTGAGCGGCGCATCGAACGAATCGGATTTGAGCGTGCTAGTATCGCCCGTAGCGTATATCATATTCTGCGACTTGCTCGCGACGTCGATCTTTCCCTTGCCATCCGACCACGACCGACAGTTGGTACAGCGCCCGTTGAAGATGAAGGTTCCGTTATCGAGTCCGGTGCCTTCCAACGCCTCAACCTTGATTTCAGGGGTAAACACGGGCTCCGAATGGCCCGAAGCTATTCGCGGCGAAAACGTGACGTTCTGTCCCGATTCCGACGGGTACGCCAATAGGATCAGCGCGCCGGCCATGCGATCGGATCCGAGTCCGACGGCGGCCCAACTCGTCCCCTCCGGAAACATCAACGAGAAATACAGATCGGTAGTGGAGTCGCTCGGAACGTTGAGCGCGAATGCGAGGTCTCGCGGGGGGGAAACGAAGACCGAACCAGCGGTGGCGTTTGATAAAGTGGTATTAACATCTTGTGCTTGTGTAGAAGTAGTGAAGAGAGATAGAGCTACTTTATGTTAGTTTTTGTATTGCTTTGCTCAAAGTACTGAGGAGGCATACCTGCGGAGACAGCTAAGCTCAGCCGGCTGAGAGTACTAAATGATCTCATATTTCCTTGTTTAAAAAAATAAAAATATAGAATATAGAATACAGAATAAAATAGACTGAGTATCAAGAAGCGTAAAGGTCAAGTTGGAAAGTTGTCTTCAGGTGACTAAGGATAAAAAAAAAAAAGAAAAAAAAGAGTAACCTTCCAACAAAATAGAAAAATCGAAACAAAAGAAACGGCAATACCGATAGTTAATGTTGAAAGTAATAATGAACTCTTCAACTCTCATCTTCTTTCACTGCGACACTGGCCCTTTTAAAGACCAACCTCGAGTACGCGCTTCCGGCATCTCGGCGTAGCATCTACGGCCCCAGACCCGAGAATATCGTGATGCGCCTGCCTATTGGACTTTTGAGGTGACATACCGGCGGCAAGCTACGGGACCCTGAGTTTCGCTATGATTATACGGCGCTGATTGGTTCATCTTCTTGACGTTCTTGTAATGCGGGGCCATTGATTGGCTACAATGGCTTCTGCAGCCAATGCCAAGCGCCTAGATTTGCAGCCCGCGCTTGTTGAAGAAATGGTTATTTTTAGCTGCCCTGCCATTGGTTGTCCGATTGAGGTTACAGGCTGAAGAGTTGAGTTTCTTTCATTCGACAACATAACAGGTAGACAGCTAGCATAACACAGCATAACATTGCTTCATCTTGCATCTTGCAGATATATGCCTCGAGTAACCTGACTTCTAAGTTGTTATCCTCAACTTTGGATAAATTTATGCCAGCAAGTTCTGACATAGGTAGCTGTCAAGTCAACTGATAGAATGGCATAAATACCATAGGCTTATTCAATCAAAATTCGCTTCTAAACAGAAACATTCGAAACTGATATATATCTCATTTTATCTCTCCAGAGACTGCAGCCACAAGTATATACATGAAAAATAGCCTATGTCAGATATCGTCCGTCCTAATCCCAAATTCGAATGCGTTGCCAAACTAATGGGGTATCAATATACACTCTCGAAAGCCAAAAGAACGCAGAAGATTTAACGCTCAGAGAAAGAAAGAGTCGTCATAATCATAATCGGTATGATCAAGGATTCCATCACAAGCAAATCTCTCCCGTTAAAAGCCGTTAAGTAGGTCCTGGGCTTTTATCGTCTCTCCAACGCTAACGAAGTCAAGCTATATCGATTTCGTTAGTACCTAGGTAACTACCTGTGAAACGTGTAGGTATGATAATACAATGGAACATAATAGAGGTACATACCAAGACTACGTTGGGCACGCGGCCGTAGCTGCTCTTGCAAGTGTCCGTCTGCGCGGTGATGGATTCCACCGAGTTGGTATTGTGCGCTTCGATCAGGTCCGGGATTAAAACATCGTGGAATAGTTCGACGTTGCGGTTGTGGTTCGCTAGGAACATCCGGCCGTCGGCCGAAGCGCCCGATGGTCGATCGATCCCGCATCCGTTGAGCATATCCTCCGTCGGGTCGAACGGGGTTTCGAAGTAATATGCGAATTCGTCCAGGATATAAGGGACCTTGGAGGTATCCATATTGTAGTCTGTTTTTATTGTTAGTTTTAACTACCAGTAAAAGAGCTCGGATATAAGTAGCTCGTACCCATAAATACCACCACTCTCTTTCCGCTTGAGATCATTTCTCCCAAGGTAGGCCAGTCGTCAAGACCGAGCTGCTTATCTGGCGTGAAGACGTACTCTTCCAACCCGGTCGACTTGAATACGTCGCCATACTTGTTGATATCGATAGCGTCGGGGTTTGTGAGGAGAAGCGTCACAACTTCGTTGGGATGAGAATCCAGCCAGGTCTTAATAGGGCCAAGATAGTCTTGTAACGAGCCGGCGTCCTCTAGTAAGCTAATTTGGCGATTTAATACAGAGTTCGAAACAGTAAATCCCAGAAAGACGATAACTCACCATGAGGTATGGCACATCTGAGGCGATCCGTCCTTTTCTTGCGTCTGCGCCTGGAGAAATCGCACGCCTTGGTCCAATTGCTCCGTCGGGTCGGTCAACTGGTTGTCTGCGGGGCCGACTCCGGTAAAGGGCGAGTTGTGCGCCCCGACGAAGGTCACCTTGCTGTACTGCCGGTCGCAGAGCTCAGCGTGGCCGTTACAATCGGCCGCGAGAGACCCCGCCGCGACGGCTAGGGCTGAGAGGAGGATGTTGTTGCGCATTTTCAGGATGTTATATATATATAAAGCGATCGAAAAGAAAACTATAAAACAAATAAATAAACGATAAATAAAAAAAGAATCAAATTCGTATAATGATCAACACTATGTAGCTAAGATACAGAACGGAATTGAATGATGAACGAAGATCTCGACTAGATCTGGATCTACGGCATAATATGTATTGTTGTAGAGGCCCTTGCACCTCGATAGGAGATATTTTTGGTAGCATCAAAGCATTTTTTTCTCGAGGGGATCAAATGAAACACCAATGGCAATTGTCGAGAATGACCGGGGGTCGTAGGACCTTTTTGTCCAAAAAACAAGACATTATGATAGGTAGCTTGTTTCTTTGTACCGTGTGCCTGCAGCGTGTGGGCGGTCAATCCCGAATAGAGCGAATTGAGACCTTCTACATTCGCATTTAGAATGGCTTAAGGGGTCGCTGTTATGGATTCGGACCTGGTGAGCTTTGCTGCCAAGTTTTTGTCGAGACATTGGATCAAATAGGTAGGGCTCGCGCTCGGCCCACGATGGACAAGGGGGCCCCCGCGCCTCCAACACCCCTGACGCTACGCCGCCGCTCTGTTGGCGAACAAGAGATCTTTGTTTACAGCGGATCTAGTTGCCTATAGAGTTAGGTCGTTTGCAAGAGATCTCGGTTTCCTTTTCGGACAGGACAATTACATAAATAGCATTACGACTTCAAAAAACTTTCGATATTATCATTCCATCCCCACCAAAGAGGAACGATGTCCAGTTGGCATCAGAAATAGGCTATTCAGCCTTACTACCTGCCAATTTTTCCTCATGTCGCCCAGGTCGCCAAAGGTGTTTATCACAGACGCGACACTGATCATCTTCACTCAGCGCTCGTGGCTCTAGTAGACGCTCAAGTGCCGAAGAGCAAATGTGTACCTTACGCACTATCAACCAATCAGATTTGCAGAACGAAGTTGAATGTCTTCATTGGAGCGGACCCCACTCGCCTGAGACCCCTTCAAGCTTGGTCATTTCTCCATCTATTATTGGCAGACACAGCCAGGACACTTGCAAGGGCCAACCGAAACTCGTGGTTCACGAACATGCAGACATCTAATCTATTCTCAACAGACCATTTCTATCGTGCAACTAACTTCACCGCCGCAATTAGGTAAATATATTATATTATTAATAGGGCGAAACTCTAGAACCGAATCCTCCGACTATAAGCTAGCAAGACTATATTATGGAATTGTGGGTGTTGCTGAAACATTTCAATGAAGACTTATTGTCCCACTGTGTGAAATATACACATAAAAAAAGTCGAAGAGAGCTCAGAAACTGCTCCTATAAAATCGAAAAGAATTCCTAGGTAGGACACAATCTGGTCGAAGACTCTTTGCTCGATGAGCTTATCCGACTGAATGATTTAATTACCCTTTATTGTATCAACTTCTATTGTTAGGAGTGCAGCAATTTTGTTTTGTTTTGTTGTTTTTAAAGAGTTTGGCGTATAGAGTCTATGGAACTCAGGACTATTTCATCAACCTTGGCCATAAACACAGAGGCAAGTGTCGCGCATACCTATTCGGCTTTGTTATTATAATACCTATTACTATACTGTCTATTTCGAAACTTTGAGAATATACTTTATATTACAGCTAGGTTGATCCGAGTCTCTTGGGGATTAGAGTTTAGAGGATAAGGTAATTAATTTGACTTGGTGACACTGACGTGTCGTTGATGGTGTGACGATAGTGAAAAGTATAGCTCATCATTAAAATTTCTTGATAGGAGTATATTACCTACCTGGCGTGTGTTTTTCTTGCAAAATGCTGTGCGCTTGAATTAATTTTCGCGTTGATAATCGTTAAGCAGATGTCATTCTATTATCGGTGCAATAGGTGGTATTAAGATTTCAGACCTGGATAGATAGCTTGACGATCGACATCTCCACATGCATCACATCCGGAGCAGGAACTAAAGATTGGGAGCGTTGATAGACTTTGACGTGCCGGGGTGGGTGAGGGGCTGAGCCGGGACTAGAACTATTCCGTCCTATGGTTAAGATCGAACGTGTACGTCTACGATAGCTTTGCAACAGATACCAGTATAGACAGCGTAGTCTAGGGTTGGTTTTGAGGTGTAAATATCCGATCGTGAGCTTCTCGGCGAAATTTTTTGAACCGACGTGAACCTTATAATACCTACCATCCAGGTCGCTTGATTATCTTAAGTGAATTTCGTAAATACAGTGATGGTCTAAAATTATCTGGCCCACCCCCCTTTTTATATCAAAACTCAGCCTTTTCACTCTGCGATAACTTCACCGATAGATATCATAAAAATACGCTTTTAATTCTAGGTCATAGATATTTGAAGGGACTGAAAGTTTTGTACCAAGCGCCTATTAAAAGACCTAGTATTGGGAAAGCCACCTCAGTTTGAAGTTGATTCAAATTGACTTTTTCGATTTTCCCATACCAAACATTGGGATTTGTATAGGGAACTTCCCAAAAAGTTGACGTAAGGTAACTCAACTAAGAATCTACATCGTACAAAATGACCTAAGAGAATTTAGTGGAAATCGACTGTGTACCTTGTTCTTACGAACTTTCCGTAATCTTGGCACTTTAGCTTGATTCCTCGCTTTAGGCCTTAAATAAGGTTCAACTATCCCTCGACGGCGCGGTCCTGATCGTAAGCTAGGAGGAGATCGACCTATGTAGTGCATCAGCGTCGACCCGGAACCGATTCCGAACCTTATGGGAATAACACGGTATGTTCAACCATGGCCCCTCCGCAGGAACCATCTACACTTGGGGATAGTTATTGGTCGTCTTAAGAATTGTCTATGAGCTTATGAGCTTATGAGCTGGATACTTTGGAATTTGAACAGCACTTATTAACTACTTCGTACCTAGTCACAATAAGCTATTAGAGCCTCGGCGGTATCCGCTTTGGTCTCCATCTACGGATAAATCATGGCTGATCTGATCGACCGGGAACAACTATATCGCCTAGTACCCAGAATTTACGAAAATATGACTCTCTTGCAAGGTCTAGAACTAGTGATTACTAGTAATCTTGGTGGTCTCTTGGTGGTGGTAACTAACAAATTGACTATGTGGCGTACTGTGGCGTACCGTAACCCAAACGTACGGTTTATAATATCACGTATTACAACACCAAAGCGGGACCTAAACACGTGGGTATATGTGAGTGGAGATAGGTACAACATCAGGCCATTTTTGGTGGCTAGTGGCATGTATTACGTTCTAGGTACACAACGACCCGTTGTGGTGGGTGTAATGGATTCGGGCCTTGCTGTCTCATTAGTGTATTAGTGTCTTCAGTGGAGAAAGAAAAACCTTCTAGAACACGTATACGATTGTACCTACTTGTTATGCCAAGATGTCCTGATTCGTAACGCTGGGAAGTACTAAGGTTACCACTGTACATGGTCCACTGGTAGAACCTCGAAATTCTCACCAAAAAAAAGCCATTTTGCTACTTTGTCACTCTGCGATATCTTTACTAGTAAAATGCAAATAATTGGCCAAATTAATTCATTTTAAATAAAATTGACTTGGCTTCGTGTTTTGTGTAGAAAGTTTCTTTATACGGCTCGTATTAAGAGAGTTATTGATGTTGAAAGTTGATGTTGATTCTCGAGGGGTTCCCCATACAAACTGATATTTTTGTGTGGGGAATTCTCAAAAGCCAACTAGACTTTCAACTACAATAAATTCTTCAATATGAACTGTGTAAAAAAGCTCCATATACAAAAGACTTAACGGAGCTAATTCTCCATAAGGTGAAACTTAGACATTAATTTTCCGATTTTCCTTGGTGAGAATATCCCAGAGTGACAAGGCTATGCTTTGATGTAAAATGGACGGCCTTGATAGAGCTGCAGTTGCTGCCCACCAATGGTATAATACGGTCTAGGCCGTTTACGGCTCGGGTATATGCACGCCCCTGGATGGACTCCCGATTCCCGCCCCGACGACAACCACGTGGATAAAGGCATGTGGGTTAGCGATGTTCATGGGTTTCTGGATTGAATTTCCTGCCTATGATGGATTTAGGAGGTCCTTGTATGGTTGAAATCCGACGAGGACTACGTTTGTAATTCAACAAACATTCTTGACTGCCCGTGCCGTGTGAATACTAGAGTCGACCTGGTTTATTCGACACTCGCTAATACCACTATATGTGCTGCAACCAAGAGAAATGATGCGAAATGATCTCACAAACCCATCCTTTTCGACGGGTAAAGAATAGAATATTATGGAATAATTAGGGAAGCCTATAGTTCATATGATGAGAATAGTGCCACGCGCCCTAGTAACTAAAGTCGACGGTGATATTTTATCATGCGCGCTAATCGAGGATTTTAGAAACGCATATAAGTGAGACACTAGCACTTACGGGATTCGAACCTATCGTGAGATGTTAGGTATACGTGTCGTTAACGGTATTATGGAGAAGCCTTAAGTAAACTATAAACCGGAACGAGTTCGGAAGGATGGATATCCGTCAGCGATGTGTGCATGACTAGTGTAGCGTGGAGCTAAAGCAGCTCCGGTTACTCGAAGCATAGCGCCGGGCGCGCCGGAGACCAGCTTCGGGCGTGCCGGAGAGTAACGCCAAAGCGTAGCTGACGAAGGAGTAGTATATATATATATATATAGGGGCGCGAAGAGCCCTCATAGATGCTTGGAAGGTCAAGTCTTAATAGGTCACTCTACCACACTACTACTGCTTCTAGTATTCACTCTGTGTATGACAGCCATCACGGGGGCTCTCTCACAATATCGTAGTAAGCTGTTGAGGCTACCAGAGGGCCCCTACATCCTCGGGCTCTTGGGATAGCCAGATTTAATCTACTATTACGCATCGCTACCGTTATATCCGTTGCTTTATATGTATGTACTAGGATTAAACGCGGGGAAATGTGAAGCTAAGGCTTAGCACGTTAGAAAGCACCTGACTTCTTGATACCAAGAAGAATAGACAAGGTTGTTCTTTGTTAAAAGGTGCTGTTACTAGCCGGGTCTAGTTATCAACTCCATAGAAAAGCTGTCAAGGATGCATCTCTAAACTCATTTTCGAAGAGTGTCAGTTATTGTGGATCGTACTTTGAAGGTTAGATCGCACATTGAAGGCTAAATGTAAACTACGCATTCCTAGTAGTTTAAGGGGAGGCATGGTTGTCTTTTTATCTAAACGCGGGCTAACACGTTGTTCTTCCCAGTAAACAGCCCATCTACGCAACCTACGGGGCTGCAGAAAATACACCGTAACGATGATGACATTTCCAGCATTTAAGCAATTGTGACAAAAACCCCTCCCAAAACCTCACAACAGATATTCCGCTCGGATCTCGATAACACCATCTTGATACCGATTTTTGTTCTTTCAGAAAGTGGTCCGTTCCGTGTTGCAAGGACGATGCGCACCTCGGACTTGCCGCCATAAGACGCGTTCAACGGGACAGATGTTCGTCAACAATATATTTAACGTAGCGGGATCTCGATAACAAGCCTGCGGAAGATTCCAGTAACACATGTTGTAAATTGCCCTCTCGTCCTGCCCAGAGGTTTAGAATATATTCTGATTAATGGTAGTTCATAACGCGACCCGGTAATTATTCATTTACATGCTGGTTTCTCGGCGACATACGTCGTGGTCGTAGCCTCTTTTTATTATAGAGTTACGCTACCCCAGACCTCTAGCGCCCCTAAAGCAGATTAGAGACGACGCCAGCGGTAGTTCAAGTAAACATGGGATGCTTTACTCATCAATGTTGCGTAAACATTCTTTAATACTATACATACATGGTGAAGAAAAAGGGGTCCAATGTGTGTGTACTTAGTCAGACGTCACATTATCCCTAAAACCCCCTCTGAGTCGCCAAACATATTGACAACCTGTTATATCTAATTGTACGATTCACTAGCTTCTAACTATCTCCGGCCGTCGCCTTCTCGCACTCATCTCGTAATAATCATTTCTCATTTCTTCATTTATCATAACTAACCCACCTAGAAAGGTAAGTACCTACGCTCAGAGCCAAATCTTGCGGCGGAGCGTAGGTACTTTCTGTCTAAACTTTTTAACCAAGAAACCGCCTCTAGAAAGGACGCCTTCTTATCTGAGATACGTGCTGACTAGGCCCGAGTGCTGTTTGCGGTGATTGATATTGCTGCATCGAATACATATTCCACGGTTGGAAATGATAGGTCGGGTTGATAGGCATAACATTAATTGGAGCACACCCAAATCCTTTAGAACCATTCCATTAGACCGGGGTTAAATATGAACAGGAATATCATCGAGTACATACCTGACTTCGTATCATCAAAGACATTTTCTGCGCTAGTCCCAGAACCCGTGGGAGAACACGTGTTTGGCGATAGGCTGGGCCGCTCGTAAACTGTGGAAGCACCGCTGGGAATGTAATTATTCCCGAAGTCATCCGTCTCTGCAGATGAGGGGGGGCTAGAAGCTGATGAGATGGAGCACGGTATCCTCGTCGGCCAAGCATCTGTAGCATCAGACATGCTTTCATAAGAAGCGACGTTCTGTATCATGGAGAACTGCGGTGCGGATTGCGCAAGCAAGTGTGGCCCGGGGGGGCTAGAGCTATTTAATACTGAATAAACGTTAATTCTAACTCGAAAAAAAATGAAGTTAGAGATATGAAGCCATACCAGAGTGATATTGATCGCCTGCATTATGAATACCCATACTCTCCCTAATTTGGGTAAGTTCCTCCTCTAAGGCCTTATTCCTGCGGAGGAGTGTCTGAATAGTCTGGTCCCGGTTCTGAAAACTACGAAGCTCTTCTATCTCTTTCTCGAGACTTTCGATGTGCTCCTTTGTCCTAGCGCGAATCGCCCTCTGGGCTTCTCTGTCGTTGGCGCGCTTCCGAGCTAGTTGCGAAGGCGTAAGGGTAGATACGCTCCTGGTTCCTGGGTTTGCTGTGTTAAATCATTTATTTATTTTTTATCTTTTTTTACTTAGCCCGAAGCCGGAAAGGGAAAGTAAGTCTTACCTTTACGTTTTCCCTTACTGATTTCACCTGCGGGCTTGGTACTGTTGATCATTTTGGAATCGGATGTTGGCGATGGGGTGATATTTGAATAAGATGGTAGGCTGAAAGACATGCCTAAAAGAATATACGACACCAAGTATTTAACAGTCACAATAGTTATTAAGGGGTGGCTCGCACGTTCGGTCGAGAAAAGATGTCAAAAGAAAATCATGTTGACATAACCGAGAAGAGGAATAATTATATAACTGGACGGGTGGCTAAACGTCCAAAGGCTATGGCTACTGTTAGAATGAATAACATACGATGCAATTAGTCTATCATCCTTGAAAGGGCTCCCCATGGGAAACTAAAGTGATTGAAGGTTCTCCCTAGGATTGTCGTACTAGTATATGTATTATAGATAGGTTACGTTACAGCTATCCAGCACATAGTTTAGTTGCATGTAGATAACCAGCGTACTCGAGTTAGTTGGAGAATTGTTAGGCGTATAGCTAGCTGCTTGGAAAAAAGTAGGTAGGGCAGGTCATACTCTCGTTATACTTGTCCATATGTAGATATCCCATCGATCTTCCCTCTTTACGTGGATTATGAAGGAATTCATTAGCGTTGAGAGCAAGGTCGAGGTCTCAAGATAGACTTCACGCTACGCCACCGGATGCGGGCTAGTTCAAGCGGGTCCAAGAATCATGTATCATGGGGAAAATCCCCAGAACAGTGTGTGATAGCGCATGGCAGGGGTCTATATGTAGTGCCTATTCACTAATACTGGGAGTAACATCGAATCCTAGGCTGTAGCTTAGAGAAACTGCTGGCTCCGAGCGAGACCAGTCAGATAGAGACTAGTTTAACAAGTCGGAGGTTCGGGATTATGTGCGGGATTGTGTAGATAGGATATAGCATCGAGTTTGTACAGATATCGTTGTCCTAGAAATATTATATAGATACCTATCTAATCGAACCTGATAAAATGCCGTCCTGATGAGCGCTGTAGATCTAAAGTCGTGAGCAGTAAAGAGGATATTCGGGCGCACTAGCCTTGGGTTAATATCTTCGAATCAGTCATCCGTCTATATTATGTGATTTTCCAGTATCGTGAGGAATTGGATCTGTCTCGAGTGTGTGTATTTAACCGTGTGGTCGAACAATAGTATACCATATAGTGATTATTATTAGTAGTTAATACAAAGCCTCGATTAGGAAATATCTCTTGGCTCTGGGGATACTGATAATCTCATCGGTATAAATGGAGGTAGGGATTTTGGAGCATCTTGGCATAACTAGAACCAGTGCCGGGAAACACGCCCTTTACTTGATGCGGCCAAGGCTGGCGGGACCGGGAAGGGAGAAAAAGGGTGGTGCCGCAGTCTCTAGTATGTACGCGCCATCCGAACTCTATTTCCTGGGTAGAACAGCTTAAGTGGAGAGTCGAGGTCACGAAGGCTTCGATGTAGTGCTTGATGGATCAGTTTTACCGCGAAACTACCACCCTAATATTTACCCCAGGTAAATAGATTAGGTTCCTTAGGTAGGCAAGTAGCTGGTAGGCATTTTGAAATATGTTAGGCTGAAAAGAAGTATACCGAAGATAATCCGCCCCTAAATCTTGACGTCCAACTTAGTCATGAAGGAAGCAGCAAAATGCGTCACACTGCTAACTAAGGATAACCTAAGAGAGTACTCAGAGGAAAGTTTGGTGAATCAGTTTCTAGACTATCGAAGAGGACCTTGTTGAACAGGTAGACAATGACTAGAGATATGATGTTGTCATTGATCTGCTCGTCCTCGCAGCTCTATTTCGTTTAACTGTTGACGGTGTGATCGACAACTATATGAAGTCATGCGAGTTCGGGATTAACATCTTTTACCGCAGAAACCAATTCGTCCATGCCACCGACTTCCGTAGGCCCGGACATGCCGGTGGGAGGTAGAGCCCAGTCGGGAAGCGGGCTAACGTAGCTCCACTCGCCACCAGCGTCTTCATATCGAAGACTATGCAGCCATAGAGAGAGCTCTTGCAATCCTGGATCCGTGTATAGCGGCGTATCACAGACCTCGCAAAGCTCGCCGGACATCTTTTCGGCCTTTCTCTTGTAGTACTCATTTACCATCTCGTCGTGGTAAGCGACCGCGTCTGCTACGTCTTCCTTTCCCATGCGGTTGAGACGCGTAATGATATCCTCGTCCGTGTTTTCTAGACCATCGGGGTCGTTGTATCCAAGATTCGCCCCCCAAACTCTTTGGTTAGCATAAATCGGATCGTTTTGAATAGGATGTCCCAGATGCTGGAGGTGGACGCGAATTTGGTGAGTTCTCCCGGTAACTGGAAGACATCGCACGATGGAATATCCTTCCATACGGAGCCACGGTCTGTCTTTATCGTCCGAGGCACCTTCTATCCCCGAGGTGCCGTTGCTTTCTTCTCTTTTTCGCGACTGGCGTGGGGGATAATAAGCTAGCTTTTTGAAAACTGTACGGGCTGTCTTTCCGCTTGCTCGTACACGGTTTAACCCAAGCTTTGGAGAGATCTGAAGTAGAGGTTGGTTACAAACTACCTCCTCGTCGGGGAAGTTACCGATTACCCTGGCAATATACTCTTTTCGTACACTTCTTTGCTTGATCTGTGTTCCCAGACGGTCGGCCGCCTTAGGATTCTTGGCAACGAACATAATGCCGCTAGTCAACCTGTCAAGCCTGTTACAAGTGTAGGGGATCCAGTCAGGGCCCCTCTCTGATTTCATAATTTCGATGACCGAGTTGAAATTGTACCTCCCCGCGGGGTGAACGGGAATACCAGAGGGCTTATTTATGACGATCATATCGTCGTCCTCGTGGAGAATTCCTATAGGATCGGCTGTAACAGGTGGCTCGTGCCGATGTATCGTATGAGATACGAGCTCGCCATTCCTGAGAATATGCTCCGGACTGGTCTTTTTACCGTCGACGCATATTTGACCCGTCTCCATGGCATTTCTATAATATTCAAGAGGTCGGTCTCTGAACTCGCTCTCGAATATATCTATAAGTTTCCTCCCTCTCCATCGCTCTTTACACCAGGTTTTGTATGTAAAATGATAAGGGGCGACACGTCGCAGACCATTTTCAAAGTAATATGGCCGCGGCGAGGCGTCAGCGTCCGGAGTAGCTAAGTTGGGAGATGGGGCCTTCTTCTTTTCGGTACCATTTTCATTCTCCGTGATGGCTAATGTGTTTATATCAGGTATACTGACGGTTGCAGAGGTTATTGCTGCCGAAGAATTCGACGCATCTGAGGTAGTTTGGCTCATCATGAACCGAAAAAGTTGTGGCGTCCGTCTAAATAGACCGCCGAGATTCCTGCGAAATGCCGTGAAAGCCGAAATATTTTTGGACAAACCAAGTCGCATTCATAAGCGCATAACAACTTTCCTTTTTTAAAAATATAATTGATATAAGTCGCATGTCCGATTAGATTGCGGGGTCCCTTGCTAATTCTGACTTCTATAAAGCTAAAAGCCAAGATTTGCATTATCCGGGGAAATTTTATGCAAACGGTCCGACTTAAATTCCCGAAAAGCCATTGCTTACCTAATGTAACACATAAGGTCCAAACTTCATCACTCAGCCAGACCTCGGCCGTGAAAGATGACAAACAACACCTCGACCCAAATAGAAAGCTCAACAGATTCATATTCATCTAGCGCAAAGTTCATAGAAATCATGGCCCAACATAAAGACTCGTTAAAAAATAGAACTAGAAAAGATTATCCCTTTATGCTTGAATATCGAACGCGATGGTAAGTGAGCTCATCCCTTGAGTCAAAACTCATACGCCGTAAGCGGCTAACTGACACCCATTCGTCTTAGGAGCGACAACGACATGTACGATCATATGAACAATTCAATTTACAACTTCCTGTGCGTTAATCTGACTCATTCTAACCAATAGTAAATTTTAATTTTAATTTTATATCTTATAGATTCGATTCTGTACTTAATTCTTACTTGATTGATCACTGTGCTCTTCACCCGCCCACCTCGGCGCAACATCCGCTAATGGCTCAAACGCGTTGCAATTACTTTTCCGTCATTTCGTACCCCAAGGTCGCTGAGCTCTGCCTTCGGGTCAATAAATTAGGTAAATCAAGTGTCGTTTACGAGATTGCACTGTTCGAAAAGGGCATCGAACAAGTCAAAGCCGTGGGTGAATACGTCCAAGTCTTCGTAGACCGCTCAACTCAACGGCCCAACGCCAACGGGATGGGTTCTCAATTACGGCATGGACTAGAGAAGCTATACGTAGGACCCGTTTCCAGCAAGCTGTAGATGAGCGCCCTACCTATATGAAACCCTGGTACTCAAGTTTCTGGCGCGCTCCATCCTGCTCCCCGCTCGACAGCATCTTCTCAATTAACTCTAGATCCGCAAGCGCCTGTTCGGGAGTCTGGTTGGGGTTTGGTATCCCCGAAAGGATAGACTCAGCCCAAGCATGAACTTCTTCCTTGACTCCACTGGTCCGCTCAAACACTTTTTCCTCTTCCACCGCGTCTTTTCCAACTCCTCGGGCCGTAACCACCTTAGCTGACTCGACCTTAACAACACCCTGCTCGCAGGCAATGTGGAATTCAAACGCATTCATTGTAGTTCCGACCGATGTGATGTAGGAGCCAACCACGCCCGACTTTGTCTTCACGATTGCGTTGATGGAGTCGACAGGCGGCAGATGGCTTGAAACCAAAGCGGTCTCGGCCACCAAGGATTCAGCCGCATTTTCCGCGCCTAAGAGTTTTCTTAAAGCAGCCGTGAAATGCACGCCTCCATCTAACAGGAAACCGCCCTGGTACTGCGGTGTTGTTCGCCACGGTGTGAGATAGTACTTGTTGGTTGCCTCCATCATCGAGTGCAGCCTCACAACGAAACCCGTAACTTTGCCGAGCTTCTTGATTTCTTCAGCGCCGTAGGCCCATCCCGGCTGAAAGCGAAAGTTTTCTGCTATAGCCAGGGTCACATTTTTCTCGGCGGACACTTTTTTATAGTACTCGATAAGCTTGTTGGCTGTTTCGAGATCTTTGGCTATCGGTTTCTCCGCCAGGACATGTTTGCCAGCAGCTAGGGCTTTCTCGATAAACGATGGCTGGTCCAGAATAGGCAGAGCAATAATTACTCCATCAATGTCGCTGCGCTTGAGGAGATCTTCATAAGACTTTCCCTCCCCGGAGTCGGCCGAGTACAAGTCTACCGAAGGGGCAGCATCGCTAGACACAAGCTTTGAGGCATCCTCTGCGGTCTTGCGAGACCGAGACCAGATAGCCTTGATTGAAAGAAACGGGGAGGTTATAGCAGCAGGCTAGTATAATAATACGTTAGTTAATGATGCTTATTGTTATTCAGATATGTTCGCCCAAGATGTTTGACTTTAGGTAGCCTTCAGGTGGGGATTTACATGACGTCACACCTGTGGTGAAGGGCACCTCATAAGCCACAGAAAAGATACCTGGGTACTTACGATATGCTGCTCCTTGACGAAGATGCCTCCACCAATAATTGCGATTCCTAGAGACGCCATTATCCCTTTGGTTTTTATAAAATATCGAATCTGCTGTTATGGAAAAGCATAAACAAGAGTGATAGATGAATAGCCTTGCTTTTATATTCTTCCTTTAGCATAAGTGAACTTGATTTAAAAAGTATCTAGGTAGACTTTTCCAACGGTGTCTCCACCTTCCGGTCGGAGTAGCCAGATTTAGCAAGTCCAACAGTTCTAGCCCCGCTTCATACGGAATGCAACCTGATTGGTCCCTTCACACGAGCCTCCAACGTTGTTGTACAACGTCAATCGACCATGAGATGTTAGTACAAGCACAGGATATATTGTACGTGCTACCTACTATGTATAAGGTAAAACTTACCTAAATCTAGGTACCTAACTGTAGTCTTCTTCTTCAAACCCCCAATGAATTGGAGAGTGTGATGAAAAAAAAAGTTCTCACTTTCGGACTCTGGAGGCAGTGTAATACCAGAGGCACAGGTAGCGAGAAACCTTGATTATTCCAAAAAATGTGTTGAAATGAATAAAAACATTTCAGCTCACCAACTGAGCCCATTCGCACGAGTTCGCCCTTCTGGAAGCAGTGTAATACCAGACGAGCAGGCCTCGCACAAGCCTAAAACCAACTGAGCCAAGCCACACCCAGGACAGCCAAAGTAGCCGAAAGACCCCGGCGTGCAACTACCCCCTGCCGCGTTCACCCCACCTCAGTAACCGCAGGGTCAGTTAAGACGGCCGAGAGTGCAATGCGAGAAAGTGAGAAAAATAGTCCAGAGCGCGCTTCTCTCCAGGCTTACAATACCTCGCTCCCACCGCACGAGAATCGGAATCGAACCGACCCACAGGAAATTTCCTCTCTCATCAGGCGCTCGAACTTTTCTTTTTGTCCAAAAGAAGAGAAAAAGCAGGGGGATAAAGAGATTCCGGGAGAGAGTCGAGGGACCCGGGCCGTACACTCGAGGGTTTAACCACTGCGAGGCCGATACTCCAACAATAAGGGTTTCATTCGGCCTTCGGGAGTGTGTACCTGGCTGTTGGGGTCGGGCATATTCCTCTAGCGCAAGGTCGTACCCAGGACCAAGCACCACATCCCTGTCCGTTATGGTGCAACCAAGTGCAAAGTGGAAGTCGGTCGAAGGTAGGGCAGTAGGAAGAGGGGAGGGAGTAGTAGGAGGGAGGTTTGTTGGAATCGAGTGTCGGAAACGGGTGTCGGAAACGAGTGTCGGTCGGTCAAGGTCGAGAGAAAGGAGGAGGAGGAAGTATGTCGGGAAGGTCAGAGAAGGAGGGATGTATGTCGGAGAGGTCAGAGAAGGGATTGTCGAGGGCAGGTAGACGAGGAGTCGGTCGATTGTCGGTCGAGTTTGTTGTCCGAGATCGAGGGTCGTCGAGGAGGGGATTGATCGGAGATCTGTCAGAAAGGAAGAAGTTAGCAGAAGTCTTAAAGATAAAACTGAATTGAATTTAAACAAGAATAAATTGAAGAATTGCCTGTGTTGATATATCAATTAAGCAAGCCGTCGGAGTTGCTTAGGTAATAAATAAAATAGGGGATGGGGTTGTGGTCACCAAAGTGGTGGGGGATGAAGTCGGGGTTGAGGCAACAGGACAGAAAAAGTAAATAATAAAAGTAGTATAGGCAGAAATGCTCGTGATTGAAAAATAAAGAGGTATCAAGTAAAAAATAAATTTGGTAGTAGTGGTTGGTGTTGATAGTGATGGTGTGAGAAAGGGGGAAATTGAAGGGTTGAATTGGGAATGGAGAAGTGCAAGATGAAACTGATGATGGAAGAGGAAAAAAATAAGAAACTGCAGCTCCTCTTCCATTCAATTTTTATTCTGTGGGAATTAAAAATGTTTGGAAGAGTCGCGTTGCTAGGAGAGTTGTGTTGCCAGGGACATAGCACAAGTTGATGCCTTGGTAGGGTAAACCACAGCAACGCGTGCTGCATTTCCAGGCAATAACAAACACGACCGAGCAAAATAAATACTTGGCACGTACCTAATAGATAGAAAATAGTTTCCGAGAAGGGAAACAAGAAGAGAATAGTAGCTGTACAGCCTAGTGACGGTTGTTAGTATCGCGCATCAGGGTAGCAGTGGGGATAAGTTTCATAGAAGAAAGGGGACTTACTAAAGAATTAATAAAGTATCGGCAATGATGTTGATATAGAATAGAATAAGGAAATAGTGTAAGGTAGAAGAGGAGGGTTGGGTTGAAGGTGGAAGGGAAAGGTGGAAGAAGTTGGAAAGGAAATGTTGGGGAATGGTGCCTTGCTTATATAGAGGAATTTAGGGGGAGGCAGGAGGAGTGATTAGGAAATTTTGCAATGATCCGATTCTGTAAAAGAAATAAAAAAATAAAAAAGATTATTTCAGCAGGAAGGAGGGGAATTAAATCAGTAGAGGAAACCAATAAAAGAGAATCAGTAGTGTGGTTGCTCCGATACAGAAATAGGCATCACTTAGGACGCCAACATATTAAAAAATAAGGCATGAAGTACCAAGGTATACGTAAAGTCAGAACAAAAATTAAATCAGAAGCTGATTCTGCCTCAGAAGTACACCTAAGTGATTTTTATTTTTTAAAATACCAGGTAGGTACAAATAATTCCATCAACGCTACGTACTATAGTAGATCTCCTTTAATCACCCACCCCCCTATTTTGCCACTTGCTGATATTTAAAATATTCCAACACAACTACTCACAGAAATGGGACCTTTACTAATAACTATGAAAGAAATATTTTGCACCAATACCAAAAGCTACTTTTAATACGATTTACAGTATTCCTTGTGGATTAATTTTAACTTGAGTATAAAATGCTCTAATATCAATGGAGAGGAAGCCTGAGCACTCGTACCTGATTGAGAATCTTAATAAGTTTCCCGTATTTCAAACCTCAGCCTCCCTAATTCTGATCCTTTAGATCTGTATTAAGCTGTTATGTCAAAAATGCTGACAACCTATTTTCAAGATTCCGCATCTCCATTGATTAAAGTACTACTCTGTTCAGGTGTTTATCAAAACTCCTTTTTCACGCGACATAAATTAATCTTTTAGATTCCATTCACGATCATCGCGAAAATAATAAAAAACTTGGGCGTGCCCATCTATCTTCGGCAAATCTAGTACGCACTTATAGTTACGGTCTAAAATGTCCGGTCCACCTCGAGATTCTAACCGCCGTTTTGCTACTTTGTCACTCAACAATAACTCTACGAATAAAGCTCGCAAAATTTAAAAATCTTAAATATCGTCAATTCAATTCCATCATTAGTATGGAAAGAGTTTTTATGTAGCTAAAACTAAAGTTATTCCAGTGGAAAATTGATTATAGTTGACTTAGCCGGAAGTCCCCATATAAAAGCTAACATGAACTTTCAACTGCGATAACCCTCCACGGTTGGTAACTGATTATATTCAAAACACTTCCATATTGATTATTGAGTTTCACCAATGCTCTATTAGAAAGAATCAAGATAGGACTTTTAGGGTTTTATTGGTGGAGATATCACAGAGTAACAAGGCTCCTTACGTTAGGTACGTTTTGGTGCGAAATAGGGGGTGGCCCCAATAAAGTTTTTATATCTTCATTCTGCCACCCGAATTAAAGTTACAGCAGAGGCAAAAAAAAAAAAAAAAAAAAGCCCAAGCGCGTAGGATTAAAAACATAATATTTTAGGATATCAATGTCAACATTAACAAGAATCGATATTAGGCCAACCATATAAGGTCTTCCTTCAACTTTCCAAACGCCGCTTCAACATTATTCCCAAAGAGTCTACCAGTCCCTAGACGCTCGTAGCAATTATCGTGTCCAGGAACCACCACGCTACTCAAGAAAAGCACCTGGTAAACCGTATGTTGGTTCGACCAATTCCCAAAACCGTAGCCCGTGTCAGACTTGCAAGTGCTTGCCACGAAAAAGGCATATATAGGACCGTTAATACGATTATTCTCTCTATTCTGATGGTCAGGATGCTCAATGGATGCCCAACCTACGAGCTCTTCCGGGGCGTCGACCAGCGCCACCCTCCTCCACATGTCCCTCCCAAAATCTGGTTTATGGTCTGTCAGTAGCGCAGAAGCGCCCGTCTCGTCTGCATTATCGAAGTGCCCATCAATAATAACCGGTTGAAGTCGTCCACCCAACTGCAGAAGAGCAAAACGGCTATCATTTCCGTACATACTTCCAGGCAACGGATCGATAATAGCGCTATCAAACTGCGGCCTCCACTCTCGGGGCGTGACTCGAATCATATTAACAGCCTTCACAGTACAGAGCTTCGTCGACTTCCAATATCGAGCCCACCGGACTCTCACGCCCGAATTAACCTTCTTGCCCTCCTCATTCGTGTGGTAAGTACCCATAGAAGCCCACGACCACGTCGGTATTCCTTTTACCCTCACCCGCACCCCACTCTCGGCTTGTTCCCACAACAGCCCGCGGATATACCCAGTCCATAACCCAGCCGCGTAGCGATATGATGGGCCGTTACCCGAAGATCTTATCTGCAAGGCGGTCCCGAACTCTTTCGCCACTCCGGCAAGGGCCACCAGTCGATCTTGCTCGACGAACGTGAGCTGGAGACCAGAATACGCCTCCACAGCCGCCTCCCACGAGTGCAGGATCTTCGCTACGCTCGCCAGACCGAATTTCATCGATACTTTAAACGCCTTGTCGACTAGCCCCTTGGGAGTCTCCCCCGCCTCTACCCACTCTTGCTTCGCCACGTCGCCGCGCACGGTCTGCGGCAGGGCCTCCTGGCACTGCATGAAGATGCCCGCGCTCGACCCCGAGAACGCGAGCAGCCGTCGGCTCAGCATCCACTCCTGGTACACCCACCCGCGGCCCAGCAGCGCGCTGGTCCCGACGTTCTTCCAGTACTCCATCGCCAGCGCCGTGTTCCCGGCAGCTTGCGCGTAGAAGTAGCCCCCCCGCGCGCCCGTCTCGCCATCTCGGTACGGGAGGCGCGTCACCCGGGGCAGATCCCGCGCTTGGAGCGCGCGGAACAGGCCTCCGGACGGGCTGGTCGCCGTGGCGGCGATGGTGAGCCACGCGTACTGGTAGTAGTCGGCCATGCGGACGGCCTCGTGGTCCCAGTCCGCGGAGTCGTCCTGCACGATGCACAGGGAGTCGATCCAGACGTAGCGGACGCCGAGCCGCAGCGCGACGTGGACGGCGTCGAGGAAGAGGGGGCTCAAGGGTGGGAAGTTGCACGCGGCCCGGGCGGGGTGGCCGCATCGCGCCGTGCGGCAGGCGTAGTTGTCCAGGAGCGTCCTGGCGCGCTCGGTGGACTCGTCCCAGCGGTGGCTGAGGATGATGTACTTCCCTGTTTGGCCCTTGGTCTCCCGGAGCACGAAGCTTAGCGAGTCGGATTCGTGGTTGGGGGTCGGCGGCTCCGCAAAGGAGACCTCTACGCAGCGGCTAGGCAACGGAGCGTTCTCAACGTCGAAGGTCTCGCACCGCGAAAGAGTCTTGTTACATTCGGGATGGTTCTCGCGGCACTTTTTGTGCCATTTCTGGATGTGGTCCAGGTACGACCACGACCAGTTGTGCGTTACTGACGAGAGACTACCTGTGATGTCCTGGGACGTATATGCTGGAGTTTCTTTAAATGCAGTTAGTATTAAATGTAGGGACCTGAAATTTTGGGATTAAAACTCGCCTGGATCTGCCGCAAGGTTGAATTGTACGGCGGGTGTCGTTGCTCCAAAGCCTATTAACGTTGGCGATTTCGATATCGTGGGTGAGACGAAGGCCCGAAGCTTTATAATATTCAACGCGGTTTCCCCTCGGCTCGGGAGTCGATCTGCTCTCTGGATCGAAAAATGGACCCAAACAGGGCCGTAGGTCATGGAGATGAGTTGTCGCCTTAGTACATGGAGACGATCGAACGAGAACCATGGTACAGGATCCGCCTCTCCCGATTGTTTTCTAATTTCGATGCTCAGAAAACTCGTCTTGTTACCGCGATCCGCAATTTTTAGGTGCTCGAGGAGCATGCTACAGAAAGAACAGCTCTCCTCAGCCGTCGCGGAGCGAATCACTGCCGCGATGGGATAGCCGCGGTAAGCGTAACCTCCCCTCTCGAAAGCCTGTATGTTGAAGTTCTGGCATCGCGAGCACAGTTCATCACTCATGGCAAGAATGCGTCTATCGTCAACTGTTTTGTAAAGTTTGGCATAGCATTTCAGAAACCGAATCTAGAATAGGTATCTTCGATAGAAACAAGGAATGCCAAGAGGTGATCGCGGTCAATTGGTCGCCTTTCTAAGGTGACATTCGTTTAATTATAGGATTCTAAGTGCGTTAGTATCATGCAATGTAAGCCCTATACAAGCATCCAAGGCGCTTACTTTGGGGTCTCAAACAATGCCCCTGTAGCATCAGCCCTGTCAACTAGATCTCTAAGTACATCGCGACCCAAATAAAGTCCCTTATTATAGGTGAATTCCAACTTCTTCTGCTCGAGCTCTACAACAAGACCCTGGCGATGAGGCGGCTGATATAATGGCTCGGGGAATCGCAGGATGGTATAGGAAAACCAACAAACGACACCTAGTCCTCAAAATATGCGTACCAATATCTGTCACACTCAACGTTATAAAGGTTTTTGTGATATGTATGGATTTGGCTTCCTGGTGGAGTGTCCTCTTACAAGAGTCCAGAGCCGATGCCGATATCACAACATTCGCGGCGCCCAGGGACATTCCCAATCGAGATGTCCGACACGCACTCGGTAGTATTATTATTATACTTGTCATCCAAGTCCCTACTTCCATACTACATATGGCATACTTCGTTTTCTTCTGGCACCGTAAGGGCAAGACATACCGACGCAGTGCCATCCTCGCCGCACTAGGAACTCTTGCGATTATCCTCGCGGGTATCGTTTTAGGTCTATCTCAAACAGCCGCAGGAAAGCCCATCGACATCGACAAGACGCTGCAATTATATCCCAAGCTGAGCGCGCAGCAAGTCCAAGAGGAATACGATAGCTTCATGCATAGTCTTTTAATGACCGCTCAATTCGTCCTCGCAGCCTCGACCATCGATTCCTTGGTGCAGGATATTATTATTGCTTTCTGGATTTGGCTTCTACCATCTTACTGGCGGATACCGGACCAGTACGAGCCCGTTGTCGTCAATAAGACGGGGAAGAGGCATCGGTTAGAGGGCGTGTCATACTCCTACTTGCCTGAGGTTGAGGATCGAGCGGATATCCCAGGTGATTCTCTTGCTGCGCTCTTTAGAGAGCATGAAAAGATAAGGATTCTAGAGCGAGCTAAGCCTGTTGATAAAATCAATGTTCGTTTTCTTTTATTTTATTTTTTTTCTTAATGTTGGAAAATGGCAACTGACTTGCTAACACGATCCTAGGAGAATCAAGGTACCGATGTAGTAGATCCCATACTGGCCCCGGGAACAGCGTCCAGGTCTTCAAGTGGCCCACGGTTTAACCCCGCTGTCTATTACTGGGCGAGGAAATACAACAGCCACGGGCTCAAGTACTTTTTGTGGTTTGCAGGAATTCTTGAACTTGCCCTATTTGCCCTCAAGGTCTCCGCGTTTTCTCTGAGCTGGGCGAATAATCTATGGCTCAGGTGGTAAGTTCTCAAATATAATTCAGTATTTACCGTCTCTAACATGAATTCTATTAGGTCTTCTATTCTAGGTCTCTGCTCTGCTTCCATAATAGTCGTTTTGCTCGTCACCTTGGCGTTTTCGATTCGGCGCCGTACCCCGCTCGACTGCAAGCTCTTTGGTGTCGTAAGGCTCGACGTACTGCTTTATTCGACCTTTTTGCTAGAGTGGCTTCTATCGGAGATTTGCTATATCGATTACTTGGTCCTACAGAATACTTCCGAGTACGAGCAGTTCGCTGAAGCGTTACGGGTAGAAGACGCAAGGCGATACGAGACTCTTAAAACGGTGGTCAATATATACGTCGTCGCCCTTGTTTTCTCGCCGGTACTGGTTGTCTGGGCGATATACCTTGTCATACAAATAACGAAGGGGAATAAATTAAAATATCATTTCGTTATTTAATAATAAGATATATACAGATATATATATCTTAGAGAGCTGGGGTTTTAATGTTTTCTTCTTTTTTTTTAAAAAAAAAATAATGTCTATTGTGTCCGTTGTTGCTAAAGTCAACGTTGTGAGTCGTAGCAGAACCAAACAGCGCAAATACAGTCCTCCATCGCACTTAGATGCTTATAAATTCAATTCTGCACCGCGACATGAATCCTAACTTGGCCGGGTACACGGGACATACTCACCCCGCGACGTCGGGCTTAAATACCGAATTGGGACGCAGATAAGAGAGCATCGCCAAATCCATGGGTCTAGGCGCGTAGCGTAGCTGTGCCGCCCGAGCCCAAAAGCCGAAGCTCAAATCACACGATATGTCAGGAACTAGGTCGGATTAATATAAGATTTATGTAAGTACCAACAGCATAAGTCCCAGGCACAATGCTACGGTGCTTAAATTCTCGCAGCTTTCTGCCGACGCGCGAGTTGTTTACTTCTGCTTCCTATTTTTCTTCCTACTCAGAAGCGCCTAGGAGGAAAAGAGAAGCCAGCACATATGCGGGACTGTCAATAAGCCAAAGTGGTAAAGAAGCTCGGAAGGACAAAACGGGCTCTTCATAAATTTCCAAATCACCATCTCCCAAGCTACAATAGCCAAGATGAAGTTCTCAATATCATTTACCACGCAACTCCTCGCCCTTGGCGCCCTGTCGCACGCGTCAGCCAGCGACACCTCCGGCGACAGCGACAGCGACTACATCCTCTCCGTCTGCTCGCCCGCCCAGCCCCCGGACCAGACGGACCCGGCGCCGTGCGTCGCGATCCAAAACATCGAGACGGCGTGCCTGCCCAACGGGACCTCGCCGCTCGCCCTCTCGGCCCACGCGCAGTGCCTCTGCGGCGGGAGCTACTTCGCCGAGTGGCTCGGGTGCCGGCGGTGCCTGCTCACGCACGGGGCGCTGTCGCAGCGGAACTTCACGTACTTCTCCGCCGTGCTGTCCAGCGCCAGCGCGGAGCTCTGCGCGGAGGGGGCCACGCCGACGGCCGCGTTCGCGACCTTATTTACCGAGGCGCAGGCTGGCGTTCCGGAGCCGACGGGGACGGGAGGGACGCAGCTGACCGATGCGAAGAGTGGGGATGCCGCTGTGAGCTTGTATTACACGGCGAGCGGGCCGCAGGGACCGGGGAGGATTACGGGGAGCGCGACGGCTGCTACGGCGGAAGTATCGGAGACAGGGACGGGGGCAGGAACAACGGCTACGGCTACGGGGGGAGTTTCTCAGAACGGAAGTGGAGGGGCGAGATCGACTTCCAACCGCCCGTCAGCGACGACTTCGAGCTCTAGTAATGTGGCTATTCCCACGGGAGCGCCTGGGAACGGAAAGGGTGCTATCTTCGCGGCGGCGGTGGGTGGTGCACTAATGGCTGTCTTATAGGAGGACTCACGATAAGAAGCACCGACGCTGTAATGTATAATGAATTGCAGCTACGAAGTATATGGATACCTTAGGTACTTAACATTAGGTGAACATAAAATCTAGTATCCACAAGCATCAAATACCTAGACTGTTTACTATGTAATTAATAAAACAACCCACGATGATGGGCAACAACAAAGCAGGTCTTACTAAGTAGGTACCTACAAAAGAAACGTGCTCAAGGCAATATATTTAAACCCGGCCAAGCACCACATTAGCCTAGCCCCTAATGGCGCAATCTACATCGTATATTACTGTAATAACCAAAACCAGACTTATCTCCATGGGGTTACCAATCCGTCCAAACCGCAGCCGTGGTGGGACCTTTACACATATACCATACTACCTTGATGGACACCTTGCTGGCCATTTTCCCTCCCCGCGACCAATCACACCGTTCGCCCGTCCCAAGTACTCCCCGGACGTACCTGTTTAAGCCTACATGAGTCACGGATCCGAAAATGCGATTACCGAAGGCGGGTGTTCCTGCGTGAGCCCGAATCCGGGGAAGGCACGACCACGTGCGGTCGCGGTTACTCCGACGTCTGTCCATGGTATCGGAGGCCGTGCACCGTCCGGAGTGTGGGCCCGAGGCCGGTCGAGTGTCCGGTAGTTTAAGCGATGCTGCTATTGATCCATGATTGCTTCTTTATCGATACGGTGGTATAAATGAGCGAGACCTGTCAAAAGTAGGAGTAAACTAGACGATACATATATATAAAAAGAAGTTAAAATAGAAATAAAAAAGAAAGTAAAATACCTAGATCTAGCTAGCACAGGTTCTCTAAGCACGTGTAGGATTTCTTCAAAATATTTTAATTTATTTATTTTCTCTCATTTGCTAGCTACGTCAACGACCAACGGCCGTCCTTCGCCCTCCTAGAAACATAATATCCAAAGCTTCATCCATCCATTCTTTACTCGGGCATGTACTTGAACGGCTTGGCCAGGTGCTCCGAGCAGAAGGGCAATTTGCCGACCGTCCAGATCTCGGTGTCCTATTCGTTGACACGCAATTGTTAGCTTTCTTTCATCTATATATATATAATAGCAACAGTGAATGACATCAAGGGCAGGCTTACAGGCTTCAACGCCTTCTTATCGGCCTCGCTAAGAGTGCCGCCCTTGAGGGCGATGATCGGGGGCGCGGCGTCGGGGTCGTGCGCAATGGGAGATCCGCACTCGGGGCAGAAGATACGGTGCACTGCTTTGCCCGACGAGCCCGCCTTAGCGTAGCTCTTGGTCGTGCCGTTGATGGTTAGCTTGTCCTTGGGGACGACAACTACGAGTGCTGTTGTCACGCTGTGCGTTAGTGAATCAGCTCTAAAAGTTGCGATTGGGGGCTCTGACGGCTTAGAAAACCCGTCAAATCCATCGGAAAAGATGGGAATGTGTCGTGAAGAGACGTATGTGTTGATGGGATATACGTACAGTAGGTAGAACCCGTTTGTCTTTGACAGTCGTCACAGTGGTCGTAGCCGACGATGAGGGGTTCCGCATCGACGGTGTACTTCACAGCTCCGCAGAGACAGTGCCCGGAGAGACCCATTGTGACTTGGAGCGTTGGTATATATATATATGTGTGTGTTACTTGGTGAATTAAGTAGATGTTGGAGATGGATGTGCTGATTTAGATTCTTGAGATGGTTGTATGACAAGATGAACTCAAAATAAAAATCTTGAGGGATAGGAAGCCTTTATTTATACGTATAATAGGTAGAAAAGTGGCTTTAGTCCGTGGGGATTACTGTGGTACCTAAGCCGAAGCATAAATGCGACCAAGTACTTCTATGACATAGCTTGGAGTGCTTCGAGTGGTCAAGCTTGAGACGAAAGCTCCCTACAGACATATCGTTAATATTAGATTGGCGGTCTATGCCTGTGCCTTTTTGCTTCTGTTATCACTCTGACGTTTGGATAATCCTTGTAATTATTATTAAAGAAATATCTACCCCGGTATACAGGAATAGCTAACGAGATAAGAGTTTCGCAGCTCTTGTCTCGCTTGTACTCATCTTCATCAAAGAAGCTTTCGTCGCGGCGGGGTTGAAAAGCTCTAAAGGGGGTCAGTGGTGGGGTTATGCGTCCCATTGCTGCTAGTCTACGTCAGGAACCTGGCTGGCATAAGCACGGAATCTGATTCCTTGCAGCCTTAATGGAGTTCGAGGTGGACCTCTCATCCAGCAGTACACTTACAACTTAGACTGATGGAGCACAGGCTATGAAGAACGTACCTACTTAAACATAAAGGCAATAACAAAAACTTCGCAAAGCATAGCCATAGATTACGAAATTCACTATAATTTTACTATATTGTGATTGGAGTTGTTTCCGTCCTGAAAAGAAGCAAGAGCTTGGACATAATTTGTCCGGAATCCGCAATACGATTAGACAGATCAACTTCCATCAACTAAACTCGGTATGAGACATACAGATTAGAATTACCGTTGCGGCGTATCGAACTAACCAACCGTAAGTATTTGTCAAACATCCCGGTCCAAAACCCCGCCGCTTGAAGCCCCAAGCTTTGATACCGGGTGCTTAGTTAGCTCCCGAAGTGGATTTGCCGATGCTGACTGGCTATTTGTATTTGGAATACTTTCGTGTTTCAATACCTGTCATACTCTTACCGTGGCGCCACATTGCGGCGTGCGATTGTTAAAGCTAGACGGCCTGTAACATATGAAAATCCACCGAGTACTTTCATCGGTTTATTCCAACGCCGTATGTGTATTACCGCGGGATTTACCGTTGTTTCTGTCTCGCGTTCCTGATTTAATTGTTCAGGCTACCGCTAGAGCAAACTTTTGTCGGGTAGCCCACATTAATTGTGTAGTCTGGAGGCGAAGCTAACCTTTTCTAAACGAACATGCAAATTGCAGAAATCCTCCTACAAGATAAGGGTTTTCAAATACGCCGCCGAGGTTGAAGAATTTCAAATAATTAAAGTAGACCGACCGAGCTCACCTCTTGCTTGTGCCCTGAGATGCCAACAAGGGGTGTTCCGAGGTCATTTTAAGAATTCAAAGCCCAAGCCAGTAATAACCTGAAAGCCCAAAGTTCGAGTTGGAGGATATCCACGCTGCCCAAGGCGATTCTGTCCGCCAGGAACAACGCCAATACCGAGTTTATGTATGCTCGTCTGGATTTATCATCCTCGTGAGACAAAACATATCCGTCCATAGATGAAAGTCGAAAGCCGCGAATATCCTTTTGAGGCCGCGTAGTTGACTTGGCTTGGCTCGAAGTCAACGGTCTCTCAATTCTCTCAGGTCTCTGCCGTAGCTCCTTGATAGCCATAAAACAGGCATAATCCAAATAATTTGCTGTTTGGAATGGCGGAGGCGGCTGCTTTTTCACGAACAGCCTTGGCAACAACTTAGGATTCGATACCCATATCGTGTTGCTTTCGCTCAACTCACAGAATATAACCTCAAAATCGTGAGCGTAGTATACGAATCTCGAATAAAATGCAGGTGTCAAGACTTTAAACTCCAATTCCTTGGCACTGACGGGCTCCTCCCTCCCTGGCGTCGACACCATGGTTTCGATGGACGCGTCGGGAATGCCACAAGGAACGTATCGTACAGTCAATGATTCTGGGGATTGTTCCACTAAATACCTTAAATATCTTCTGAATAGAGGCTCAAGTTGGACTTCCGCCTTGTTAGCATGTCGACCAATGCTCGTTTTTAGAGGCTCCGGCCGATACCAAACATGGAGCTTCTTCTGGAAGGATATAACTGCAGCTTCTTTAACAATCCTAGGCAATGTGACGAAACCTACCCACCACCACGAAGCCAGAAACTTGAATTTCTGATAGAAAGTCATCTCTGAGGGGTCGATAGCATCGCCTTCTGAGAAGATGCGAGCAACCAGTTTCTTGTGATTCTTGGAAGATATAAGATTTATCGTATTATTAATTAGCCCTTGACCATCCATATTTGGAGAAAATGGGTCATGAGCGGTAAGCGAGTATGTGCCGTTTCTAGAGTTAAAGGGAGACACGTGAAAGTCTTTTGGCCAAGTCTGTCTTAAAGGCTTCGAGTAACCGGTTTTCTGAGTTGAAATGATTTCTTCTAGGGTGCTATTCTGAGATGCTTCTAACGATTCTATTGCGTTGTCGATTGTTAGGAAATACATCCGCCTCTCGTCAAACGTATTATTAACTTCAAGAATCATTGCTGTCAGGTGCTTATCCGCGGAGTAGAGATACCAAAAGGAGATAGGGTTGAAATGGTAACCCATAAATTTTGCAGCAGTAACCAAATACGCATACGGGTACTTGGAAGCAACAACACCCTGCGTCGTATTAGTTACATCTCTTTGTAGAGGGCACACGAAGGGATGTCGCACTTGAGATTCGAGGTAAGTATCCAACTCGCCTCTTAGTCCAAGATGTCCGTTCCCCCTATTTAGGTAATCCGAAGCATCAATCTTGTACCAACCTTCAACTCCCGTTTTATTTTCGTCATTTGAGATCATGCCGCCAGCGACACCTGTCCAACCGACAGGTATCCCAACTAAGAGATACGAATAAGAAAAGGAATGCTTCTTGGGAATTAATCTGGTATGCGTAGTCCGGCAAGGGAATAGCAACGGTCGCCCTGGACCGTTCCATGGCACAGAGAGCTGTACAGATTGGCCACGACGTCGTACTTTTGTGGAATAGATGAGAGCGGCTGTAGCCACTGTTACCGCCCCAAGAGATACCTTGGCATAGCTAATCTCGAGGAACCTGGGGAAAATGGAGCCTCTAAGCCAAAAGAAGAAAAGAAAGAGGAGCACTACATCTCCAATGTGTCCGAGGGCAAGATAGTAACATAATGCGACGACACGTAGAACAAAGCTATATACTAGCATCTCGGGGAGCGTCGTCTATCGAAAAAAAAATAAATAAATAAAAAATACAAAAAATAATTAAGAGTGTGAATTTGTTGAATCTAGATTGAGGAAGGTCGTATCATGCGAACTCCTGTTATTACCCGAAAAATTACAAGTGATAGGAACTAATGAACGCAACAGATCACCGGGTTTATTAGGTTAGGCACATTGACGTTCGAGATTACGGGAGCATGCATCCGATTGCAAGTAAACAGCCACATTTTTATCTTATCGCATATCTTATCCTTGTCATATCTAAGCCGTAAGCCGGTATGACTGTTCGGCGTGCAAGTTAATAGGACTGCAAGAGTGAATCCGTGAATTTACAAGGGACACAGTTGTATTGTTCGATTTGGGATCAGAGATAATTCTTGACTTCTGAACAAGTTCATTATTTTGAATAATTTCTTGCTGTATCAACTGAAATATTTCAATTATTTGTTGTTTATCTGTAGCGCTTCTTGTTATTGTGTAATCCGTACGATGTAACATACATTGATGTATTGTACATAAATCAACCTCTTAGTGTGGCTTAGCAACAATAATCTTGACTGCTGGGCCACAAAGGCTGCCTCCCCCAGCGTAAAAAAAAAAAACAACTCCGTTGAGTCAGCGTCGGCTCCGCTTTCAGCCCACTTCACCATCATTCCTTCGCCTTCCACGGCTCTAAAAAAAGGACATCTATATCAAATCAAATAGCTCACGAGCGCAATTGCATTCTAACCTTTTTTTCCCTTAAACTTTCTCCAACAAACCTTTCTCCACACGAACAACCTTAACAACAAACCCGCGCATCCAAACCAAAAGTCGACTTCCTGAATTTAAATCCAATTTGTCGACCATCGACTTACACCGATTTTTACTATTACTACTACCACTACTACTCAACAATCAATCAATCAATCCCTGTTTTCACCATGTCTGACGAATGGGACTCGGTTACCAAGATCGGTAGCAAGGCTCGCGGCGGCGCGTCGCAGCGAGAGACCGTCCTGCGAAGCAGTTCCGCGATAAACGCCGCCAAGCGCGCCGGAAGCGCCATCACGACCGAGAAGAAGTACTCGACAGGCAATGCTGTAAGTTAATAAATATCCCCTCCCGCCTTTCTCCCATTCTCTTTCTCTATCTATATCTTCAGATGCCCCTATGACCTCATCCACTTTGTCCAGCCCAGCCCAGCCCCTACCTGGAATTCGGCGCTAACAACAGCTTCCCCCCCGACAGGTCGGCAAAGGACCCGAAGGCCAACGCCTGACGAAGGTCGACCGCAGCGACGACATCGTCAAGCCGAACACGGTGGGCAAGCAGGTCGGGGACGCCATCAGCCAGACGCGGCAGAAGATGGAGCCCAAGATGACGCAGAAGGACCTGGCGACCAAGTGCAATACCACCCCCTCCGTCGTCGCCGACTTCGAGCGCGGCACCGCCATCCCCGACCAGAAGATCCTCGCCGCCATGGAGCGCGTCCTCAACGTCAAGCTCAGGGGCGCCGGCATCGGCGAGCCCAAGTTCAAGCCCAAGGAGAAGAAATGAGCGCGGGGCCCAATCCCAATCCCCTCCCCTCGATCCCCCAATCAATCAATCAATCTCTTTCTCTATTCGATAGTATCTATCTAATTAGGCCCAGAGGGATGTTCTTTTTCTTTTCTTTTTTTTTTTAAAAAAAAAAAAAAAGGAAAGGAAAAAACAGTTTAGAACTCGGGCTGATGATAATGAATCCAATCTGAACTGATGATCCCAAGACACGCAAATCCTACGAGATTGCCCGTGTCCGGAGTGGCGGCTGTATGATGAGAGTTAGTTTTTACCCTTACCTTCCAAGGCGAGGGTTTTCCCCCCCTTTTTTTGTTGGAGATGAAATGTGCCATCTCCTCCCCCTTATAGCCATACAATTGCATAGCATTGCGTGGCGCCCGGGCTTTCCGGGGCAAAAAAAAGAGTCGATCGGTCGGCTCTCTCCCAAACCTTGATTTTAAGTAGACACAAGAAATAGAACAATTAGAGTCACATATTTCCATCAAACACTACAAAAAGAGAATTGCATTGTTTTTTGAAATTTGGTGTTTTTATTATTAGATTCGGAATCCAAGTCTGATGATGCTATTAATACTTGTTTGTAGCAACCCAGTGTTTCCCATTCGCCAATCCAGACGAGGGAGGTATCTTCGTGTAATGCGAAAAGCCGTAGACCAAGCCGTGGTCCAGTGATGCAACGCGATGCTATGCAATGCAACAATAAAAAACAGGGACAAGACGGTAATTCGCATGTCCAGAAGAAGCATAGATCCTCTTTCCACCTCCCACCACCTCTTAGGATGCAGTTCTCTCGTAATCATGATTTCCACCCCTTTGTCACTTCATTCTTCGCTTCACTCCTGCTCGAGTAACCCTCGGACCCGTCCCTCCACATCCGCCTTATTAGGCTGTCTATCCGTCTCGAGAACCACATTTTCCCGTCCTCCGATAACCACGACGCGCGCCCACTCCGGCGCAACTTCGCTCGCTAGCAGGCGAACGCAAGCGGCGCCCTCCTCGCGCGAAACGCCCATCCGTAGCGAGTCCTTGAGCTTTTCCAACGTCGCCGCCATAGTAAACGACACCCGTCCCCCCTGGCCCGCGGCGCGGCTCAGCATGCCTAGCATACCGGCCACTTCGGGTGCGCGCTGCAACGCCGCGCGGCGCTGGAGTTGCGCGGGCGAGAGGTTGCCGGCGGGGAGCGAGGACTTCTGGAGGGACTTTAACCGGATGCGGTCCAGGACGCTCATCTTGGGAGCTGCTCCCGCGCCCGACATTTGCACATCGCCGGATTGTTGCTGCTGTTGTAGCTGTGGGGGTTTGCTCTTGGCTTCCTTCTCCTGCTTCTTCAGCACCATGCCTTGTTTCAACTCCTCGAGCCGCTTCTGGCCCTTCGATAGCACGGGCGCGGCTTTCGCGACGGATTCGCAGAGCGTCACGGGGGCTCTGGGGAGCGTAGTAGAGATAAAAGCCGAGACGTCGAGGCCATTGGTAGCCGAGAACCGAGTCCAAAGTGAAGAGATGTTGTCGTGGAACGTGTCGTTTAGTTTTTTCTCGTCCAACGGGCGGCCAGATTCATGTTGTACCGAATCGATTTCGATGCAAATCTTACCGCGACCGTAGTCCGAAAGCGAGAATAAGGGCTTAGTAGAGGTTGTTTTTGGCTCGAAATTGAGGACACCAAGACAGAGTCTAATATCGGCTTCGGTGACTTGCTTTCTTCCCCACGCACGTGATACGTTCGGGCATAAGACTCGCAAGTCTGCGGGTACGTTGGATCCATTGTGCGCGTAGTGTAATGTTAAGGTCTTTAGCAGTGAAGAGTGTAGGTCGATAAGAGCTAGGACCTCTTCGGGAAGTCCATTCTTTGATGTGACAAAGTCGTTCTCGTCAATATCGGGCTCGGTGATTGGTGTATTGACCGAAAAAGGTGTAGAGCTGCGAGATGGTGATGATTCTAGACGGAGTCTCTTGAGTAGCGCACCCGCATTGACAGCTGACTCATCCGAATCGGAAATGCTCGGACTCCTCGTGCGTTTTTTCAGTATGGGCTCGGGACGAGCCTTCGAGGGACGACCGCGACCACGTTTTGCAGGTTGAGACACAGCTTTTTGTGATTTGACAGGAAGACTTAGGCGTTTGATTGGTCTCTCATCCGCCGAAGAGTCCTTTTCCTCGATACTTCTAATTGGTCTCTTTCGGGAAGCAGGTGTGAGCGGCTCAATAGTCGAACTCTTCTTCGGCGTAAGAGCGACCTCCTTCTTAACATCGGTACTAGTTACCGACTTTGAAACGCGAGTGAAGCCGTTAATACTAGAGGGTGCACTTTGTTTGGGGGTAGCGACATTGGGTTTTGCAGATGCCTTTCGGTGTTGCTGTTTGACAGCGGGACCAGGCATGATTCAACTCGATTCCAAGAGTTAAACTGTCGTTTGTTTTTAAAGGAGGTGCAGCTGTAGATCAACGAAAGGCCAATTGGTTCTGTGTACGTATTAATCCTGTATACGACTTCCGAATGTAAAATTTGAGTAAGGTATGTAAAGTATGGAAAGGTTGAGGCTGAAATTGCAATGACGAAGATTTTGAAGAGAGGAAAGTATTGTTTAGTTATCAATTGAAGAACAAGGAAGTACCTAATATTATGAGACAGGAGGTAGAACGCGCCAAATCGAGACCCACATGATATTAAAGAACGCGAAAAATACACCTAGCTTAGACGCGTCGCGGTCAAAAGACCCTGCAAAGCGCGTTAATTGGTGGAGATAGCTTTAACCCAATTAAGAACCACGCCAAGAAAAAAAATAAACAAATTTATTGTACTTTAATGAATATTTTTTTGAGAGCATCTCCGCATACTAGTAAGCACACAGTTGGTAATTTGGTAAAAAATTATGGGGTAAAGCTCGGTAATTCTTATCGATTTCGCTCGAGGTTACCTAACCCAGTCACGTCTTCCATTTTCGTTTATATTAGCATTACCTCGAATTAGTTGCGGACGCTAGACTTCCGACTACCTAGGTTATCTTCCCTAGCTACAATCTCATTAACTCCTGACTCGTAGTCGGAGGCCATTACATGAATTGTACCAAAGTGATATCAATTATCGTTACCGACTTGGTGTTCTCCCTAATTAGGGGAAAAGGCCAAAACAGACAAAGATTGGAGATGGTGATATGGCGCTAGCGAACGAAAGTGAACATTTAGAATCGATCCCGGACTGAGGTACCGGGGTTGTCTCATATCAACCACGGAGCGAAGCCATGAAATCCAGCCATTCCTTCCCCTCCCTTTCCTTTCCTTTCCCTTCCCCTTTTTGAAAGCACACGCCATACCCCGACTTTTGTGTAGACCGATTATCTTGAATCCCTTATGCCCTTATTTCACATCCGTAAACTCCCAAATGACAGACCAGGAACCCTCGCTTACCCATACAGACATATGAAGAAAACGCATGGCGACGGTGACGAATGAACATCTCTCATGTGTGCGGCGCGGTAACAACGCACGAGATGCTAATTAATGACGTAGTGTACGTTGCCAATGGTCTGGATGGAAGCTGACTGGGCTAGGCGGCGGAGGCGCCGGTACATCCCAGTCTTGCTCTTGAATCGAACGGATAGGGGTAACTTGTTTGCTCTCTTTAGAAGCAAGAGTGGCATTTAGACTAGCGAAGAAATCCGTAGAAGAGTTGAGACGGATGTTCTTACGCGGCGGCGTAACCGGGATAGGTGCAGCGATTTGACCAGGCATCTTGAAAAATTCTAACTAGGATGGGAGTCAGTGGGCTGTGCTAGGCTATAAGTTGCCGTTGTAACTGGACAATGACTCACATTTTAGCGTTCGGGTTAGAAGATGAAAGACGGAGAGGTACTGGATGGATGCTTCACTGCTGTCCAGGGTGATCCGATTAAGTACGCGCAATACGTGATGAACTTGTTGTAGATGTATGTTGGAATTTTGGTATAATATTTGGCGGAAAATGTGGCAGGGTGGCGTCGCAAAGAAAAAAAGATGTTGAGATGAAAAGTTCGGCGTATAGAGTAATGCAAGTTAAAAGTGACGGAACTGGAAGGTACCAAGGACGACAAGTTGGGTGCCTGATATAGATATAGAGGTAGAGAAGGCGCGAGGACAGAAGGTAGAAAAGATTTAGACTCAAGGAGTCATAGAAGTAAAAAAGTAACAAAGTAACAAGAAGGCAACGGAAAGAGCGGTGGATATGCGTGTATAAGTGACACACACACTCTCTCTCACACACACTCACACGCCCACACACCAATAATAAGGCTTGTCGTTCCTGATTGCGGCGGCCACCCCACGCGAAAGATAGGAGGTAGGAGTCTTAGCAAAGCTGATGCCGAAGGGGGGGGGGGAGTAGTGAATTACACGGCTGATGAGAAATTGAATATTGTTGGTATAATAGTTGGCGCAATGCCGTTTAAGACGTCAGATCCCGAAGCTAAATTGGCAGCCGGTGGATGTAAACTCCTCTGTTAGGCAAGTGGATGAAGTCGGCAGGTTGAAAAGATGAGGAGCGGAAAGCTGGGGCAAATGGGGGAAGATGCGTATAGGATAGGATACCTAACGTTAACATGAAATATATTAATGTGGGAAAAGGGGATATGTTATGGGGCGTGATGGTTGTTGGGAAAGGCTCGCGAACAAGTTGCAGATGGTTGCAGGTTAGTCGGCAGGTATTTATTTACTCAAGCCACAGGAGCTGTGAACCTGAGACGAGACAAAAGGAGAAGAGATTTATTAATGATTTCCCCGGCAATCCAAATGGGTATTGATAATCTAATAAATTAAGACCTGGGGAAAGAGGGAAGAAAAAGTACTGGACATAACGCAAATACATTATGATCTATTCAATAATATATTTTCACAGTACCTTAGGTATTTTCATACCTGGTACATAAAGTTAATAACGTGTGAGGTACCTAGTGTATGTACTTTGATACATCATTAGATAAATGGAGCTTTACAGGGAAGCATGTACGAAGTACCTTATACACTGTACGATACATCTTAGATACCTCTTCAAGTACCTATCTACAGGTTGCACGCACTATGTAGAGCTGCATAACATAAATCACAAATACACTACTTAGATAGGTACGCAGACGCACAAGTTGTGTTAATGGTCATATTCTAACCCCAGATTTACCCCAAGCACCATTTGACATCCGTTGATACATTGCAGTAAGATGTCTGAACTCTGAAGACAAGATGGTACTATGCATGAAGGGACTTACCCGTTCAGGTAATGTACGTACCAGGTACGACGAAAAAGTATGGGGAAAAGCGACAGGGGCCACCCAGATCCCCCGAGCTGGTATGTACAAAGTTGTAAGAGGTACCCTGCATCAAGCACCTGGGCACCATCATATGTTTTGGGGCGCCCTCTCTCTTCATAGGAGGTATGCATCTAGGTATGCATCTATTGTAGCTACTACGTGCATGCCGGAATGAGTTGGCACGCCATCGATCCGAGCTAGGAAAGCTACCTAAGGCTAGGCAACCTCGGTAGGAATGATGGGATGGGTAGTATCGTCGGTGGTATCGTAGCCTAAGCCTTACGTTTCCTAAGAATTCAAGACTTTCTTTTCTATTTTTCTATTATTTCCTTCGGGTAAGATCGTGTATATATTTTTTTGCATTTGTGTTCTCTACCTTACGTGGCAAAGAGTCATAGTAAGACTCCTACGCGGGTATATTTTGGGCTAATGTAAGCAACTCTTCCCCGAGAACCCAGTGTATCGTAAGAGTTAAATCCATTACACGTAACATACCAAGCAATGCCCCAGGTCAACGGTTGGCTGATGCTTGTCTACCAATATATACATAGATACGTGATCCATCAGGATCGGTTCGGGGCAAGATATCATAAGAGTCTATCTAATAAAAGGTTAAGGACCTTGCGGAAGACGGATCTGGGGGTGGAATCGTTACGTGCTAACACCCCTTTGGGCGCTACACACCGAAGCTTCGAGATACCTATGGCATCTCCAGGCAACCCACCCTCCTATGTAATCCATGATTATAATTTAAGACGTTGTCCAAGGCTGAAACTAAAAGATAGAAGAGGACCAATCGTCCTTCTGTACACGTGTACGGAAGGAGTAATAAGCAATCCATCACTGAGAATGTCCAGGTAGCCTTTATTCTTCATTCATCATTCGACCAACATTTGAATTCAACAGACAGAGACAGTGCGCCGTAATAGGCAAATAACCCGCAGGCGCCTCAAGTCACGTTTCCGGCCACTATTAAAGTGTCGTGTGTTTTGATACCATGCTAGTAGAATAAACGTGGTAAAAGAAAGATACCAAAAAAATCCAAGTAGAGGACGGAGTCGGATTTTGAGGTAGAATTTGCTAGCTGAATAGACCCTTACAAGAATGAGTACCTATATCGAATCAACCCTCGTATCCGTCGATGTCGACGTGTTTTTGTACAAGCGTGTGGTTGGACAAACAAAATTCCAGATGCTCAGCTTGGGGACAAAAGAGGAAAAAAAGTATGGAGCTTGGGGGGGGACTCGGAAAACTTCCCCCAAGTCCTTCGTAACCCGTAACCGCATAAGTTGCTATGTGTGCGACGTAGATTTGTGCGAAACGATACCTGACCTCGACTAAACCAAGCCGGAATCCAAAAAAGACCGAAGTTTGGGGGTTGCTGGGAAATTTGCTTCTCGTCTCACATTGATGAAGGGCTTATAAGAATTTATTCGGCGAGAGTTATGCCCCAAGCACTGGAAATGAAAATGAAATGACTGGATTGTTCCGTCTTCCCCGGTCTTTGCCCGGGGTTTCCCATGCTTTTAAGACGAGTGGATACGTGTGGGGTAGAAGAATTCAAGCGGTGGAATGGAAGCTTGAAAGAAGCAAGCTACTTAGCAGAGCCATAATAAAATAATTTTTGTATGGGGGACTTTACGAAGGTACGTACCTAATCTAGCCAAAGCTATCCCGGCCATGTGGAAAACAAGGACCTATCAATGGTGAATTTGAAATAAGAGTGGGTCATTCCCCAGCTTTTATCACGCACTGGTCGAAACGCAAATGTACTATGTAAATGCAAACGCAACAAAAGCACAACTGCCATTTTCCAGCTCCACTCTTCTTCCTGTTGATGGATTCAAATTCTCAATCGGGTCTTGTCCCTCTCTGTCCCTCCCCCCTTCTCCCTCCTCTCAAAAGACCGCTTCAAGTCCAGTAAACGGTAACCATTACTTATTAACCTACCTAACCCAGGCTGGGCGTCGATCATTGATCAACATTCTCGCGTCGTCCCTGCGGATAACCTACTTTGGAATATTGGAGTAACCTATAGCCATATCAGTTTACAGGTCTTTACAGGTCCTGCTGTCACATCGAGCAAGATTAAAAGAATGAAGCCTCTTAAACAGCCATTAGGGCACGCCGGCATACGATTGAGGAATTCGGATGGATGCGTACAACGACGAACAGTAAGCTCGGTTGTCACCCTCTTTTCTTGTCCGAGTCTTCCTTAAGCGGGAACCGACAATTCCTTCTGCAAGGACTAGAAAAGAGAATTTCACCTCTCCCAGCGAAGAAAAAAGGGGGAGGGGGGAGACGTGGTCATTGCAGCGCCCAGACGGATCACCCGTTTTTACCAAATTATTCTATTTAACACCATTTACATAATAACTCTAACGTGAGGCAATCGTGTCTCCTTATTAAATCTCAAAACCTGAAGGCTTACTAGTGTAGCTGTGTAGGTACCTAAGTACCTAAAGTTCCTGATGAAAAAAAAAAAAAAAAAAAAAAAAAAAAAAAAAAAAAAAAAAAAAAAAACACTCTCGCAAATCATACAAATCATAGCGGCTCCGTTGTCTAGTTGGTCTGCATGCACAGTCCCAATACGGGATTCGGCATACGCAGGTACTACTATCTCGAATCAATTTCATCATTTTTATTTCATGTTTTAGGCATGTCTTATTTAGTCTTCACTAAGGACACCAGAAGTACAAGATTTTTTTATTATTATTAGCTCGCGACCCCCGCGCCTATAGTCCTTGGAATAACCTACCTAGAGGTAGGTATGCGCCATCGCGGTGCAATACATCATCCACAATCTGACAAAGCTTACATGACTGATAGAAGTTGCCCCTTTTCGCCCATATTTAGCTCGTGAGACGTACTTCTCAGGCGGTTTAGTACTCAATCACACCGGACTTTATGGGAACAGCATCTCATTTGTCTTTCCACCCGGGACTATCACATCAATCGGGGATTGCTTATTGGAAATGATAGTTCCCAACAGTGACGAGACGTAAACGAGTTACGGGGTAACAAGACGCATCTAAAGCTAAGGTACAGATCCTATGGAGGTTATTTCCCCACGTCATTCTGGTCGTTACGAACGGAAATTCTACCTAGGTACCAACTCCTTCTTATCCCGAAACTTGCATTCGTACAAGGCTTGTCCCCGGATTGTTCGCTCACCTCATTGGTTGCTATAAAAAACAGAGTTGCGGTGAGTTGTCTGAGGCTGCAAAGTTGTGTTTCCTATTGCCTATTCGATTAAAAATCCATTAGCAACGCAGCTCAACTTATTCTGTGGCAACATGGCGAGATGTTCAGCTGAGACCGGCTAAGTCGAGTCGTTCCAATATTCGAAATCCCACATCTTCGGACCCCCATCGATTTTTATTTACGCGATCTCTCCTATCATACACTTTCCTTGACCTTCGCAGCTGTTTGCACGGCCATGTACGCTCAGAACTATCCAGGAAATCCAGTCTCAAAGCCGCAGTTAGGTAATCCTTGCACATCGGTGAGGCTTGGTTCCGAGTCGGACTTGCGGAGATTACTTGGCATATGCACGTCACGATCGATGAAGTTACTAAGTGCACCGCCCAATGGCATCATGTAGTATTCTGCGAGTAGTAACCACATTTATTGTACCATTAGATACGACTCAACTGCGACCTAGCAGCCTAGACGTGAGCTTCGCACAAGCGTAAGGAAACCACCTTTTATGGATATACATCTTGCCCTTCAAAGAGAGATTAGCCGGAGAATATCCTATCCCAAGGATCGGATGTTCTTGGCAGATGATGGAGGTGGCCATGACGGAGTATTATCGAGATCCTATGCAACGCCAGCATCACACCGGATAATTGCACATGTGTGCATATCTACCTAGATATCTACCTAGGTAGGTAATCGCGCTATCCAACGAAGGAGATGGTTGCCTCTTGTTAAGTAGGTGCTTGGCTTTCAACGTCTTCACTTATCCATCCATCTCCTTTCCGCGTACCGAGCTGGGACGTATGCAACGAGAGTCAAGAAGAAACAAAGCTCGTTTCCAATATCGCCACCAAGTTCCCCAAATCGCTTTGCAATAACACCAGTATACCAAGTTGTAGACATCCCAAGAACAGCTATGGATAAAGTTAGTCATAAGTTGCCATCAAACTGAGTAAGCTCGAACACGTTACCTCCAACTATTCCGCATGCAAAGGCAAGGCTACCGGCATATCCAACCGGCAGCATACTGCGTGTATTCCAGTTTTCCAAGTCATAGCTCCCGAAAGAGCCGTCCCGAAATAAATAGTGCTCGGTAAATAAGCAGACGAAGACAGCGGTTGCATAGTAACCTAATAAGCTAAGGAAATTTTGGAGGAAGACCAGAAGCCGATCACTGCCAGCGAGGCCCAAAGCGATAACCGCGGCAAAACAGAATATTTCCCAGACGAACCTTGGCACCGCCGCTAGTCTGTAGGAAGCCTGCTGAATCGAAAGGCCTGCGCTATACATTGATCCACAGTTCAAGCCGACAGACGCAAACATCAATAGGAAAAGGATCGCTTTTGCTAGCCTATATGGGTGAATCATCGTCTGAAGCAAGAACCCAACACCAACCTCGTATTGTTCGTTCCATTGTGGGTTATTGTGCAAGGCTGACGCAGCAATAGCTCCGGCTATAGCACTTAGACAGGTAGATACGACTGATATTCGGTTAGAAATTGTGTATATATCGATCAGCTCGAGAGCTTCGGCGATCGAACTTACATAACCCAACAAATGTCAGCAAGAAGATCTTAGTCTTGGCGATATTTGCTGGATGTTCAGCATAAAAGTCCGACACATAGCCTGTTATGGCATTAATAAAAAGACAGCGCATTACAATCAAGATAGGAGTTAGACTCGCCCGCGCAAGAAGCACTGGATCCGTACATTACGCCAAAGTACGTCAATACTGCCCCTGCGATATTCGACGGCCCCTTAGCGGATGATGGGGCGCTAAGATCGGCAAATCTTCCTATCTCCCCTAGGATGATCAGGAAGATACCAAGGAATACGAGCCAGGCGAACTTCTCGAATATATATACCGCTTTCAAACCAAAGAATGAGAAGCCCAGACTCATTATGCTGACTATGACGACGCCAAGCTGAGAACCGACCTTTCCATCCGAAAACGCATAAAGCGCTTGTCCTCCTGTGATAGAGCCGGAAGCGCACCATCCAATTTGTTGGATAACATTGAGTATTGCGATGACTTTCGAAGGGTACCAGCCTAGGGAGTAACGACAGATGGAGACTTGACGGAGGCCTGTAGGAGGGCCCATTGTCGCGCACCAGCTCTACTGAATATTAGTACCTAGCCTTGGGTAGGTATCAGTCCAATATGTTACGAAGGAGGTACTCACCGTGACCGCACCGCCGACGACCGAGCCAAATATGATGACCAAGATACTCTGCCGGAGATCTAGGCCGAACTCCCATCCTATGAAGCCGCTTGCGAAGCTGCCAAGGTTCATGCAGCCGCCTACCCAAAAGCTCACTATAGCCTAGAATCGGATCAACTTTCCACTATGTTCCTCTGCCAAATAATACCATTTAATATTTTCGATCTCGGGGAACAACTGACCAACTGGCCTGACCATCGGGTATAGAACGGGTTCCTATCGCCTGGGAGCTTCCGTTCGATGCTATGCGATTCGACTCCTAACTTTCGATCTAGCGCTTCTTCATAGCTCCGTAACTGAGCCAGGAAACCTGTCTTCTTCAGGCGCATCTGTGTCTCTTCGCTGGAAGTATCGGCGTCGACTCCCACGATTTGCGGCACATTCTCCTCTTCGTCCGTGATTCGATCCATGTTTTGGTGTGCCGGCGCTGTATTACTAAGTGGATGTACGATCAGAAAGCAGGTTCGATCTTTAGCACTTGAAATCCATCTTCGATGGGGTAATCAGAAGTACAGATAGGTCAGTATCTACGCATTATTAATGCCGCTTCCCACCCCTTTCAACACCTGTCAATGCTACATTTCCTAGATAAGCAGCGAGACATTTTAGTGGACATAGTAGCACGATGTGCTATATCTCTAAGCATGACTCGGGTTGAGCGTCTGTCTGAGCGGCGAGCTGCAGCTTTGGCGAGACAGATGCATACCTCTAAGCAGGGAGAAAAAAAAACACATGTATCAACGTCAAGAACATATAGACGAGCGCGATTTATAGTTCCAAGACATGATACGATAATCCATTCTGTCATGGCCACGGCCACGACCACGGTTATCATTGATAAAGGATCTGTCCAGCCAGTGACACGCGCAGGTAAACACAGATACCTAGGGGTGGCGTTCCACGACCTTGGCCTTGTTCCTCGCACAAGTACTCGACTCGACTCGGATCTAACGCATACATAGGTCTTGGAGTTGATGTACGATCCCGTCCAAGTAGGTATGCAGAGACAGCATTGGCGCTTAGTCACCAGGAATGTAGGAGTTTCTCGTTGAGACATTGATAGGGTCCCAAACACACCAGCTCTACAGCGACAAAAAAGGGGGGTTGCACAAATAAAATAAATTGCACGACGATATCGTCTTCTGCGTCGGTCTGCAGGATGCCGACATGTGCCCGTAAGGTTGGTTCCGCTGTCAGAGGAGGCTTTCTCCGGATTCCGGGGCCTAGATAAAGTGTCGACTTTTTATAAAGATTGATATCTCTTAAATGACAGGTAGCAATTGGTATTCGTCTTTTCCTTGGCAGAAGATGCTGTGCGACACAACGGCGAATGATGATAAACGTAAAAGATGTCGAGGTGGATTGTCAGGCGTCTTGGCATAGGGCAACGGATGGCAGACGCAGATAACCCCTTTTTAGAGTAAGGTAGAGTTAAAATGGATGAGTTATCTATCAAGCAGCCAACTCTTTTGAGCACTGCTTCAGCTCTTCGGAATTAGTTGTGGTAATTAATGTAAGTAAGATTAACGAAAAGATTATCGTACAATTAAGAGGTACCTAAGATTTAACTATCCTCGTCCTCATCATTATCATCTACGGTGTGACTTGCTTTCTAGGTGCCTAATCTGATATATTGCGGAATAATTTCCGCCGAGTAACTAACGACAACTGCAATTTACATTGCATGCATGACAAGCTATCTAAGAGGTGCTTTTCATGTGTTCCTCATGGCGTTGAAGCTATGTACAACAGGCAGTTCGACTCTTGACCAGTCGGAATGTAGCTTACGAGGTCGAGTTGTTCTTAAAGGAAGACCTGGCGTTACTTAAGCCGATCATCTTCTTCCTCACTTACGACTTGAAAAGGATACCTCTTTGTGTTAGATAGATAGGGTTGGTTACGTATTAATAAAATAAAATACAAATTCTCAGGGGTAATAATTACTAATTAAAAAAAAAAATCGAACCGAGCTTGTTGGTGCAAGTAGTGTGGATCGGCTAGTTACGAAGAGCAGGGTGGTTACTTCGCTACTTTGTGGGTCACCACTTATCCCACTTGACCACTCGGTTCTTGCTTGTTGCTCTGTTCTTAGGATACTTAACCTTCCTGTCGTTGTGGCAGATATGGTACAAGGTACCTACCTACCTTAGGTAGGTACTTAGGTACCACCATTGGAATCTTGCCTGATACACCTTTAACAACAAATAAAACGAGACTTTAACAGGCATGGTACTAATACTATGTCTAGGTATTTTAATAATGCCACCTCGATCGTTTTCCTTTTCAGCCTCCGGCGGCCCTTCCAGGGAGGCTCCTGCGGAGAGCTGCTCGCTACGCTCGAAAAGGGGGTCGGATATCTACATTCAAATACCGTTCTTATCGCATATTCCCACCAAAACCCACCAGCACTATGGCAAGGAGGTTATATTTATTTTAATGTATTTTTGATTGGATAAAATGTAAATAAATTAAGATGTTAATATAACATCCTAAGAAAGATTACATTACGGTTATGGGGGATCACAATACTTACAACTTGACGCCCGTATAAAAAAACGTCCTAAAAGTAGTACAAAGAAAGGTAGAAGAAAAGCAATAAACTTTAATCATTCTATTTCTATTAAGCCTCAAATTGTATCATCTTTTTTATTCAAATATTGTTAATAGTGTAAAAGTCCTACTTAAAAACATGGTGAGTTTTAGTAGGAATAACTATGCGGGACTGACACAAAAGAATGGTAGATAAGTAAGAAGAGTATGGCTTTATGCTTAACAGCTAAGTGTCTACTAATCAAATTAATTCAATTAATGATGATAATTCGAAGTAACAGAACTAATATGAAGTGCAAAATCTCTCTGATATTATCCCTAGGGGACACCCCCTGAACCCCTTAAACCCCCGGCGCATCTGGCGGCCTTCCCGGAAAGCCCTTTTCTTCCGATATTTACTAATTTAGTACCTAGGTAGTTAAAGTATTTTTAAATTCTTAATTTGATCAGGCTCTTCGAAAGCATATTCTTTGACTTTCTTTCTTGTCGTGGTGTAGTCGCCTGACGAGGAAATAATATACCCGTAACACCATCCCAATGCACGGACTTCGTCTACTTGTGCTTAGGATAGCTTTTCCCCTTTTGAAAGCATTATAATTAGATATCAGTTGCTAAAATGGCTCCATGAACTGAAAAGGAGAGAAAAGAAAAACGAAGCAACGTTTGTGCTGTACATTTATGCTCCTTAGGAGTGCGCTTAACGTCCGCCATAATCATCACCGCCCGGAGTGTATGGCATAGGGAGCCAAATAGGTAGGTCCGTATATTTGGCGATGGAGTTTCTCTAAGTTACAAACGAGAAAAGGCACAGATAACCCAACCGCACTACCTTAACCATAAAATGTAAGTAGTGTCTATCCCCCTTTTTTTCCTGTGGTCTCTCGCAATAACTAAGTATACCCTAACAAAAGAATTAGAAAAAGAAAGCTTAAATACACAGTTAAGCAGGTTCCCATATGGTAGATAGGTCTTTATCCACATTTTTGAGATCACTAGCGAGTTAGGTATTAAGAAGTCCACAGCAATGCTACGTCCTAGGTCGTAACTTTATTGAAGTAGATTCAACGTTTAGCAGGTATAAAGAGAAAATGTTGCAGAATATTGAGGGCATTTTGTGTCTCCTGGTTTGGGAACTACACCAGGGGACGGGAAGACGCCTACGGGGCAAATATCAACTCTAACATGTACAACTGCAAAGCAAACTCCACTAGAAAGCCAAAAACACCATAAGACACAAACGGCAGCACGCGTGAGTGTAAATAGTCCTACACAAGAGTGTCCCGTGTTTGGACTTCCAGAATCCGGGCGTATGATCCTGCTGGATGAATTGAACATGTTTTACTTAAACCATAGCAATTGAGGCGTATACAAACGGTGAATCTGTCATAAGGTCAAACCAGAAAGCGTGGAAACAGCTTTTCCGTGTCGCAGAAAAGTTCAACCTAACTAATGTCTAGCCTAACTGCAGAAGCCCGTAGCTGTGCACACCAATAATACCTAACTCGGGGTCCTATTTGTCTCATTAGGAAGAATGCTAACTAAATCTTACTTCGGCTGTCTTGGGGTGGATTAATGCGTATTAAGTTGTTATACGAAATACACGTCAGGTAGAAAAAAAGCATGCTCAAAGTTCTTACTATTAAGTACTCGCCAGCTTTAAGGTTAAGCTTTTGAGCGGAATTGCAAGCATTTTCCATACCTTGTAAACTTACTATTAGTTGTTGGTTGCAGTGACCATGCAATGTTGACGAATCAAACGTGAAGCCAACAACTTACACGTAGAAATGCGGCTCTACACTCCACGGGTAAACCTAGGACTATTATGCATCCCCCGCTTGAAGAAGTGCGTCATGCACCTATTAATTCCGCAACGACAGTTCTAACGCCGTTCTTGCTGGTGATGAGTTCGGAGTTTGAAACTTGATCCAAGTTTTCACCATCCAGCACATCAAACTGTTTTGGCTTTCTGTAAGTAACCACCCGTCGTCGTGATCGCCTGGCCTGTTTCCCGTTCCGTTTGCTGTTCCAACTGTGGGTACCCGGCCGGCCGGCTTGTTCTGCTTGTGTCTTTTGAGGCCCTGACTACGATAGAGGCTAACAATTAGTGCTTCATAGACCGCAACTAGTCTCATAGCCACTCCGGATCAAGTTATCAACAGACTGTTTCTAATAAACTTTCCGCTGCGGGTCCGGAAACATGGGACCTATAAACAGTCAAGCGAGGGGATTAGTTTATCGGTGTCGGTTTAAGTTCAAGCTAGGAAATCTTAGGTGGCATCAAACATTGTCCCCTAAGATACCTTATAATAACCCACCTGCTCCTCTTACTTTGTCTTCTTCTCCTTACCTTTCCTCATCATCCAAATCATTACAACTTCCACCCAAAACTCGAAATTTGACAAGCAAAATAGAGACTGTTACTATCCAGCCAGTTCCTGTTGCGGGCGCCAATGACGTACCTAGTCATGTAGCTCCGTTGCCCTCTCAACTGACAGACGTGGCAAGCATGGCGGGCATGGCGGACATTGCGCTCCTGGACAGCAGCGTTCAGGCGCCCTTCGACTCTATCCGCCAGCTTTTTGACCATCTCCGGGCCAATCCGGAAGCAGCCGACGCTCTCAACGCCAGCTACCCGACCCGCGGCGTGTTCAAGAACGCCGCCCTGAAGAACGGCTCTTCGGACCAGAAGCTCACCATCGACATCTCGCCGCAGCGCCTAGCCTGCATCCCCACGGAGCTGCAGGCGTCCCTATCCCTCTGCGGTTTCGGCGAGGTCATCAAGTTCTTCTCGGAGCTGACGACCACGCACCTGGACAACATGCTGTCGATGCTGGGCGCGGCCGCCGGTGGCGTGGACTTGTTCCCGCTCCACCGGAGCCGCAACATCAACTTCCGCCTCTGCGACTACACGCCGGCCACGGCGGCGCCGGAGAGCGAGAACGGGTGCGGGGCGCACCGCGACTACGGCACCTTCAGCATCATCTTCCAGGACGGCACCGCGGGGCTCGAGATCGAGAGCCCGGCCCAGCCCGGAACGTGGCTGCCCGTGCCGGCCGACAAGGTCGTCGTGCTGTGCGGCTGGTGCGCGTTTATCGTCAGCGGCGGCGAGCTGCGGGCCGTCCGGCACAGGGTCCGTCGACAGCCCGGCGTTAGGCGGCTCAGCGCCGTGTTGTTCGTGGCGCCGGATCTGGACGTGGCTCTGAAGCCGATCACGCCGGAAGGCAGCGAGGTTGTTCGGTTCTCGTCCGAGATCATGGATGGGAAGATCGATGTGCGCTGGTTCAAGGAGTGTATGGGAAAGAGATGGCGGTACCGCGAGGGCAACGCCCATCTTGAGGACGGCGAGAAGATTACGCAGGATGAGGATATTGAGCGGTTGATTCTGGGTTAGTTTGGCGAGTGGGAATAAGTCAAGGACTAGGCGGGTAAGGCGTCGCATGGAAGGTATGAGGTCACGATCATTGTAACTTTGGTAGCTTTGTTAAAATGAGAATCACTTTGACGTTTTGGTAACTGCCTGAACCATTCCAGTGTTCTTGAAACCCCTTGAGATCCTGTATTGCCAACCTTAATCTTTTGACGCAATACAAATTCCTCGTCGTAAGAAAAGTAGAACCCAGATTAGAGAGTGAAGAAAGAAGTCATCGTCCCTTGCTGTAATAAGTTGTCGGAATAAAGTATGAGGCTAAATACATGATATAGTCTTGGACTAATCGATATGTAATAGCCTTTGCGCCTTGGAGTTTGTTGATAGCCCCTTTATAGTGCCTCGTAATCTTCCTTCGTAATGCCCGTATTCTATCCTTTACATATCCGGTAATATAGCTCCACATAACCGATACAAGAATCCATCCAAGGCTGTGTCTACTTCGACGAAATGAGATCCCCATGATGAGGGTGTTCATCTGGCCAGCCCATTCAACATCTCGCTCCGTAACCCCTTTTATCGTAGTCTCCTCGAACTTCTCCTCAAATTCCGTCATAAACTTTTCTACCCCCTTTTCCTATATATCACATTGTTAGAAAATGCTTTGCGAAAGGTATCGGGATATATAGTTGCCTTCATGGCTTTTCTAGGAGTACTGGACGGGTATTGCGTTCGAAGAGGGCCGCCATAGTGTCCAGTAGATGGTATAGCCGTCACTTGAGGTGTTGTGTGATAGTGAACATTTTTATTCAATGCGAAATCTAGCCCTATATTATTTTGTATAGCGCCTGATGTAGCAACATTATCAGAGATCATTTAGCTCAATAATTTTCTTGTAGTCTGAATGTGAGTAACATCAAAATTAAGTACCTACTTAGGAGGTAGGCAAATGAGACCTTTGTAACCTCTTGTATGTGCACTATGGCATAGCCCTGGTTATCTCAGGGGCAAATTCTAGCAATCGTTTTTGAGAAATCAATTTTTTTCAGTCACAAGCTATAGGGGGGGCAGTGAAAGCTCAGCTATCCATAACGCATTTGCCACTATGGCAGATATTCCACTTTATGAAGCATCGGCAACAAATCTTCTGTTTTCAGTTTCTTTTTTTTTTTTTTTCTCTGTCTGTATCAAGCGCCCTACTCATATGGAATCGGGAACCGATGGCCAATACGCTAAAGGATGGGCGGGTCTGCATGCACACATATTGGGGTCCCCCTGTAGTCCTCATGTACAATGTGCCCGAACTTGTTCAAGATATTGTCTCTCTCAACCCGATCTCGTTTCTAGATTAGGCAGGTTGTTCGTGCGAAATATCTTGTGCTACCCAAAGGGTGGTATCCCGTTAGCTTCACCGGAGTGACTGAGTGGCATAGCCTCAAGGCTGAGGCTCTGGTGAAATAAGCCGAAAGTAATAAAAGTCTTAGTAAGAACAAGCGGTGCTTTGCTTGCTTATGGCCGTACTTATCCTAGTAGTAGTCGATTACGGGACCTCTACTAAAATTTGGACCGATTAACGCTTATCTCAATTTTCGTAAGCTATTGAAGCTATTCGCAAGTTCGTTATTGCTACTCGTATTTTTAGTACTTAGGTAAATATCCTTGATGGTCGAAGCTATTCGCAACCCCATCATCGCTACCCATAGTTATTAATGTTTGATAATTGAATGCGCTGCAATTATAGCGTATGTAAGTGCTACAATCTTAATGGCATTATGAGGTGTGCCAAGTACGTTGCAATTTATCTATTGAACAATTACTGCGCATTATAATACTTACCTAGATAGGAATAAGCGAGTCAAAAAGCACCTCTAGAGGTGCTTTTCAATCTTGGAAAAAATTAATCGGGCTATATTAACCCTATTGGATGATGCATAAGGATGTGCTATAGATCTACTCATAAGCCAGATAAGGCTTCTTAGGAAGCGGTCAGCCCCTATACGCCCGAGCAAGTAGCGATGGGCATTGCGGATGCCGCATAGGCTGCCGCATAGACTTCCGTAGGTAAGTGTTGTGACCCTAAGGATATATAAGAAGGGCACTGTCACGCTAAATTAAACGTTAAAAGTCATAATTCCATTCTATCTCCCTCCTTGTATTCATTAGAGGAAATTTGACAATCAACTACAGCCCAAAGCTACCCTAAATTCGAAGAGATGCAAGACAGAAAGCCATTGCGAGGTAAGTCCTAAATTATTACTACGCCCATATACTGCGCCTAAACTCTTAAACTAACCTCACGATCTTTAGTGCCTAAGACCGGTCAAGTAGGGGACATTGTCCGACTTATTGCGAGCGCTTACGGCCTCCGTGGCCTAGTCGGCTTTGATGGAATCAATAACAACGACTCTATTTTACAGTTTATGAACCAAAACACTCATTCGGTTCATATACGTTTTGAGGATGGACATACCCAACTCTTCCGTATCGCTCAAAATGCAGACTCTGCCGATGATGAGGTAATAACCTTCAACGTTGCCCTCGGAGGCGCCAGGCAAGACAATACGGTCATAGGACCAGGACTGAGAATCACCCACAACACGGCTGAAGGACGTGGTTCGAAGCAGACCAACAAGGCCTTTTGCATTGTAATGTGAGGTCTTATGGCGCATTTCTGGAAGCGGCAGGCGTCCAGAACCTACATACCTACCTAACGTAGCCTGCTTCAGCTGGGATTGGGGGGTCACATTTACAGCATAATATTGGTCTGTGCAAATTGCTTACTTCATTTATGTATCTACCTCTTTTTGGCTCGTCGAAATCTTTGTTCAGCCCCTAATTGAATTCCACTGTTTACTCCCACCACTAGAAGTGTTATGAGATATCTGTGCCCTAGTCCCAAAATTATGGCGAATTATAGCATTGCGCTGCTCAGAATTATCCCGGGCGATATTCCGAAGTATCGACAGTCGTCCGTCATCAAGTGCTTCTTCGCTGGTCCTACCTGGCTCGTCAAAAATAGGGGGCCCAAGAGGAGGGTCTCCTTGTGAGCTACCAGCACTACTTGTTACGCGCTCGGCAGAAGAGAAAGCCTCGGCGCATCGAATAATATCCCTCTGCTTTTCTAGCAAGTAGTTGTGTGTGTGCGCCGAGATCTTGCTAACTTTATCCCAGTCCGCAAGCGTAACGTCCTCGAGACCTCGATCGACATTAAAGCGATAGTACTTTCCCGTACTTCCATATTTCTCGTCTAGTCTATCAGCTACCTTCTTCGACGTGACCGAGATAGACTTCAAAGCCCTTAATATCGATATCCCCGAGTCTTGAATGGTAGCGACGGCGCCGAGCCCTGTACCGATACTAAGAATACACATCTGGCGGGCTTCTGGGAATTTCTTCTGAGCTTCCTCTATGAGAACCTCGCACGGGTTATTATATCCGAAACCGGCATCGATAAATTCTATGTCGTCGCGCCCGCATCTGATAGATTTGAAAAAAGTCGAGGCTGCCGAGGTGGCGCGCGCTACCTCCCAGATCGCGCAATTGCGAAATCCGCTCGTCTCATCGTACGTCCTAAAGAGGGTAGGTCTCGCGTCGACATTCTCTTTGGTCACCGCTAATACAGCGCTATATGGTACTCGTTAGTATAAGCCAAAATAATTCCAGTCGCTCGGATGGAGTACGTTTTTACACAAGCGTCATTTCGAAAGAGAGCATTCTCGTGAGAGCAAGTATCCCAACTAGAACATGCCCTGTCTTTGCATTGTGCCTTCACAACCTCCTTGGTAGCCTCCTCGAGCGCTTTTGCAGAGTAGGCCCCGGTTGGAGTCAGTGGGAAGTGAATTAGGCGCCGCTTCGGTGTAAAGGCCCTCTTTGCGAGACGTTTGTATGCGATGATGCAGTCTTCAATTGTCATGCCAAGTCGCCCGAGCATTATGGCGAGAATTCTAAGTATTAGGTACCCCAGTAAGTACCAAACTGAGAACTGCGGCATTAGATCGCGATCTTACCCCCCTGTACTCGTCCCTCCAATAAAGTCGAAGTATTCGCAAGGTCGAGGCGTCTCTTGTAGTCCTTGTATTCGGCGAATATTTTCCATAACTTCTTGGAGGATTAGGATGCTCGATATACCACGAATTCCGCCTCCATCTAACAATATAAGTTTCATACACTCGTAAAATACCAAAGGGAGGACTCACCAAGCGATAGGATTTTCAATGTAGGAGTCATCGTGTATAGCTTTACGTAGTAACAAGTCCGCACGAGCGCTCTGTACCCCAACGACTCTGGGATTGCGCCCTTAATAAAGATTTACCTTGGACAGCGATGGAAATATAGAGAATTATAAGTGGAAATGAGAGATCAGCTGGTGATTCACTCGCTAATAGCTTAGAATATGGCTCAGCCACATATGCAGTACTTTCAGAGGCTGGGAATCTGACAGGCTGGAGACGGCCAAAATTAATGTGACAATGTAACCTCATTGTGTAGTATCGATGGAAGTAGGACGGTTAGGCATGATTTACAATACAAGAGACAGCCTAACTCGTATTCAATTAGGTACCTACCTATAAGGTAGCAAGAATTTCCACCCCTATGGGATGGGCGTTCCCCTCCTAGAAATAAACCAAAGCATAAGTATGGCATGTGATCAGGTAATACTACCATGTATTGAAGAGGACCTAAGGCTAGATATAATGCGTTACCAAAGGTCTGTGTACATTCCCTTATTCTACATCAAAGTTAACACTTTTAATGTCCGATTTAAAATTGAAAGAAAATTGTAAAAATGGGCAATGTATATAAAGCTATAGGATGTACTTTAATGTCCCTTAATACTTGAAATAAATCTCGAAATATATCATATTCGTGAAGATAGAATTATGTTAGGGATATTACCAAATTTATGAGGTCGCATGTGCCTTCCCATATACAATATAAGGTAAAGTAAGGTAAATTATTAACCGTTTTCTTTTCTTTTTACTTTTTTTTCTAAAAAAAGAAAAAAAAAACCTAAACCATTAATCGTGGATATATTTCTATTATTCATGTTGAGTGTCCAATGTAATGTTGAACATGTTGACTTTAGTGTAAAACGAGGGGGTGTATACAGACTTTTGGTAACGCATTGTACCTAATGCATTCAAGAAGTGTCAGAAGTCTCACTTGAGACTCATTGGGAACAAATGGGTTGTTTTGTATATAACTTTGATTTCAAAGTTATTCTAGTTAGAGTTCCTTGCAGAACAACGAAGTTATTTTCTTACCTCATGCTCTGTGACGTGACAAGAAGACTGTTCGAACCTACTCTGTTACGTGCTTAACTCTAGTAAATGTTACTTATAACATTCTAGTTTCGACTTTCTTAAGGAACTGTTATCTTAACGACTTACTGTAATTCATGGTCCCGATGTTTTACTTGATAGTATACGCTACAATCATTTACCATTTCTATGCGGCAACCTCTACAACCCCAGTAAGCCACGATGCTAGTCACCTACTTTCAAGAACACATGACAGCTCGAATTTTGAAGTGAAATAAGAAAAGAAATTATTAAAATAATTTAAAGCCTTGAAATGGCAGAAGAGCGATTTAATAGGCTTCTTAATAAAGTCATGGTCTATTATCCTCCCTGCTACGCGCCTGGATGTGCTTTGTTTCCCGACGAGAACAAAAGCAGGTGGGTTCGAATGCCACTAGGGGCTTAGAGCCAGCGGTCCAACTTTCAGGTTTTTTTTCTCAAGCTCTACCAGACGCGTATGAGGGTAATTGTAACTTATTATAAAAAAGGGGGTTCGGCAGTTTTTGTCCTAGCTAAAAAGTCGGTTATCTAAAGCCTAGCAACCGACTAAATAAAGTAATGCTATAAATAAATAACGATAGAATATAAAAACAGGAAGTAGAAGATCTTTTATACCAAGCGGAACTCTAGCTTTAGCCTCTATCTCCTTTGGAAGTACTTGGAACGTCTTAACACTATTATTAGTACAGCCGTAGGGTGGAACTTGTATATTAGATTATACCTACCTCTGAAATAGTTATGAGCCAATAGACGTAAAAGATATCACCATCATCTGCCCTGCTGCATAAAAATGGTACCTAGGTAAGTGCACTAATTTTATACCTATGTTTTTCCCCCTTTGCCTATGAGCCAGTTTAGATATAGGTGAATATCACAGGGCTCTAGTAGCTCATGTACGTGGTGCACGTCAACGTGAGCGATTAAAGATGATACCTATGGTGCGGAAAATACGAAGAGAAAAAGAAAAAAAAGGAGAAAGGAACCGCCTCAAGCTAGGCATATAAATATATTTGTCACGGTACTGTCTGTGAGGTCCATATAGGTGGAGATAGCATCGTCAACTCGTCGAGTTGACATCGATCTACCTTTTGGTAGTGTAGCGGTTTGATAGCAGGTATCTTCCTAATCCTTACAATATTCGAAAGCTAAATTGTGATGATATTTAATGGAATAGAGAGCAGAATATGACCGATAAAAAGCCTACTAACACACTGTGAGGCCAGAAGATGAATGGAATTTCTTCGTAGTCTAATAGTCAGGGATAAGTGGACAGGTGGATACTACAGGGGGTCTATCGCCTATATAAAGGGTAGCCAGCTCCCTCGGAGGAGGTTAGAGACCAGGCGTTACTAGATATCTACAATATACTGCATACTAGCCTACCATCTGACACTCACTCTGTATATGACATCCATCACGGGCACTCTTTGATGCTGATATAGCTACGTGTGTTCGCGGGCGAATTATTACCTTAAGTGTCTATCTCAGTAGTCCATAAACCACTCTTAAAGAAATCAAGGTCGATTTTATTGATTTATTCACTACGTTCTATTCGTAGGTACCTTTGGTTTAGCGCTATATAGTGATCATTACGAAAAGGAGTGAAAACGAGTACGATCGTACGTCGAGATATAACATTTTTGGTATACATACCTAGGTAAGTTACTTGAATGGACCGCTATCTCGACTAACAGTTGCCTTAAATAGTCTTCATAGTTCACATAAAACTTTAGACTATTTCATATTATAATATATTCCTTGTCCTCATCGAGCAGGAATGGGGGGGGGGGGGGGTTCGCTCTTTTGTTCAACTTACCCCTTTCAAGTTGCCTTGGCCGGCTTAGAAGTAAGGGAATTTACTAGTCAGCACTATAGTCCCAACGTAGTCAAATCTCCACGTTTGAAGTCACCGTTCCCAGCAGGATCGGCGGAAACACACTACAGATTGGCGTCGATCATAGTGCTAGACCCATTCTTACAAGGCCAACTCTGTATATACGGTGCGATGCCCAGAGCTGGTACAGACTTAAAGAACACCCAACAAGACAATTGTAAGAGTTCGGAAGATAGCTATCAAACCGCTATGCTACCAAAAGGTAGAACGATGTCAACTTGAGGAGTTCAAGTTGCTATCTTCGCCTACAAGGACCTCACCGATAGTACCGTAGCAACAATATAGGAATCCATGCTTGATCATGGCCACGTGAAGCGGTAAGACCTTAATGTGATGATTTCTGTGAATAGTAACTGACCATGGGCCCCGTCGCTAGTAGATATTGGGGGAATCAGGACTATTGCATAAGCTTCGCGATGAATCGACGTCATCGATAGGATCCCAATCCTCTGGGGCGCTCACCAGGATCGAGAAGTCCCAGTTGCCCATGGTCAAGATGGGAATTTATTGGACGGAGTAGACTACGTGCCCCCTATACACAATTCCAACTTATAAGACGTTCTTTATACGAGTCCTTCTCTGAGAAGGATAGATTATTAATGCAGTTACAAATTATCAAATTGTTTGTTATATTCAGCGTGCTGACACTTTGACTATGTCGATCTGCCTAGCCAAGTCTCAGGACGACAAACTTAATCTAAGTTATAAATTACTTACTGTTCTATATTCAGACCGGTGAGATATTCAATCATAGTTCGACATCGGGTATATTACGTAGGTAGTCTGGGCAATATAGGTTCGTTTGATATTTGATATTAATACTCACCTTGACTCGGTATCTCGTCCAAATAGCGAATTACCGACTCGGCGCCTCTCTGGCTGATTGGACCAGATTGGATTACGCTAGCCAGAACCTGGATGGCCTTTGATGGACAATTTCCGAATGGGCTTGACTGCAGCTTTACCCGGAGTCGACTGCCGAGGAGAGCGGTAGTACATAGCGTAACGCTAATGAATTTACATGTTGTGTGATAACTTAAATGCTACCGTAGCTGAGGAAGAGATGGAGGTGAGGCGAATTACCGGCAGAGCGAAGCGCGTTCAAGATGTGACCATGGTGGTTTAGCATGGGGGTAAGACGAAATAGGAGGAGAAGACATTCAAGTTGACCGAATTTTTGTTGGTGGTGAGAACGGCGAGAATGTTAAAAAAATGGATAGAACTTCAAAAAGGGGTATTCGAAAAAGGGGTGTTGCTTAGAAATGTGCATAACTAACTGTAAGATTTCGAGGGGTAAAATACAATTATACTATTGTACAATACGAGAATACCTACCTAATGCACAACCTAAACTGATAGGTACTTAAGGTATTGCATTGCATAGTATCGTATTGTACTATTTAGACACCTCCATCTCAGTGGTGACACCAAAAGAAAGCCACCTTCAGCATGACCGAGGCGGGAAGCGGGAATGCGGGAGGGCGGGGATCATACAATATTTTGGGTTGATTCCGTAAAACTTGCGTCATGATAAAATGATAAAAGCACGGGTTTCCCAACTGGAACAAACGAAAAGAGGAGAATTTTAAGAATATCGCTGATGCACACGTGTAGGAATATGAGAAGCGACAAGAATAGAAATCTATTTGCTGTTCATACAGAAGCTGAAAAATAATTATAACATTATTGGTACGAAAGGAATTGCTCGAGCCTTTTGCTTTTGGTACATATAATAATATTGGAATACGGGTATGTTATCCAGATGAGGCGATCGCCATGTGCGTGATAAGTCAACCCACGATCTTGGATCTGGGCGGTGGAACAATGTTTTGAAAAGGAACTAAGATAACGAAATGTTGCAACGGGCCTCTACATGTAGGTTAGGTGTACAGAGGTACGTATTATCAAACAAAAAAGTCCGACCAGTTTTGGGAAAGGCAAGGGGGGGCGGTTACGCGAGAGAGACAAGTAGGAAAGACGCGAAGAAAAGAAGAAAAAAAAAAAGAAAAAAACACAGTTTGCCAAGAAATGACTTACACTGAGCGCGGTACATGGTGGAGTGACGTAATTCGTTACGCATTTCCCGCCCTGACCACCTTGTCCCAACTCTTCCTTCTAATTTTTTTTTCTAGCTTATCCTTGAAGACGTATTCCTTCCTTGTGTGATGCTGTAGACGTAAAACTTGTCCGACCGTGATACTCGAATTCCATGCGAGGGCTGAACTTGAAAAAGAATATCAACAAAAATGTCGGTTTCAAGAAACAATATACTAGGCAACAAAAAAAAAATAATTCGCATAGACTAGAGTTTAAATACTTGACAAGTAGTCATCTTCCAATTTTATCATCCATGTAAGCACACGTACGCTATTTTCACTCTCCCGCGGAGCCTCTCTTCGAATGCTGCTTTGTAATTTGTCAGACGCGAATGGGGCACGTATAATATTTGATTCGAAGAAAAGGCTGGAGAAAAAAAGCCCGATTCTTTTTTTTTTTCTTCCTTGCCACCTCCCAAATTGCTCTGGGTTGGGTAGGATGAGGGTCGATGGCCTGCCGCATTTCAACTAGCGTAAATTCGAGACTCAAGCAAGTCAAGGACCAAGGTATCTCAAACCCACGTATGTAACGTTAGAAGGTAAGCATGGGAAGACGGGATGACTCGAGACTTTCTTCTTGTCTTTCTCCCCCTGTCGTTAAATTCGAGCCTCCATTATCAAGGCATCCTTTTAAGGTCTTGCCCGCCTTTTCTTTTCCCCTTAGCCCTTATTCCAACATGTAATTTCTTTTAGCCCTCGATCGCGATCTCGAAACAAATCGCCTTTGTAACAAAATTAAGTCTCGAGATCCATATTCTTAAATTCTGTGGCCAACTAGGTAATTATTTTCTGTTAAGCTAGGGAGTTTGCTTCGGAAATATCCCCTACGCAAGAGACCAAACTAGAAAAGGTCAACCGCGCATGTACAGGCAGCTGTACAAGCACATGTACCTATGCATGTATTGTACTATGGCAAGTACCTAACCTTAGGTACCTCCTACATATAAACGGGACTTGCGAGTTGGTTATCTGCGACCTATTAACGTTCTGTCGTCTTATTAGAAATGACCCACCAACATCACTGATATTAAACTCTAACGACCTGGGAATGTTAAAGATAAGATTTATATAGTAGAGACGATGACGATATTCTTTAATAATTATGTAGTTAGTTCACGTAGTATTATTTCTTTTATTCCGAAACTTGTTGAGAGTGAAAATGACTTGAGAAAATTCTAGGTATTTTGTACGCAAAAAGCAAAGCAAGAAAAGAAAAAGTCAATTTGCTTTCTAATAAGGTACGAGGTAGGTTAGGTAGTTATGCCATCTGTTCTCGTATGTTTTTTCCCTAACGCCCACTCCTAGGACAAACCGTTGCGCTTCGGGCTAGCGTCCGTCGGGTCAAAGAGGCGAAATGGAGTTGTATGCCCCGTCTCGTAGACAGTAACCGAGCGAATCACCATCTTTTGTTCAGTATTGTCAGCAATGTCCAGTATCTTACGTAGCACACGGTTGAAATAGCACGCGTATTTAGTGCGCTTAGTGCCGTCCTCGCTGGTAGTACACAGACTACCCGAACAGGCCTAAACCGACGTGTACCTAATGTATGGCACTGATAAATGCTAAAAAACAACAGGAAGCAACGAGACAACAGGGAATAGCGCGTTAGGCGCACTGTATGGGTACTTAGGGATCTTCGATCACGCCTTGCACATAACCATTGGATGATCCATCCATGCTTAGTGCGGGTCTTGTCCACCTTCGGCTCCAAGCATTTTTCGGGGGGCTTTTACGTCTGCTGTGCCTGCCTTTTCTCCCAAAAACCACCCCTTATGTCACTTCTTCCCTCATGACCTCATCGCCAACATTTCTTTATACACACACAACACACACAACACACAACACAACAGCACAGCAGCAACAACAACGGGGTCACCCCTGGTGGTAACGACCACGCGAATAAGTTGCAAGACTAGTCTATCGTCACTCATTCATCAATTAATCGCCACGATACCCTAGGTTGCGGCCGGCGCTCGCACCTAATTGTTCCCCCAGCACAGAGGTAGTTTGCCGTAATTTATTTTTTTTTTCTTTTTTTTTTGTTGCAAGCTGCCTCCCCCCCCCCCCCCCAAGTCAGCGTTGTGCGTTAGGCGTATCGTTACATCATATTTCTTTCCCCCAACGCCCACTACGTACACATACGTATACACATCACCCAGCGCCATAAAAAATAAAAATAAAAATAAAAATAAAAAAACAACTTCGTCATCGTCGTCACAATGGCCCCGACCGAAACCAAATCGTCAGATAATTCTCTGTCAGGTAAGCTTGCCGATTGTCTATCCGTTTTCATAACGCACCGACCTCTCCACCGGGTTACTTACTGCTCCGTACCCGTTGTCGCTCCAACGGCATAAGCGGCACAACAAATCAACCTCGGCGTTGCAATTGATATGCGCTCAATCGGACGTCATTTGCTAACAGCTTAATCCTAACTGCCAGAAACCAACGGCGACAAGAAGCCCGAAGTCAAGTCGGAGGGAGTCGCAGCCAGCAGTAACAACAACGAACCTGGTCGCCCTCTCGCGCCTCCTCCCAAGCCCGGCGAAGATTACTTCTCGAGTAACTTAAGCCTCGAACCTAATCCCTTTGAGCAATCATTCGGCACGGGTGGTACGGTTGAGACCCCAGGTGGTACCAAGTTGCCCAGCGTGGCGGCCTTAACATCGCCGTCGTCTCTGTTGCCCGGGAACGGAAACACGCCGTTTAACTGGGGAGGCGGTTCCCTTAGGACGGGTCCGCTCAGTCCAGCGATGCTGTCTGGCCCGGCAAATGACTACTTTGGTGACACGTCGCATACCTTGCGTGGCGGCTTTACTCCGAACGAGAGTTCTCTGAGGACGGGTCTGACACCGGGCGGAAGCGGTTCTATGTTCCCTGCGCCGAGTCCCAGCTCCCAGGCTCTCTTTGCTCAATTAGCAAGTGGTACCGCAACTCCTAGCACGCTCGACTTCCATCGTACCGCTATGAGCGCGGCTGCGGCGAAGGCGAACCGTGACAAGCACGCCCAACCCGCTGCTACTTCTCAACCCACAGAAACAAACGGGGCAACGGTGAAGAACGAGGCTAAGCCGGCATCGGGCGCATTTGATCCCCACGATAATGATGCTGCTAACGGCCTTTTCATGTTAGCTCAAGGTGCGCAGGGCCGAACAGGTACACAAACACAATATCCAGTTGGCGGCAACCAACCAGTTCATGCTCACCCGCCTCCACCGCAACCAGCTCGACCCGCTGTTGCTGCTCCCCCTAGTGCTTCTCCTCACATGAACGGAAATGGTACATCAGAATCCCCTCCGATGAGAGGGGTTAGCGAGGCGGCTAGCGGTGTGTCGGAAGAGAACGAAACGAAACCAAATGCTAGAGGAAAGGGTAAACGTGGTGCCGGAGCTGGCGCTACCAACGGACGACGTAAAGCTGAGGATACACCTGCTAAGCAGCCTGCTAATAAGAAATCCAAGACAGCATCGTCAGTAAATAGTAATGATAATTCTTCGGATGAAGAGGACGAAGAGAAAGATGCCAACGGCTCCCATCCCAAGTCAAAAATGACAGACGAGGAAAAGCGAAAGAATTTCCTCGAACGTAATAGGTATGTTCTTCTTTTTATATATTTGTACTATGGGCGTTGCTAACAGTGCTCAAGGGTTGCCGCTTTAAAATGTCGCCAACGTAAGAAGCAATGGTTGGCCAATCTACAAAATAAGGTAGAAATGTTTAGCACGGAGAATGACGCCTTAACCGCGCAAATTTCTCAGTTGAGGGAAGAAGTTGTGAATCTCAAGACTTTGTTACTCGCTCATAAGGATTGTCCGGTTACACAGCAGCAAGGATTGCACGGAGCATTTATGCAACAAGCCATGGAGACTTACAACCCGCAGATTAACCCCTATGGAATGGCAGCACCCATCCCGAACCAACCTGTGATGGCAGGACAAGGAGTACAGCGGCGCTTCTCATAGGATGACGAGGCCGCTTCTCATGACCAAGTCTATCCGGAGCTACCTGGATGCTAACATCGACAGCGATGATTAAAAGTGTACTGGCTGCGAATGGTTAAGAGAGAAAAACAAAGGTCTAAAAACACAGCGGTTGATTCAACAAAAATTATTGGTCATCCATCAAGCGGTTAGCTTATCATCTTTTTAACACCTTAATGGTCTCGGGAGGTAGGGAAAATATTTGGCGCGCTTGCTCTTGAGGGCATTGGAGGTTTGGTGGGCGTTCCTTAGTAGCTTTACAGGAAGACGCCCGGTTGTTAACTCTGATGTCTGTAATAACATTCGATAGTCATGAGAGCACGATAGGGCGCTAAGGGTATGGCTGCATTTGTGGCGCGTCTGCAGCTAAAGAAAAATTGCTGTGGGACGTATGGGCCTACAGCTTCGCCATGTCATCGGGTTGATATTGATATATGTACGTACGTATCTGGCTGGGTATACACATTAAAAACGGTGTTCTGGGGAGGGAGGGTTGGAATTGCTTTAATTATACTGTCTCTCGCGGAGGGGGCGTTGAGAAAGGATGAAGAAGGTATAACCTGGGGCTTCTTTTGCCATCTTCGTCTTTTTCTCGGGAGTTAACCCGGATCTTATATTTTCGACCGCTTATATTAGCTAGCCGATACACGCGGGCTATTAAGGAACGATGTTATTACCAATGAAATATATACATGTGATGTATTTCTATTTTGATATTTATTTTTAGGCGTGAGTGAATGTATCATACGTATGTTGTATGTATGCTGTACTAGTAATATCAGTTGAAAACCTATGTGGTGAGATTTAAAGGTGACGATAGAGGTTATGATGATTAATGCAGACGGGACCTCAGATGAATGATGAGTGGAATTGGGATAATGGATTAATTCGTTACGTAGATAATTATGTACATACCTAACACAATTGGGAATATAAGCTTTTTGGCAGGTATGCGCATAACGAAGAATGCTCCTGTAAGTGGGGGGAATATGCAGCCACGGTAGAGCTAAGGTACCTGGTTGGCGTCGGATTCGATTGGCCCGTGCGTAACAACTCATGTAAACAATTGAGAGAAAGAAAGATCAACTTTCGCGCCTCATCACCACCCACCACCACCACCACCCCCGACACCCCCCGACACACCCTGCAAAGCCTCAAATCGAAAACAAATCGGCCACGAACGAAGTCGAAAAAAAGAAGAAATAAGAACTAAGCATTCATACGTACCCCGTATCCGACCGAATTAATTCTAAACGAGATATTCTCCGATACAGTTGAATTAATTGACAATTGCCAAACTGCCAATTACTTTCGACGCGGTTTTAATAAAGAGCTGTTTCGCGCTTCTCGTCACCTCTCTACTACCCGATTTTGAGCATTGCTATTTCCTCACGACTCGCGCGACAGCATAACCTTTTCAATCCCACCCCGAATCACTCATCAAGACCAATGCGCAGATTAGTTCAGCGTCCATGACTACCCTCGTGCAGACCCGTCAGCCACTACAAACACTGAGCATGAGCAATCAGTCTCAGCCTAAGCGTCGCAGAAGCTCGCGCCTTGCTTGTGGGTAGCCCCCTTTTTGGAATATCAGATGGGGAATATGATCGGGTAGCTAACGGGATTTATAATATAGCATACGACGAACAGGATGGTGATTTTCATTTCACGCGAGGATCCAAAAGAGCGAAGACGCAACAACCAGAACCCATACCCGAGGAGGAACCAGCTCCAGCTCCCGCACAAGTACCGTTAGCTAGAAGAGGGAGGCCGAAACAAAATAAAATAGCCGAACCGCAGCCAGCTTCACCTGTTCAAATAGTTCAACCGGCTCAACCAGCACCCAGGAGAAATGCGAAGCGGAGGTCAAATCTGATATCGTCCGATCAAGATGAGGTACATACTTCACCGCCTCCGCCTCCGCCGCCCCAACAAAGGGCCACGAGGAAGAGAGGACGCCCGTCGGTGGATAAAACCGAAAAGGAGCCAGTAAAAGCTACGAATGGTGTCTCTAAGAAGCTTAAAGAGAAGGTGAAAGAAAAGCAAAAGGAAAAGGAAAAGGAAAAGGAGCGGATAGAGGAAGAAGAAGAAGTAGTAGTGGTGCAAGAAGAAGCGGTACAAGAAAAAGCAATCCAATCGACTCCAGTGGACGAGCACAAGAATAGAGGCAATGCTTCCGATTCTAAGAAGATCGCGCTGCCGTTCAGCGATACGCCCATAATGAATCGCAACAAAGAGATGCGGAGGAAGACGGGAGCTCGCAGGAGTAGTCTGGGCATGCGTGGGAGAAGAGCAAGCTCCCTTATAGATAACGGCCACAGCGCAATACCGCATAAGGCGGTCGATCCCGCCGAATTCTACAAGCATATCGAAGCCGAGCTGATGGAACCGCGCCGTATGAAGCAACTCCTTACGTGGTGCGGAGAGCGAGCCCTGTCGGAGAAACCACCATTAGGATCCTTGAATTCTAACGAGATTCTTGGAGGTAAGGAGCTTTCTTAGGATGGCGGCATTTGCTCTATAGTAGGATTTATATGGCTGACATTTTCTCTTAGCCCGAGCGATCCAGGACCAACTACTAAAAGACTTTTCTTCAAAATCCGAATTCTCAGACTGGTTTTCACGGGAGGAAGTACCGCGACCACCGGCAATAGTGAAGCCGAATCCGCGGAATATCGAACACGAGGAGAAAATAGTGGCGTTAGAAGAGAGGATAAAACGGTAATACTCTTCATATTCATATTCATATTCATATTCACAGTGGTTTACATAGTCACTAACATATATTACAGATTAAAAGCAGAAAAGCGAGCATGGCAATCCTTAAAACAACCACCACCAGAACTACCACCACTATTCCCGCCATCCTCATCCTCATCATCAGATCCAAACGCCGCACAATTACCGTTACCCGACGCCTCGCTCCTCGACTCCGACGAGGCCCAGATGCTAGCCGCGCTCACGGACCCGTCGATGGCGCTCAAGCCGCCGAAGATCCAGTCCCGGCTCCAGGTGCTCCAGAGCTCGCTCGACTTCCGGATCGACCACCTGGCGGACAACGTGCAGAAGCTGGAACACCACGTGCGCACGGGCGGGGCCCAGGCCGACCGGGTGCTGGCGCTCAGCGCGGCGAGGCTGAAGGAAAGAGAGGAGAGGGAGAGGGCGAGCGCGGGGACCAAGGATATGCCGGTCATGGAGGTGCTGCGGAGTCTGGGCAGGATATTACCGCCGGAGAGCGGCGGTGGCGGTTAAAAAAAGCAAAATAAAATATCGTGGGTCGACTTTATGCCGTACAAGCGTGGGCGTATATAAAACGGCACGTGCGCGTGTATGCGTGTATGGAAAGAAAAGACAGTACAAAGAGAAGAAAAAAAAGAGAAAACCAAACAAGCAAACAGAGATTACCTACCTATCCACTTTTCATGTCCCATGGTCCGGGTTTTCTGTGAGAGGGTGTGCTGGGGAGGAGGGCGGCATCATCATCAATGACTTGCGATTTGCAATTTGCGTATGTGTTTATTTTTTTAGAGGGAGAGGGGTTTGTTTGTTTGCATATGTTGTTGCGTTGCGGGCTTGGAAGATACCAACATCGACTCGAATGAGGCGGGAAAGGCGTTTTTCCTCTTTTTTTTACGTCTTTTTTTTCCCTTTCCCCCCCTTTTCTGGCCTATGTTACTTGATGAGGAAGGAAGGAGTCTTTATAGCGTGGCTATAGAGCTGGCTAGATAGGTACCTTGAGGTACCTGATATATAGCTGGATAGCTGGATAGCGGGTGACTGACTAACTGGTTGGCTGGACTGCGATGCTGGAGCTGGGATCGCGGGCGTCTGTGAGAGGAGAGCAGAGGAGAGGTGAGGATATGAGATAATGAATGAAATACTGCATTGCATTGCATTGCGTTGCGTTGCCATTGTTATTGTTATTGTTATTGTGTTCCAATTGAGATTGCGTTTGGGCTGGTGCGTGTTTGTTGTATCGTAGCCTACCTAGGTGGATAGAGAGAGGACGGCTAGATACCTAAACCTTAGCTTAGGTACCTAACCTAGGTATCTAATGCATATGAATAAATTTCGATGTTGTTCTCATAGCACTCGCGTGTTTGGAGAAAACGTTGTTGAGTTCTTAAATTAGCTGACTGAGTGAGTGACTGTTGCTGCTGTGAGAGGTAGTAAGTAAGGTACATAATGCAGTATGCGTTTTATATCAAAGTTGTTGAAGCGAAATGAGCCAGCCAGCCAGTCAGTCAGCCAGCGAGTTAGTGGCTTAAGAACACACTCACACATTTATGTATGTATACTAGCGCTTGAGGACATGAGTTAGTTAGTTACTGAATCACATGGCGTGCCTTGCTTGATGTCGTGAGTACTGAAAATGGTATTGTATGGTAGGTAGGTACTTTATGTTACAAGCAAGTTCCACATCAATCCAGAGGCAGATGAAAATACTGGACACGAGCATGTAGCTCAATAGAGAAACTGATAAGTTAACCGCGGTCCAAGATTTAATTTTTAACATAGGCTAGGTATATAAAGCTATTTCAGCCCAGCTCAGTTCAGTTCCGGTACCTACACTTATGTCTGTCTGTCTGCCAGGCCAGGTAATAAGTACACACCAGAATCGTACACCTTTTCCCCTTAAGTGTGTAAAAGCTTTAATTAATCCCGTCTCCATGTCGTCCCACCACCATCAACGTATTTAATACATCAACGTATGTAATACATCAACTTCAAGCTCTCCCATCGTACTTAATCGTAAGGTCAGCCATGCAACGCACACAACCTCCCTAATCGCATTTTCTCTTCTATCTTTTCCCCTTTTCCGTTTCCGTTTGCGTTTTCTTTTCTTTTACTTTTACTTTTTATTTTTCCTTTTCTTTTGCTCCTTCTCCCCCCCACCCCCCCTTTTCACGAACCGAATAACTTACAACCCCCGGTTCAACTCGCTTATCTATCTATCGCAAGGCCGGCATAAACGCCATCCCCCCCCTCTCCTTCGACCGCGCCTTCACGTGCTCCCTCAGCAGCTGGAGTATCTCGCTGTCGCGCCACCGCGCGGGCACGGGCCGGTACGCCGGCTTGAAGGTGCCCACCGTCTGCGCCCACTCGCCCGTCTCGGCGGACTGGGCGCGGCGCGGCGGCTCCGGGCCCGGTTCTTTGCCCTGGGAGGAGTCGCCCGAGAGCGGGGCGCCGCCCGTGGTCAGGGGCTCCGAGACGCCCGTCGTGGTCCGCGCCGACCCGTTCGAACACCCTATGTCCAGGGGCGTGGCTTCCGAGATGGCGGCTTCGACGCCCCCGGCGTAGTCGGCCGAGCTGGTGTCTTCGGTTGCGATGGACGGGATGTTTGAGGCGGCGGCGCTGGGAGTTGTGGAATCGGAGGGGGGCTCCTGCGTGGCCCAGTAGTATATGTCCCAGTCGTTTTCGTCGAGAAACAGGTCGTACTGCTCCATCTGCGCGCGGGTCATGGTGGGCAGGTATTCGTCCGTGAAGGTGGAGAGCAGGAGGTCTGATTCGAGGGTTCCGCGCTTGCGGCTTTGATCTAGGTAGCGGCGCAGAGTTTGTTAGCTGTCTGTTTGCTATAATTTTATAACTTGTATGTATATATATATGTAATTATGTGCTTGTGAACTCGGGCAATGTCTTTTTCCTACGAAAGAGAATGTCTATCGCGCAGATATATATGGTGGGAGCAGTTAAATGGAAAGAAAAACTTACAGACTATCCGGGCTCGCAAGGTATCGTCGTCCTCGCCGGTCCGGCGCATAGGCTCGACGCGGAAATTAGAGCCCTCGAGCGCGCCGACGTCAATGTCTGAGCTGCGCGGCTTGTGCGGCTCAAAGTGTTGCTGGTTGTGCGGGAAACGGGCCCGTGCCGCGGCCGAGCTGCTGAGCGGACGTCGGACTACGAAGAGTCGAGCAGCGGCGGCAACAGGAGGCTGTTGAGCCGAGCGCATGATAGCTCGTGGTAGAATAGCTGCTACAGATGCCATTGTGGCTTTGCGTATCGTTTCTTGTATGTCGTTTCTTGTGTGTTTGTGTTGATATAGTGTGTTTGATATATGCGGCAAACCTCGTCGTTTTTACAGTTTTCCTTTTTTTTTTTTTCCCTTCACTTCCACTCGCATGCCACTACGCCGGGATGAACCGAGAACGTGGGACAGCGAAATTCGAACCGAAAAAAAAAAGAGATTTGTAATTTACAAGTTGTATTTTTTAGCTATTGAAGCTCGTATTTGGTGTTAGATAAAAGTTGTTTTCTTACGAGTCTTTGACGTAGCTTCTGGAGCTTTAAAAAGTAGGTACCTGGGTACATAGATTAAAAGCTTAAGCTCCAAGTTACCTACCTAACGGTTAACCTAAGATCCTAAGGAAGTCAGGATAAGTACCTCTGCTTTGTAATTCGCGGGATCATGTGAAAATTGCCGAGGCCGTCCCTTCCCACGGCCGGTCTGGGCTTTCTGGGGTATATGCCGGGGTACCCTTTCGGTACTTTTCTTTTTTTATCTTTTTTTCGAGAATGCCGCCTTCCGTTCATCCCCGATCTGATTCTGATCTGCGGTACGGTACACAAAGTATTACTTACATGTCGGCATTTTTAAGCACTTTCATAAGTACGCATATGCAAACGAATTTTACATAGGTAATCCACTTATCCTTCAATTCCTTCTATGGCTCTTTAATGAATGGTCTACAACAAGTAAGTAATACTTGGGCCCAGATTCCACAATATACTTAGGTATACTTTTGCAACTTCAGATATTGTTATTCTATTAGGAAATATCTTTGACGAATGCCATGAAGAGTTTATCTATACGGTTATACCGTATTGTCGACAGATCATCTATCAAGTCATCAGTCATGAGTAATAGGAAGCCATCCATAATGCATATTATACATGATATGACCAATGACCAATAACTAGCTTCTACTAGTTTAACGTGCCGTACAATTCGTTTTCTATTCATCTCCATCTCCCGACTCCAAGGCGTTAGGAGACCGCCTATACAGATTTATGAGTACAAAGCATGAAACGTCATATTCCATACCGCCATATCCATTAATTTTTTTTGGCCCTCCTTTTCTCCTTTCCTCCTAAGCTCCGTTAAAATCCGAGACTCCTTCACCACGACCAAAGCATTATTACCGAGGTAAAGGGGGATCTGGAGTATTTAGGTAGGTACCTAGGTTGTATCGGTCACAAAACTGATCCAGTTCGACGCCATGATTGATTGATTTATCGCCCCAACAAGCTTGTTGTAAGATCCCTTACTTAAATCAGATGCTTCGACCGGAAGTAGGCGCGCAGGTACATGATCTGCCAGCCCCACAGCGCGACGAGCAGCATGGTGGTGCCAATGCCAAACCACTTGACGCGGTTGTTCGTGCTCTCGTTGGTGTCGCGCAGCTTGACCTCTCTCAACCGGAGGTACTCCATCTCCCTGACGATCTCCGAGATGGTCTCCTCGATGCGGCGCAGGTCGGTCTCGACGGGCTTGAGCTTCTCGGTGGCCTGGATAGCGGACCAGTCCTTGGCGTCGGCGCCGATGTCGATATCCAGCTCCACGGATCGGCTCGGGTTGTTCATGCGCGCTGGTTTGAATTGGTTAAGAGCTTTTGTCCGGGAGGTTTCGCTTGCTTAGCCCTTTATCCTCGCTCACCCAATATACTGGTAGAGTGGAAGAAAGGAAAAGACACTAGGGAAATTCGAGGGGGCATTATACGTACTATGTGTCATGACGTTCTCGAAGCATACGTCGAATGCGGCGTCGGCATGCGAAGTGAATACGATTCGCTGTTCGCCTACTACGTCTTTCGGCTTGCCATACTCGTTGCCGGCGTTATCTTTAATCTAGAATCCCGTTCGCCAACTCAAGTGTTAGCTAACGTATGTTGGATAATTGGAAATATGGAAATATGGAAATAAATATATATGTGTACCAAGTATAAATCTTGGTATGCCGATCTTGGTATGACGTACGTGCATGTTGACAATCATTCCGTCTCCCTTGCTCCCGCCGACTATAGCGGTAACAACAACCAAAGTATCCTTATTGACGAAGTTTCGTATGCATCGTTCCGTCTTCTTATCGTTGGGCCCGCGAGCCACGAGGTCGAATTTTAAAGCATTGACGGATGCGATTAAGAGTACGAGGCTGCAGATATACTGCAGTAATCCTCGCGGTAAGGCCATTGTCGTTGTGATTGGTGTGTATCGGCGTTTGTGTTTGTGTTTTTGTCTTCGTCTTGCGAAAGGAGAGGAAAGAAGTCTCGAGGCTCTCTCGACTGGAAAGGCTTCGAAGCTAACAACTGGAACTTTAGGTAGGTATGTAACTTTGTACTGTGTAGTGTGTAGTAAAACGTGTTCAAGTGTTTTATCCAATAAGAAGTAACAACGCTTAAAGCATTGCAGTAGCCTCGCAGTTCGTTAGTCAAAGTCACGTGTAGATAAAGTACCTCTACTATGTAGCCTCATCAATTGACCAGGGGTTTTTCAAGTCTGTCAGAGGTTGGCTCCATTCTTTTTTTTTAGCGTCCAAGCTCCTTTATCATTTATGTCAAGGTACATAAGGTATTGTACTTTACTTTTTGTATCTTTTCCACTTCTCGGCGGCAAATTCAATCCCAATTCTCATTCTTTCTTCAACCCCATCATCAATCTATACCATCACTAGATTGCAATACAGTTTTATACCGCCAAGATGCCCAAGTGTAAGTTCCATCAATATCCAAGCCTCCTTTCTTTCTTTTTTCTATATATACATATATCACTAGATACTCGTAGAAACGAGAAACGCGACGCTAACAATAAACCCCCATCAACAACAGTCTTCTGTGACTACTGCGACGTCTACCTGACGCACGACTCCATGAGCGTGCGCAAGGCCCACAACAGCGGCCGGAACCACCTGCGGAACGTCGTCGACTACTACCAGCAGATCGGGCACGAGAAGGCCCAGTCCGTCATAGACTCTATCACGTCTTCCTACGCCGCCGAGGGCCAGGCCCACGCCAACCCCATGCTTCCCCAGAACCAACCCGGTGGCGCTGCCGCCGCCGCTGCTGCTGCCTCTGGATTCCCTGCCATGCCCCCGCCGCCCTTCGCCTTCCCAGGCGGCCTACCGCCTCCTCCCTTCCCCGGTATGCCCGCTGGTATGCCGCCCCCGCCCGGCGGCGCGTTCCCTCAAGGAATGCCTCGTAAGTAGCTCCCTTCCCTCCCTCACTCCCTCCGCCATATTACCCTCATCTTTCTATACCACGTTACGAAAATTCTCTAACGCGCGCTTGCATCAACAGTTCCACCAGGCCAAGCCGGTAGAGGTCTCCCACCCCCTCCCTTCGCAGCCGGCCCCGGCGGTCTGCCTATCCCCCCTCCCGGCGCGGGTCTCCCCTTCCCTCCGCCAGGCGGCTTACCCTTCCCGCCTCCGGGCGCACCTACACCACCGGTAGTAGGGGCTCCAGGCGGTGGTAGCGCGCCTCCGTTCCCGTTCCCCGGCATGCCTCCCCCAGGCCAAGGGTTCCCCGGCGGACCTACGCCCCCGGGGGCTGCGGGTGGCTTTCCGCCGCCGCCTGGAGCGCCTGGCCGTTAGTACCACGCGGGTGCTGGTACGGTTACTGTTCCTAGAACTCGTACGGATTACTCGCCGTCGCTAATCACAGAACCAAGAATGGGCACGGAGTGGGGAATGGACCAGGCTCGGCATCAGTATCGGGATCGGGATGAGGGAGGACACCGGCGGCAGCAACTGATGTCTCCTGTCAGGGGATATCTGGATAGGATTATCATTCCGATAAGAGAATTGAACAAGGAGGGGGAAACAGGGAGAGAAAGAGACCGAGAAGAAGACCGAGAAAGAGAGAGAATACAAACGACCTTTTATCGAATGCAGTAGGAATAGGAATAGGAATTAGTAGAAAGGACTCGTACGGAGGAAGACGCTTGTTAGGAAAACCCGATCCGCTACCTGAGAACCATATCCGCCTGGAGAAGAGGGAAAAAGGGGAAAGAAAAATTCATAACCCACTCAACTACCTACGGGTGGATTACGCCAGAGAAGGAAGGAAAGAAGCATACAAATTGAGAGGTAGTTAATACGTTCCCCAAGTCAACGAAACGGGGACTTGGGTTTGCAAGGCAAGGCAATGCAAGGGCAAGGACAAGGCACGGCAGGCCACGGCACGGCACGGCGTTATAAGGGAGAAAAAGATCAACTGTCATCAAAAGGTGCGGTGTGGTCTGGTTTGGTTTATAAACTTCGTGGTTCTCATTTTTTCCCCATCGCCAAGGCGGATATATACCCCTTTTTTTACCATATCAATTGTATTCCGTCCGTATTAGTGGGTAGAAATACGTACAATACAAATAGGTACACTTATTAGGTACATAGAGGTATAATGAATGGACTAAGAATAAAGGCGTTAAGGACAACTTGAAAAGGAGTACCTACCTAAGGTAGGTAAGTACTTAGATGCTTATCTTATTGTGAGTCGTAATGGAGTCGTAACGTAATGTGATATTGATGAGACTCTGCGTTCTTGCTTGGTATTTGTACTATTATCTGTCTAGAATCACTCACGATGCTCAGATAATGCTTCACTTCTGTTCATGACACGATGAAGTCAACATAATAGCAGCAGCATAAGCATAGTGGACGTGCTCAGCACGAAAACCTATAGAAACACCATAAAAAACGCAACACCAAGTCGGCCTACCTGAGGCCAAGTTTGGGAAAAAGTAAAGACAAGACTCATGGTCACTTGTTCAACAAGGTGGTATTTTACGTAGTTATTCGTATCAAATCCTTCATGTCTCTCCTCTGGAATCCTAGCTCCAAGGCAAGGTAACGTAGGTAGTAGCGTAGCAAGATTTTTTTTTTAAAAAAAAAACAGAAAAAACAATCATCTCGTCGACTTCATTCCCCAACCCATTCATCTATCCATCTTTAACCCGCACCAATCATGTTATTTCGAAAAGGGGAAAAGAAATAATCCTGTATCTCGTTCGCCCATTTTTGTTAAAAAAAAAAGGTACAAAAAACATACAGTGTCGTATCGTCGACAGGGGTAATCAGCCAAAGCCCAAAAGTCTCAAATCGTACGTAATATGGGGAATATCTTAGAGTCGTGTTTTTCGTTGCTCGTATGCGTCATAAAAGTGTAATAGTTCGTCATGATTAGTGTTGCTGGTTGGGGTGTTCATGTAAGGGGTAGCGTTTATGGGGGCAATGAGAATCGGTAGAACTTGGCATAATGACAGAAGAGTGATAGATTGCCAATTAGGACCCTTGCTTCGATTTCACTTGGCCATGCCCCCTTAGAAGCTAGCCCTTCACAGTCCAGGCCTTCCATAGTTAGAAAATTAGATGTAGACGGATCTACGGCGTTGGTGCACTTGTGGTTGGTGCTGGTGCCGGTGATGGTGACGGTGCGTTAACCCGTTTGCCTTTCCGTTTGGCGCAGAGTGAAGATGTGAGGCGGTCTGGTATGAAGGTCCCTTATAGCTGTTGCGTTTGATGACTTCGCCCACGCCGTCACGAACTTCGCGCGGCCCACTTATCTTTTGTCGGAGAACCTCCGTACGCTTCTGTCGGCGATGCTCGCTTAACCTGCGCTGCAGGTTCTGCGGTTTATACTGCTCCAGCTTATCCTGCCAGTTGGGGAAGAGTCTACGCCCTCGATCGTCGACGCGTTTCTCCGTCCCCCACGCACGTCGGGTCTGATTCTCGGGTGCTGTAGATGGTCGACCTTCGTTTTCATACTCATGAGAATCTTGGCGGCCGTTCCACTTGATACTCCCGTAGCTATCACGATGTTTCATCACGCGGAGTCTGCCACTTGGTGTACGCTTGACGGTGCGACGTTCTGGACTACGCTGGGTGGGGACTGTGTAATGATTCTCATCTTCGATAGGCAATATAGCAAATGTCCGCTTCATTCGTTCGCTCAAGCTTCTACGACGGGTCGGGCGATTGTCAATTGGGGGATATCTGTAAAGTGTATCCACCTCAGCAGGAACTTCACCTGTCCAATCATCGTAGTCGTATTCTTCAAATTCGTCGTCATATGTAGGTCGCCAAAATGGATGCAATTTCGACTCGTCAGGAGGCGTGTCTTGAACCGTGGGGTATTGCTGTCTCTTGGTATTCCTTTTATTATGATCAAGCGTCGGGTTTTCTGGAATTTCTCTCTTAATTCCTTTCGAAAGAGACAGAGTCCGTGATAAGAAGCCGGACGGACGAACGTTGTCGGTGCTCTTGCGAAGACTAAAGGCACGACGTACCAGAGAAGGTCGCTTTTGTGTCTCTTCAAAGTAATTACCCAGCATCTTCTCTTTTTCTGAGGCGGGAGTAAGTCCGGATGGCGTAGCTGGGATGAACTTAATCGCTGGCGGTTCAGGGGGAGCACGCGGGTTTCTAAGGGGGGAATCTACATCGTCCATCGAAAAGAAATGATGTTGGGGAGGCGTCGCAGGCGCACCATCAGGACCAGTGGCAGTAATCTTAGGGTTGTCTGAGACCACCTCCGTTTCCGTGGCATATCCCGTCTGGGCGGGTTCAGTTCCTTGCAAGGCGTTTGCGGCGAGGACAGGATCTACGGGTTTCGACATATGATGAACCATCAAAACGGATTTGTTTTGATGCGGGTAAATATTTACAGCCATCGCTTCCGAAATATCTGCCGCAGAGTGAGTCCCGTTTGTCTCGACGGATGCTTGGGAAAATGGGGTGTTGTGCGCCGTTAGGCGCTTGCCGAAGAACGGGTCGCCGTTGTTGTCTACAAGCGGTTTGTGGTCATGAAGAACGTCCCTGTGCGACTCGACGGATGGAGCCTGTTCAAGTTGTCTCTGATCGGAGTGACTGCTCATATATTCGACGGGAGGTGCACGTTCCACCGTAACCTGAGGTGGTTGGCGGTGTTGCTGTTGCTGTTTGCTCTCCTGTTCTAGGAAAGCATCGTGCGCCTTCAAACTCTCCGCGGTTAACGACCCAGCTCGGGAACCGGCCCTAGAGCCATTTCTGCTTGTTGGGGCTGAAAGTGATGATCTACGTATAGGAACGATTGGAGGATAGTCCATCGTTAATTCTTCCACTTGGACTGAGCCTTCCGATTCTGACATGGCCCTACCTCTTCGTGAAGGTCTGTTAAAATAGGGAGTCAAGTCTTTCGTTTTGAAACTCGAGAGCGGTGCCGAACTAAGGCTATTGCTTCTCCCAGTACGGTGACTACTCGTAGACCTAAGTGACGATGGCGGCCCGGTGGCTTTGATGGAAGCTTTGCGGTCAGGAATCACCACTACAGGAATTCCTCCATTTTTCCATACTTCCCGGCGGGCTTTGCGACTAGCGACAGAGTTGACCGTCCCCGTAGATACGAGGCTCTCTGACTTAACAGTGCCATCAACCATCTTCCTAGCGGCTCTTGCGCGCTGAGAAATTTCCATCTGGCGGAGTGATGAATTGGCTGATGCATTATTCAGCGACGTGTTCGCCGATGAGCTCGACGGAGAAATTTCAGAGCTAGAATCTCTTAAGATCGGTTGCTTCCTCACATGACGTAACGTTTTCTGCCTCTGAGGAGGCGTTCCGACCAGAATAGCCTCCACCACCGTAGATACCGTAGACTTTGAGGACATTCCGGAGGACCGCCTTACATCGGTGCTTACCGAAGACTCGGAAGTAGATGGCGCGGCCCAGGTCTTATCCTTGCTTCCGGCTTCCAACGGTGGTGAAGGATGCCTGTGCAGTCGATCCGAAAGGGGCATTGATCTTAAAGCCTTCGTCGCGTTGGTCGGAGTTACCGTCACGTCCTCGACCACTTCGGGTCTTTGTCCATTAGCTTTCGCTTGAACACGTCGCTTCTCCACTCTAATATTCCTATCGTGGTATTTATGGTCCCATTCCTGCTCAACCGAGCTGGCAGATCCCCATTCACCATCAAAAGCCGAAAACTCTCGTTTCGTCCTTGGTGTCAAATTATCGTCAGACTCGAGGCCTAATCCCAACTCTATGTCCTGCCCTTTCTTTTGCCGCGCATCAATTAGACGTCTTGCTACAGTCTGAGCTGCCTTAGCCGAAGATAATACCGCCCTAGGTGTCGACTTGTTGTCTTCCTCTGAGGAATCGAGATTCTCCGGCGCTGTTATGAAAGAGTTGGTACGAGAATCCGTAGCCTTGGATGGGATGCGATTTGCTAAAACGGGACGCGAAGGTCTCGATTCACGATCGGCTTGGGGAGGGGTGACGTCTGGGGTAGGCGGACTCGCTTGGTGCGGTGGAGTTCTCGGTGTGGTGCTCACAGATGTGTTTGCGGCGTTTTGCACCGGAGTAACGACATAGGTCGGACTCGAAGGCCGTATCGAATGATTTCCGGACGAGGTACGCGAATGCGCTGGTGGGGTGGGAGGAAGAACAGGACCAAGCCCAGGCGCTTTGACGCTAGGACTCTCATCGTGGCTGCGACTCGGTGGAGTAGGCGATTCTTCTACTTTCATGCGCGACTCCGGGGTTGACGTGGTATCGATGAATATTTCATGCGAATGCCTACTCCCAGCTGTGGGCTCAGATCGACCATTTCTCGGGTGTGGAAGCACCTTATGTTTCTTGAACGCTCGTTCGCTAGGGTTATCAAGGGTAGAACGATCGGACAGAGGCTCGAAATAGAGATTTGTCGATGCCGGCGGCGAGACGGTTTTGGTAGAAGCGAGCATTGTTGAGTGGGTTGACATGCTATCTACGATAGTTGCCAACTCTTGCCAAGTCTACTTAACGGGGGTCGTACCAAACCGATCCTTTCCTCATCGTAGGAAAATGAGGTGGCCTGGGGCTGAGCAAGGTATTGTATTGTACGTTGTCTTTTTAAAAAGAGCGAACTTCCGGTGCGCGTCCGAAACTTCTTTGAAGTTGTTCCTCTTGTCTCCTGCAAGCCCCCTACACGATGTAGAAGCAGGCAACCCTCACTTGTCCTCACTGTCCCTAAGAGGGTCGTCCTGCCTGGCCACTGATAAAAAAAAAAGAAAGTGTACGGTGTCGATTATTGGACCACTCACAGTGACCGGAGCCAGTTTGGAGACCTGATCGAAGGTGAAATCTTTAAACCTTGCAGCGCATGGTACAATAAAAAAAAACAAGGTACTTAAGCGCTGGCCATTGGGTGATATTTTGGGGGTAGCATAAGAAGAAGGAATAAGAGATATACGAGGAGATATACGAATGTTAATTTATGACTGGCGACACCAACGATATTTGCTTAAGTTCATGGGAAGTGCCAATCTCTGTGTAAGCTTTTGTCCACTCCCGTGTGTAATAAGTGTAATAAGTGTAATAAGTGTAATAAGTGCAATGAGTGTAATGAAGAAATGCTGGAACGGTAGAAAAAAAAGAAGGGTTGCGCAAAAGTCGCTGTGTACCTCCTACTCAGTCGTATGTAGGTACTTCTTCGGCGGCTACAGACTTGAAATAAACGACTTTTAATTGAATATAAGTGGTGGAAAGGTGGACTATGAGCGATGATCGGGAACCTTTTTGCAGCTTCCAATCTTTCTACGTAGTAGTATTTCTAACCTTCCCACCTTAACTCGCCTGCCCTGCCCTGCCCTGCCCTGCCTGCCTTACCTGCTAAGTACCTCCTAGGCAGAGATTGTATTGTACTTGTCAACCTGTTTCTACCTGCCTTCCCGAAAGTTATAGTGGACTTCCACTTTCTCGAATAGATTCGGAGGTCGGGGGCTGGGAAAGAGGCCCCATCTAACCTACTGTTGGTTGGTAGGCCGGGTGGGTAGTGGGCTACCCTAGTCCCAAAAGCCACGCTAGCCTGTGCTACATAACGTCAAGCGCACATGTATGATAGGTAAGTTGATAGCAGCAACTCTTGCTTAACAACTTCCCGGATAGGCGTAGTTAATTCAAGAGTTTTAGTATGTTTCAATGTTAGGTACTTTAGGTTGGTATAGGTACCTAGGTACCTAGACTTTTCGATCTCTTTATTTTTCTTTTTGGGGAACACCCGACACACCATCCCTACGTTAATGCGTGTAAGTGTGTGTAAGTGCGCATCGATACCTCACCTCATATCTAAACGATAATATGAGATACATACAATTCGGTCTCGATATCTTAGGTACGATGTATTTATGCGACTCTATCTAAATATGGCTGGTTGTATTAAATATTTCGTACATGATCCGCCAAGTTTCTAAATCTCTATATCTCAGAGCGGCGCGTGTGCTTGCGCATCGCGCATTAAGGAAGAGAGAGAGAGAGAGAGACATAGGCGGGTTACTGCCAGCCACCCGCAAGAGAACCACCCTCGGCAGCAAGTAGGCAGGTAGGTTACGTTGTATCTCATGCGGGAGGTGTTCTTCATCCTGTCGCACTTGTTCCCAACCTGCACCTCTTAGTGGATAATGCCTTTCTTCTGCAGTCGCTCAAGTCACCAGGACAAATGAACTTCTCGAACTGCACAAGGCTGTTCGGCCTCATGCCAAACCTTGTTTGGCCTGTTTGGCCTGCTTGCCTACAGCCCACCAAAAACGAATCAGAGCTCGCGACGCTGGCCACCCCAGGCAGACGTGCGACTTCGCCATAGACTTAAAGTCCCCAACATGGTCAAACCCGTGTAGGCATTCCCACACTTCTCATCAAAGCAACGAGTAAGAGTGCGACTTCGCATTTTAGGTGCGGATCAGAACCACATGGGCCTTTGATACCCTAATCTCTGCAAATCGCAGCAGAATTTAATGCAAGTAACCACAATCATAATCGGATGGGAAGATGCACAAAATTGCATCATGACGAAATTCCCAAGAATCCGGCAATGGTGGGGGGGGCTGTAGGATGGAGCTGTTGGAGCTTCGGAAAAATTAATGACAAGCCGCGGCTTTCATCCATGGCTCTCTCATCCACAGCTGAGACTCACGGCCGCAGAGTTAAGGCCATAAATATGATTTGGTAAATCCAATTCAGCAAGATAACTTTGCTGCCGTGCAAAGGAGAACGTAGCAGTGTGGGAAACCCCCCAATCGATCCGAAGCGAGACGATTTAAAAAGCATGCAGGTTTGGATTTGAAACAAACCTTTCCACCTCCTTGCTTATCATGCGAATATAGTGCATATTATGCTAACAGAGGCGTCCATAGTTACGGACTGTGCCTATTATAGGTATCCTTGTCTCTATACCATTCATGGATATACCCCCAAGGGCTTATAATGTCGGCCGGGGAGGGGAAGTAACCGGCCCGGCAGTTAATAAACTTGTCTGTTTCTATTACCTATCTCGCCAAGTTCGTCCAGTCTAGCACGTGGGATTACCTCTTTAGGTCTTCTACGTGATAAAAGAAACGGAAACAACCGCAATCCACGCTTGCATACCTCTTATATAGAAATGACCGGCCAGTCAAGCGCCCATCTCAGTCATACCTGATAAATATGGGTTTATCTACGATGTCGATTAGGATATTCAAAATGGAATAGGTGATATTATATTAGATACGATGGCGTAAAGCCTTATCTGGTTGGCATACTCATTCGCATCACTGATATCTCGGCTCTCGAGGCTTTATCTAGTGGTCCCCCGCATTCAGGCACGATGTCGTCAGTGCATTGCGGACAATTCCGACTACTTACCACTTACCTAACAAGAAAGAGTTTGATGACATCTCCTCTATGCAAGTTGAACATCAACGACCAGTTGAGATGGGTCTCCTCCGGACAGCATCCTTCTCTCAGTGGACAAGTTGCTGGTGATAAGCACACTGCCCTAGTCGAAGCTTTGTTGTCATTGCAGAATTGATAGCAGTCATCTACCAATCCGAATGGGAGGAGATGGCTCTCGCCGTAAGATAAATGCGCATAAAATCATACTACGCTCCCATAGTGTCGATAGAATAGGATCAAAAGTTGTGTATCTTCCGTCGTGGTTTAACGAGAAATCATTACCTTTTTTTCATGATGTTGACAGCTCTCTTTGTTCTCAATTACGTAGCTTTTGCTGCTGCTCATGGAACTCATGATAATCAGAAAACGCTTTCTGGCCCGCACAAGTCATTATGGTACAATGTTCTACCTGGAGACGGTGGAACGCAGGTTAGATTATAAAATAAAGGAAAAAATAGCTAATCGGGTTACTAACTCTACGGCAGGCTGACTCAGTATTTTCCGGAATATCTACGTTTGGTCGCTTGCCATATCAACCCTGCCTCGGCCACGAAGAAATCGATTATGACCTTGCATTCATAGGTTTGTTGAACACCTAACTTATCACTCACATACCAGGTACCTAACCTATGCTAATGAGTAAAAGGGGCACCATTTGATACTGGCACGTCATACCGACCTGGTGCTCGGTTTGGCCCTTCGGGCATTCGCCAAGGATCACGACGTCTCAATCTCTAGTATGATCCCTTTATATAGGCATAGCTGTATTTATACGATTTGCTGATCCGAATCAGTGGAGGATACAATGTCCCCTTAGACACAAACCCTTTGGTATGTATGCACCTCATTTTTTTGAAAAGAAAAAAGAAAAAGAAAAAAGAAAAAAGGGTTTGCCAGGTACCTTACACAGTCCCGAAATCATAGCTAACTTCCAGTAGTAAGTGTACTGAACATATGGATCAGTCTGCTTCCAAAAATAATAGGTAAAGTCTCAAAAAGTAGATTGCAAAGCTAACAAGATGTTTTCACGTTAGCAACGGATGGGCGAAAGTTCTCGACTGTGGAGACATCCCAGTGACGTCGTACGCATAACTCCCTCTATCTATTAGATAGTGCTGCCCGTAACATTCACTAACTTGGTCGTAGTTACGATAACACATGGGCTCTCAAGCAAATCGAAGAGGGCCACTACAACATACTCTCCCGAGCACCAAAGACAGCCGCTGATAAACCTGGGCCGTCTAAAAAGGGGAAGACTCTACCACGAGTTATCACTCTCGGGGGCGACCACACCATCACCCTCCCCTTACTCCGCTCGATCAACCGAGCGTACGGACCTGTCTCGGTAATCCACTTCGACAGTCATCTGGATACCTGTAAGCCACCATCAAATTAATTTTTTTTTTCAAGACAACGATAAATCTAACGTGCTCCACCAACCCAACAGGGCGTCCCAAAGTCTTCGGCGGCTCCCCCTCCGAAGTAGCCAGCATCAACCACGGGACGTACTTCTACCACGCGGCGCGGGAAGGGCTCCTGGCCAACGACAGCAACATCCACGCGGGCATCCGGACGACGCTCAGCGGACCCAGCGACTACGAGAACGACGGGTACTGCGGCTTCCAGATCGTCGAGGCCCGCGAGATCGACCGGATCGGGGCCGACGGGATCATCCAGAAGATCGTCGAGCGCGTCGGCACCACCAACCCCGTGTACTTGTCCCTCGATATAGATACCCTGGATCCCGCGTTCGCGCCGGCTACGGGGACCCCCGAGACGGGCGGGTGGAGCACGAGGGAGCTGAGGACGATTTTGAGGGGGCTGGAGGACGTTAATTTGATCGGGGCGGATATTGTGGAAGTTGCTGTGAGCTTTTTTTTTTTTTTTTTTCATGGCTCTGGGATACGTACCTAGACCTACCTACGTAGTTGCTTACTGGAGACTCACCGGCTCGTTTAATAGCCTGCTTACGACACGAACGCCGAACATACCACGATGGCGGCCGCGGACGCCTTGTACGAGATTATGAGCATTATGCTTAAGAAAGGCCCGCTGAGCAACATGGTCTCTAGCGGCGGGGATGAAGGCGGGGAGCTGTGAACTTTTTCTCACGGTTTTATTGGGTAGTGCTGTTGGTTTGGGAAAAGGGGTTGCTTTCAGGGCCTCTGGGACGTGGGTGTAGGCGGTGATTCTTCGAAGGGGCACGTGCTATGAGCACATGATTTAAATCGCATCTTGAGGAGTCAATGCCGAGTCGAGAGGACGATATTGTGTTTAGAGCTTGAGTTGGCAAATACACGGGCCTCTTGATTCCTATGAAGTACTCGTCGCGCACAGTCATTTTTCGTGCAAACACGTGTTAAAAGAAAGCTTATAAGGCCTAGAACATACACCATATCAATCTAAGGAGTCATTTAGATGTGTGGTGCAGCGGTTTGACCACAAAATTTAGGGAACATTTATATTAAGCATTTAAAACTGAATCTATGGAGCGAGGGAGAATGTCTGATCATTTTGTCTTTTTGACCAATTTTTTTTCTTTTTCTTTTTTACACTCAGCGCCTGAAAACCTCCTGGTGTGAGAATCTTCCTTTTCTTTCCGATTAAAGCCCGTCAAGATCCTGTATTAGATGAGGCTTTAACCTTTGCGAATACCTATTCCTTTACCATGTATCACGAATGATTAATCGTATGTAGGAGGCAAGTTTTATGTAGCTGCAAGTAGGAGTAGTGGTTATTTTTATTTTTATTTTTTAAATCTTTTTTTTTTTTAGAATAAGAAAAGTAAGACGAAAACAATAAAAATAATAATAAAAGCTGGGACTCAAATTCGCCTTTATTCGGTTGACCTGAACAGTTGGCCTTTCTGCACGCCCCTCCTAAAGGAGGTCGAATCCAAGTCTTGCGAAAAACCCGAGAGTTATTTCTAACCCAACCCATTACCACTAGACCACGGCCACGTTGGTTTCGCAACTCTGGGGGAGGCTGAAAGAGTGCCTGCCTAAGGACCTATTTAAGTCGACGGCGGGGTACGAGATTTCGCATAGCAACTGCCAGATGCAAGGCATGTACATGTTAGGTACCTAAGGAAAGAGTGGAATAATACGTACATCTACTGAGGCATCATTGGGGCTTCAATGGGATGGTTCATATTGAGAAATACTACTAGGTACCTACGTACCTTGAGCATGCCCAGTTTGAGATTTTGATATTTACCTGAGGTTAGGTAGATTACTCTGTGGGATAAGTAGAATTTGCATTAAAGATGACCCTCGGTATAATATCGTATAAACCAGAAAGTTACTCCTTAACACAGGGAGTCGTTCAATGCAAATATGATATTGAAAAAAATCTGTTGATGTCTACCCCTATCCACACTTAGGGACATCTTCATGTCCTCTGTTTAGGTACCTATCTACTATTGAGCTGACGGGGAAGTCTTGTTTTAACGCGCTGTCTTTCTCATCTAGGTAACCAGTCCCATTATTAGTATCTAACAGTTTGTAAATACAATACCGCAAAGCCGAGCAGGCTTATTACCTCCTATGGTAGCCGTCAACCACCAAGTCTGTCTAAGGAGGACATCGTCCCCCATTTTATAAAAGGAGTACAGTGAGAACAGGAGCATTGGCAATATACGAACAAGTTATATTTTGTGTTCCTCATTCTGTGTAATTGGAACTCCTAATAAACGACTACTTGGATTTCCCCCAAGGCGACTATTTACACCCAATTGTATATAGTGTATGAATCGGAAACAGCATGATCCGCTCAGGGCCTAGAGACAACATCTATAAGACTTACATGGGTGCCAACAGTTTCAGAATACAACTTGAACAAGCCATTCTCCAAACTATGAAAGTTATAAGTGTCGATATAATTCCCAATTGTTGACGATGGTTCCTCCCGGTCTAGTTTCGGCGCTAAAAAGGGCACACCGTATAGGTGGAGACAAGATCCGGGGAGGAAGGACGAAATAGAAACAGTAGGTAGTGCCAACGCATAAAAGAGGCCTACAGTGGGAAGGACAGTGTAATCCCTGTGCAAGAATATTATAGTAAGGACATTAAACGGGCAGCAGTACGAATTCCTGGAGTTTCCTTTTCTCTAGGAAAATAGTTATGAACTCCGCTCTGCCTTATACCTGGGCTCTCTCTCTCTTCCTGCCCGACAGTGCAAGAATCAAATTCATACATAGGAAATATAAGAGACTATTCTCACTCTATCTCTATTGCAAAGCTATGGGAGATGGAAAGTATATATATTCGAGTCGTTCACCATGGAGGTAGGTAATGCACTCAATTCGACTCAGTTCTACCAGCGACTTCCTCAACGTCTTGTAGCCTTAGCGCTGTAAAAGGATCATTGTTTGCAACGCCAGCACAATTTCGCCTTATTTCGCACTAGGAAAAAAAAGCCGAAAAAAAAAATAACTGCCTTAGCAAGAAGCGTTCAGCATCAGACACAGACAACGCCGCAAAGCAACTTCATTAAAGCACAACGTCGGAAAAAAAATTCTTTTAATCCCACACAGGTAAGCATTGACTATATTCCCTGAACGCAGGTAGTTAGTTGACTATTACTAACAAGAGTCTTATAGAAAAGAAAAAAAAACCATAACCAACAAAAGACGACAACAACAAGAAAGCCAAGATGTGTGAAGTACAGCTATACGTCTGCTTGACGCACAAGCTCGTGCACGGCGCGCGATTCTTCCGCTGCCGCGCTCTACTGAACCAGGGGTTCGAGCCGGACACCGGCATCATCTGGGTCAAGACCCTGCACCTGGTCCAAGAAGAAGGCTGTCCCGGCCACCGGTTCTCCCAAGAGGCCATTTTCGTCCAGTCCTGTCCGGGGATCCCGTCGACTAGGCAAGGAGACCAGAACTAAATAAGGAAGGCGTTGTCGGAAACCTCCACCTTACCCCCATATCCCACCCACATACACACTCACCAACACGCCAGACCTAGGTACACCACATTTGGAAATTGCCAGCTTCGAATCAACGGCTAAAGGATCCCTTTTTTTTGTTTTTTTTTTTTGCCCCTGCTTGGATATCAAGATCTGAGTATAGAAGAAGAAGAAGAAGAAGCAAAGTGTAGAGGAGACAGTTTGGGCAAAGGAAGAAGACAAAAAAGAGTGGAGGGAATGGAGGGGAGGGGAGGAGAGGAGGAGGAGGAGGGCGTTTAGATACCCTTTGATTTGTTGGAGTAAAGACTAGGCAAAGCCAATTTGGTAATTTTCGAATTTTAGAAAATAGACCATTCTAATATTTCTCGTCATTCTACAAGGACCTATTGTAACTGCTATGTATAAGTGAATAATTGGTGATGTTGTGGGCTTCTTGGAAACGCTCGGTAGGCTTAGGTTAAGTTAACCCCCTTCCGCCTTTAGGAATTAGAGAGTAAGTTAGGTACGTATACCTAAGGAACCTAGAGGTACGATTTTTTTTTCGTCAGCTGGTAGATAGACTTGACGGCTCGTTGGCTCACCTGGTGCCACATGCGTCATGAATGCGGTAGATGGGTGGTTATTCTTTACTCCTTATACGTAACAATCTAATTGCTGGCCTTGGGTATGGTAGAAATGATACCTTTTCCTCATCCTCCTTTTCCTTTTCCTTTTCTTTTTTTTGTTAAGAAAAACAGATGGATTTCCCAGATACACATGTGTCACGAATCCAGCCCTATTAGGCGAGGCTTATATTTCCATATACTTATATCTTCATCTTCAATGGGTAACCTAAACGATTACACGCCCTTACGTACATCGTGCTATTCATCCACGACTGATTTCAGAAAATATATGATAATTATTTGATGATTGAAAGGTTCAAGGTACATCAATGCCATGGATCCTTGCAGTTGACCCTGTAAGTTGATCTGATAGGACTTCGACAGCCGCACGGAAGCTGAATATAGAAACTGACGTCACAGAGCATGTCAGCTCTCGCCGGATTTATATATTATACAATGGCTCCGATCTAGCAAATATCCTTTATTCCTATATATTTTCTACCGAATAATACAGATAATCCGCAGGAGAGTATCCCCCACCGGAATGGCTTTCTCTCAATCATCGCGAGATCTGCGCCTCGACAAGCCCGACTGCACTCTCCACGCCACATGTCGCACCCCAGCTAAAACGGAGCAGAAATCCCGACTAGACCTGGACACGATCCTCGGGAATAGCAATGGCCGTTTCGAAGTAGGATCTTCCAACTTCTCCAAGTCCGCTACGGAGATTCGCCTTGAGGGCACGATTCTGTCCGCTCGGCTGCGAGATAAAGACGGTGTGGAAAGGGAAGATACGATCAATCTAGACGCCGTGTTGGAGAATGTAAATGGCAAGTTGACCTTTCTCGAACCGAAGAAAAGGATTGAGAGAAATTTACTTATACCATTGCGTCCTCGACAACAACAGCAGCGGCGGCGGCGGCCTAATCTTGAGCCGCCATCCTGTAACATATGTCAAGATTGGCCTGATCCTCAACAACAAGATGTATTTCTCCTACCGGGACGGCTTCTCAAAGGAAAACCAGGGTGTATGAGTTGCGATTTGCTCGCGCAAGTATTCAAGCACTGCAAACCGGACCGAGGAAAAGTCCAGAGAGCATCGTGCGCGGCGGAAAAGCCGACCAGCGATCGGGACTTACACCGTGTTCATCTCGAGTATCAAGTAGAAGGAGGCGGCGAAACGATAAAGAAGACATGCATTTTACATAGGCCTCCGAACGCAAGCGACTTGTCCGGCGTATTTGCTGAGCTACGTAAGAAATATCTTCCCGGAAAATTCGCATCCCCTGGCAGTGTTAAGCAAGCCCGCGCTTGGCTGGAAGCTTGCGTTGAGAAACACGAGAAATGTGAGAGCTTCAGACGGAGCCCGTTACCAGCCCGCGTCCTAGACGTTGGGAGTAACGATTCGGATCCTGTTAGGTTGCTGTGTGTGACAGACAACAGGGAAGATACGTATGCCTGTCTCTCACATTGCTGGGGGAAGCCGAAGGAGGGCGAGAATCCTCTTACTTTGACGGTCAAGAAGGAGGAAGATTTGAAGCAGAGAATACCGTTAGATGATCTACCTAAGAATTACCAGGATGCGATACGTTTCTGTAGGCTTCTTGACATACGCTACCTTTGGATCGATGCGCTTTGTATTATTCAGGATAGCGCAGAAGATTGGACCGGCGAATCTCTGAAGATGGCCTCATACTACGGGAACTGTACTGTATGTCTAGCAGCGACGTGATCGCCTGATCGTAACGGTGGCTTTCAACCTGTTAAGACGAGAATGGAATACCAACTCCCAGGCACAACTGGTCCTGCCGGTTGCATCCTAGCTACGGAAAAGCCCCTTGAAGTACCCCACTTCTGGTTAGCGAAGAAGTTTCCCTTCGGCGAGTATTATCCGCTACTGACACGAGCTTGGGTATACCAAGAGCGGCGGCTATCACCGCGGATATTACACTTTTGTGGGAATGAGCTCGTCTTCGAGTGCAAGCATCATACGGCTTGCGAATGCGAAGATATATCAGCAGATAGCACTAGAGATTATGATTCCTGGACAAAAGCCCACGAGGCCTATTTGGCTACGCACCGCGATGCGACCAAGGTGGATATTAGAACGAGGGCAGAACATGAATGTCATACTTTGATACGCGCCTACAGTCAGCTAAACCTAACCTTCGTCGGCGATAGGCTCCCTGCCATGAGCGGGTTGGCACAGCACGCTAGACGTATGCGAGAAACCTATGGGATTCCTACCGGGAAGTACTTGGCCGGGCTCTGGGAGGAAACATTGCTGAATGATATGTCCTGGTGTGTTGGACGGAGCCGGGCGCGCATCGTCAGGGGCGAAGACGGCGGTCGCAATTGGGTTCATTGGGCTAACAGCAAGGAGAGAAAAACTGGTGCAATTGGGACCAAACCGGACGATTATGTGGCGCCCTCGTGGTCGTGGGCTAGCGTTCTAAGTCCCGTCGAGTTCGCACCGTTTGCTTATAAGAAATTCCTGTGTCAACTCCATAGCGTCAAAACGGAGACAACTGGGCCAAATGAATACGGGAGAGTTGCGAGCGGACACGCTATTCTGCAAGGGCGACTATTAGAAACGGCCTGGGACGAGACCGAGGGGAAAATGCGTCTGAAGGACGCCCTTGGCACTAGGCTTCCGGGACCTGAAGTGTTGTGGACTAAAGTATTTAACCTTGTAAAAGATCATGGGATGATCTGGTTTCCCGATTACGACGTTCGCGCGGACGGCAAACATAAAATACCTGGAACGGAAAAATTATAGTTGTTCCCTCTTGCGTCCCGTCCTATCATGGGAAGAGATGAGGATTCTGATATCAGAATCCGACTCTATCCAGGAAAGACCAAAGTGGAGACGGTATATCTTGTTCTTAGACGAACACAGTCATCCGCCCCATTGCCCGTGTTCGAGAGAGTCGGATGGGCTGAATATACTGGGGTGGATGGGGATAAGGTGCCTGATATGACTATGGCGAGGGATACGAAATTCAAGCTTATCTGAGTCCAGACCGGGCCCATGAAACGAGGAATCACATGGCTCTTTTTTTTTTTTTTTTTTTTTTTTTTTTTTTTTTTTTTTTTTTTTTTGGCTAAGGAGAAAAAAGAGAGAGAGAGAGAGAGAGAAAAACCGACTCGGCTGATTTAAGTGGTTGAAATTGTTATTCGAGGTTATTGACAACATTCGTCAGCTTGAATACCTGTTATACTTACAACTGTGAGGCCCAGTGTGCTCTAAGAGTAGCGGCATCGGAATGTCTTAAAACGCTCATGATTGAGCGCTTCTAGATCTAGACATAATCTAAATTCGAGTGGTACTGAGAGGGCGGTGGCTACAGAGAGAGGACCTCCGGTACGTAGTAAATAAACTACGAAACATATCTTGGGCGGTCGTAACGAGGAGTTCCAAGAGGACTTCCGGTCCCGAGAAACCGGCCACTGCATATTCTTTGAGGATTATTTTGGATTCTCTTGTTGACTATTCAACACATGACGAATGTAACGTAGCTGCTTTTGCATCTTTATGTATAAGCTGCTCCATCGAATAGATAAAATCTATGGACTTCTATGAGCCGTGCGTCAAGGGGCCTAAAGGTGATATGGGGCTGAAAGAGAGTGCGATGGATATGCTTATGAAGTAAAACTCTATTGTGTCATCCCAACCTCAGATGGCTTGGGGAGTCGTCAACTATCAGATGTCAGGCCTGAATGGGTCGTCGACAGTAAATTGTTGACGGAAGATAAAATGACCTAAGTCTTGTGAATAGCAGGTCGACGGTTACGTGTATAATCCTTGGAGGTTGCCGACCATTTCAACTGCAACCACACACTATCGGCTCCATCCTAGTGAAGCTTGGTTCCCGGTGTGGTGCATGAGACATGGCGGAGCTGGGAGAAGTTGATAAGTTTAGATCCTAGTGACGTCAATCAATGTGAAGCGGCTGACAGCTGGGGATGCCCGGAGGTTGTTATGTTACCATGTTTTTTTGAAACCAGAGAGATACTCTTAATTTGCTCGTAACTATGCATTTATTTCATGCTTGTGTGCAACAAATCAATACGAGTGAACCATGCTCAGCGCTCAGTTCCACCTAAAGCTCGCCATTTAGAGGACAGCAGGTCGACGTTGCATACCCTCCAGTATGAATATTTCTTGACTTGGCAGAGGCCTTGTTCGGTACCGCAAGAAAGAAAGAAAGAAGAGGAAGAAAAGAAGAGACACTCTCTGATGGCATATAGATTGTTCGAGCATAATTATTGGAGTGAGCAGGAGTGAGCAGGACCCGGCGATATATTTGCGTTGATTATGTAGGTGAGTAGATTTTAGAGTTGTAGAGTTGTAGAGTAATAAAAGAATTGTAAGAATTCCCAAGAGACAATCTTCGTAATCTAGTGGCTTAGAACATTATCCTAGATGACCACGAGCCACATTCGACTTATTCAAGAATCAATGCTCCTTAATTGTTGAAGTGACTTATGTACACAACTGTGGCGTTCTTTATGCTGTCTTCCATACAGGTACCTGATATTTAGGCTTTTGTTCCGCTTCACAACCGCTATGTATCATCCCACCTTTTTTTAAGCTTCAAAGTTATCGATAGCTGATACATCAAGCCATCCTGAGACGACGCACTTTAACTTAAAACCAAGCAACTCTTTTCTTATGTAGAAAACGTCAATGTCGACAACCCGTGGTCGTGAAATACCCCGAGATGGCCGTAAAATGCCAGGCACAGGGGCTAAAGAAGTCTTAGTTGCCTGTATGCATGCGTAAGCTGAATTCAAGATGGGAAAGTTTGTTTATCGAAACTTGGTTTGCCCCTTTTCCCCTTACCGTCTCTTGGGACCGAAGTGGTTATATAAGTGACTCGATCGATCATCTCTCCATCCGGTCTGAACAACTCGCTCATTACATACACGTGTACGACTCCTTCAGTTTTAGACGATCATTCTGAGGGATATAGCCTAGCCATTTATTACTAGCCAAACCAACGTCCTCGAAACTTAACTTCCCTTTCTCACGTTTATACGTTAGATTTACTACAACACAGCCTGATGTTTATCAACATGAAAGCATACGCAGCACTAGCCTTTTTTGCGGTTACTACCGTAGTAGCTCAGACTAGTACTCAGACTGATACTCAGGACGCTGCAACTACTGGAACTGGAACTGGAACTGGTACGGGCACGGATGCGGCCACTGGTACAGGCACGGGTACGGCTACCGTGGTCACAAACACCGTAACTGGAACCGCGACTGATTCTGCCGTCACAAGTGCAACTGGCGACAGCACAGACACCGATATTAGCAGCAGCGCAACCGACGTTGTTGTCAGTTCGGGCACAGACACAGACGTTGCTAGTAGTGCAACTGACAGCGTTAACGCCAGCAGCGGCACTGACGCTGCTACCAGCGCGATCACCGGCCTTACTAGCGCTACTAGTGATCTTGTTGCCATTACTAGTGCCACCAATACATCCTCCACCTCCACCTCCACCTCTACTACCATTATCGTCTCTCAGAGCACGGCTGATGCGGCATCTACTGATGCGGGATCTACCGCCGCGGCCGGAACTGTTGTATCTAGCTCTGACTCGGCTCAGGCTCCGGACACCAGCGCTGTAGTTGGAACGGCGTCGGTCGGAACAGAATCGCCCGTAGCAACTGGAGAAGCCGGTACCAGCGCCGATTCGGGATCCGGCGTTAGTCCTACGATCGCGGCTAGCGCCCCTGGCGGTGGAGAAGGCAGCGGAGAAGCCACGGATACTCCCTCTGACCCCACTTCTACATCCGACTCTGGCGACTCGTCCGAGACTGCGGAGTCGACAGTGGTGCCGGACGCCGAGGCTGGTGCTACGCTCCGAACTGGTTCCAACAGCATCGTGGCACTTGTCGGCCTGGCTGTCGCGATCTTGATGTCTTAAAAAGATGTGTCCCATGCATATATATACTGAACAAGTTGGTATGCGCTCAAGATCTATATCCCACATCTTTTTCTTACATGGACTCTGTTGGTTCTTCGGTTCTTTATTATCTCGCGCTCGCCGAGCCAACCAGGCTGGCCCTCGGGAGGCTGGGACGGCTTGGCTGCTTGTGGTCATTATTTATCTCCTTATGCTGTTTTTAATGGATTTAAATCATTTCTTTTTGGATTACCGGGAACAAAAGCTATGGAAGAGGTGGACGGTGGGGAGGGATATTGGTTCTGGATGGTTCATTGGGCCCGGTAATTCCAGCATCGGAACGGCGTTGCGGCAGACCATGCTTCGCATAAGCTTGTAATTGAACTAGACGACGTTGCGCTTGGGCAATACCGATTCTCCGCATAGATACCTACTCACGACAGGCCATGGCCCAGAAGATGGAGCCGACCGAAGCGGTGGTGTGCATATCTGAGACGCTGGAGACATAGCTAGCTGTCACATAGAGTTGAGCTGCTTTGGTTGGTTTAATTGGGCAAAGTGTTTAGTTTGATGCAATACAAAACTGTTGATATTTACGTATTTACGCACTTGACTTCTTGACGTGAGATTGTACGGTTTTCCCCCTTTTTCATACCCCCCCCCCCAACCCAAAATAAAAACCCTTCATTTGTAAATAAATGATGAGTACCGTGATATAACACACATGTACGAGAAGCTGAGGATTAGCTGAGGATTTAAAATACGCCTATTATATATATTCCAACCACAAGACCTCATACAGCCAACTCCGTCCTATACATGATGCAAAAATAATTCAGCGTTTTACTATCCCGTACACCCTACCTAGTACATGAGGTTCATCCCACCAGTTTTAAGTAGGTACTAATTCAATTACACACCACCACATCAACCATCATACCTATCATCAAGTACGCATTCCAAAGAGGAATTACATCGCCAGTTTCGCCTCAATTACTTGAAGTTTTCTAATGATACCTATACTTTAAGAATAGATGGACGCTCTACTTGTAGGGGGGTTTCAGGTATGAAAGCAGGTGTCGGCTCCGGGGCAGACCACGGAGGGTGTCACGTGGTATCCCCCAGGAGCACCACCACCACCACACCACCACTTTACACTTTACACTTTTATATTTATTCGAATAACCTTACATCTAGCGCCTGCACCTGATTGGAGGCTATATCATTAGAAAGCTCTGATTGATGCAAAACCTAGGTTAGGTAGGGATATAATTATTATATGTTAAATCTTTGGAATGAATATGATGATGTAGGTAATGGTTGTTGGCATGCTATAACTGAATTAATTGATTGAAAATGGGTGGCCGGATGTCACCTTATGTATTGGAGTGTACGTGTATCCGCATGATTTCATTATTATCGTCATTTCTCTTCTCTCTCGTCTATCGTATCTCATACTGACTGCTGAGGCGTCGAACTTGACTTCAATCTGGTGGACTGGTAGTTCCCACTGCTTTATATCAAAACTAAAACAGACACACAAGCCAACACCAACATATTGACCATCCCACTCCCACTCCCACTCCTCATCTTACCAGACACAGCACCGCTCGGCAACTCCTTCTGCACCGTAGCCGTCGCCGAGCTCGCCGCCAGCGTACAGCTCGCCGTTCCGCAGGAATACCCCGAGGGACAGCACCCGGCCACCGGCCCCGCGTCCTCGCCGCACAGGAACCACCCCGAGGCACAAGTAGCAGCAGTCCCCGTAGGCGGTGCGGCTGCTTGCGCGTCGGATACCGGGACCGCGATGGTCGCTCCGTCGGATATGATGGTCGTCATGGGAGGGGGCGCGGGGCAGGACGTCGTGCTGCAGTCGCGGCCCGTGCGGCAACATCCACCGCCTTCGCGCGCGAGACAGGCGTAGAAACCGGTTGGGCAGTAGGATGTGGTTGGGGAGGAGGTGGCAGGAGGAGGAGTGGTGGTTGAAGTGCCCGTGGGGCGGTAGGGTGGGATGCCGCCTGCTGCGGTGGTGGAGGAAGGGGGGGATGAAGACGATGATATTGTTGATGAAGATGATGCTAAGACGGAGGACGATGTAGATACGGTACTAGATGTTGTAGTCGTAGGGGTGATGACGGAGACAGTGCTATGCACGCCTAGATATTTACCATGTTAGCATCCTCCTTCTTCCCTACTTCTTTCCTACATTCGTTATTCAGAAATACAAAAACAAAACTAAACTTACACCCAATATCCGCACACACGAACCCAGCAATGCAGCACCCGCCCCCCTGATTCGCCGGACACGCCGTAGATCCATCAGAGCACTGTCCCACCGTCACACCGCACGTCTGCCCGTCGGGACAGCACCCCACGTTCCCGGCCTCGGGGGCGTTCGTGACCGCGAAGCATCGGGTGCCCTGCGAGCAGCAGTAGTTCGGCTGGTTGATATTCTCGCAGCTGTGCGTGCCCTCGGGACACGCGAACTGCCGGCCCTGCAGCTTGGCTAGGACGTCGCGCGCGCGGTTGTACGAGGACGGTCCCGAGTCTCCTTCTCCTACTGTTCCTCCTCCCGCTCCTGCTGCTTCCGCTCTTCTGCTTAGGTAGTCGTAGTGTAACGGGAACGGTGGACGGAAGGGGATCGTGGCGGAGCTGTTTCCTGCTAGTAGGAGCTCTTCTACTTCTTGTTCTTCGTTGCGAGGCTGTAGCTGCGACGGCGCGAAGGCGTAGTATTCCGGTAGGAACATCTCGCCTTCGTCGAGGGACATCTTGCGGATGGCGGTGGGATGTTGCTGCTGCTGCGCGCGGAGCTGGGTCGCTGCGGCGAGGAGGACGAGGAGCGAGGGCGGGAGACGGAGCATTGTGGTTGAGAGATGCATTATCGAGTTTCTTGCAATGCGTGGTGCTAACCAAGCTTCACCGTTGTGAATATTCCGATTATCGTAAGGGCTTATTCTTCTGCTAGTACCAAGGACCGAGGTAGTACATGGAGATTATGTAGAATGCCCCGGATAAGTACGTAACGTCAGCTACCCGTAGACATCTAGACCGACGATAATTCGTAACTGGAGCTGGAGTTACACTCGATTTCGAAGTTGTGCGACTGCGCCCGCAGTATGCCTCGTTAACAGCTCGACTTAACAGCCTTAACAGGCCGAGACCATTGGATACCTACGTCGGAATAAAAAGTCTCGGACGGTTATTTTTGCGTTACTCGGTACCTAGGTATTATCCCCTAATAGTTGTCCTTTCTTTTATTTTTTTTTTAAAAAAAAAATAAAGAAAAAATAGATTATTATGTCTATATGCTTGGTGGTTTGAGATGGATGATTATTTTCTCGGGACCCAGCAACAACAATAACAACAAAAAAACTCGGCAGGGATCGTTGGCCCAGCTGAGAGCTTTTGTGACGCATCGACATGGGTCTATCTGAGCTCCGTCTTTGACAACGCATCCGTTCCGAATTCACGGGTGCCTCGCTCGATACGAAAGCTGTGAAAAACGCACATGCTTTCATAGTATAGTTGATTTTTTTTTTTTAAAAAAAAAAGAAAAAAAAGAAAAGGGAAAGTTGATAAACTTTGCTAAGAGATATTATTTCACATTTACCTTATCTGAAGTTACTAAAGAAAAACTAATAAGTGGTATAAATTTAAAAAAGCTCCAGGTACAGTGATGGCACTTCCAATTAAATAGTGCAGGGAAAGTACAGGACCCTGCATATGATCGAGGTATTAAGGTTACTTCGTACTCATGCACCGAAAAACGCATAGGTATTAAAATAATGGCAAACTACAATATGAATTTTATTATAGCGTGCATCACCTCCCCAGTCCGAAGACATACCTAAGGTAAGTACCTGTATCCATCAAATTTCCATATCGTTGATCCTTAAAATCTTTTATTCGAGCGGAGTAGTCGTATCTACAGCCGCTCCCAGGTAAACCCGCTGTAGACGCCTTTCAGATAGAAACCCATGCGTTTTGAAAATAGAGTTGAAGTTTATTTACTCCGTTACCTCGTTCCTCCTGCGTATGCCTAAGTCCCTAGAATCCGGTTTTTTTTTTATCTCATCACTTTAAGACAGTCCCGCCCTATAGTAGTACACACAAGTAGTCATATAGTTAAATGTCCCCATAAACATTAAACGACACGATATGTCCCGAATGGTGTCAGAATTCCAGGCCCAAATTTCACCATAGCGAATCCGATACGTCACCCTTAACTTCGATTACTTTATCAAATATCCCTCCGGTGTGCTGGTTCTTCAAGAAAGCAGAGCAGAGGATAGCCGTCGCGACGCTGGCGTTCAGACTATCCACCATCATAGTTCCGGATTGGTTCGGTATCGAGATCTCAAAGTCCGCCATCCGTCTCGTCTTCTTATCGAGCCCCTCGCCTTCGCTTCCCACGACTAGGATCGTAGGCTCGGACGACATCGGGTCGTAAGTGTCTAGTTTATCCAACGTAATGTTCTTGCCCTCTCTCGGTCGGTCGGTCGGTGCCACGGCTGCATAGACAACCCAGCCCGCCTCCCTAGACTTGGAAAGGAAATCGAGTATAGAACTGATCGAAAATAGCTGCAAGATCTCGGATGCGCCGGCAGATGCTTTCACAGCTACCGATGTCAGAGGAGCTGAGTGACCTTGCGTAATTCCGACAGCGTTAACTCCCAGGAATGCTGCCGAGCGCAGGATAGCGCCCAAGTTACCCGGATCCAGGATGCCGTCTAATATCAGGACAAACGGCTTCCGATTAGGTGGAAGGGTGTATTTGACAAAGGTGGAGGTACCGTTGATTTGCGCTTCCTCGGCGCTCTGGTGGCCTAATTCGACGTTGAAGCCGGTAGTTGGGTCCTCGACTAGCGAGCCAAGGCCTTTGATCGGCAACTGCGGTAACGGGGAGGCTTCGAGGACGAAGCCATTGTGTGGCCGGCCATCGCTCATTTTTTCCATCATCCGCAGGCCAGCAGCATCGGTCAACTTCGTAACGGGGATCCCAGCCAGGGCTGCTTTCCTCTCCATACCAGTATTTCGGGAAGCATCCTGTCGGTTCTCTCCGTCGTATATATAGAGATTGTAAAGCTTGCGTCGCGTCTGCTTCAGGGCAGCTTCAACCACCGAGTAGCCATATAAGAACTGGGACGCCGCAGTGGTGCGCGGGATGCGGATAGGTGCGTCCTTTAATGGACTGGCGCGAGGTGCTGGTCGCTGGTCCTCTTCATCCCTTTGCCGCCGTGGCGAGGGCTCGGAAGCTGGGGACGCCCTTTGAAAATACGGACCAGCACGCCGCGTCTCACGCATGTCTTGCGTATCTCGAGTGCCCCAAGTGCCCCGAGTGTCCCGAGTGCCCCGAGTATCCTCCCGAGTGCCCCGAGTATCCTCCCGAGCGCCCCAAGTGCTCCGAGTGCCCCGACTATCGTCTCGAGCGCCCCAAGTGCTCCGAGTGTCTCGAGTGTCCCGAGCGCCCCACGTATCCCTGGTGTTCCGGTTTGATACGGGACTTTTTCTGTCCTTTTGAGAACCTCTTCTATCCCATGGCCTGGATTCGTTGGAAGGTTTTTGAAAGCTCGGGCGCTCTGTAAAGTGTGTTCTTTCCATGCTCTTAGGTGGTCCCATTGATCCCATTGATCCCGCTGATCGCCTGGGTTCTATCGATCTCGTTGATCCCCTAGATCCCATGGACCCCATGGATCCCCTGGGTCCCTTTGATCCCATTGATGGTGATGAACCTGAATGATGAAAATCTCTCATAAACTGATCCTTCGATATTCCAGCATCTCGGGATCCAAATGCAGATTTCTCCTTAGAGGGATCATTTCGTCCATTTTTAAGTTGATATACCAAGCTTTTTTTCCCGAATGGATCATTTGGGTCATGAAAACGTGCAGCTCTCGACTTCGGCTCTTGACCCTTGCCCGTAATGTTCTTTTTTCCTTTCTTAATTGTGAATGTCTGTTTTTCTCTCCTGTTCGACTTGGATGTGTTCAAAGCCTCCTTCTTGAAACCTTGAGGTCTAGCTTTCTCTGAATTTCTCAGCCCACGGTGGATGGCCGACAGAGAAGAAGACCGGGAGAAGACATTGATAGGCCTAGGAAAGACCCAGGTTTTAGGTAAGACATTATATCTACTTCGTATACACGAAGCCTGAAAGGAAATCATTGCATTTCCACCGAGAGATGTCTCTGATTGATACTCTATAAATGTGAGGAGTATCAATAATTCGTAAACATGTGAAAAAGAATTTGCAGACTGATAAAATTTCGATGTACCTAAGTACCCAATATACACTGTATTTTTTTTAGCTAAATGATGATATCTTATCGCTGATATCCATAAAAAGAAACGCCACTCAAAACTCAGGAAGCAGGGGGAGGAGCGAGCCCACTTCGGAGCATTGGTAGTAGGACCCCTGGCCTTAGTTTGCAGTGTAATGACGCTAAACCGTATTTAATCAAGTGCGGGCTATTAACGCAACGCGTGAAGTTACTAGTAGAGTGTACATAGTACTAGTAATTAATTCTAACAGCGCGTTTCTAACCATTAAGTTAACGTCAGCAATCAATTCTCTACTTCTCTACCTGTCTATAATAACCCTATACCTAACCTCTTATTGCTTGTTCAACGTCGTCTTCGCCATGAGCTTAGAGAGAATGTGATTATGGATTTACTTGAACCTGTACCGCCCTAGTAACTCGTTTTGATTTTCTCAACTTGTACGTCGCACGTTATAGCTGGCAATTGTCAATCGCATACCCGGCTAATACTGTCTCTAGTTATTCCTCCATGCAGAAGCTCGGCTCGACGACATGCATATTCACTCTTTGTATCCATATATGTAGGGCTTCGTGAGCGCGGTTTAACATGGAAAGCGACTTTGGACACTCCACAGCCTCTGTGGTACATGAGGATGGCGTTGCTATGGACGGAGCACAGGGGCCATCCCCCCAACATTCAGACTACAATGTACAAGACGAATGGAACTTGGGTAATTCATATATGAATGGAGTCTCTACATCTAGTTCCGGGAATATTCAAGAACAAGAGACAAATATATCCCCAGATATGTCTCGACTGCACCCTATTATGGTAGTGCTTCATCCACCACCGGATCCCACGATATATGAACGAATATATCCCAGTCAGACTGTGGAGAGGATTCTAGACGAGGTGGAAGACGAGGATGGAGACATATATTACAGTGTTGAGTTTGAGGATGGGTATATTGAAGATGTAAGTGGCTATGCTTCACTTTACTTCATTGCTGTTACTTCCCTCCCCACCCCCTGAGTCTCACGATCTCTCAACCGCTTCGACAACTTCGACGATAGCAATAGTCTTGACGGCCTCACTAGTCTCGACGGCTTCAACACCAACGCCCCTAGAGACGCAGCTTGCTACTTCCTATTCCTATTTGTTTGCCTGCCCTTGATCATATCTAGACTCTTAATGCAACTGCCTTAGACCCTGGCAACCCCCCAAGTTACTTTCCCACATTCTTTTTATGCGAAACCTAGGCAGTCTTTCCCTGTGCTATTTCCTTACAATAGTTCACATCCTAGGTTCTCATTCCATCATCCCCAATACCATCTTTACATCTTTTTTTTCTTTTCGAAATTTCTTCTTCTTGAAATTTCTTCTTGCACTCTTTTCTTCTACATTCTACACCCTCTACACCTCTCCAACACTCCTCACCCTACTTCCCTCAAAACTTCTATCCTGATCACCATTCGCATTTGAGGAAGTCTGTCCTCAAGATATAGGTATCAGTATAGTCCATACATCATAACTGCACCCTATTTACCTTACATCGCCAACCCCTTTTTGCTCTTCGTCAATTCTTTTCACTCATCGCCACCTATTTTGATCCATTTGAACTGTTTCTATTTGGCATCAACTATTTCCATCCATCATCAGTCTATTTCATCCCTCGTCAGCCCTTCTCATCCATCGCCAATTCTCTTCACCCATATTGCTGAAGAACTCCTCCTATGAAGCGAGTTTAAGGTATGTAAGCCTACTTTACTCTTAGTAGGGCTACCAGGACAAGATGGTATGTTTCTCAAGCCGGTTACGTGCTAGGAACTATATCCAAAGTCATTCTCGCCTCGTCTGAAACATGAATAACCTACCGCCACCTTGATTTTACATCGCTCGTGTTTCTCTTAGTGAGATATGCCGCCGTGAAGTCTAATCATTTGTGTTTTGTTGCTGCTTCATGCTGATTTTATATGTTTTCATCCTACTTGAAACAGCAAGACCGGTTCTAATACTAATATTTCTAAATAGGTGGCGTATGATGACGTGTTACAACTAAAGAACGGTCCTCGCGCTGCGCAGCAATTTCAGAATCGAAGATTCAATATTGGCCAACTAACCATGGATAAACGATTGGGCAAGCGCCCTCTTCCCGAGGATGAATACTATGACTCTGAACCTGACGATTCCGACCGTCCCAAGAAACGGACGAGGGAATCTTCTAGTGCTACACGCAGAAGTACTCGACAAGCCTCAAATCACGCTTCCATGCGAGACTCTGTGGAAAATGACGTCGACATGGATGGCGTTGATGAAACTATTGATGATTCGCCTTCCGACGAAGAGTTTGAAGATAGGAAATCTTCCAAGTCTCGTCACTCGACCCGACTTTCTATACTAAGGGTCACTCGCTCAAGGGATCCTGCATTGCAAGGCCAGCACAGACCGGATGATTCTGAGGATGAATTGGCTCAAGATCACGAATCTGACCAGGACGACGAATATGAAGACGTCATCCCGGTTGTTCATTCCGATCTTGGCGGCACGGTGAGAACATCATCTCGTAAGAGGAGAAGACCGAGACCGTCGTATGCACCTAGGAGAAATGTTGATAGCGGTTCGGAGATCGAATTTGAGACAGCGCGAAGGTCAAAGAGATCGACCAAGGTTTCGAAGAGTATGCGCGATCCCGAGATCGACGATGAGTACGAAGCAGCCGAAGATAAGATCGCGTCTGCCCCTAAGATTGCTGCAATCAAAGAGGTTTTTGAAGAACATGCAGAAAACTCAAAATTTCAGCAATTACATCGCGGGGTGTGTGATGGTTGTGGATCGGTCGCAAGCCATGCTAAGGGCTCCCTCATCCCATGCCAGGGATGTTCTTATTCGTTTCACAGGGGTTGCATCGGTGTGAGATCTCAGCGTGAGCATAGAGTTACTAAGGTCGGCCCAAATAACTTCGTGTTGCAATGCCGCTTCTGCATTGAGCTACCCAAAAAGAAGGATAAACGTGCCCCGAGCTCCTCGGCTTGCCAGTATTGCAGACTTGCCGGTGACTCATGTGCGGAATTTTCGGCAAAGAGAACTCCAAAGCAGGAGGAGAAAGCTAGACTTGACAATGGGGGAGTCGACCCAGTCACATTTGTTCAGCCTAACCTCGTCAACAACCCTGACAATGTGCTTTTCCGCTGCTTCACGTGCAGACGTGCCTATCATTTTCGTCATCTACCTCAACTAACCGAGGACCCCAACGAGGATCGTCTTGAGAAGTACTCACTGGCTGGATGGAAGTGCAGGGACTGCCTGAGCATCGACTACCGGATTCACGCGTTAGTTGCATGGCGACCTAACGATCAGGATGCCTATGTCGAGGGTCAGCGGGCCGACGAATTTACGGAGGATGAGCTAGAATACTTGGTGAAGTGGGAAGGGAGATCTCACATTCACAATACTTGGATGCCCGGAGCCTGGGTTCATGGCATAGCCGCGCCTGCTATGCGTGCTGCATTTCATAAACGCGAGGAGAACGAATTCCCTAAGATGACTACTGAGTCTGCAGTGAGAGAGGAATGGGTTTTGATCGACGTTATCCTCAATGTGAGATATAAACGCGGTTCTACTGCTTCCTCAAGAGAAGAAGACCTAAATCGTATCTCCGATATCCAGACCATATTTGTGAAGTTTCAGGGCCTTAGTTACGAAGAAGCCGTTTGGGACGAGCCTCCTCCTCGTGGTTCGTCAACCCTCTGGGCAGCGTTCACAGCTGCATACGATGAATTTCTCAACGGCAAATATTTTCCCCCTGCGAGAGATCGGGGAATGCGCGAACGTATCAGTAACTATCGATCGCTTGACTTCCAAACATCTTGCGAGCTGAAAAGCCAACCTCCGGGTCTTAGAGAAGGTCGTACCTTGATGCCGTATCAAATGGAGGGCGTTAATTGGCTTCTTTACAACTTTCACCAGCAGCAGAACGTTATCTTAGCCGACGAGATGGGCCTTGGTAAGACGATCCAAATCGTCTCTTTTATCAGCTCTCTTGTGCAGGACCAGCCCAAATGCTGGCCGTTCCTGATCGTCGTGCCGAATGCGACTTGCCCAAATTGGCGTCGCGAGCTCAAGGATTGGTCCCCTGGCCTCCGAGTAGTAACTTATCACGGTGGAAAGGTCTCTCAGGATCTAGCTTATAGACACGAACTCTTCCCTGATGGGGTAAGAGACGGAATGAAGGCACATGTCGTGATCATGTCCTATGAGGCGGCCAGTTCGGTGAAAACTACTTTTCAGACTGTAAAGTGGGCGGGCCTGATAGTCGACGAGGGCCAAAGACTCAAAAACGAAGAGACTCAACTTTACAGAACCTTAACAGACATGAAGATTCCGTGCCGGATCTTGCTAACTGGTAAGCGGCAACAGGCAGTGATTTACGTACTTAAATGTGCTATGCTAACGCTTGATAGGTACTCCGTTGCAAAATAACAAGAAGGAATTGTTCACTCTTCTTCAGTTTATCGACTCCAAACACAACGCCGAGGAGCTTGACGTTCAGTATAGCGAGTTGACGAAGGTCAATTTACCAGAGCTTCACGATCTTATTCGCCCTTATTTCCTGCGGCGCACTAAAGCTCAGGTGCTCAAGTTCCTACCGCCGATGGCTCGAGTTATCGTTCCTGTTACCATGACGGTGCTTCAGGAAAAGCTGTCCAAGTCGATTCTGTCGCGCAATCCAGAGCTCATTAAAGCTATCATCTTTAAAGACAAGCTAAAAGCGAGCGATAGAAAAAACCTAAGCAACATCATGGCGGATCTCCGTCAATGTCTATGTCACCCATTCTGTTTCAGCGCTAACGTTGAAGACAAGAATGTTGATGAAGAGCAAATGCGACGGAACCTAATTGAGGCTTCGCCAAAGTTTATGCTGCTGGAGAAAATGCTTCCGAAGCTCAAAGCAGGGGGTCATCGCGTATTGATATTTAGTCAATTCTTGCGATGCTTGGACATCATCGAAGACTTCCTCAACATACTAGGCCTTCCATTTGGACGGATCGACGGATCCTTGAGCGCTCTCAAGAAGCAGAGGCAGATCGATACGTTTAACGCTCCAAACTCGCCTCTATTCGCAATGCTACTATCCACCCGGGCTGGCGGTGTCGGTATTAATCTCGCTACAGCGGATACCGTTATCATATATGATCCGGATTGGAATCCGCACCAAGATATACAAGCTATATCTCGCGCTCATCGAATTGGACAGAAGGAGAAAGTTCTCTGTTTTCAACTGACGACAAAAGATACCGTCGAAGAGAACATCTTGCAGGCAGGGAAAAAGAAGATGGCTCTCGATCATGCTCTCATCGAGAGTTTGGATGCTGATAACGACAATAGTGGCGATCTGGAGTCGATCATAAAACGCGGCACAGAATCTCTATTTAGTGACAAAGATAAAGCCAAGATTACGTATGACTCGGCAGCAGTTGACAAATTACTAGACAGGAGCCAACTCGATAATGAAAATACGGATAATCAGACGATCGAAAACCAGTTCTCGATCGCGCGTGTCTGGGCTAATGAATCGGGCGCATTTACTGACGGTCCGGCGGAGGTTGCTGATGAGGACCAGCCGTCGAATACGAGTGTATGGGAGAACATTCTTAAAGCACGAGAGGAAGAGCATTTACGAGAACTCGCGGCAAAACAGGAAGTATATGGTCGTGGTGCTAGACGCCGTGGTACTCAGGTAAGGAATTTATTTGCGTCGGACTTTACCTTAGGTAGTGATGGCTAACATGATGTAGGCTGTGGACTATAACGGTGCTAGAGTACGTTACATTGAGGGAGTTAATGACCCCGATGAACAGTCCTTAATAGAAGAACAGCGCCCAGATCCAGATAGCGGCGGCTCCGATGTTGACGGCGAAGACGAACTTTACATCGATAACGGCGTAGAGGATGATGATGACGAGGCCTACGAGGAAGAGAGAGAATTAGGGTCCGCGACGAAGGGCAAAGGAGCCAAAGGTAAACACCCGACTTCATCAACGTCGCAAAAGCCAAGATTATTAACACTCCTAATAGTAACGTGGCACAGCCAAGGCCTGGAGATGGCCAGAAACCTCTCTACTAACGCGCTAAGCCCGTCACGAGGAGCTCGTCAGAACGTCAACGCAGCCCAGGCAGTACCGGTGATGCCCAGTCTCCGTCAAAGTCAGATGCAGGGTCCACCAGCCACAGCCAACCGACCCGCACCGGAGGTAGGAAACTTGTCCTTGTCTTCGATGAACCCCCCGCAAACTCGAGCTCCCCCTCAGGCTCGGGCTCCTCCTCAGGTTCGAGCTCCCCACAAGGTTCGAGCTCCTACCCAAGCTTCAGTCCCGCCGATTGAAAATTTTAGTAATCGATTTAGGGTCCCGATCGCTCGTCGCGAACAATCCTCTCTTGCTAACAATTCTCGTGCGCCCACGGGCGTTCTTCCGGCTGTGCGACCTGAAAATATTTTAAGATCAAACCCGGCCGTTGGAGGATCAAATCGCAACAATTTACTGCATACTTCTCTTAGTGGCCCACCAGCCTGCCCTGTAGGCAGAGATGGCGTTTGTATGGTCTGCAAGACTAAGCACCCTTTCAACTTTGTTTGCATAGATTTCAACTCGGAAATCTCATTACGACTCGCCATCGACACTCTGAGAACTGGCGCATCTCTCCCTCACGCTCAAGTATACAGGGCATACCTCATTGAGCGTCTACGACAACTCTCAGGTCAATGAGAGGGATATCAACGTGAGACTCACAGGCTCACGGACCCACGGTCCAAATATTGGCGAAGAAAAACTCTTCATGCACTGGCCCACAGCTAGTTGCATAGGTACCTACTCATTACTATTGCGAAATAGTAAATAAGGGGCATCAATCTGATGCTAGCTACCTGCTATACCATGGCATTGCCTTTAATACTTAACTTAGCTAGTCGAACTCATGTAGCTCAATTGTATTTCGCGCAGAATCAAGCAAAAAAATAAAAGAAAACCGAAAAAAAAATCAAGTCAGTTAGGTAGACAGTCTTCTCATCGTTGATTTGCGGTCAAGACATTTTGAAGTGTATTCCAGGTTGTCCAACAGTTATACAGGCCGTTTGTCACGTGGGAAACACAAGACAAGAACTGCAGGTAACCGTGGAATGCATTCAACCTTATTTGAGGTCCAGCAAACGAGAGAGATAATAATAATAATAAAAATAATTAGTTATGCGAGTTAGGGAAGTTGTGTGCGGTAAAGGTCTCATGGATGTGTGTCTGTGTCAAGCTTTGCCCGGCAGAAAATAAGTCCTGAGCCTCTAGGCAGTCTATTAAAAGACCACCGTCACTTCTTGTCAACACTACTACTTTACTTAGCTTATATCAACTTACCTTTCCTAAAAAAAAAAAAGTTACCAATAATAAATAACTCTTTAGGAACTAATAACGTTATTCTATCTAAAGCCGTCAAGGGTTGTGCCTTTTTTTTTCTTCCTTGGTCAAGACGTGCTGTGCCTAGGGGTCTTATTACTGCAGCAGTCTGACAAGACGGTATAAATACCTAAAGCCCTAACCCATTTTCTTGCCCTGTTTGCTCTCTGAATTCCTTTGATATTCATCCTTCTCTCATTTCTCTCCCTCTCTCAACTATGGACACTTCTTCTCCTCTCCCCACCGCCTTTGGCCCAGCAGCCAACTCCCCCTCCGACTTGTCTTACTCTTCGGGTGCTTCTCATACTTCCACTCGAAACACGTCTCCGGATTCTGTTACTAACCCCACGGCTGTTTCTTCTTCGTCTTCTTCCCAACTCGCGTCACAGCTCTTGGAACTTAGTTTCAACTCCGATATAGAGCGTAATCCTAGCAGCATTCTGCTCAACCCTCTAACTAAGATGGATCGAAATCCGTTCCAGTCCGTCAACGAGCGCAGAAACAAGATTTCCACGGATCGCACCACCAATGCAAGCCAGAATCAACAGCTCCAACAACAACAACAGCAGCAGCATCAGAATTTCCAGTCTCAAACACTGAGATCCAACATGCAGTCTCTCAATACTGCTGTGCCTAGAAGCCTTGTTTCGTCTAACTGGAGATCGCAGACAGCAGATGAGACTGCACTACTAACTCGCGCTGCTGAGTTTACTCCGTTTGACGCTACTAACGTTGGTCATCATCACATGCAACACGGTTCCAGTAGCCGACACTCGTCGTATACAAGCCCTCGTCTAGAGCAGTTCCCGCAGCAACAGCAACTCTCTAGCTTGGTGCCTTACTCAAGCTCTAGCATCACTTTCAGCGACCTCCAGATAGAAGGCAGCTATGCTTACTGCTACGACCGAGGAAACGGCCAGTACACGCGGCTGATCCCGGCTGATATGTTGCCCGCGCTGAAGGACATCCCGGCTCTCCAGTCCAGCTGCTCCGGAATGGTTGTGCTGCCCGTGCCGCGAGGTCTGCCTTCAAACGGCCGGTCGAGAAATAATAGCCCGGTTCTACTCAGAGTAAGTCTATCGGTCTACCTATCTGCCTAATCTAACTTAACATCACACACATTCCTAGACTATGTATGTATGTATATAGTCTAGGAATGAATATTTTCTTTTTCTGTTTCTGTTTCTGCTTCTGTATATGACGACTACAACGATGTACTAACTATTTCTTGAAAGAGCCCGCCGAATACCCCGACCTCGACTTCGGATAACATCCAGGTAAGCCAGAGCGTTTACTTGAATCCCCTGCTTCGGAGCAGCGCCAATACGGTATCTATACCTCTCCCTCCTCCTTCTTCTTCTTCTTCAACAGCTCATCATCATCATCATCATCACTGCACTACTATCACTTACCCCGCCAAAAGAGCATATACCCCTCTCTCATTAAAGTCTGGTGGTGTTTCATGCCCAGCGCAAACGGGACCTTGGGTGGTGTGTCTCAGACACCGGATATGATGGCGATCCCGCTATTCCCTTTCCCCCCTCCCCTTTTCTTTCCCCTTTCTCATTGTCTAACAATACCCTATTCACTTCCCCATACATCCAGGCATACTTACTCAACAGAATCAACGCTAACCAAACTTTCCTCTAGTCACGAATCGACAACATCGTAGCCTCGACGCCCCCCACGCCAACCAGCCTCACCCTCGCAACAGGCGTCACGGGCCTAGGCCCCGGGTCCTCAGCCGGCGCCACCGGCACACCGCACTCCCACCAGTCTCACTCCCATCACTCCCACTCCCACTCTCACCATAACCATCATCACCATCATCATAACAGCAGCAGTATTAGCGGCCAGCCGCAGCCACAGCCACACCAGCAGCAACAGCAGCAACCCCAACGCCGCCCCAAGATCTACTGCGACAAGTGGGTGCACGAGGGCGTGTGCGCCTTCACCCAGCAGGGCTGCAAGTACAAGCACGAGATGCCGTTCGACAAGGTGACGCAGCACCAGCTGGGCCTGTTCCACGGCTTCCCGGCCTGGTGGAAGAAGCACCAGGCCGACCTGTCGCGGCAGAGGGACGGGACCGAGGATGTGGTTCGGCTGAGCGGCCATGGCGGTCACAGCGGCGGCGGTGGTGGTAGTGGTGCTGGTGGTGGGGAGAGATTTATTGGACGAGGGACGGGACATGCTCATGGACATGGTGTTGCGGCTGGTTCTGCGGCCGGAGCTGGAGCTGCGGAAGGTATGGGAATGACAAATACGGCGGCGACGGCGGCGGCGACTACTCCTACTACTACTACTACTTCTTCTTCCGGACTCCAGAGCTGGCGACGGGGCGCGGATGCAGGAAGCCCGGTGGAGCAGAAGGTGTTGGGGGAGGGACTCAATCTGGCGAGGGAGGTGAGAGGGGGTGTTAAGAACCCTTTCGGTACGTTTGAATTCCCTAACCTGACCCTCACCCTCATCCTCGTTCTCATCCTCGTGACAAGTCTTCTTATCTGATGCACAAGCTAACATCTCACCCCTTGGCTTTCGTATAATATAGTATCTTACTCTTCCCCCTTCGGCCCCATCGCACCCCCTGCTCGCACCTCCTCTACGACTCCAGCGGCGGCGGCGGCGGTGGCAGGATTTACGACAGATCTGTTCGGCTCGGGACAGTCGCTGCACCAGAATAATACTAGCGTCGGTGCTTCCTCTCCCACTTCGAGGACGGGAATGGGAATGGGAATGGCCGGAGGAAACACTGCTAACAACAGCGGCGGCATGTCGAATACGAACCCTTATTCGTCCCTCTCTTCGCTCGACGAGGAAATCATCAGCGGCAGCGGTAGCGGTAGCGGTAAAGCTAAGCCCGAGGAGCAGTCCGAGAAGTCCAAGTCCGCGGCCTCGGGCGCGTCGGGCGCAGGCTCTAGCGGAGCGCGTCTGACTTGAACCTTGCCTACCTCTACCTTTACCCCCCGCGCGCCAGCCAAATTATACCAGGTCGGGCACAGGGCACGAAGAGAGAGGAATAGGGAATATTAAGTAAAGTGCTTCCCCTGATTTGGAAGCGTACGATACGACACAATACGATACGACATGATGGGGATATTTGAAGTCCAACTTCCTCTTGTTGCTCGCAGCAATACCTATCTCTCTCTAATCATCCTCTGATTTTTTTTCTACTTGTTTTACTCATGCAGGTCCTTATACATACATACGGCGCATCCATCCATCCATACAGACGAACAGATAGACATGCGAATCACTTCATCCCTTTCACCACATGTACCCCAATTCATTCCACTATGCAACTACACCATGACCGAGGACTTCCCAGCTCGCTCTCGGCTGTCCCAGTCCGAACAGACGCTCAGGTTATTCATCTCCCTGCGCATCCCATCCTGTCTCTAAAAAAAAGCTACGATTTCGACATCAATTTCTTTTTCTTCACCTTTTCTTTTTTTTCTTCCTTTCTTTCTTTCCATTCTTCTCTACGCATTTTTTCTGTTTTCTTTCCTCCTCTCTTTTGTTACCACCTCTTTCCCCCCAGGCATTATTAGCATGACGAACGAGCGAACAAACGAACGAATGAAGAACGACCCCACGACGAACGACACTAGACTGAACGAGCGAGCAGCATGCACCTACCTACGTTACCTGCTTGCTTGCTTGCTCGCTCGCACGAGGTTTCTCGCGAAACGAATGATTCACGACACTCTTATCCCTATCTGCACCTTTTCTTTATTCTCTTTTTTTTAAAAACCATCGGCGTTTACTTTTTTCTTTTCCCGTTTACAAGGAGATTGTCTACTCAAGAGAGGATGAGTGGGGCGGGGGGAAGGGGATAAGCAAGAATTTGGCAGTCGAAGAAAGAAAAACGGTGGAAAAGGGGTAAAAGGGGGTTGGCGGATGAACAGGGAAACATAGGCCTACGGGGCCAGGAAAAAGATGATGACGATGATGATGGTGATGATCACAAACGAATGTAAAGGGACCACATTGCCGATGTATAATAAACTAGGCCCCCGAGGCGAGGCAAGGCAAGGCCCAGGCCCGAAACTGGCAGATGTCTACCTACCTAACCCAAGCAATGGATTGAATGACAAGCGGCATTTTCCGACTCTGCATGTATATCATATTTGAGCAACCGATTGTTCAATATCTCGGTTGAACGTGGTTGATGGGTGCGATGTGACTGATGTCCCTTTGTCGGTTTCGTGTAATAGTACCTATTTTGTACATGCAAGCTCCATAGTATTATCTCCACCTGCCCTTCAATTCGAAGGGCGGCATATTCGCCCATCGCGGCAAGTTTTAATTAATAATTCATCTCCAATTTCAAAGGAGTCTCTTCTAGTTAGGTACTCCACAGAGACCATGGAGTATATAGGTAGGCGTTATAATCTTTTCCATTTACCTAGGATAGGATATGCTATTGACTTAATAGCGGCGTCATAGGTATTTAAATACTTCAGGATAACAGGTACCTAGGTAGACATAGGTAAAATTTTGAATCTTCACCATGGCAGCTTCGAGAACCATCGTGGTGCAATTAAATTGACTTCTAACTATCTCACAGGAACTGGCAAGGAGTGAAAACACGTAAGTCTATCATTAACGGTAATAAGAAGGCCCAGCAGTTCTCAACAAATAAAACATACATGTCATAACATCGTGATATCATCTCTCTGTTTGCTCCTCCTTAGATTCCACCATCTTCTCAGTTGCGTACATCACTTTCCACAAGTCTCATCAACACTTCCCGTTCATCGTTACTCACTTAGGGGCCTACAAGTCATGCGTAATATGACTGTCCATTTTGCTCGCTCCCGGATAGTTCGAACAGGACCATGAGCCCCAGGCTGTGATAAGATAGGACAGCAGCAGGGTCACTGCCATTAGAACTGTAATTCATTCATCTTATGAGCATGTAGTTCTAGCACTGTAGTAAACTATGGCAAGACGTACCGATGTGATAGTGTAAGGCTCCAAGGGAAACATTACATATACCTAGGCACTTAGCGTGCCATTTAGCCTTCTTGCCCTTTCGCAATGTATCGTTGGGCTGATCCTCGGATCCGTTTAATGCAACGGGTGCCTTCGAAGGGGAGGTGACATCCGCCGCTTCGTCTGCTTCAAGTAGGGCGGTGCCGCTGTCTATAAGTTCCAGCAGTCGTTGCTTATTATGAGCATTAGAGAGCATGACAAAGTCTCGAAGCGTCACAGGTTTCCCTAAATATTTGTTTATAAACATACTTGCTGTGCCCCCCCATATCATGCTCTCTGAGAACTGTGACACTTTCTGTCCATTAATGGTTACGCTGGTCTCATGTGCTATACTTGCTCCAGGTACGATTCTCGTTGCCCCTTTGCGAAAGCTAAAATACCTAATCAGAATATAGCCATCCGAGACAGCGATGCAGAATGAATAAGTCTTACCAGCGTAGTTGGATGCGAGGATTAGCTCTATGGCAAAGCCACTGTTCCATCATTGTCCACCTATTCGTGTCCTCTTCCCATCTTAGCATAGTGTCTCCCACCAAAGCAACCCATGGTATAGTAGTATGGTACCCGTGTGTTGATATCTGCGCTCTAGCTTCCGCATCGCGCAATTCGCTGCCAATGAATTCATTTCGGAGAAATTCTGCCAGGAGCATAATGTTGTCGGGCCCCGATCTCAATCGTCCTATATCAAGCCGGCGCATACAAGACAAAACCACACTAGATACCAAAGCTCCTCTTTTTGGAAATCTGTTCATCCTTTTCATTATCCAGGGTAATATCTCCACAAGACCAATGTGAGAAGCTTCAATCAAAATTGAACCACGATAGTCTCGGACATGTCGCTGAGGAAACATACTACACGGCGACCAAAACTCAGTAAGGGTCGGACACAGAGTTCCAAATTGGAGTGTCAAGTAAGTATCTTCAATTTGGTCCAGCTTCTCCTCAATTGTAGCCCCCCCAGAGATATTTAGGGTCTTAATCAGGTAGGCGAGATACCGTATCTTACCTAAACCATACTGTCTAATCTCTAGGTCTACTAATTGTTTGTGGGAGAGAATGACCTCCCCAAAAACAAGCTGGCAAGCCAAATTTGCTAGCTCCTCTTTGTTGATGTCGCACTCGATATTTTTCTTGCTGGTATCATTTTTCAGGATTTCGAAAACAGAACGATGAGCGAAAGTAAGAACTGGTGGTTCATATGGCGCATTTCTCGCTTCTGATATTTGGATGAGACCATTAAAACGAGCATTTATTTGCTCTTCTGTGAGGATATGCCAGTCGTCTCTTTGCAGTTCAAAATCGATCGAGTCAGACCGCGGATAACTTGATCCCTTAGCAGCTTGGCTTAACTTTTCCGCCAAATATGAGGCCCCTAGAATTGAAACATGCCCTTGGTAGCTTATAGAAGCAAATGCATTGATAAGACCAAAAAGCGCGAATGCCTCTTTTTTGTGCGAAGGAGAAATCGAGTCAAGCATATGCTTTAGGTAATCGAGTAACGGCTTCGGACGGGCGTCAACGTAATTCCATACACTATGCGGATCGTAATCGCTACTCAGAAATTTTCGCAATTGGATCATAGCAAGTCGTGTCCAGAGGAAAATACCTTCGGCTATGTCGACGATATGAGCCACCAAGCATTCAATGGTACACGTGTGACTTGTGCGGCTCTCGCAGAGGCCATTCTGCAATTGTGAAAATCCTTTCCGTAGCTTCGGAAAGTTCGAGTGTTTTTCCAAACCCTCCATGACATAGGTTTGGATATCTTGCCTAGTAAGGTTGTGGAGTCGAATCTTCTGACGCAAAGAGACTGACATGAAGGCCTCGTACTCCCTACTAGAAACACAAATTTTGACCCTCCCTGCCGACAGAAACGTCCAGCTTTGGATGAGACGCACCAAGTCATGGTGATCTTCGGCATGCTTCATCTCGTCAAACTCGTCAAGGCCATCGATAAGCAGGAATATCCTGTACTTCTCTAAGACCAGAGGGCTACTTATTAGCAAGTCAGTTGCTTGCGATATTTCCTCATAACTGAGGCGTACCCGAGTTTTTGAATCCAAGCTATCGTGACCAGGGATTAGTAGCTCCATGAGCTCTGGAGCTTGCTCTAGCGCAGACTTCAAAAAGGAGCACCTTAATCCCGTTAAGCCATCCTGGTGGGAGGTAGGCCAGAAGAAGTATTTCAAGCAAAGGAGTTGGGACGTGCCAGCCCATATGTTCAGCATGTCCTTGGTTATTTTATGCTTCCAAATAAATTTCATCAAAGTTGACTTCCCAGCACCGGGCTTTCCAAGGATATGGAATATCCCTTCTCCTTCACGGAGCCAATCAGCGAACGACACCTTCAAGTCTGGTTCTACCTCAAAGAGCCTCTGTGGGTCATCGTAGATCCACTCAAAAGTGTCAATGAGATTTTCATGGACCTCATTATATCTTGGATTTAGTTGGGTGCCCTCTTTATGGTATTCGCTAAGCTCTCTAAAGACCTCGTCCAGTTTCCGTATCTCTTGTGCGCGACGGCAAAGGCTGAGGACTTGTTGGAACTGTTCGTGCAGATTATTGTTCGCCGAGCTCATCTTGGATTGGATTTCTTCTAGTTGCTGTTGAACATTCTTATTTTCGACACTACTGTTCTCCATCATGTTTATAATCTGGCCGATCTGAGTCCTGTGTTACGCATCAGGTCGTATTTCCACAGATAGGATTTGCACAGCGATAGGTTAGGTATTCATTAGATGATTTTGAAGGATCCTACGTACTTCATCGACGACGCCAAAGCCAGATTAAGCCGCTCCTTGCCCCGTCCCAAGTCAACTTCGAGGTCTCGAAGCTTACTTTTGTTGAAAATAAGTTTCGTTGTCGCTTTGATCGCACCCTTGATTGAGTGTGGCCTCTCTGGTTTATCTCGGATGATTAAAGACGCGATCTTTGACGAGATATTCTGACATTGCGTGACTATGATTTCTATATCTTTATCATTGCCTTTCGAAAGATCTTTGAGCCTTTCAAATTTCTCGGAGTTTGCTTGGATCTTTTCGAAGAGTTCAATCATTTCCTCGTTGTAGCCGAGTAGACTTTCCTGCCTTTTGGGCAATCCCGTCTTCGAATCGTAGGCTTCCTTGACCTTTTGGACGCATTTTGCTATGCGACCGACGATATTTAACACATCAAAGATAAGAGCTACGATGCTGAAAGGATCCATGCTGCCACTGGAGAGATTTTGGTATGTTCAGTTCAAACCTCGAGATACCATTTCTAATGGCTGTGAGCTCAGTTGAAAAGTCTTCAAATATCTCAGACGAGATAAAAGGAAATATCTTAAATTGCCGAGTCATTATCCTGTATTTTCGTGGTGCATACCTCGGTACGGCACGCCATGTTGTACGGAGACGAGGCTTGCCGCATATCGTTCGCGAGGCAAACTTGTGAGGTGGATTTGGGTTCTGGAGATCATGATACGATGCATAGAGATACGGAATATTACTCTGTCTAGCATTTTAAGAATATCAATGACAAGAGTTGATTGAGTGCGAATAGAATTGGTTATTTGCTTCACTTTTCGATGGTGGACATGATGTTGATTCATCTAAGTTTTCTCAGTTAGGGTCCAGTCCTCTCAGAATCTAGATAATGCCCATAATTACCTAGGAGGTACCTAACCTAACATAACCTAATAAAATAAGTACAACCTCCTATCGCACCGATGTCAGGGAAAGTTACACAACCCGATAAGTAAATGCCAAATTCTACCATCGTTACGTACCTACCTACCTACCTAGGTAGGTAGGTACTGTATAGGTAACCGGTAGTAGTATGAAGCTAAACTGTTGTGGCGTAAGCTAGAACAGAATAGCTTCAAAATTCAACCAACCACATGCTTTGCGCAATCCCAATAGGGCAATCCTTTTTTTTTTTTTTTTTTTTTTTTAAAAAAAAAAAAAGGAATATCATGCCGCGCTTTACGATACCCAAGACAAACACATACTGTGTGACGCCACAAACTGGCCATCCCGCAGTAACACAGACATCCGCCGGGCGGAAACCCCGTCGCGCAATCCCCCTCTCTCTCTCTCTTGTACAAGAGGTACAAGGCGAGGCTTTGTGTTGATGTGGCACAATACCACCACCTATCACTTACCTTGGATGGTAGTCATAGCCGAAATATTAGGTACCTAGGTACCTAGGCAGACAGAATTAAGTAGGCTACGCGCAAGCCACCCGGCTTAGCTAAAGCGCCCATCAAGATGGCGATGCATGGGCTTTAGCGATAGCGAGAGTGAGGCCCGAATGTTATGACCGTTGGCCACTCGGTCCTCGTCAAAACCGTTCATTAGCGTAGTTTCAGCATCAGCAATACTACTACTTTGACAATCCGCAGCGCCGTGTTCACCTATGATACGCTGATCTCTTCGACTCTGCATCTCTTTACGCCATAGCCGATCACAGGTTGCGGAGTTGGGCTGGGTAGAAAATGGTCTTAGCCTCATTGCTGCCTGTTAAGACCCCTTCAACTTGGAAATCTTCCTTTCGTCGTGCCTCTATCCCCCAAGTGTTTTACCCTCTCATCACTTACTCTATCCCCGCCGTGAAATAGGTACTCCTATTCATTGTTTCGAAAGGGGCCGCCTTTAATACAGATCTGAACCCGTTCTATACCATTTGGAGACTGGATGCTCTAGTTTTCGTTTGGATCATTGGGGGAAGCGATTATTTACCTTTATTATACGCAAAAACCCTGAATTGGCGACGGTATCGATGGCGCCTCCCGACGTAATACCCTCCAGACAACGACTTTGCGATCGCTGTCTCAGATTGGACTTCATGAAGTTCTTTGGCAGCAAGTGGAAATACAATCCAGATGATTGCCTCATCACGAGAGAATATTATATCCCCCTCAGAATGCTAGGAGGGCCACTCAAGTCGATTGACGGCGGTGTATGTGCCTTATGTATTATCCTCTCACGCGCTGTGGATGTTTCGTTAGCAGGGACGGCCACTAAACGCGTCCAAGCGAAAAATTATGAACTAAGGGTCATCGCAATTTCATGCTCTCAATTTTCGAAACTCTTCTCGATAACAAATGGGCAACCATTGTATCTATATGTTGGTTCATCAACCAATAACCAAGGTTTGAAAAATGGCAACTCTGACTCCGATGAAAAAGAACCGAGACGGAGAGGTTGTATCGTTATAGAGGATACCTCGCGCCGACCAGAGCCACTACTAAATACTTATTTGGGAAGTTTCGACGCCCAAGTAGTTCTGAAGTGGATCACTCGGTGCTGGGACCTTGACGGGACGAAGTGCTGTTCCTCGAGCCAGCCCATTGATGACCTTTATCTTATCGACTGTCGGAATCGTACCGTCGTCGCCGTCAAAGGACGGCCCGCATACGTAGCTCTAAGCTATGTATGGGCTCCGTCAAGTAACGGGCTGGTAAATTACCGTCTACGCCATGGCGAAAATTGCGATTATCTACCTGATAATCTCCCCTTGGTAGTCACAGACGCCATGACTGTGACTCGATCCCTTGGTTTCTGTTACCTGTGGGTCGACAAATTCTGTATCGCTCAAGACCAACCAGCTGTCAAGCACGGACAGATCATGCAGATGGACGCTGTCTATGCAAATTCGGAGCTGGTCATCATCGCGGCAGCCGGTCAGGACGAGAATTATGGGCTCCCAGGAGTCAGTTGTCGTCCACGCGTAGTCATGCCCACGGTAGAAACAAAAGGCGTGAGGGTATCATGGTTCCAGGAACCAGAAGGCCTGATCGAGAAATCGAAATGGAATACCAGGGGATGGACTTATCAGGAAGCATTTTTAGCTCGGCGCCGGCTCGTCTTCCTTGATGACCAGATGTACTTCGAATGTGAATCAGCGTTCTACTCGGACATGGTAGAGGATTCTTGGACGCACAGGTACAGCACTGGTAAGAGCCGTGGCGGGGTATGGCGTGCTTCGGTCATAGCAGATCATCTTTATCATTTCTGTAATACCATCGTAGGGCAGTACACAGCGCGTGAGTTAAGCTACGATAGCGACTCGCTGTTGGCTCTTGGTGGCGTCTTAAACCACTTTCGAAACGCCGACTTTCGCTTCAAACACGTCTGGGGCATTCCTTGGGATATCAAAGATCGGAACTGTCGCGTGCTTAAACCCCAGATTTTCACTCTGGGATTGTGCTGGAGCCACATCCGGAATTGCTGGGATGGCCCTAAGAAACCTAGACGAAGGACCACTATACTTATGTTCCCCTCTTGGGCGTGGGCTGGATGGGCAGGCCAGGTTAGATACCTAACTTTCAGAGAAGAAGATCAATATCGCACTAGGATGTCCGCGATACGAATCTATGGCATGCATCTAGAGAACCGAATCTGTGACATCCATCTAGAGGACCTACATGGCAATACAGTTGCGTTGAGCACAGTGGCAAAATCAGGTGAAATAAGAGAGATGCTTCGGTACCCAATTTTATGCATCAAAACTTGGGCGATACCTCCTGATCGGATCGACCTCAAGGAAGGGCAAAATGGCGAAGTGCGTGGGAGCCTATGTGGATGTGAGGTGGATGTGTTCTTGTCAGAGGGAAAAGCCGAGCTATTGGACAAATTAAGTAAAACGGGAGGGCGATGGCGTTGCATTTTCTTAATCATTTATAGGGATAGTCGCGGACTTAAAATTGTATACACATTCCTAATCCTCAGAAAGGAGATGGATCAAAATTTGTGGGTGCGTGTTGGTATTTTGCAGCTAAAGGATTGGATAACGAAGCCGTTATTTGCCAATAAAGACACCGAAGCGTTTTGTAAAGAGGAATTTAAAATAAAGTAAGTAAAATTGGATGGGCATTAAAAGTGGTTATTTAACTTGGTGTCAGTGAAGATGTTTGGTGTATTTACATATTTCAGGTAGACATCACTTAATCCAGAGGTACTTTTTCATTGGTAATCATTAGTTAGGCCTGGTAACAGCGTCCTGGCAGCCATGATGTCATGAGTTCAACATAGTGCTAGGAATACCACTTCGGGGAAGCCTCGAGCTGGGTACAATACTATAAGGGCATAGTGTCAAGCGTACCTTATACTGCAACAACGCTTATTCATAGGACCTTGTACTAAAATCCTTCAAAGTCCTATATTAAACTGCCTTACATTATTTTTTAGTCCCATAAGGTACTTACGTGGTGACCTCACGTTAGAGGACAATCACCATCTCAGCACCGCACAGCTAAATACTTTGTGCTCAAATAAGAGAAGGCTACAAATATAATATACTTTACTTATATCAAATAAAATCTTAAAAAAAGGACTATGATATACCCTCTTGGGAATAGTTAGAAAAGCTCAACTAACTCAATTTATGGTTAATGCATTTAAACCTTTCTCGCACTTGAAGGCATACTTAAACCCACACTCTACAAATGTTGCTCGCACTACCTACGTTAAATGCCCCTCCCCATAACGAAGTTAATAACATGCTAAGTATTATACAAATACTCTAAAAGGACTCGGAGGTAAAGTTCACTAGACTTACAAGTAACTTTGGGTATGGATACTGGTAACCTGGTAACTTCATCGCTCTTACTTCGTACTTCGTACTTACATACGCCAAAGGTACCTGGTAATTAGAGCAAAAACAGAAAGAATAGCATTCACCATAAACACCTTAAAATACCATGTCCCAATGCAATATTACAAATACCCGTAATGAAGCCAATATAGAACACTGTAGCTACTAAAAAGAGCATTTAAACCCATTTAATAAGCAAGTACCTTTACGCCATTACACCTACGTATCTACAGAACACATCTCTTTATATGACAAGGTTTGCATTCTCTTGCCGTCTCATACAAAAGCCAAATGTGAGGGTGTGCGATTCAAAGCAATCAAACAGGACGAGACAAAGAGATATGATTTTGCCATTACTACCTACCTAACCTAAACTACCTCCCAATCCAACGCCTCATCTCCGCTTTACCTTATCCCATCTTTCCACCCATCCGCCCATCCATCCATCGTATCAATAGCCCATCACGAGAAACAACAACGTAACCAAAGTAGGTAGATATCTTTGAGAGGGGAACAATAAAATGAACCCAGGCTCGAAGGCCAGATGGAAAAACATCGCTCGCACTGTAAGACAAACATCCGCTAGAGAATTCGCCAAGTAGTAAGTAGCAGTAGTATTACATACCACATACCTACCCCTCCAAAACGCCATGCCCCCCTAATGCCGCTATATTCGTTAACATAAATCCCTCGCAAATCGTGTATCATGCACGATACGCCGTAACCGAGATGTATGAAATCTAAATGCAGCAAATAACAACAATCTTCAAAATTTGAACGTAAATCAAACGCTTTACTTCCCGGCTACGTTACCGTCTTCATAAACCCTAAATCCCTCTTCGGCATCCATCAAAGCAGGCTGGTTGCTGGGGTACTCGCTTGGGACGCTAGACGCCTGGCTCAGGTTGTCGTCCTCGTTCTTGTCGAAATCGTCCATGTCGCTCATGGCGTCATCGTCCACATGGATGCCAATGTGAGGCTCAAGATTGTGGTTTTCCGCATCCTCTATGCCCGGCCACGGCTCGTCTTCCGGGCCGCCGTGCAATTGCCCGTCCTGCCAGGATTCCTTGGAGACTTCTTGATGTGAAAAGTCGACCATGGGACTATCATCCGAATCGTCCTCGTCCTCGTCGTCCTCGTCCATGTAGTCTTCGTTATCATTAGGTTCAGTCTCGCTACCGCTGTCCCCCGTATCGCCCCCTTCGTCGACAATGACTGCGCTACGGCCGGCTCGTGCTTCGAAACCTGGAGCGTTGCTATATGGTGTGGCATAGAATGGTGTCGAATTGCGGGGAATAAACCCTTCAGGTGCGGGGCTGGGCGATGATGTACTGTAGCGTGGCGTGTTGCGCCGGCGAATTGATGGCGAATGAGTATTACGACGTTTTACGAGCGATGCGACATGTCCCGTCGTAGGAACTGCTCGTATGATTTGCGGCGACGGACGACGCTCGTACTGGTGGATATATGATGTTACTCGCCGTTTCGCTTGAGAAGGCGATTCTAAACTTGGTGCCGTTGGTGGCATAGAATTCATGCGAACATGAGGCGGCCTAGAGGCTTTGCGTTCTCTGAGCATTACCGGAGATTTAAAGCGAGAAATGGAACGGCTAGTCCCAAGAGAAGGAGACGGGCGGGAAGTCCCCGTGAGGAGACCAGGGCCGGGCGACATAGACATCCTATGCCAATTGTGCTGCGCTGCCTGTCGGAGACTAGTAGACTGAGACGTATGGATGCTTGCGGGATGCTCGTCGAGATTGTCATTCCACGCCCAGCAATCTTCCATAGCATCTGCCTCGGGAACTTCTTCACTATTCTGAGAGTCCCCATAAACACGGCTTAGTTCTCGCAGTCGCTGCCAGCTCCACCCATTATCGTACGCATCTTGATTCTGAAGGTACGCCTCGGGATGGGTAATGTAGAGACGTTGGATACCGGTCGCCTTCATGACTACGCTTGAGCGTAGAAATGGGACGTCCCATGTCACCGGCGTAACCATCTCGGGGGGTGATAAAAATCGCAGTCTCGAATCCTTGTGTATCTTGCGCAAAGGCACCCATGGAGATTGGAGACCAAGGAATTTGGTCACGCGGTAGTGTTGAATCGAGCCATGATGAACATTTGCTTGCATGCGGGAGAAGGTACGGAACAGAGTTCCAAAGGCATCGCATAGAGCTTGATGGACACTTCGTGCATCCGAACCACGAATAGTCACCTTCTTAACGAGACCCCGACTCTTAAGCCGCTGTTCAATGACGCGGTTGGGCGCACAGGCCCGGGCAAGCAGCCACTCTGACTCAAGCTCGGGCCCGACCCAGTCAATAAATTCGGCAGACTGAGACTCTAAAATAGACGAGCTATTAGGCAGCTGCGTCCACTGATCAGGTTCAACGCTACCGCCTGAAGGGCGTTGGCTCACGTAGTCGTGGAACTTCATCCATACACCCTTCAAAGCGAAAGGCAAAAAGACGACTTCAACCTCCCACGGGCAGGTGTACGACGGGAAGGACGACAGGCCTTGTAATTGATTTAACTGAGACTTCAAGGCCTGGAGCTGGCTATAAAGCTCTGCACGGCTCACCACGTACTCGCTTCCGACAGTTGAGACGGATGCTACGCTCGCCATAGACTCGTTAACGTTTAGGCGCCGGGCACGCGAGTCAGAAACCTGGGTGCTATCGTTAATCAACTTCTCAACTTCTTCCACGCGCGACTCGAGCTCAGTTATCCTCAGGTCGCTCTGATCGTGCCTCTCATCACAGCCGTCATGACCAACGGCTGAGACGGACGGATTTTCGAGTCGGTCCAATCGCTGTTCGTGCCCTTGAACGGCGTCGGATAGTTGTCTGATTGCCTGTCGGTTGAATCCAGGAGGAGATAAGCTCTGCCTCTCGGCTATATCCCCGTTCCTACAAGACCTGGGAGTGTTTGTAACAGTCTGTCCATCATCCACGGATTGATCCACGCTGAGCGCAACGGTTGTCTCCTCCTGTGGGTTCGCTTCTTCCTCGTGTTCTAGAGGAGGTTCGCATAATTTGGATCTAACACCACTTAGTGTTCCTAGCCCTTTCCCGGCAAACGGCCGTAGGTATCCCGCTCTAGCAGACGACGTCGTAGAGCTCGGCTGCGAAGAGATTAGGCACTGGCTTGGGATTGGGGGGAGTTGGCTTCCTTCGTCCGGCTCGGATTGAATTAGGTTGGCCCAGCTTAAAGTATCGGGAATAGAGGGTGGTGGCATGGGAGCCGCGACCTGATTTTGGAGCGCATTCTCCTGCTCCGCAAGGTTTGAAAAGGGGAATTCATTCAACGTATAAAATTCTATGCCTGGATCCGTCGGCGCCGGCAGCTTAAAAGAAAGATCCGGTGGTACTGGTGTGAGGGGCTCCCTACTGGTCCTGGGCCGCTCATTCTCCTGGCCATTATCCACGACGTCAGTGCTATTAGATGCCATTGCGACAGGAGGCTGGCTGTTGCGGATATCATCATGAAAACAGGCATGATGGGAACACATGCACCAAGCAGATTCATCCGATGCGATATGTCCATTTGGGTATCCAGTAGCATATCCTGGGGAGATTCCTGCAGAACTTCCTCTGCTCGTCCTGGGCGAGAAAGCACCGCGACTCCAGAAGCGACGACATCCGCACTTAGGTCCCTGGGCGCCGTGTGTTAAATCCACGAAATTGCATGGTCCGCCAGGAAGAGTTGGGGGATTAGAGATCACAGGTGCATCACTGTAAATATTAAAGAAAGGGCTATTTGGCAATGAGAGGTCGGGGATGGATCCTGCCATTGGGTTGAGCGCTCCTCGGTACGGGGCATCGAAGGAAGGAAAAGAAGATGAAGCGACAGAGGAATTGATGAGGGGGGATAGTTCGGTATTTATCCTCGACAGCAGAGAGCGATGGGAGAAGTCGGAATCCTAGGCGACCCTACCGGACGCGGCTGGGTCGCGATCCGAAATATCTAGTACATGGCACTGTTCCTGGTGTTAGTGTGAGTTTGGGAAGCTATCGTTGGGTTACGAATCCAGAGTCCTTGGGTAAATACTGACCGTAAGGGAAAAGAGGAAAGGGGGGAGGAAAAGAACAGGCTACGGCGACGGAGGAGAAGTCGTAATTTATGTACACAAGGCAACAGATGAGAACGCGCGTAATACCGAAGAGCAATGCGAAAGAAAATCGAGCTCGGCGAAGGGAGATTAAGAAATTCAGAAGTGAGGCGTCCAGATGGGATTGGTCCGAAGCTGATGGTGGGGGAGATATGGGAGATGGTACTATGCGAATGGAGTCAAGGTGTAAAATGCGGGTTGTGATAGCTGTGGAGAATGGGATGCAACAAGGTACGTAACTTGATATGCTTGATATGTAAGTAAGATGCAGTGAAACAAGTAATAATTATGACTCGACGGTGTTAAAAGGTGCAAGGGTGGGTGAAGAATCCCCAAAGTAGACGATACAGAAAGGTATTTGGATGAAGTGGGAGAACCCAAATAATTACCATCAAGGCCAAGTAGTTAGCCCAGTCAGCTTTTCTCTCTTATTCTCTCTCTTAGGAGGAAGGGAGGAGTTTCCCATTTCTAATAGGTCCATTGTTAGCAAGGTTCCACAATTCCCACTTTACGCGTTCTCCCTAAAAGAGAAAAGAGCGAATAAGAATCGCCGAGACGGGGTCGCGACCGTCGCGTGTTTAGGTAGTTCAGGTGAAGCGGAAACACGCTTATTGGATGGGAACATTTTAGAGATCCCTGTTAAGACCTGCGTCCATACCAGACGACGGAAAAGTACCTATAAGAGTTCCTACTCTAAACCCACCACCAAAATCCCATATAAAAATATAAGATCTGTCACATAAAAATACTTCTTACCTGTTCTTTTCATTATCAACCGCCTCACTAAACGATCCAACCATAAAATAAACCCGGTCAAATTGTGTAGCAGTTTTCATGCGAGCTTGAACTCCAAGCCGGACGCCTTACTCGACGTCCGCCCCGCGAGCAAGCTACCCCCCGTCCTAACAGAGAACCGACAATTCAACGTCTAAGCGCATACATGTATATTCCAAGTCACTATAGCAGGTAGATAAATAGGTAGGTCGAAAAATACGGAATACAGCTACCAACGTTACCAAATATAAAGTATCAATTTAAATCCCTTATTAGCTAACAGAAGATATAATGCTAACTTGCCTGCAAAGTCTTGATCATGTCTTTTTCTATTTCCTTTGAGATAAGTCATAACTGGTATAAATATGGTAGTAATAGTGGTAGTGGTATCTTATATATATGAAATATGCAATGCGAGATGCAATGTGGGTTGGTCCGGCTTTAAATCGCCTCATAAATCCCTAATGCCAAACATTCAAACATGCAACCGAACCAGGTACCTAAGCCCTGAAAACCCAATAATAGTAATACATAACCCGTCACGGCGTAGCTCGTTCGCACTGGTTTCGGTTTTTTTTTTTTTTTTTTCTCTTTGGTCACATTCAGACCTCGCCCCAACTTCCCATAGGCCCAGTCGTCGCAATCATCGAGCCTGTGCCGACAGAACCGCCGATATCCCAATAATGCCGGGATGATGAGGCGCTACTCTTCCTTACTGATTTCCGTGTGCTTTGGCTGGCGCAGCTTGAGGCATGCTTGAACAGGGGACTCGAAGGCACAGCCGTCTTGGACTTGCGCCTTTCTGCAGTGCGTGGCCTTGACATTAACGGGTGGTGTTGACGCACTCGAGCAACCTTGGCCGCTACGTCTTGCATGCTTGACGATGCCGCGCCGGAATTGCTAGAGATCGCACCACTGTTGCTGGATCGTGATGTGAAGCGCGATCTGAGATAACGAAACACGAGTCTTACATCTAATTCCTGTTCCCATTCTTCTTGCGTAAATGCTAGTGCGGCACTTTCTAATTGCGATTGCGACAGTGTATTAGCTTGACCCGACTTTGTCGGTTGTGTGACTTGAGGTACGTCGATAGGTTGCTGAGCTTTTGTAGCTAATGTCGGCTGGAATTCGGGTACGGCCGCGGGAGGTTCCTCCGTCCTCGCACTGGTTGTAGCGTCGTTTGCACTCTCCGGTATGGAAGGTAGACCCGCATACGGAATAGACATTTGTTGTACTCGACTAAAAGTCGAGAAGGCTCCAGGATGGTCAGAGAGCCGGTGAATGAGTAGACCGAGCTCTTTAGCGACTCGCTCCAGCATTTTGAGCTTCCATCCGGAATCTGCTGCATCCTCCGCTCTGGCGTCTGTTTGTTGAGACGCGGATGTGGACGTTAGCTTTGGTGTTGAGCAAAGGTCTTCTTCATCCGGCAATTCTTCACCAAATAATATGGACAGCATCTTGTCGTCAATTCCCAGAATGTCGCGAACGACTTTTCGAGTAATGCGTCCCAGGATACTTTCTCCATGTGTTCCTTCTTCGCTTTCGTCGTGGTCGTGCCATTCTTGGCCCTGGTCTACTGCGCCACGTGGTGAATCGTCTAGACCGCTCATCGTCACCACATCATCGTCCCTTTCTTCTACGGGGTTGGGTACCGACACACTGGCAACAGACCGTCGTCTCCTGCGCGTTTCTTTTTGGATCTCTTCTAAGAGGCAACGACTTTGTTCTAGGCGCCACGCTTCTATCCACTTCATTTTGTCCATTTCCCGCGTCGTCTCATCTACTCGTTCGATCTGATTCAAGTCTAAACTTTGGGGTCTCGTCACTCGGTGGGGATTATACTGTTCGAATGCGTAAAGTCGCTCTTGAAGGTCAGCGTTAATGCCATCCTGCTCTAGTCGGAACATACCCAGGCCATTATGGCCAGGGACGACAGGTGTTGCAAAGGGATGAGCATGAGGCGGATCGTAGAAGCTAGGACCCGAGCGAAATTCAGCGAGATGACTATCTAAACTGTCCAGCTCGGTATCGTCGTCTTCTTCGGCCGCATCAACGAAGCTCGAAGATTGTCGACGCTCGGCACTAGGACCAGATGGCGCAACTGTGCCAAGGCTTCCAATTTCACTCAGTCGCGAACGACCCGGTGTACTCGTAGTCTTATGGGTTGAAGTTAAGTAGGACGTCGAGGTGCCGGCATCGGTAGGGGGTGAGAAAAGAACCCAGGTCTGGGAATCTTGCACGGTTTGTGAGGTGGAAGCAAGCTGTGGCGACTCTTCGTCTTCAGGTAAAGGACGAAAAACTCGTTGAGCGGCCTGACGTGTAGGCTGATGAAAGGCCATTTTGGAAAGGAGAGAGGGTTCGGTTGCTGAGGTCGATAGTGGATATTCACAATGTATGACAAAAGGTGTTCTGCTAAGGAAGATCCCAGCTTAAATACCTAACACACGACGCTTGGGACAAGCTCTTGTGTACTAGAATGGAGTTGTTTCCTTTTATAAAGAGTGTTGAGCGGTGGTCAGAACAATCCGACCACAAACAGGTGAGGGGGCAGAAACATGGGTGAGGAGAGGCTACACGTAGAAAAGGTTCCGATGCTTCAATCTTTTGAAAATGGGTGGGCGGTGTCGACTAGATAAGGGATTTTGATAGAAAATCATAGGAGAGCAAGAAGTCAAGGCGGAATATGTAGGTGTGTGACCTGTCCGATTGGCGGCCGTAAGAACTGGAATTTTTAAGGGACCAGTCGATGATCTTAGGTCGCGTGGGACGTTTAAACGTTTTTTGGTGGTTATTTGGGGGTGGTTGTTGTAATTGGGGGTGCCAACTTTACCCTTCGACTTCGAATGCGAAATCGCAAAGGGGATGTGTACGAAGGTACCTTGTGCAGTACTTGTACTTGGTACCCAAAAAAGATACTAAAAAAAAAAAAAAAAAAAAAAAAAAAAAAAAAGAAGAAAAAAGAGCCCACTTGGTCTGACCCCCCTTATAATCAGGCGATCAGCCACCCCAACCGCATGTACCGCCAATTGAATTATCTAATCCGGCCAATCTGGGAGGTGAACAACACACAACATACGCTAACTAGCGGTTAGCCAGAAAAGATTAGACGCTAAGCCGATTTGATAATATCATATAGGTTAGGTATAGGTACCCAAGCCATTTGATAGCGACTTTCTTGAAAATAAAGGATTGAGGGGAAGATCATAATGGGTTTATCTCTGAAGGCAAATCAATTACCTCATTCTAACTCTTTGAAAATGGTTGAGCCGGTGACTCGGTGCTACCTACTGTTAAATGTTTTTGTTGTTTTAAATAAACTTTCCGCATGAGCACTGGACTTGACCCGTCCATAAGACCCGTCCGTAAGGTACAATAGTGTACCTGAATACCGGTAGATTACGGGTCTTCCCAGACTTGTGTTATCGTGGGCGTGCCATGATGCTTATCAGGTCTACAAGTGCCGTACCCACTCTGCCACTCTGCCACTCTAAGCAAGGAGTGAGTGATCTAAGCTCTAAACCGGCATACAACTCTTTTCACTTTTCACATACATAGTATAAGCTTTACTCGTATCAAACGTAAGCAAAACCTTCAAAGACTTTCTTTCCCAGATAATATAAGCCCCGTACCTTATTATAGAATTAAGAAGTAGAAAGCGTTAAGGCGCAGTACCTAGTCTGTGACCCGACTTACACTTATCAAAAGTACAACATCAAATGACAGCAAAGGAGTCAGTAAACTGACCCGTGATCAACGTCGATGACGCGATAAACAGGTGCAGTTTCGTATCAAAATTTATACTACTATTTCTCTTATTCGGTTATGTACCTAAGTATCCAGCAGAAAATAGAGTTTATAAGGTGCTTCGTAAGTCGATAACTTAATATGAAACCTAGCGCTAATTCTATATCCCACCTTAGGTACCTCACATTTCATACTTCCCTTTTTTACAATAAGTCAATTTTACTATTGCGAAATATGGTATCATTGTACCCCAAGCATATAAGGATTAATTAATAAGAATAAGATGAACTAAACAAAAACTCGAGGCAGCTCGAGACGAAGGGGGAATTGGCCCAATCATTATTAAATGGCAAAAATACTCCCAACCGTCACTTCACGTTGGTTGAAGCATTCATAGTGCCGATTTTTCCACAAAAGCAGACAACTAAAAATCCAAGAATAAAATGTTAAAGACCGCCGCCGAAGATCGGGTCCTTCGTAAACCGTGGCGGATGGATACGATGCGTATCTCACCCGCAGGCCTTTGGGTCGTTTGAATCAGTGCCGACAGACTAACTGCCAGTAACATGACGGTTCCTGAAAAGCTTGGACATAAAACGACAAACGTTTTACTTACCAACCTAAAGCACGCACACCCTTAATGATGGCATGGCCTGCATCTGCGTCGTACGACGATAAGAAGGGGGGGGCGACAAGTCGAATTGCGCCGTAGTAAATTTGTTGTTGACTGCACCCAGCCGGCGGATAGCGTCGACGTGGACCTGCGTATGTCATGAAGGCTCCACCTTTCCCGTTAAACAATGCGGCCGGTGGCAGACCGGCGGGTCCAAATCCAGCACGTCCCTCAGATCGAGAGGGGTTACCCAAATCTCAGTCGTAAGCGTAACCGTTCTTGCCATGACAAAGGAACCGCCACAGCCTCGCTAGAGACAAACCCCCACGAATATGATGAGGCTTTCTGAAGCCCTACAGTGACGACTCAAGCTAAGTGGAACTCGTTGAATTTGAGAATCTAATTGGTCTCCGTCCCTACGGATTGGACGTGGTTTGTTGTTTCTGGGGAGACGTGGATACGATGATCTGTCAGTGGAGAACATGGCTAGCGAATGGCAGCAAGCCTCCCCAGAGGATTGGATATCACAAATTTTCGTGATATGGTCACCGACTCTACCGCGACCAGTAAGGAAAATACCTCGCTGCCGAAGAGGTTGATCGAACATTGGGCGTTTCTATGGGGAGACATTATAATAGGTTCCGGACGCCGTTCAAATCCACACATTACGAAGGGACCCTGCATCGTATAACCAGAACGCCTCCAAGAGCAGCAGGCCCGTGTTTAGGGAGAGAAACTAAGTGCATACCCACGTGGATGTGGTTCTCCAGCATGGCCGAAGGCTCCTTACTTCCTAAATATGGATCTCTCGTAGGGAGAGGTGGAAGATTGCCTTAGGTACCTACCATCATCTTCGAAAGCTGAGATGTAGCTATGAGCAAGCCGAAAGTTGGAAGTAGAAGGAAGCAGTTATCCACCAAGTGGTCCAGGCGAGAAGATGAAACGGACGCCATCATCTCCCAAATCGTGCCAAGTTACTGTACATTCAATTACATGACATCAAGACTAACTTGGTATACAATTGCCCCTGGGCTAGCCTCTTATTTGCCCAATAAAAAGGAGATCGCCAAACTCTGTGGGTCCTGCTAGGCCGCACTGTCTTGCGTCTTAAGCACCGTTCCTCCGAAGGGCTGGAGAACCGTCTCCTTTTAAATGGGCCGCCGAGACCCCGGAAATTTCCAATTGGCTTACGCTGCTCCGGACGGTCCGGCTTATAGAAGCAGCAGTTTGAGGAACGCTAGAAAAGCTAGCTAGTCACTCGCTAGTCCAACGCTCGTACGGTCACCGGAATTGCCGGTATTCTCGGCCTAGGCGCAGTTATCTGGGGATTTGATTTGATTCTTGCTCAGACAAGTATATCATGAGGACTGGAGATTTTGAAGGAGCCTTTGACGCTATCAAGGCTAGGAAGATCGAACCTGCATACATCCTACCCTCAGTTTGATAGGTAATCGGCGACGAAGCTAGACCGAGTGACTTATTCGGTGACAGAGCCTTCGATTTCAACGTCTCCATCAACGCTCTTCAACGTGGGAAACTTGATCAAGTTAGTGTTATTCTTGACGGTGAGCTAGCCTCCAACAGATGCTAAAGCTGGGAAAGAAATGTCAACTATTTCATCATTGTCGGCGTATGTCATCTCTCTGGACACCGTTGTCAGAGCGGAAGTATTTAGATAGTTGAAACGATTGCTGTTGAACAGTGCTGGTCCGGCGACAGTCCTCAGGGATGGAACCCCGAGTTTAAACACATTACTAACAGATAAGTTCCCGACATGCTCAAAATTCGGGAGATTGACGGTAAGATGCTCGTCATTCTCAATAGCAATGCTCCCGGTCACGTTATTTACCGCCAGGCTAAGAATGATGAGACGGTAATTATATGTTACCACGAGATCTGCGACGGAAGGAGAATTGATATTCTCCACAAGTCGCAAAAAGGTGTTGCTAATAGAGATATTCCCATTCTCGGCTATGGACACGCCGCTATGCGAAAAGGAAAATACTCCCAGGGACCGAAGAGTAAACCAATCTATCGGACCTATGCTCTCGAGCTGCGGAAACCGAAGTGCCGCCAGTTGGATGACGTTGTGCATCCGAAAGGTACCATCAATCCTTTTCAGATTGTCGCCTTTTAACGAAACCAGCGAGGGGGGATTCTCAAGGATCAAATCCCCGCCAACAGTCTCGAGATCCAAAATGTGGATCTCTCGCAAGTTCACAGCATTGGCAACTGGGTCGTTGTCGACGATCTTGACGGAGCCCGAGAAGTGGTGGCAGCTTGATAAACAGTGACATCGGCTAGCGAGCTGCTCGTGGTCGTAGGGTCGTTGCATTCCGCTAGAAACCGTAGGATTAATCCCCCATCCTGTGAAAAGATACTATCTAAAGACAGGAAAGGAAGGGTCTAGCGTAGCTTACCCACGACAGAAGACGCCGCCACGAAGGCGAAAAGGAGTGAATTTGCGGTCATGAGAGCGAAGCGACTATGAATTAAAGCAGCCTGGTACCCACGCTTCTATTTACTAATAGACCATATTCCCAGGAAAGCCTCCTATTTGATATTATTCAGCATTAAGCCCTACCATGTGCTATCGTCGCGATAAAAGTTTTGGCCAAGCGCATGCTACATTTCAAGCGCTACCGGCATCCGATCCTCATCGTATCTAGAGCTGTAACCTAGCTGGTAAGTATACACTACACTACATACTGCCTAGCCGAGCAGGCAGGGGTCTTGAATTCGGGCATGGAGGTCCCTCGGACGCCACAAATAGGGAACGCAAGATAACCTATGTACAACCCCCAGGGGTGTTAGTAAGGCGGTTGGTTCCATATACAGGTACCTAGGTAGGTGTGGTGAATGGTTTAACCTAGTGTATTCCTCAAACCTCGATGGGATAATGAGATTCGAAGGTTGCTTTTGGCATGATTTTCTAGCCTTGGCCGTCGATTTTCGTTTCCCAGTGCTACGCTGTGGCCTTTAGGTAGGTTTGGTATTGTATATATAGGTATGACTTTAGGTATCATTCTCAATCCGTAACTTGAGGTGATTCTCTGATCGGTAGCCTTGTCGCGGTTTGATACCATGCGATATGATCTTAGGTGCTTGGTTAATCGTGGTTGAAGTTCTGTAAGAAACGGCTCACTATCTCCCCTACTTATCCCGTTGGTCCTCTTTTCTTTTCTTTTCTTGTGGCTGTCGAGATTTATCACTACCATAAGTAAGTCCTTAAGACGTCAGGTCTTCATAGGCGAAGTACCATAGGCAATAAACTCTCTTGGCTTCGGCCTTTACATTCCACCAACTCTGATATTAGCATACGGAACGCTCTAGAAGTCACGTATAAAGTATAAGGCAATAACAGGTAGGTAGGTAGGTAACCCCTGGATTGACAGACTTGTCTACTACGGACTAGCAAAGATGAACTAAAAATTCATCCCAGGTTCTAGGTAGCTCTTAGAATTCTCAAGCGCACTTGGCAATTGAAGATCTCCACCAAGAGCAACATGTTAGTCTCACTAAAAACGACGATTTCTGGTGGAGGCTTATCCCGGGGTGACGCTGCGCTCAACAGCATAGCTTAGGTACATATGCTACCTCGCCCGCGGACTTTTTAATGTCAGGTACCTAGCCTACCTAAGGTATGTGTAGCTTTGGATTGTAAGAGTTCTAGAGTTATGGAGACTAGTCCGTCTTTGATTTGCCTACTTAATTCTATTAAACCGGATGTACCTGAGCTTCGAAACGGTCGCTTGATATCGCGGATGTAACCGCTTATGCTCGTCCGTGGAGTCAACAAGTGTCTACCGATCCGGAGACTAGTTATCGTAGATAGTCCTTCGCCGCAGCGGCGAATAATCAGTCTTGGAATGGACTGGGCCAACTCTCTTAATATCCGATTTCTAAGAATAGGTAGGAAATACCAATGATAGGTACTGAAGATGTGAAGTTCTTCAATAGCATGGTCGAGACTGAGCGAACTTATTACCTCGGTAACATAATCTGACTCAACTAAGCTTCTAGAAAGCATTGGCGTGGGAACCCTTGAGGTGGCGTCTTCGAACTTGACGGCAACTCTACGGATTAGAAGAATCGTACGCGGTCTACAGGCTACCTAAGGTGGGCTAGAAATATGGTCAAGTGTAACAAATGTGTCATATACCCATCTAATCAGACGGATAGTACCTAGGGTATCATCTAATTACATACAATCTCGAAGTTACTCAGTCAGCAAGTAACGTATGTAGCAACTTGTACCATCACATACTCGTAGCCATCCGGGATCGGCACTAATCGACGTCCGTATTACAAAGGCTTACTACCTTCTTGCGGCGGGTTTTCTTTTCGTCTAACGTCAATGATGATGAGAGGAAGATCGTTTACCGAAGTGAAGGCCTTATTCATCAATTGGGCTGCTTCCTTCCAATCCATCGGTATATATTTGCGGTGAATGTCGACTAGGCCCCCCTTCCTCATCTTTCGCCGAACTGAAAGTCCGCTTTTTCCTGATACATAAAGTTTGGAAAAGAGCAGATTGATTTTGCCATCTGAATTCCATAAATCAGATACGCTCTTCAACATTTCCATTACCTGGTCACTTTGGCCCTGAATGATGGCATAATCTCGGGAAACGACCATGAGGTCAACGTTGCTCCCATCCACCAAATCATGAAGGGCTATTGCCTCCTTGAATTCCGTAACTTCTACGGCGACTTCACCATGTGGTCGCCACTGAATTGGATTACGACCGGTTCTGGGCACCAAAATGCCTTTGCGGGCTGGAAGCGGAACCCTTTTCGATTCACTGGCCGGGCAGGGGTAGAGAGCCCTGATAATGTTGTTTTCGTCAACTTCATAAAATTGAAGTTTCAATGGGGTTGGATTTGTTTCGTCTTCATCTCTCTATCATAGAAAGGTTAACATACGACTTTCTTCTCCTACTAATAGGTCTACATACCTTGCGTTTATGACGGGGCTCGCCGTCTTCGGTGTCTTCGGTCTTGACGAAACCGCTAGTCTCCTCGCCCAAGGGAGGACTAGCCGTAGCTGCAATTTGAGGCGGCATCTGTACCGAAAATAATGTGTCTACTTTTTCAAGTTGGTAATAGAACCCCTCGAAGTCTTATTAGAGCATGAAGACAGGTGCCAACTAATTAGTAGCTGATGAAGGGGGGGGAGTCGAGATTGAAGTAGGTAACAGACATTCGATTTGAATGTGGAGAGAAAAAAAGTGATAATAATGGAAGACTAGTGCAGACAAATATACCTCTAATCCATCGTGGTCCATGCCTCGTGGCTTATGTTGTTGTGGGAGAGAAGGCACTATTAGTTAAATCGCTACCGATACTTCTTTCCCGCACAGAAGGTTGGTCATATGTAACTGCGATATCGAGGCATGGAGGCAGCACTCTGTTCTGAGCGCACCTGCTTTCATGCGATCTACAACTTAAAAAAAGGATTGATTTTCCTGGTTGGCAGCTACTTTCAATGCTGTTAATATGACAGAATGATAGGAGGTAGGTACGTAATCTCTTTCTAATTGATACATGGCTCCCCTATTCCGTGCACATAACAACTTATAGTAATTAACCACATTTTCAATGAGGGCATCTCGGTAAATACGTCGAATATTTTACTACAACAGGGAGAATTTAGGGAAGAAATTGGGAAATAAATAAGTTGACTGCCTTTTATAATCGAGTAGTATAGTTGTGAAGTCTTAAGAGAAGTACCTTATAGGTCGGAGGTTAAGAGGTACCTTTAAGAACGAATTGAAGTTGTTTGTACAGTAAATACTAGTGTAGACACTGTGTAAACACTACGGATTATCATAGCACGCTACGATGCACCGTCAAAACCTTAAGTGACTTTTTTTCGTCGTTGGATTGAATACATTTAAAACAAGCCAAGATGTGACATAAAACATTTGAAAAATCAGCACCTACCAATACAGGTAGGATTCAATCTGCATTGCACGATCGCGAATCACAGCACGACACATTCGACCTCGTTTGAATTAATTCTTGACTATGACGTACACGCAGCAAGCCTACTCAATTCTAACGCGTAAACTAACAACCGCTCTTACGCTATTACGCGTAAATGCAGTTATACTGGTCTGTGCAAAATATACTATAGTAGAATGGGTTGGAGGAGATGAGGGTTCTTCCCCTTTCCATTCTTCGACAAGGACAAGGGCTCACCTTGTTACGAAGTACACTACACACTGACTACACTAGAAGAAGCACGGCATTATCAGACGATGATAGTGGGTTCTCGGACCTTTATCACAGCTTTCATAGGGACGATTGGGACGGCTGAAACGGCTAGCATAGCCCTGCCATCCTTACCCCTGCTCTTCATAACATCTATTCCTTATGCATAGTCACACAAAGTCGCACAAGGTCGTATAGTGTAAATCCCACGCCGGCAACAAGCTAACTCGTCCTTGCATTACATTTGGGTAGCGAGTGATGCGCGGGAGGGAATACCTAGTGTAGATACATAGGTACCTAAGGTAGTAACCCGGCTGCCCGGTGAGCTTCTGCTTAGATTCACAACCTTATCCACACTTCTCAATTCTTAATTCTTCACATATACCACCTTGGGCCCTGCCCTCGTATATTCGACAGCTCTGTTACTCTGGTACGTTGGTGAGCACGTACGACTTAGTACAAACAAACATGGGCGAGTGAGGCACAGCTGAAATACCCTCAGTCAGCATCGGGAGGGTCTTTCTCATGCAACAGATATGAGCAGTTTACAAGTCTTTCGAGAGGAATTCAAAGTGCAAAGTGCATACACCGTGGGGGCAGAACTCGATGTTGAACAGCATATCGTTTCTGAAAGACAACGTGTCTACCCGTTAACTACCTCTACTTATTCTCAACTGCTCCCGTAGCATATCGGTATTCGTCATGTTCCGCCTTGGAGAGATCAAGTCTTTTCGGTCTACGATACCTTCGAAATAGAAGCCGTTCCAAACTAAAAGATCTTCGTTAGATCTAGTGATACTACGATTAAATACCGGGTGTGCAAATGACAGCTCTTGTCTTTATATTTATATACTCTTCGAATCTAGACGACGACTTATCCTTGTAATGTCAAATTAACGAAGCATTTGTCGGTTTCATTCAGCGTACCATCAATGCGCAAGTCCAAACCGGGTCCAGTCGCTCGACATATCACTCTCTGATTGGCTCAGCATCAAGAAATTGAGGAACTATGCGTACCCTGGTCGGCCTTGATGCATCCACCCATGAGACCCATGAGCAACACTTATCCCGGAGCGGCTCGCGTGCAATCACTTGCTTAACCATCCACCTTACTCCGTGATCCTTGCTCCAATAGTGAAAAGACCCGGCCGGGGCGATCATGGAAGTAGGGAGGGGGGTGCCTGGTTAGGCTCTGGTGTTAGGTCCACCTTCATACAAAAGAGCTGAGAGACCCTGCACACGTCTAGTGTATTCTCGATCTTAGTTGATCTCTCTTCATCCCGGTTTCCTGCTGTGCGGTGGTTTCTTTCGTTTCTTGTTTCGCTTCTCTTCACTCGGTTTTCCGTTCGTACGGACGTATACCTTTAGGGTATAGAAACTGATTTTTATTTAAAAAAAAATAAACTCGGGATGGATATTATCGTAATATAGGTAATCTAGCAATCATGGCTCGTATGCGATCTGACACGTACACGTCCGTCGTCGAGTCGTCCCGAAGACCGAGTATTTGGGCGGGCAGTTTGCGGCGTGATCACATTCGCCTGGACGATCTGCAGTCCGATATGATTCAAGAAGACCAACCGTACACACCGTCAAAGTCAGGACCGTCGAGTGCTTCAAGACCTTCGTTTGCCTGGCCTTTTCACGGCCGTAATGCTTCAGAAGTACCCTCAACCGCGAGATCAAGCCGCTTTACGCTTCGAACCTGGGGACAACCCCGAAGCTTCCGCCCTCAATCCGATACTGCAAGTATCGACAGGAGTATCGTTCCGGATTATGTCGTCAACTTCTTGAGGGGAGAAACGCCCGAGACTCTGGCACGGAAGAAACAGCAAAGGAAATGGGGTGAGCACGGTGTTGAAATCACGCCTCGCAGGGGGACATTTGCGTCGCATCCTATCGAATATGGACATTATTCCTCTAACTTGGATTCTGGTCGTGATCTTAATACAAGCGGTAATTGGAGTCAACAAAGCACCATAAGGAGACACATCACCGGATGGCGAGGCGGAGTTATATTCAACACATTAATCTCATTTATAATCTTACTCGCTGGAATTATTTGCTTAATACTGGTCATCACCAAATCTAAACTTATTTCTGGAGAATCGTCCATATTTTCAGGCGACTGCATGACAGCCCAGCACATCAACGTCGGAATTCACCTTGCCATCAACATCGTTTGCGTCGCCATTCTTTCCGGTGCGAATTATGTGTTCCAAGTTCTCTCGAGCCCGACGAGGCGGGAGCTGACGGCAGCGCATGAGAGTAAGAATTGGCTTGATATCGGCATACCCTCGCTACGCAATTTCACACACATCTCGGGGTTCCGAGCTTCGATCGCAATCATTGCCCTCCTGAGTGCGATCGTAACTCAAGTAATGTACGTGTAGTAGTAGTCGACCAAGCAACCATTATATTATGCTAACAGTTAATAGCTATAATGCCGTAATATTTACGAGTCAAAATATAGTCAACTACGACGTCCTGTTCGTAACACAATCGTTTCTCGACCACGCTCCTTTTAACACCGATACCAAGTTCAACGAGGGTGGACTATCTAGTATCGATATCGCCAGACTCCAAGATGCTAGCAGCCAATCTGGGCTGACCGACTTGGACCCGACGACTTGTCTACACGAATTTAGCGATATTTTCCAACCTTCATTTGATGCTGTTTTACTTATCACGGACTCGACTTCCACTACATCGTCTCTCATTCATACCAGCAAGTCTGGTACCCCCCTAACCACTTTCGTTTCCAATAACAACGATATCGTAGCCCCAGACGGCTCACTTGTTCAGCACTGCCTCGCGCGCCCCAGTACGCCGCAGACCTGCAGTGTCAACCTTAGCGGTTCCATCCTAGGAGTTGCTGTACTACTCAACCTCGTATCCGTCATTAGCATGGCGATCATTCTAGCAAGATCTACTTTCGATCCTCTCGTAACACTCGGCGATGCGATCCGTTCGTTTCTTCGAAATCCTGACCCGCCGACAGCCAATATGTCCCTATTGACAAAATACGATGTCAAGAATGGCCGCTGGGGCTCTAGCGAAGCGCAATTTTTCGTTCCAGCTAATCACTTCTGGGCACAAACTCCGACGCTCCCCCGTTGGATGCTAATGGCATTCGCTTGGCTCATGATAGGGACACCAACCGCGGTTGCTGTCGCGTTCCTAGTCCCGAAGGTCGTGGAAAACCCATTCACGTCCTTTGGCGTTGCGGTGCCTCACCTAACCTACCTTCTCCCCTCCCCTGTTCAAACAGCGCAGATGGCACTCTTCGCCGCCTTACCCCAGCTGTTTCTCGCTATGCTCTACTTCGTAACTAACTCTCATCTCACGACGTACTTCCTTTCTCACGAGTTCTCGCTCTTCGCCCTCAGCCCTCAACCTCTCCGCGTCTCTTCCAACCCACTCGGCGGGCAAATTACGAGTTTCTACCTGACACTACCTCGCCCTGTTTCGTGGGCTCTCATCGGTTGGTTCGCCGCGATGGGATTTGCGCTCAGCCAGGCCATGTTCCCCGGCGTTATCATCCTCTCGTCACCTCATTCGTCGCAGCCGCTTTCCAATAAGGTCGTAGCCATTTCGTTCAGCACACAAGCACTGATCGCGTTGCTCGGTCTCTTAGTAATCCTCATACTTGCCGTTCTCGGCCTCGGATTAAGACGTGCCCCAGCGGCGTCGCTTGCTAGCGGGGAGGTCAAGGGGAATCCGCTGGTTTTGAGCGGCGGCTCCTGCAGCGCTGTGATCAGCGCCAAGTGCCACAACCACGATGTTATTGCGCCGGGCCAGATTATGCGGGACGACGATCGGAACATATGGCTTCGTCCTGTCGTTTGGGGCGTTGTGGAGGAGGGAGCTAGTATGCGGCCCGGCCGTTGCGGATTCTCGTCTAACGGAACGGGGTGCGTGGATGTAGGGCGGGATTACGTTTAAGGCGTAACGGAAGATCTTCCCCATATTAACGCCGCCTTATTTTTCTTTTTGGAGATTCACCGGGCAGGGCGGGGGGGGGGTTTGGTTTGGCATTGTTTTTCTTTTGGGATTTAGCGATAGCAAGGAATGGACTAACTGGTAACTAAAGCTTTCTATATATTATACCCATACACACTACAATCGCGGGAAGCGGGAGCGAGAGCATTTATTTTTATTCCTCTTCCCGACCCCTTTTTTCAGGTCCTACGGTTCTATATTTGGGTTCGGGAGTTTTCTTTCTTTTTCACTTTTTCACATGGAACCTATCTATATCGATCGATCGAGATGTTGCGTGACGAATTTAAAGAGAAAGCGGATACGTCGATTATTTATACGTACGTTAAAATATGAGAGGCTGGGGGTTTTATCAGAGCGCGCGGGTGCGGCGGGCAAAGCGGTGGCAAGCAAGCAAGTGGGCACGGGGTTACCTTAGGTACCTCCTCCCTTATAATAATTTCTTCTGGAAGTCTGATTGATGGTTATTAGAGTTCACAGGAAAGTTAACACTATTGCGAGATTGATTCTCGCAACCTACTTAAGTACTTTAACGTTAGAAATATCTAAGGCAGGTAGGTTAGGTTAGGTAACTTTACGCAACGTAGAAAATAAATGAAGAATAAATAAAGATACCTTAGGTACCTGGTACCTGATACCTGGCTTATATCATCTACCAGTGAAAGGACTCTTTACAACAAACACACTTGAAAGAGTTATCTAATCGAAACTCGATATCACTTACCTACCTAACCTAAGACGTTCATCAAGTCACTTTCAACACACAGTCCAAGTCAAGTTCGTTGAAATTGAATCATAGAAATAAAACCTAGAAGAGCTCTAACCTAACGACTTTATAAAAGCTCTTCCACCTTTCTTCACTTTCCACGTTTATTCTCCTTCCATCACGATACTATGTAAGTACCTAACCAAAGACTCCGACTCAAAAAACTCCATAAACACCTTGCGCAATGCCTACCTAAGCTAAGGTAAGGTAGATAGGAGGTAGGTAAACAAATAAACATCATCCATCCATGCTAGAAAAAAAAAACCATCGCATAGTTAAGTATAGTTAAAAATATGACGAAAACAACAGACAGACAGACGGACAGGTAAGTAGGTCCTTCATGTTATAGCTACCTACCTACTTAGGTACCTAACCTCCTTTTCCTAGTCCAGGATCCGGCCTCGATTCGAGAACCTAACCTAACGTTAAGTACATGAAAATAGCAACAGGCCAGGCAGTTCAGTTAGTTATTCTCTTTCCTTCGTATCTTCCTCCTCTTCCTCCTCCCTTCCTCTCTTTGCCTCTTTCTCATAGTACGTAACGTAACCAAATGCTGACGACGCCTGTGCCTGTGACCCGCGTGGTAATGCGAATGAATTGTCCGTGCTATCTAAAGCGATAGATATATATATATATATATATATAAAACGCCACCTCTTACTTAACAAGGCCTTTTGTTTTTTTCTTCGAAAAAACGCTTGAAATAATGCGCTGCTGTAGTATACATATCGGTACAGAACTAGTTTTTCCTCTTGTGCCATGCCTATCCCTTAATTAATCCGCAATAGCTTCCTCGTCGACGGCGCACTCCTGCGATTGCGGGACCCCGTTTTTGGTATCCATCTGGATGTTAGCCCTCGCCTTCTCTTGCGACTCGACGAATTTCTCCCAGTACAACGGGTCTTCTTCGCGTAACCTCTTGACTATTTCTTCCCTGTGCTGCTGGAACGCGCGGACGGGCCCCTTTTCTTGAATGTCCTTCTTGATTATTTCGTCTTCTCCCATTAATTCGTCCATTATACTCGTGACTACCGTTATATGGCTAGGGTCATTTCCAACCTTCTCGGAGCTAGTGAGTAGATCGTAATGTTCCGGCTTGATAAGACCCGAACGGAATATTTGGTTAAAACGAAAGGCTCGGCCTTCCTCTTGAACGAGCGCTTTCGAGCTGTGAGAGATGATAGAATTGGATCGGGATCGAGACTGGGGTGAGCGAACCTCGGTTTCCATATCCTCGGTATCTGATAATAGAGCTGCATCGACCTCGGCAGAGGAGAACGAAGTACGACTGGGCTCAGATGCAGTAGTGGTCTGATCTGGAGGGCCGACCTCCAACGACATTTGACGCGTCTCTGGGAACTCATCTTCGAAGCGTTTTATGATGCCTTCAATTGTCTGGTCGAGGAATATGAGACGGTCTGTGGGTAGTACGGTTAGCAATTGCAAACATGAAACGGGAAGCAAAAAAGCCTTACGATAATTGTGGATGTCCTCGTTGGAAGATGCTTTGGCCATAGCCAGGGCCGGCTGTAGCCGAGCACGAATTTTCCTCGCGCTAATAAGCAAATATTTGGACATATCCTTGACCTTCCCTGGAGGTAGACGAGTTTGGGGCGTCGAGGTACCAGATTCGATGTCTCTAATAAATTCACTTGAAGGCCGTCTAGTATCGTCTCCTCGGTTCTTCAAGACGCATGCTAAAGCCTTTACAACACCCGTACCGCCAATGACATAATCCTCATCAGGAGCCGGCTCGATATCACTATCCGGGTCCACAAAGGGAGAATCTTCTTCGTGGCCCACAAGATGTCGAAGCACCTCTGGTAACTTCTCTTGCTGCCCGTCCTCGCCGGCCGAGTCTCGAATATCTGGCACGCCCTGCATGTTACGCATGCAGTACACTACTACGCGGTTTGCTAGCGCCTTGACAATTTCACCCGACTCGAGGCTGGGGTTATCTATATCGACCTTGATCAATGACCTCGAGACACGGGCGGCAGCCAGAAGCGAGGCATATACCGCGCATGCTTCTTCCTGGCCCTCTTCACTCCGAGCATCGGCTAAACTAACGATAGCCGAATTCTCGAGTAAATTGATATGCGCTAAGGCCTTAATTTCGGGCAAAATCTCAGCAAGAGAAATTACTTGCTCAGAAGACAACGAAACATCTGCGAGATGCAACCTCCTTAGGCTATCCATCTCAGGTAGGTATCTAATAAGGCAATATTAGTAAGATGAGGTTCAATAGGTATATGGAAAGGAAGAGGGAATTGTTGACTTACTTGCGAAGCAATCCCATGGCATTAGGCTCAGACTCGAAGAGCGCGCGATTGTGTGACAAGTCGAGGAACTTGAGGTTAGGGAGCTTCGCCAACTTGGGAAGGATCTTGCATAAGGAAGCCGGTATTAAATTGCAATTAGCCAGGCTCATAGCCCATAATTCGTCATTTTCATCAAAAGCCTCGGCAATATCAGCGATATGGTCTCGTAAATCGTTGCCACCAAGGTCAATTCCCTCGCATTTCGCATTGCGCAGATATCTCGCCACATGTTGAGCACCTTGCGCGTCAAGGTTGTTATTGGCTAATCCTAGCCTTTTCACTCCCGATTTGAGAATTCCGTCGATGATTGCACCTAGTTGGTTTGCCGTCAAGCCGGTAGAGCCGATGTTGAGAAGTTCCAATACGGGGCCAGCCAGACGTTCCCCGATTGCCTTAGAGAGTAGGAGGGATAAGTCGATTGGAGAAGAAGAAGCATTGTGTCCAGTGCTATGATGCAAATGATGGCTGATGGACGTCTTTGTAGGTTCTACAGGCGTAGGAAACGGTAAACTCGAGATATCAAGATATTTAATAGAATGGCACATATGAATAAAGAGGCAAATATGTTTCCAGCCTTCGATGGTAATCTTGTTGTTGTTCTTGAGCACGAGCCTCTCCACGACGCCACCTTGCTCCGCCAAGTCAGCGGGTTTAGTACAGCATCGCCGGTGTCTAGTGTTCGTTGTTTTCCGAGCCGCTAGGAGTCCGGCGAGGATAACACGAACACCCTCGTCGGTTAATCCGCAGTTTTCCAAAATAACCTCCTTAACAGGAACAACGGCAAGGAAATCCCCTAACGTGACCAAGTCGGGTAGCGACATAAAATATCCGGTAAGGTCTAGCTTCTCCACTATACCATTCTGACAAGACTCGGTGCTCTTGGGGAATTGTAAGGTAATCTTGGTAAGAATATCCGTCTCTCGAAGCTGACAACAACGGCGATATATCCTACCAGGGTTCGTCGTAGGCGCTAGCTGCGTTTTTTGCGTTCCGGACCGTATCGAGACTTCATCTGTTGAGCTGTCACTATCGAAATATAATTCCATAGGAATTGTTCCCTTCTCGAGAGCTTCTCTGCGCTTCTGCTCTTTCTTGGCCTTTCGTTCTGCCTCGCTCTTCTTCTTCTTTTCCTTCTTACGGGTAGTCTCCTTTTCTTTTACAGGCTTGTCGTTTTCTGTAGTAGCATCGTTTCCCTTTGGATCTCCGTTCGCCACTTGGCTACCCTCTTTCTTAGGCTCCTTTGGCAGGGTTTCTCCAGTCGCCTTGACTACTCCAATGTTTTCCTTCTGCTCTTCCAGCGCCCTTGGGTTTTTTAAAGCTTCACCTTCGCCCCTTTCCGTGATCTTCTTTTTCTGTGTTTTATCGACGGGCTTATTGGGCGCCGCTGTTTCTTCTTCCGTATACTTAGGCATGGGCGCAATCTCGACATCAACGCAGAATGCGACGCGACGAAGTTTTGCTTGGCATAGCTCGTTCACCCGACACCTCTCTCTATGCTTGTCGATATTAAGAATTCTCCGCTCCACGAGGCCATGGCTAGCTCTAGAGCCAGGCGCGATGACACTACTCGAAGATGACAAGCGGCGAAAAACCCCTAAGAAGCCAGGCTGAGTCGTTTTTGGAGGCGCGGGTATATACGGAGCATCGCCGGTCTGTCGCGACGCATGGGGGAGTACTGCATTCTTGTTTGGCGTGATCTTAGGTAGAGGAGCTACTTCGTCGTCGTCGGACTTCGTAGTGGCAGGAGACGCGGTATTTCCATTGGCTGGAGAGGTAGAGAATTTAGACGAGATATTGGAAAACCATGAGCCTCTCCTTTGCGGTGGCGTTCCATTTTGGCCTTGCGATCCTTCGACGGATTGACTCCTCGCCCTACCCATACGCTGAGGTATCGGCTTACTCGCAGCCGGTGGGACCGTCGGTGGAGATAGGGTGGTATGCGTTAAGGGGGAATCATCTGTTTTACCATTTGATTTGCTTGGGGTTGGAGGTTTCGGGCGATTCGAGGAGTCTTCAATATGGTTGGAAGAATTCCAGTTGACACCATGGTTGCTCCAGTTGTCTAAATTTCCAAAGGTCCGTTAGTCTGTACAAGATAAGATATACTTACAAAAGAAAAAGGCAAAAGGTAAAAGACGTAGACGTCAGGGTATTACCTTTTCCATGCGTCATCCAGCTCACATCCATAACATGCTCCATACTGAATACTGCCTCCTTTGGGCTCTCTGACCTCTCTGACCTTACTAGCCGATATCCCCGACAAACACACTTCTCTTCGAACGACGTACGGAAATATATACCGAGTTTCCCCTTAAAAAATACACGCGACTAATAAGAAATTCCGTACGGGCGTATCACTTGGTCTTGTCCTAAGATCGTGGCAGCGGAGCGGGTCTTAGGGTAAATGCTAGCTCAGTCGGGCGTCGGTTGGAATAGAGTAGGCTCTATGTAGAACAAAAACCCGGATGATATGTATTGGCATTCGCAAAAGTTGTAGGTTGTTAGTCGCCAGTTGCTAATTGCCAGGTCAAAGGAGATAAATAAAGAGGAATTGTTTGTTTTCGCTGCTAAAACATTGCCGCCAACGGACTACGAATATATGTATTCGCTGTTCAAGCAAGGGCTACGTCCAGGCCACGTCCATTTTCGAAGGTTCTTAGCAAAGTTGCTACTTGTATCCGATATCAAATTTATCGGGTGATGCACCCCAGTTCCAAATTCTTAAGGGTTAAAAAATAATTTAAAAAATAAAAAAATAAAAGAAGACAACAGGGCACGGGATGAATATGTAGAAAGAGGCTAGAGCTTTAGATTTGGGTGGGGTTAACAAGAAGTTCCCATAAGAAGTGATGCAATATATTTATCAGGGTCAATCCACTACCACTTTGGAGCTTTGGACTAAGGTAGGGCCGGTTCGGTACTGAGCAGAACTCTTGAGTGGATCGGAGGTTTACGATGGCCGAGGCGATTAATAATGAACAAGAAAGAGCTTTTCGATGGGTCGTATTATTTATTTCACGATGGTAATGATAGAGAAACAAAAAAGGAGTTTAGTGAAAGAGGCGAAAAGAAGGTGAAATATAGAAAATACAGAAAACGATTAGGAGATGAATGTGTAAATTTACGTCAGCAGCCACAATCGCCGGTGCAACACAACCCCAGAACTGCATCGAATTACATGTAAGTTGCAGGTATCTAACCCAAGGTACGGATTACATGAATTTTTATGCATTTCATACATATTATCTTAGGTAAGTAAGTCCCTACCAAAAGTATTTAATTGTACCTAGGTACATATTAGTTATTCAAGGAAGCAATCTATTAAATTAATGAAATTCGGTAAGACGTAGCACAATACTTCCGTGCGATATCGTCGAAGTTCGAAGATGAGGCGGGCAGTCAGGGTATATTTCGTTATTGACGGAGTCGGCTTCAGCGCTAATCCAGCTAAAAGGGTGCATGGAAAAGGGTGCTTTTTTACAGTGGGGTCACAAAGCCGCTGTCAATCGAGTAACACCGGACCTTACAGGGGAAGATATGTAAGTATCTGCCCACGTAATCATTAAGGGTAAGATACAAATCTACGAGCAACATCTACGGGGTATCCCCCGGTACATACCGCCCACCCTTTCCATGCGGTCATACGTGCGTTGTTTTCCGGCGTTGCGTGCACTTACAGGGAGAACGTTTATTAGCGTCTACGCTAGAAAATTACCCCAATTAATCCAATTAGCGAAGTTAACCATATGACGCTCGGATCAACAGACGTCACATGCTTTATACATAGTACCTCTTTCAGCTGGTTACCTATGCCCTGTTTGGTTTATTAGCTGCTTAGTTATTGGATGGTTACGGACCAAAAAAGGAAGAAAAAACATGAAGACGAAAAAGACGAAGAAGCAGGAGGGGCAACAAACCAACCCTCCAAAAACGACTTGAGACAAAAATGGCCGAATGCGTGCAATCAAACCACACTTTACACTTTGCATCCCAAACAAAAAGCTTGATATCATTGGATCCGAAATGAACTGATCGGAGAGAACCAGCATGAACCCATCAGGTGACCCGGCTTCGGCCGATACTGTTATAAGTCGGACATTGTTCACCTTAATAAAAATGAAAAGGGAAAAAATGAATAACATTCACATACATATATACGTGAACGGCTTTCTAATTCATTCGGTTTTATTGGGAAGGAGATATTTTGTACCTAGTTCAACCATCGCCATCCAGGTCCGGGATGGTATTCCAAAGGAACAAACATAACCTAATCTGAAGGCAATATAATAATTTTAAGTCCTGTACAGCTTGTATTGTATTATCCAGCCAAGCCAGCTTAGCTAGTCAGGTCCCAGATAGACCCTTCCAGACCACCCCTCTTCACTTCCTTTTCATATCAAATCAACCACATTCAACGTCCATCTCGATCAGGAGCATGCGGTAGCCTATGCAATACTCATGCATGTTTTTTGTATTTTTTACTTGACTTGACGACCTAACTTTTTAGCTATACTACTACATACGAAGCGTACCAAGATGACGATATTCTTGGCTACGCTTTTAAGCTCCGAATAACTACCTAGGTCACATAAGCTCGGGTTTTAACCCAGAGCAACGAAATAAGATAGTCGCCACAATTGGTGCTTCTTTTTTCAAAGAATAACAAAAAAAAACATCAACCTGAATCCGTTCTCCTTTATGAGAGCACGTGAGTAAGGAGAAACGACATCGAACTAATAAACTGATATTTATTTCCTTAACTACAACTTGCGTGATACTTGTATAACTGCCTTATCATCCTCCCGTCCAGAAACTTGATAGTGAAATAAATTGCAATTGGCTACGTGTAGATATCCCACCCTCCAGCAAATCTGTAGGTATATCTATCTTCTCTATCACTGATGATGTTGACTTGTAGATGCAAATGTATTGTCGCGATAGCATGACGACGCCCTACGTAATCCAGTAAATAGTTCTATTTAAAACCTCAGGTCGACTCTATACGAGATAATTCCTTTGCTAAACCCGAGTGTCCTTCTATCGTCACTTAAATACCTATGTTCAATGCTTATGACTGGAGATAAGCCGGTGGTTTACCTAGCTGGCAGGATGCGTCGCCTTCAAGCGTGATCCCTTGCTTAGAAAAGCCCGGTATAGGTAGGTAGGTAGGTACCTATCATAATCAAAGAAAATAAAAATTTTCATCCCTTCACGACGGATAGGGGTTATGTAACGTGTTCAAATAAGTGCAACATTTATGAGTTTGATAGCTCTCCTTTGTAAGAAAAAAAATTGCAAAGGTAGTACCCAGCGGTCGAGAGCCACGAGGCATGAATAAGCCACGATCACGAGCGAGAGTTGCATTCGGCGTTGCCATCATGCATACAACGTCGGGTGTACCATCCCGTGACGACGCCTTCCTAAGGGCGGTAACTGTAAGCCGATTCACACGGGCATGTCAGACACACGAGTTCGATGTTTCCAATATTCGGTGAGGCGAGTGCCTACCTTCGTTCTAAGTTACGACTGCTACCGCCGAATAGTAAAGTACCAACTAATACTACTTTGCCTACCTCTACTCTAAGCGATTGTAAAATATTCTACCTACTGTGTTACCATAAACCTTTCTCTATCATTCCATTAGCCCCCAACCACGAAACGGGTACCTAATTGTTTTGATGTAAACTTTGAGCCCCCAAAGCTAAGGACCACCTACATCTCATACTTTTCATCTAATTTAAGCCGATAATACCTATGATTTTGATTATAAAGCCATGCAATTCTAGAGAGAGACGGCAACTAAAATATTCATAGTGAATCTAAAGGCGGCTTTGGGAACGAGAATAAATATAAGGTTGAGTGGTACTCTGACTCCAGTCCCTATTTTAAACTGTTAGATAACATAGTTGCCTTAGGTACCTCTCTCTCTCTCTATATATATATACCTTATATATATATATTCTCTTGCTAAAAAGTAAAAATAGAAATAGAGAAGTAAAGACACCATCTATTATATGCCGACCACGAGGCCTAGAGGTTCCAATACTGAAGTCCTAGACTTGAATAGGGGTACCCAAGGTACCTAGGTAGTTGACAAATCTAACAAACTTATAATACCAAGGTAGAGATACCTGCATCAACTTCTCATCCATTATCAACATTTAGGTACTCCTCCATGCCCAGTATCGGTTTTGCTCTCTTCCCTTCGACGATTCTAGGTATTCCCTCGAGACCGGCGCGATAGGTACGGCGCCCGAGTGAAAAAGAAGAAGAAAAGTTGAGAAGCAAAAAGGGGCCATACCCGCGCATAGGTGCTGATCTAACTAAGAGGTAGACAGCATATTCGCTTTCTACCTATACCTGCCGATTACGCCTCGGTGTCGCTCCGAGTATGAATGCTACCTAGCAACTTTAGCCCAAGGAACCCGCGCGAGAAGTCCTGCGTATCCTCCAGTTTAGGTATTCTTGTAGTTTCAGTCGAACTATAGGTAGCTAGAGTAAGTACTAATAGAAGAAGAGTGGCTCGGTGGCGCTTAAACCTTGGTCGTCGTTGCATACTAGCATTGTTGGGGATATTCGGAAATGGATGGCTTCCCTAGGCTGATCTGGTTGAGCTGCTCGATATAAAACAGCAAAGGATTTAGGTATTTACCTACCTATGGGTGATAGCTTTTGCTTACATTGGGTTGTATGTAGGTAGGTAGGTAAGTGTTAAGAAGTAAATGCCACATATATAACACTAAAACTTGAGTGCTTGTTGTATGATAGGTGTATATGACCACATACACGACTCTATCTACACACATTCCAGTAAGCTATAAAGTCAGCGGTATATTGTCTCACCAACGTAACACATTTCCACAGGAAAGAAGTCGGGCTATCCGAGCTCCCAATCAACCTAATAACACTCATAACTCGCAACATCCGAAACCCATCAAGCCGACGGCAATGCCATCGACGCCATCGGATACTAACCAGACGGATATTCCCCAAAAGCCGCAGCACCTATGAGATATCTACCTACCTAACGTAACCCAACCCAACCCATTGACCTCCTATAACAAGTCAAGATGTTGTTAAACTCCATCTAACTACGACCAATATATCGTACATACCTACCTAGGTACATGCATACATAGTATAGCTTCTTTGGAACCGGAGCCTAGCAACACCCTCCCTCGCTGCTCAAGCTGCCCAAGGCCACTCACTTACAGTCTACCTAACCTACTATAGCTAGGTACCTACCTACCTCTATCAAGAGAGCCAAGTTAGGTAGGTACATAGTAGTTCTCAGCCGCCCCTCCGCACACCCGAGGAAATCCTATAGTAACAAATAAGCCCAACTCTTTTTTTTTTTCTCTCTCTTTTTTTCAATAGCGTGAGGATGAGGATCTAATTAACATCACCATCACCATCCAACCTCGATCTAACCTCAATAACCAGTAACCAGCCTAAGCGCGGTCCCGCTCCGGGTACCGGGCGGATATTTCCTCAATAGGACGAAACCGAGTCCGAATCCGCTGCTAGCGGGCTACGCTAGAGAAGACGCGAGGACCCCTATTTCTCAAGGAAGGCTAGCTTCTTCCTTTCTCGGCCCAAATAGGACTTAGCGTCGCGCCGAAGGCTTCGCTAGGTAAAGAGCCGCACCTGCAAGACGTATTTTAGTACGGAATGTGATAATCGGATGAAAGGGCTATCGGCCGATATCGATGCGAACTTGAGGCAGGGATAGAATTAAAACAGGTTTCCCACTATGTAGGTACCCAAGGCAATCTTTGTACTGCTAATCAAGGCAGCACACTGCCTACTTAGGTACGGATATCCGTGAAAGGTATTTATAATTTTCAGGGGGAAGATTACCAGACAAGTCACGGAAACATTGATATCAAGACAATGACGGTGCATAAACTTCATTGATTCGTTTAAAAACCCGTCAGTACGCCATCCCTATGAACTCCGATGCCTGAAGACAACCGTAAATACGGAGTGACATTATTTTTTCCTTTCCCAGAACCGACCGTTTATTCAGCGCGGAGCTCGGCAATTCTAGCCTTGACCTTCTCGCGCTTCTCCTCCTTGGTAGCCTTGGGAGTCCTGTACTTCTTGGACTCGGCCTTCCATTCCTCCTTGCTCTTCTTGGGAGCGTCGCTCTCGGCCTTCTTGAAGGGGTCCTCACGGATAGCGGCGTGGGCCTCGGTGTAGAGGTCCTCAAGACCGTCAGCCTCGATGTCGTCGTCGAGGTACTTCTGGAACTGGCTCTTGTATCGCTCCTCGTCATCGTCGGCGAGAGTCTCCATGTACTCAGCGACGTGACCGCCGTAGATGTACTTCTTCAGGGTCTCAGCGTCGAGCTCCTCAGTTTCCATGTCGAAACCGGGGAATCGGTTCTCGGAGTGAGGGACGAGGATACCACCGTCGGAGGCACCCTTCATGACACCGAAGACACGGGCACCGGTGGAGGTTCGGGCAAGACCAACGTCAAGGAAGGCCTTGAAGGGTCGGCGTTCCTCACCATCGTGCTCAGCAGCCTCGGTGAGAGTGTACTCTCCAGTGGGCTCCTCAACACCAGTGAAGGTCTCGTCGAGGCCGAGCTTCTTGAGGACACGGCGGGCAAGGAGCAGGCCGGTGGCGTAGGCGGCAGCCCAGTTGGTAAGACCGTGCTCGATACCGTAGGCCCTCAGCTCGTGGGAGTAGGCAGCGGCGAAGACCTTGTCACCAGAGATCTCGGAGGTGACGATCTGGGTGATGATGTCGCGGTTGGTGAATCGGACGACCAGGCGGTACTTGGGGGCGTTGTACTTGTTCTTGGCCTGGGTGATCAAGCGCTTGCGGGCATAGTAGTCGGTCTTTCCCTGGCGACGGCGCTTGTACTTGGTCTGGAAGCGGCTGTTGGAGAAGTATTTGTTAGTTTTCACCATCTTCGGAGTGACGAAGAAATAAATAATTTGCATAATATTTTAAATATTACTTACCTGTAGTAGGAGCTGCTCTTGACTACCTTGTGGAACGTCTGTCAAGATCCCATCGAGTCAGCAATTTGCGCTTCAGAATTTTATTTTCCTTCATTCCGAAGCATCTTGCATTGACTCTCACGATCAAATGCCACTATTGCAATATTCGCCATTTCTAGCATTGCAAGGGCTTGTGTTCATCCTGAACTCACCATCTTGATTGAATTGGCTGATGGGCGAACGTTATCAGCACGGTTGTCGAAAGGGTTGGAGTTGTGAAAAAGATGGAAAGTTGCGACGTGAGAAAAAGTTGTGGGCTTAATTGTAGTTCCATGTGGGCTAAAATTCAAAATTCGCTTGTGAACCCTTGTTTGGTGGGGTACGAATTGGAAAAGTCGAGGTGGGCGACGACCACTATCAACCTTACCTTAGGTTAGGTAAGCTTTTACGCATGGACCACCTTTGGGTTTATGTAAATCAGGTACGGAATACAGAGCTAGGTACCTAACTTCCATAGGTACTTGGTACCGATCTCCGCGCCGTGGGATGGCTGGCCATGGGCAACCGAGGCATGGACAAACACCCAGACAGCGTCTTCTTATTTTCTTAGACATTCGTTAGAGAATAATTTAATATTTTTAACTGTAAAATTTGGTTGCATACAACTATCAGGAAAATCGACTGTAACTTAAAAGCTTTGGAATATCCGGACATTATCATGATAGCGCATAAACAACCGAAGGTGCTTCTATTTGATATTGGAGGAGTCTGTGTAAGTTGTAACTCACTATTCCGACGAACATAGCATCAATTATTACTCCTGAATATCCAAGAACGGTTGAAACTCTCTTTTATTTATTATACCAACCTTTAGCATATAAAATAGGATGAGAGCGTCACTAACGCGGAACAGGTCATCTCACCTTTTCAATCCATATTAGACTACGAACTGAGTTTGGGGATTCCACCGGGATGGATTAACTACTCGATATCAAAAACGGCACCGAACGGTTTTTGGCACAAGCTAGAAAAGGGCGAGATTCCCTTAGATGACGCATTTTATGCCGGTTTCAACGAGGACCTTCACGATCCTACGAGATGGGCAGCATTCTACAAAGCGCAGCAGTCTAAGAACCCGGATCTCCCAAAGGAAATCCCCCCGGTGCCGAGGCTTGACGGACGCTGGCTTTTCAATGATATGATGACGTCTGCGACGGACCCCGACCCGTGGATGTACCCGGCGCTCAAGAACCTGAGGGCTAGCGGGAAGTTCATCCTCGCCGCGCTGAGCAACACGGTTATCTTCCCGCCCGACCACGCGCTTCACAGGGCGGATTTCTTCGCCGACCCGCTCCGGAGTCTATTTGACGTTTTCGTCTCTTCCGCGCACGTGGGTTTGAGGAAACCGGACCCTAAGATTTATCAGCACGCGCTGGACGAGGTTGATAAATATGCTCGGTCCCATGCTGATGAGGAACGAGGGAAATCGCTCGGCTGGAAAGAAGGGGTGAAACCGGATGATATCATATTTCTTGATGATATCGGGGAGAATTTGAAAGCGGCCAAAGCGTTGGGGTTTCGAACTTTAAAGGTACCGTTGGGAAAGGCGTTTGAGGCGGTGGATGAGCTGGAGGTTATCACAGGCCTCAAGCTAGCTGGCGGCCATCCTAGGATACCTATCAGGCCAAAGATAGGAGGCGTGGGTGCTAAATTATAGATAAGCTGTTTAATGGTGTAGCGTCGGCGCTATGTATTATGAGGATTAGAAATTTAACATATATGTATACTGCGCGTTGTTCTTGAGAATACTATGTAACAATCTGTGGTAGCGGGGTTCTTATCGCCGGGCATCACCGCTTTCATAGGAGCAAGGTCCCCTTAAGTTAATACAAATGCCTGTTTCTCCCCAATTACTTATATGACTGGTTGATGGAAGCTACAATTGAAGCCATTGTATTGAAACTTACCTGGTAAAAGTACAACGCCAGCGAATCTTGTCGATCTAGGGCTGCCAGGGCAAACAAGCAAATGGATACGCGTCGTGACACAGCAGCCGTATCGACCCCAGCCCTGTTCCCAGAGCGTCATCCGATGGCGCCTGCACAGATCGCGGCTGGCGTCCAGGCAGTGCTGGCAGTGCAGCGTCGCGCAGTAGCACTCGGCAAGCGCCCCTTTGCCGCAGCGCTGGTAGGACCCGACAACGACACCGTGCTACTGATGCATCAGTCCGTGGACCAGGTACACCACGCCGAGAGCGAGCTCGCTAGGCTGGCGTATAAACACTACCCGAAAGAGTTCCTATGGCGGTGCACGCTCTTCAGCACGTGGGAACCGTGCGGGAGATGGGATGGGATCACAGTGGGCACACATCGGTCGCATTGTCTTCGCGGCCAGCAACGACCAGCTATATGAACTGACCGGTCCGGGCAATAAGGAGAATTTCACGATGGACTGGCATACTAGAGATGTTTTAAAGGGATGTCCGCAGAAGGATATCGAGGTGATCGGACCATTGGAAGAAGAGGGCAGGACGGTGGTGGAAGAGAGCGATAAATATTGGAGTAAGACAAGGACCAGCAGTGGCTTGAGTCGTTGATGAGGTTTCGGTTGACTGCTTGAGCTCCTTAAGGCTGAAGATCGAGATTAGGGTGAAAATTAAGGTAAGCCATAAATAGAACACGCACAACGAATATTAACCAAATTTTATTTTTGCTTAATATGTTTGGTACTTTTTATGAAACGGCGTGGTTGCAAAAGGCCCAAAGCCACTTATGTTAGGTACCTCAATTCAGGTGATTCAGGTGATTGAGAAGCCCGGGAAGCGTAGGGATGTATTAGTGGATACGGTCCTGCGGCTTTTGACGTCAGCTCATGTTAGCAAGAGGCAACCCCTAAATTGAAGAATAAGCCCTCTGTACTACTGTTGAATTACGCGTATTAGACCGAAATAACTGAGACAATTTTGTTAGTTACTTCCAAGTATTTATATTATGTACGTAAGTAACCGCGCTCTAGTAAATGTAACTACGACTTTTCTTGAAGAGTTTGAACAGAACGCGAAAAAGCGTCGTGGACTGCTTCGAGAAGCTGACGAGGAACGAAAATTACTTTCGTAACTAAAACAGGGTCTTATGTTATAGGCTTAGGTTCTTCAATGTTAGAAATCTTGAGTGGGTTAGATCCGCCGGGACTTGAAATATAGTTCCACTTATTCAAAAGGGGGAACCAATAAAGAAACAGAAGAGAGCATGTGTAACCTTTTTGAGATAATATGGCCTGTGTGGGCGTTCCTGGCGTTCCTGGGCGCTTTTTTTTTTTTGGTCATCGGATTTTGAACCTTCCCCTGTTCCAATGACGATCCCCCTCGAATCTCAATCTTCTGTTGTTCCACAAGTTGCCAATTTTGTCTCATCGCACCAATACGATAGAGGAAAGGAGGATGCATGGTACGCAGTCTCGCCCCGTCGCCCTGTCGCTTAAATTGATAAAAAGCCACGTTGGTGACGCGCTTGCAGCTAGGGGTTCCCTCTTCAAAAACTAAAATTTCCCTTTAGTGTCTCAGCTGTTGCATCGTGACAAACGTCCGCTTAGATTCAATATTAGACGATTTCGACTTCTCCTCAATGCTCCACAGGTGAAAATCTGTTCCCGGCGGTGTAGGCTCTAGAGTTAGTCGTATGTATGAAAATAAAGTGTTAAATCGGTAACGCAAGTCTTATTTGTAGATAGTACTAATATATTAATTGAGAAGTGGTAAACCTAATAATTAATTGTAGAACCAATACCAGTAGGTAACAGAATTTCGACCAATTGAACAAATCACCAAAGCTTTGCTGCAGCTTTTTTTGCCAACCGCTGGACGTAATACAAATATGAGCAGACGCTCTCCTCTTCAAAGATTTCTCGTACTGGTGTGACGCGCGACTTACTTAAACAGATATAAAAACCAGAAGGAATGGGAAAAGAGGATGCGTAGGATTCGAACCCAGGCCTTTAAGATACCACCTACCAATGGTAAACAATCTTATCCCACTTTGACGCATCATCCCTCCTAAAGTCGGGCATATCATCGCGGTTGATTGGCCTGTATTTGCTGCCTAGAGCTGGAGGCGCTAGTTTGATCGCTTGTCTGGGCAGGAGAGAATATAGTGGATAAAAGAGGCAGGTTTAAATGTTTAGGGGGGGATTATTAAGTTAGCGAGGTGATATTCTAGCTAAAAGCCCTATTAGAATAGATTGCCGGGTTATTGTTGTAGAGGCGCACTGGGTAAGGAGTTCCTTCTACTATTATTACCGGTCTACCACTTGCAATTAACTTACCTTGTAACAACTCACTTAGGTAGATTCACCATTTGCCAGTACTCTTCTCTTCTCTTCTCTTCTATCCTTACCTTTCACTTACTTTTTTTTTTTATTACGTTAGGTACCTCTACCTAACCTAACGTTAATACCGGGGTGTAATACTTATCAACCACATTATTTATCCTATACAAACTTGACTCTTCATAATATTATCATATTGTCATATTATCACTCCTATTCGATCTGAATCTTCTTGGAAACAACTTCGATCTGGTCAAGCCATCCTTGACTCAACGTAACTTGACTTGACTTCCCCTTGGATTCGAAGAGTACCAAGCAGAAACGGGATGACGCGATCGCCCTTCCCATGAAGCTTATGAAGGGTCCTTGCAACCTCTGGTTGCCGATTTACTGGAAATTCACCTTACCGGCAATCTTACTCATAACCTCGTTTCTCCTGCTTAAGAATCTCCGGTCTGCCCAGGACCCTCCAGCTGCGATCCAAGATTCTCATAGAGTTCTTAACACCAGCGAAACTGATACTGATCCTCTACCTCTTAGCCATAGCCAAGATGCTAAAAACATCACCATTAATCTGGTGGTGGCTACTCTTCGCAGGGACGATATCTCATGGACAGAGAAGATCAATTTACCCAACCTTAACGTAATGCGATATGTCACTGATGATATGATGGCGCCGTATCACCCGCCAATACCAAAGAAGGGGCGCGAGGCGATGATTTATCTCACTTATATGTATGACTTTTACGACGAGCTGCCGGACGTCACCATATTTACCCACGCCGATGAGAGTCCGTGGCACGTGGAACGTTCATTGAACTCGTCCCTAGTATTCGCCCTGTCGCATCTAGACTTGAACCAAGTTATGCAGGCGCAGTACTTCAACCTGCGCGTGTCGTGGGACAACGCATGTCCGGATTGGATTAACACGACGAATTCCGAATATAACGATGAAAAGCAAGAAGAGAGCTTTATGCGTCAGGCATTTATCGAAAACTTCTCCACGAATGATGTCCCCGAGATTCTGGCTGGTCCGTGCTGTTCTCAGTTTGCGGTAACGAGGGAGGCTGTCCGAAGGCATCCGAAAACCCAGTATCAGAGGAATTTGGCTTGGTTGATGAAGACCGACTTGTCCGACTTCCTCTCGGGAAGGGTATGGGAGCATATGTGGCAGTACCTGTTCAAGGGCGAGGCGGTGGACTGTCCAATCGAATGGAAATCGTACTGTAGAATGTACCACATCTGTTACGACTTAGAGAGCAGAAAGCTGCTCAGCAAGCTAGAATTAGAGAGGAAGAATTTGGAAAAAAAGACGGGAGTTTTCGACAGGATAGGGGATCTGCTAAGCGGTATGAAGAACAAAAGACGCTTGAGGGAGATAGATGCTATAATGGCGGTTGAGCTCAAAAGCGCGCTCCAAAGGGGAAAGAGTGAAGCGATGCGGACACAGTTGCTCTCGGATTCTTGGTGAAAAAAGCAATATAGGCCACGGTCAGGCAGGTTCGTTACAAGTGATACCCTAACTTTGCTTTTTATAGAAAAAAAAAACGTTTTGCATGATTTGATGGCTCATTAATAGAGGCATGTCAATGCTTACTAGCTGATGGCACATTCAAAATGTAGGTTGAGCTCTTTGACCTAAGAAGCATTAGAGCATATCGGGACAACCTAAACTTTCTTTGGCGGTTGCTTCCGGTATCTATGGTTCGTCGTTGGATTAATCAATGCCGAAGTGTCGGGCTCTAAGATTCGCACGCGACACAACATGATCACTTCGCTTGAGACCGCTACGTCAAACCGGATGCGCATATCCAACAGACCAATGAGAGAATAGCCGGCCGTCTAGTCTAGTCTAGTCTAGTCTGGGGAATAAGGGGGCCTTTGAACTATTGCGTCGTAGCGATGATAGCGAGGATAAGAAATAAGAAACTGGTTGGAGATACATATCTCCGGCTGTGAAGGGGAAGGGGAAACGGCCGCTAACCCCGCAACTCCGGCTGTTTCCCATGGGGTATTGACATTAGAGCTAGCAGGGGGGCGGGTGGTTTTTCTCTTCAACCGCAACCAATAACATCGTAAATCAAGTACGACCTGTAATACAACAAAGCCACCCACCCCCCATGTTGTCTCCTTGTCCCCCCGTTCATGGCTAAGGCATGGCTTATCGTCACCGATAACCTGGTCCTTTGACACACACTAGACAAGATGTTTTCTTTGGTAGTATAGGTTAGTTACATTTTCGTGCGGAGGCGTTTTGTTGATCTTGTGGGAGAGAGAGGGAGGGGAAGGTTGAACAATGGGCGTTGGACAACATGGGGTAGCGCAGGTGTTCCCTTCAGCTGGCTACCTAACTAGATACGAACAGCGTACAGCGCGCAACAAAACAAAAAACAACCCCTGCTTCGTGTGTGCACATGGATATATCTGTATGTATGTAGGTAAGGTCTAGGTTACCAGGTATGTAAGCGGTTGATATGCAGCGTCACATCAACCCTGTACTGCAGATTTTATCGAGCCGAGCTTACATAGCATAGCATACCACAGCATAGTATACCTAATAAAAGTAAGGTCGTTCGCTCCCTTCCCAAGATACCCCAAGCCTTCCCAACATTCCGGTACCTATCTAGTCGAAATACCTACTTGTAGATTTCAAGCAGTGGGCATTATTAGCCTGCCTTAGGTAGGTAGGATGACGAGCGAGAAAAGCGACCTCGAGAAAGCGGTCTCGGCCGAGGAGACTACTACTACTACCGCTGCCGACAAAGATGGCGACGAGAAGTCTACTACTGTCCACGGCCTGCCCGACGTCGCGGACCTGACGCAGGCGAACATGAGGGGGCTGAGGATGCCGGAGATCATAGCGAGGTTGACGCCGGAGCAGCGGCTCGAGTTGGAGACGCGACTGAGGCGGAAGATCGACTGGCGATTGCTCCCGATGATCATCCTCATGTGTTAGTCGTTTATGTTTTTTCCCCTTTTTAAAACGCTTTAATCTTCAAGCTACCTACCTGCCTAGGGATATACTAACTTGCGGTGTTTGGCGTATTTCTAGATATTTTAAATTATATCGATCGGTTAGAAAAACCCCTTCCTTTACTGCCACGTAGCTCGATAGTCCGTGTTTGGAAGATTTTATTTTTCTTTTGGTTAATTAATACGTCGTAGCAACAATATCGCGGCCGCGAAGCTCGCGGGTCTACCTGAAGATTTGAATTTGGATCCGAACGCGAGCGAATTCCAGGTGTGTAACGCTTAGGTAGTCTCTAACCAGGAAGAAGGTGATAGTGGTTCTGACCTCGTCGTACAGACCGCTGTGAGCATCCTATTCGTCGGGTCGGTATTAAGAGCTTCCTTAGAAATGAGAACCGAGGGTTGAAAATGGGTGATAGCTGACCGAGCCCTGGATAATAGCTACCTGCTCATGCAGATACCGTCGAATTTATTCCTAAACAAGATCGGAAAGCCGGCTATTTACCTCCCAGCATGCGTACGTCTCCTCGAACCCGGCATGCTTCATTATGGTGAACTGACTAGCGGTGGTAGATGATGATATGGGGTGTTATCTCGGCTGCTACGGCGGCTGTGACTAACTTCGGCGGCCTCATCGCTGTCCGCTTCTTTCTGGGGTTTATCGAGGCGGCTTATTTCGTCAGTATCACAGAGACTCTCGGTCATATTAGGGCCTTTACCTAACTATCTTTTAGCCCGGATGCCTGTATTACTTGAGTTGTTGGTGGTATGTGTAAGAACTGAATCCCGTTTTCTATACACTATTGCTAACTGATTTATAGTACGTGATAATGAATTTCGTAGGAGTTGTCCGGTGGATGCCTCAAAGGAGATACCAGATACCACGTGCGTAAGCTCCCGACCCTGGATTCTTGCTAACATCTCCCAGATACCCGTAAAGAACTCGGACTGCGCACAGCGTTCCTCTACTCGGGGGCTCTAATCTCCGGCGCATTTTCGGGCTTGATCTCGGCGGGGATAACGCAGAACATGGACGGCGCGAGAGGGTTAGGTGCTTGGCAGTGGCTGTTCGTGATCGAGGGTGTCATCACCGTCGGCGTCTCGTTCGCCGCCTTCTGGATCCTGCCCAACTTCCCGCGGACGACCTCGTGGCTGAGCGAGGAGGAGAAGGCCCTCGCTATCTGGCGCTTGGAGGAGGATATCGGCGAGGACGACTGGATCGATAGCGAGCATCAGTCGTTGTGGACGGGTGCTAGGTTGGCTTTTGCGGACTTGAAAACTTGGGTCTTGGTCAGTTACAACAAGCCTTCCTTCCCCCTTTTTTTCCCTAGGTTGTGTTAAGTTAGAAACTGACCAAGTCCAGTTGTTTCTTCTCTTCGGTATCGTTGCTAGCGGCTCCGTGACGAACTTCTTCCCGGCCGTGGTCAAGACCCTGGGCTACAGCAACGTCATCACGCTCCTCCTGACGTGTCCTCCATATGTGCTTACCGTTATAACCACTTTCATAAACGCCTGGCACGCCGACAGGACCGGTGAGCGCTACTTTCATATCATGATACCGCTGTTCGTCGCCCTGGCAGCATTTATCCTCGCCGCAGCGACAACCAGTTTAGCACCTCGGTATGTGGCTATGATGCTCATGGTAAGTTAACTTTCATCTATCTATCGCGCCTTAGGAACATGAACTCTAATTAATATCGTATAAAGGTCCCGGGTGTCTACTGCGCCTTCGTCGTTGCCCTCGCCTGGATCAGTAACACGCTTCCCCGCCCGCCGGCCAAGCGCGCGGCGGCGCTCGCCTTCATCAATGCCGTGTCCAACGCCTCGAGCATCTACGCCTCGTACATGTACGAGGACCGGATGGCGCCGCGCTACGTCATCGCGATGTCGGTAAACTGCGGGACCATCTTCCTGTCTATGGTTTCGGCTACGGTTCTGAGACTTATACTCGTCAGGCTGAATAGGAAGCTCGATCAGGGAATCTATGTTAAGGGCGCCATTAATGCGCTGCCGGGCACCGCGGCTGAGCACGGGTTTAGATTTAAGGTCTGAGGTTGAGGTATGTACCTAGGTACCTAGTAAGGGTTTTTGGGTACTGAGATAGGGAGCGTAGATGAGTGATAGTGTTGTCGTTCTACAGCATCATCAAATGGAAGAGGATACATATGCCTGTGAGGCTTAGGTGTATTTCTCCTCTATTTCACAAAGGGCGTGAACTCCTAGTTCATGCCGATGTACTGTCCATACAGCTAGCGGAAGAATAGATAGAGGTCCATCATGATTGCTTCTCAATAGCAACAACTCCATCTTATTTTAAGAATGTAATTGATTTATACGATGGACTGCAGTATATAAAACCTTGAAAGCCACCACACTGAAGGTGAATACGAACTTATATTACTTGATTGTGATTTGTATATGGCTGGGTGAACTGAACGATTCATATAGAGACTTCTAGTTGATTAATTTATATTATATCTTAAATGATATTATAACGTCAAGCCCAAGGATGCAAGCGCTAATACCCCTTGCCTACCTCCCATATTAACAAGTATACCTTGTGAAATAAATCACAACATTGAACATACCTACCTACACACCTTTCGAAAAACAGCAAATCTACCTAGACACAGGAAGTTAAGTTAAAAGCCTATACAATATGCTTATCAGTTTATATTATGTTATATCATCACCGTTCTTGTTCTCGTTCTCGTCTAGGCATTAGTAAAATGCCTTCTTTCTCCTCAAGCCCATGTTTGTACTCGCTGTAAAACCTCCAAAATAAGTTCTTTTCTTGTTTTTACAAACAGATCCATGCTTTCCCTCATTGCCCAATAATTACGTTCTCTCCCTGTGATCCATCAAGTTCAACTCTCACAATGTCAACCCAGAATACGGACGGCTCTGGACAAAATGTCTAATGGAATTGAACTAAATGGTAGGCCCTAGTTTTTCAGGGTTTACTCGCCATTTTCTGCCAAATTTCACAAGCTATAAGTGCACTTACTTTCTATTACTTTACGACTTCCACTACGCCTTTCCCTCACGGTTCATCTTCTCCCGGCGAGCCTTCACTACCTGTTATTATACTCAGCTACAGCTTATAAACTGTACTTCCCCTCTGACAATGCTACCTTTGGGTCCTTCGTGAATTCTCCAGTCTCTGGAAGCTTCTAGGGCCCACCAACAGCAGTTTCGAAGCACCTTTGGCAAGAAGCAGGGGTTCTGTACCTGACTCTTACTCCTTTCCCCGTCTATATCACCATCATCATCATCTCTCCCCCTTCCTCTCTCTCTTACTTATGCACACACTTATGCACACTCATACATGCAAACACACATACGCATACATATAAGCATGCACATACACACTTGCTCCCTCCCTCCCTCTCCTCTCTCTCTCTCTCTCTCTCTCGCGAATCCCCCATACTGATTTAAGGAGCCTTAGACACTGACCACTGGATTACATCTATTTGATAAACAGCATCATATTCTCTATTTAGGGATTAAAATTCCTTTTCATTCTCTATCAACGCGTTTCGCCCCGAAAACTACATCTTCAATATACAGAAATTCTACTAACTGGGCCGATATCTAGAAGTGACTGCTTACAGCTGGATTAGAATATCGCCTAACTTTCATCACAAGGCTTTTAAAAAGGATCTATCTAATTCATTTCATCTATTCCATGGCATTTACCACTCCACGCTCGTCTTCCCATCGTCTTGAATCGTATCGCACTCTGCATAAGTGTCCGTCTTTCCTGTTTATTGCATATACAACTACACCTACCGTGATTCTATGATGCTGCCATATTACACTCCACTTCTGACATCTCTGCATTTGTGATAATGGCTGAAGAAGAGGAACCAGGACAGCCTACCCCAAGCTCACATCGACCTCCTATCCGTGAGTCGCTCTATTGGAAAAAAAGAATCAAGATAAATCTTCAGACACTCCACGTCGAAGAATCATTGCGCCACGGAAGGCTGGACCCTCACCGAAAGTTCAATGAGCAAGGTATGACCTTGATCCTTCCAAAGCTCTAGGAAGCTAGCTAACGTTCTAATCAAAGATCTCAGGGAGTTTTACTCGGATCGCCTACCTCATCCTGATCGAATCATAGATAACCAAACATTTGCTCGCTGGGCTATCGAGGAAGCCCTGCGTGAATACTCTCCTGATACCCGATTCCAATTAACTGGTGGAATCATGCAGGGCCAGTCTGTCAAAATGAGCAAATTTGAGAGGAAGACCCTCGGAGAAATCACCAAAACTGTTCAAGCCGAAAGCCAGCTTGAAGTCGACGCCGAGGTAAGTTCTAGGATCTTTCTATTTAGGAGTAACTTCCTAGTTCGGCACTGACTCCACGGTATCTAGAACCCAAACGGCTCAGGAGAGACCGACAATGAATTTACCCAGGACGTCGGGACGATAGCGCAATGTATAATATCAGCATCGCCCAACTGCCTTGGACCCCCGACTGAAGCGAGCGCGGCGTACTTACAAATGGAAAAATGCGGCGAATACGGTCCAAACAAGTTATCGAGGTGGAGGTCACCCCTATTTCCTAGGCTGGATGGCCGAGATGGTCGTAAGGCTTTTCACGACAATCAGATTACAGCAATCGTCTGGATATTATCAAGGTTCTTGGGCGAGCTCCCACGACTTCGGATAAAGCATAAAGATCTTTGGGATGAAGCCACCAAAAGATATATACAAAAGCCGGAAACCAGGGCCGAGAGGAAAAATAGACAAAAGCTGCGCGGTCCCAAATATTTCGGCGGTATCCTTGCAGACTCGATGGGTCTTGGAAAGACCTTAGCTACGATCGCGGCACTCGATATACTAGCGACGCAAAGATTAAACCTAGTAATCAAAGATGGTAAAGAACGGCACCGCCCAATGCTAATACTAACACCGAATACTATTGTTGCCACCCAATGGATGGATGAGATTAACCTTATAGGAAGCTCACGAGGCATTAAGCAGATCATTATATCTGGGCATGGCTTCCAGAGGAGGGATAACCAGCTTAGGATTCACAGCCTGACACGCAAAGAATTCGATACAGACTGGCCGCAAGAACTACGTTATGTCTGGGATGAAGACGACCAGAAGGCATCCAAGACTGTCATTATCATGTCTATCGATGCTTTCGCTGGGAGAACATGCGTAGCTATCAAAGATGACGACGGTAATCAAAAATGGGCTTCAACTTTCACAAATATGAACCGACGATTTTCGGTTGTGGTTGTCGACGAAGCCTACAAGGTTCGAAATACGGCTACGAAGAATTGGAAATCAGTCGCTCTGCTGGATCGCCAATTTACCCTGTTAATAACAGCCACTCCGTGCCAGAACCATATAAAGGACCTCCTTGGGCCCATTCAGATGCTTTGGGATAACCCACATGAGTATCTCCGGGAGAAGGGGTTGCTTAAGGACATACAAAGAATATTTATAATGCCTCTAGATTTACGACGTCTGGACACCGTAAAGCTTAACGATGACCGCTTTCTTGTCGCGGGAAGCCCAGCCCTACTGGCCAAGCTGATTTACCGATTCAGAGGTTCCTCTGCTGTCGATATCCAGGAGACACGAATGTTTTTAAAGTAATTCGAATCATTGGCAATTCTGCGAAGGGCACCCAGTTCTCGATTGAATGTGGATTGGGAGGGCAAGAAGCAAGTTTCTTGTGAGTAACGCATAATCGGTTCCCCCTTTTCGATATCCCCGGGACCATTTCGTTGGCCATAGAGCCTTTACCCTCGGGAGATGATACAGGGTTTTGCAGATGACCAGTTTACCAGAATCATCGCCAGAATCATCGTTGCTAACTCTTTGTGCTCTCTAGTGGATGGGTTGTTGCCTACCGTTGATAATTACACAGTCAATATACAATGCGATGAGGCGTTGGAAAAGGAATGCCAGGGAGCACACATAGATCTCCTTATCGAGTACATGAAAACTTTAGACAATTGGAAGCAGAATGCAAAAAGTCCAGATATGAAGCCGATACTCTTCCTGTACCGTTTATTTCATCTTGCTGCTGCTTCCCTTGACGTGTATCGACTCGAGAACCTGTTTACGCTAAACGGATTCGGCACAAAATCTACGGACGTACGCACTATGCGTAAATCAAATGTTAACTTCATGCATATCGCCCCTTTTCTCCTCAAACGAAGTGATCCAAAGCCTAAAATAGCCCTGGATTATGTCAAGCTAGCAGTGCGCAAGTCGCCTATCTTACGATACATCCTCCACTACGTGAAAGGGAACCTCCTCGGCAGGGGTAAGAACGGCAAGATCAAGAAGCTCTTGATAACCGAAGGAAATCCGATGCTAGCATATTACTACGAACTCGTCTTTCAGTTTCTTCTCATCCATTGCCGCACGCTTCATTCGGGCCTAGCAGCCGAAGAACGCAGAGAGCTCATCGCCGACTTCAATAGTGATGCAGATCATTCCTGCCAAGTTTTGATCCAGATGTACACTGTCGGCTTCGCCGGATCAAATCTACACAAGAATTGCTCACGGGTCTTGGTCGCATCGCAGGCTTACAGTCTTGCTGTTCAGACCCAAGCTGTACATCGGGTCATTCGAGTAAGTATTGAGGTACTCCTTTCTTTTTCTAGAGTTCTCAGTGACTAATGAAGGTTGCCTACCTAGGTAGGCCAAGAATCCGACGTGAAGGTATACCGACTCAAGGTTAACAATTCGTTCCACTCATTTCAAGAAAGCCGACAAGTCGAGAAGATGCTTCCAGAACTAGGGACCCGGGCACAGGGCCCGCTAAATGATGTTTTGGTCCAGGTGCTCAACCTTTTCCAGTCCGAGATCGATGGCTTATGGAGGAATCCGGAAGCCCGCGACCTCCTTGAAAACATGAACTTGATCAATAGTCCTGCGGCGGAAGGAGAGGAGCCGGGATCCAAACGTATAAAACTAGGAGATGGGAGTGCTGTACAAGCTGAATCATCACAGGAGGATGCCACAGATATTGAAGTACGGCCCAGGAGGAAGCGCAAGAGAAACGGACATGATATGTCAACCACCAGTCTATTTGAGATGGACCCAGAAAGGTTTACCGAGTGCAAGTCTCGCTCGGCCTATTATAAGGAATTCAAGGGATTACCCAGGGAGTTGAAGAGCTACTTCTGCCACAAGAAAAATAGCCTTCGAAGGATGCTATCCTACGGCAGTAGGAACAATAATGCAGTTACGAGGGTGTGGCAGGTGAAGGACCTCAATGATTCTGCCGTACTTGAAAGAGCCATGGAACTCGTACTACGGATCAGGCTCGGGACAAACAGCATTGGGATGCTACCCCTGCCGCAAATCGATTTCTCTCTGGCCCCTCGGAAGAAGCTGAAGGAGCTCGCGGGTCTGTTGAGCGAAGTTGAAGTGATAGCTCAAGATATACAGACGAAAAAGGACCGAGAGGATGCAAAAGGGCTGAAGAAGGAGAAGGTCCCGGCCGAGTTGAGAAAGGACATGACAATGCCCGAGCTAGAGCAGATACTCAGGGACAAAGCCCTGGGTTTCAAGTGCAGCGAATCCCCTCGAGGTTCCGCCACGGTCGCTAGCTCCATTAGCGAGGACTTCGATTCAGAGCGAGAATACGAAGAGGAGGAGGAGGAGGAGGAGGAGGAGGAGGAAGAAGAAGGAAAGGGAGAAGAAGAGGGTGAGAACTCTTGCATCCAGGGCGAATTACGTCGGGATAGCAATTTGGAAGCCGATGACGACGAGAAAGATGAGCTGTGGGAACGGCTCAATGCCGCGCCTGGCGATAAGAAAAACCAAGACGGCGGAGACGACAGCGGACTCGGACGAGCTTATGTTCCTTAGCAGCCGACCCGTCCAGAAGGATAGAAGCTCGCCGCGTAACTCGATCGACCTCACAGGCGACGGACCTAGCGGGAGTGGTGATAGAATTAAGCGAGAAAGCTCAGCTGAAAGCATGCTCTATGACGATTCCGACACGCCCAGACCTGCTACAATCTGGAGACTGGCAGGAATACATGATGGAGGATAGCGACGAAGATGACAGGTAGGTCCGCCCCGCCTATCGCCGCATCGTCGGGTACGCACGCTCCGCCGTCGCTTATATCACGCCAGAAGTATCATCTTGACAGATCCAGGTCCCACATCATAGGATTCTCCCACGCTGGCTGCTGGACGAAACATCTTAAGTGCGTGTTGCTAACCTGGTTGGCCGTGCTGCGGCTGAGGGGTAGTAAGGAGGAAAACTAGATCTACATAGTACCTAGTCACTTGATATCATACCATCTACGCACGCTATATTTCAGCTTCAAAGAATGGGCCTGAGGTCTTATCATAGCTCAGACATGATATTTTATATACATACTAGGAGGTAGGTAGTCTGCAGGGGCTAAGATACTTATTTCCATGTACTTGATCAAAATAAGTTTCTTTAACCACTTCATACATCGTCTTTCTTTTGTCGGAATTCAACGTATCCTACCAGGAATTCAATGTCATAGCTTAGCCCTTCTCGCCTAGACCTTCCGATACGCGATAATGCAACACGTACGGATGACACCGTCCGATCGGAGTCTAGGCGTTGAAGAGCCGATCTAAACCCGTCGCCACGATATATATAGGAGGTAGGGTTGTAGCAAACGCGCTCGCCTTGTTTAGTCCAGCGGGTGGGCGTTCCCAGATTAATGAATCCCGCTCGGCACTCTTCGATACCGAACTCACCTCTCACCTTGATACAAGCTTAGACACGCATCTGGCACTAGTGGTATTAATATAGCATCATCACTAATAAGAATCTCATGGATGTGTATACTATAATAGTAGGGTAAGGATATGGAATAAGCAAATCAAGGCAAAACCAGCTTCCATCCCCCTTCCCTCCCCCCATGCAAGGTGTTTTATGTAGCTTTTGAAAAGATGTTTGCTTCGCAAGACATCGAGATCGAAGACGATAGCTCATTTACTTACTACATCACTATATTAGGTACGTATGCGCATGTAAGGGACGAGACGCCGGCCGCTTTGCAGTTATGAAAATTTCGCATTGTATTTCTCTTTTGAAGAAAAATAAAATAAATAAAACCTTTTATTGGAACGTAAGACTTATGGATTCGCTCGCCTTACAATTCCAATTCCAATTCCAATATTGTGGTAGATGCAACGTCGTGATATATTCGTACCAAGGTTCGATATCCAGGCTAATACAGAAAATCCCGGGTGGTTATCAATAGTTCTATCTAATAAGGGATGGGTACTATGGTACAATACAAATGTCTACAATAATAATTGATTATGTTTTTCGTTCGTACATACCAAGGGAAATAGGGAAATAGGAAAAAAAAAAACATGTGTTGAACATGTGGTTTTAAGACAAAGATATCGCATCACATGGTCAGCTCTGCATGTGCGTGATGTCTCAAATATAGGCGAGCACTTGCCTGGTACAATAGGTACATAGCGCTACAGGAATATAAGAAATATTTACTAACCCGAAAAGCCCAAATAGTCAAAAACTCCCCAGGCGCGTTTTAATTAATAAGCAACCCGGGTACCTAACCCCCTCCCCCTGAGCCAAAGTCCCGGACCCGAGAAACTCCTACCGTCAAGCTTTAGGTAGGTACTTACCTCTTAGGTACCTACCTAGCCAGCTCCCCCTCCCCGTACCGTACCGTACCTAACTTGCGCGAGTTGTGGCATGGGCTCCGGAGTTTTAGGCGGGGCTCAACCAGAGAATTGAAGGAAAATGCTACATAACGCTACCTAGTCTTTTCAAAGTTCCTGGGGAAAGCTACCCCGCCTCCCCTTTTTTTTTCTTTTCTTTTTTTCCTTTTTTTGCTTTTTCAGCCTTAATTTTCGATGATGTTAGGTACAAAGTACCTGAACTTTTAAAACTTGGAGAAGAGGTTGTTTTTGAAACCGCAAACGAGAGAAGGTATCCACTCCTGCATGCAATGCTGATCGGCCGTCTTGGCTTAGGGGGGTGAAAGCAATTTCGACTACCTAAGAGGTACCTATACCTAATCAACCTATCGTCATCATCTTCAGGACCATCGCCAATATCATCGTCCTAGCACTACCTACCTAGGTAATTGCAAGTCGCCAAGAAAAAAACGGGATACTACTACCAGGTCAGGGTCATAACAAAAATGAGGTAATACCTAATGGTAGTAATTTTAATTACCTACTACCTACCTTTATTACCGATTAGTTACTTCATTACAAATACGGGTTACTTAGAAGTAAGTGGATTCGAACAGTAGCATGGCTTCGGCGACGACACCTTCGTCCCCGACCCTGACCCAAACCCCGACTCCGTACGCCATCCCCCAGACCCTCTGGGACCTGCAGGTGCCGGTCCTGGTGACGCACGCGGGCGCGCCTAATAACGCGCCGTTCGTCGCCTCGGTCCCGCGCTTCAGCTACCTGGCCCTGCTGCTGCCGCGCCTGTCCGCCTACTTCGGCCTCCCCTGCTCCAGCTTCCACCACGAGGACGTGCTCCTGCGCAACCTCGCCGTCGGCCTGCTCGTCGACCTGTACCAGCCCACCTTGCCGTGGCGGCTTACCGTTGCCGACGGCCTGAGCTGGGATATCGGCGATACGTTTCTGAATAGCGCGAAGGAGGTGCGTTTTTTTTTGGTTTTTTTTTTCATAACGTAACCCCCTTTTTACATGCGCTAGAAGATGTCATAGCGATATAATTACATCCCATAATCATTAGACACATACGTATATAGAACAAGGATATATATAGGAGGTGTATATATAAAAGCTAACGCGCAACCAGGCCGATTTCATACGCAACGGCAACGCGCACCAGATCATGTCGCTGTCGAAAGATCACACCACCACCCTCTGGAACGCCGTCAAAGATAGTGAGTCTAACACCTAATCATCATATCTTGCCCATCTATCCTAACCCTATCCTATCCTATCCTATCCGTAACCCCGCTGGCAGTGGAGAAGAGAAAGCCAAAACTGACAGAAGGGGGGAGGGGGAGGGGGGGAACCATGGCTGGCTGGCTGACAAGAAAAAAACAAACGTAGATGACTACACGTCCTTCGCCAAAGTCAACGCGCGCCTGCTCAATACCTCGCGCGACTTGCGCAACGTGCCTCTCCGCGTGTACATCCCACATTCCCCCGACGACGTCGCAGCGGCGGTGGTCGACAGCCAAGGCGGGTCGAGATCGGGGTCGGGACCGGGGCCGGGGTCGTTCCAAGTCGTGCAGTCGCTCGTGCAGCCACGCATTAGCGATCGTGCGTCTCCTTTCTTTCTCTTTTCCCCTTTTCCCTTTTCCCTTCTCCTTTCCCCCCCTTTTCTTTTTCCCCCTCCCTCCCTCCCTCCTACTAACAAACATACATACCTAACCTAACCTAACCTGATATGATTGATAGATATACGTACCACAGGCCAACAACAACCCCAAACCCTCGGCACCGCTCTCCGCAGCCTGTTGCCGAGCCTGTTCCCCAGCAGCCGGGACCCCGTGCTCGCGGACGCGATCCTGCACGGCGCCCGCGTGCCCTTCGGCGCGCCGCTCGAGGAGCTCATGCGCGAGGCGGCGTATCCGGACGGGTGGCTGTGCCTTATTGTTCGGCCGTTGGACGTGTAGGTGGAGATGTAGTTCGAGAAGCGAACTGGCTGGCCTGGCTACCTACGTTACCTACCGGTTAGGTAGTTTGCTTGTTACACAAAAGGGGTTGCTGATATACGGTAGCGTTACGCGTTGTATGAACTTTCCGTTGCGTATAGATGTACGCTACTTTACGCTATACGGTTTGTGTTAGGTATGTAAGGGGTAACCAAGATAAGGGGTAGGGGTAAAGGGGCGCAACAACGGATCTGTCCAAATGAGGCGGCATCATGGATAGGTATTTAGGTACCTACCTACCTAATTAGAAGCCGCCGGGACGAGTTCACCGCTATTGCGCGCGTGACACGGAGGCGTTTTTTCTTTTTTTCCTCGGCGAAGGCTACGGGACAAGTATGTACAGCATGGCGTTGTGTTGTGGGTGGTTGGGCCGCGGCTTATGAATGCTTCCAATTCACGCGTTTTCCTCTCAAGTATATCTTGCTTAATCGTTCGTCTGTTGGTTCGTCTAACTACCATTGCCTACTTAGTACCTAAAAGTATATCCTGCTTTCACGGCCCGTGACTTATGTATAACCGACCCTAAGCCATTGATACTAGCAGGTGTTTGTTTCTAAGATATTAGGTACATACATACACACAAGATACACTACATAACGGGCGATTTACCCTCTTTCGCCACCGTTATATTCCACCACCCGTGTCCCGTGTCCTACGTACCACGAAATATCAGCCACACAGCCCGCATTAAAGCACGCCAGACCCGTGCGTCACGTCAAACATATGGAAGTACCTAGGTAGGTACCTATGATATGATATTTCCATACCTTCACTCGTAACGGTTACCTGGTTGGTACCTCCTATCCAGTACCTAGTGGAATAGGTCCATATTAGGTAGTCGAGCTCGGGGTGCACGAGATAGACTTTGACTTATATGCAACATACCTACCTATTTACCTAAGGGTCTAATACAATCATATCTCTTTTACACAGTCTGCGTTACCCTCCCAAAGCGGCTTCGGCATGTCCCGTCCCACCCACCACCCCGATCCTCCCCATCTCCATGTCCTCCGTTTCGTGGGCGATATGTATAGATGTATGCATGTGACATGTAGGTACAGAGAGACGTTACGTACGTATATAGGAGGTACCTAAGGTAATGTTAGGTTAGGTTAGGTAGGTATGTACGTGCCAGGAATTCAATGCACTCCATATATTCCCATGCCGCCCCTCCCCTCTTCCCCCCCTATCATACCTACCTACTATCAATCCATCACGCTGTTGTTGTTTGTCGGTGCGACCCGATGCAGTACGGTACGATACCCTTTCTTTCCCCTTTCCTTTCTGCGCCGCATCGCTTCCCCCCCTTACACATAATATATATATTTTTTTCTTATATGCCTACCTTATATACCTCCTATATATTATACCTGGTACCCATACATCGAGTAGCAACAGCTGGACCTAGCTCCAGCAATCTTGGCCGTAGTCACACCACGGTCCCGATGACAGAAAGCAGTCGTAAATTCATCTCAATCCGACCACTACCTGGTTTAGGTATTTCAATAGCCAATGCGCGCAAATTCTTTTTTTTATTCCTTCGCGCGGCGCCAATGCTATATCACCTACCTTGGTACAATAGGTATCTCTCACCGCTTGACGTATATACCCAGACCGATTACGTCCTTACTACACGAAAGACCGCCAGCTCCGATGCCTCCTATATTCCCTTGCCGCCCTGTTTTCTCCTCGACAGATAAAAGCTCTTCTATTACGCACAAAACGGAAATGTGTAACTAGAACTGGGACACAAATGCAACAGATTCACGAAAAAAACAAAAACAAACAAAAAAAAACCCGGTAGACCTAAAATAGTATATGTTGTGCTTGTGCTTGTATATATACATATTCCGTACGTGTGATGCCTTTTTATATTGGTGGGTCTCGTCAGACCCGATCAATACATGTTAAATCCTGAATAACGAAACCGATCTAGTATATCCTCCGCTCCCCTCCGCGAGAAGTAGGCCAATGTAAAAAGGGGAATCCATTCGCCCCTAGCTGTCCGTGTCGACGGAAAGAGGAAGATGTGCTAGCCATCCCAAGGTACCAACCGGTATGAAATTTGCTAGCAAATGACGGAAAAGGGGTAACAATACATATGCAACTGATCCAAATGGGAACCGAAAAGATCACACTGCGGAGTGCCTCTTCTACCGGTAAATACAAAGGGCGAGTGTCGTATTTAAACGCCGCACTATGCTAGTGGTCCAAAACCCCCTTTGGGCTGTTCCTAGGGATCAGTGAGGTACGGTATGACGTCCAAGAGGTAACCAGTGAACCGAAAATTGTAACTATGCCAAGGATTCAAATTCAAAAAATATATATATACGTCGACGGTGATGTGTAGATGTATGTGCAATGCACGACCAGATGCGCTCTCGCTAGGGGTATCCTCAGCTTTCGAGTTCCGTAAACTTTTGTCACAAGGGATCTTCCAATGCTGCCTCAATAAAAAAACGCCGATATTGTATGCTCCAGTGGGTTGGTGCCACGAATGATGACGAAATGGAAAAGAAAACTTGCCGGAAACCATGCACATCTCTGTGTATATAAGGTAGGTATATATAGTGCGCAACATTAGTACCGTAGAGCCAAACATGGTGTCGCGTTGGACTGTAACCCAAAACGCCGTTGCCAGGTGCAAAAACCGCCAAAAATAAGTATCCTCTTCATATCCGCCAATAAGCAACCCCCATGCAAATCATGTAAGCGATAGCTCGTGTTCCAAATTTGGTCTCGGAAAAAAATAGCCGTGGGGGATCCGAACATAAGTATACTCCCGTGGCCATCTCGAGACCGCTCATGGAGGACGGAAGAGCCCATAATACCATAATAACCATCGCTGGTCCGTGTCATTTACGACATTCCAAAAATTTCCCCCTTTTTTTGTCTTTTTTTCTTTTCTTTTGTAGAATCCCCACAACAACAACAAAAAAAGATATCCCTAAGAGATCGAATGCGGTGGAATATGTGGAGGACGTCCCAGCGCTGATGGCGGAGGCGCGTGGTAATTGTCGCTAGGGTTACTGTGCATAGGAGGGAGAGGACCACCACTTGCCATGCTAGAAAAGCTCGAGCTTGTAACGTCGTACTCGTCCCGGATAAAGCCTAGATCTTTGGCCAGGCCGATCAAGATATTCATATCGGCCCTTAACGCGCTCGAGGGTAGGGCAATCGACTGGAAGAAGGAGATCGTCCGAGCGAAGAGATTGCTCAAAGTCTCCGCATCTATGAACTTATGTAGGTATCTGTCTTTGTAACATGCCGCTAAAGTTAAAAGATTTCCCCATTGACTGGGAAATACGTTAGCAAACAGATTGCCGTTTTTATGTTTGTGTTAGGTGAGGGTGTAACTTACGCGTGAGCTGTCCCGAATACGTTAGTTATGATGATACGTTGGCTGCTAGGTATTCCATGGAATGCTCGAGTACTTTCGACGAGGGCGTATATCGCCAAGCTGGCATACTTGACGATCCTACTATCTACGCCTGCGGGGACCTCTGAATATTCGGGAGGCTGTTGAGCATCCGGTGAGCCCGCTTGATTGTGATATGGCCAAGGCTCTCGCTCGAGAATGGCCCTCAAGAAAGGTCGGTAAAGAATGACTTGTGAGCCCCAATACTTGGCACGGAGGCGAGCTCCAAGTATGTCGTTAGCCGGAGGGTCATTGTCATTCCATTGGTAGCTACTCGGTACCCAACGATTTCTCGAGTTTCTAAGCATCTCCTCAATGCGCTTGATACCTTCTTCGATCGCAGGGTCGTCTAAAGTGATCCCGTTCTTGTGCTTGTTCTGCTTCTCCGAATCGTAGAGCAGGGTGTGCACTTGGTTAAGTTGTTTCCGAAGATACAACTGTGCAATGTAACCCGTTACTACGTGCTCTGAGAAACCTTGATTGACAGCATACTCCGAGTTTGGATATGGCATCCTATCTTCATATTGCAAGATACCGGACTGAGGAAGAGGCAACTCGGCGAGAATATCACTATCGCCTTGCGTGTTAGTGTGTATAATTGATTAGATGGGGAGATAAATGGTAGACAATATTACCTTTCCAACTGCAGGCATGTCCAGAAAGCAAATGCCAGCTGATTATCCCTACGTGACTGTCCGATACTTCTACCTTGGTCATGCCATTTTGATAAGCGGTCGAGGCTCCTAATTCGTTCTTATTAGCTAACTCCAAATCTTCAGCGCATTTCCGTCCATAGCCCTTTCTACTTACGGTCTGAGTATAACTTGCAGATTCCGGCTTGCAAAAGAGATGTGCGACCAACTTTCAAGTACGCGCCCAAGTTGACCGTGGTAAAGCCCCGCCAAAATGTGAACGTAAACGTGCTTTATGTTGAAAGCACCCATATGACTACCCACGATATCCATTGCAAGAGCGAAATACTCAAGACCGGGAATAACATCTAGATTTCGCCTGTGTGAATGCGGACCCTTCGAACCCGACATGTTTCCTTGGAAAGACGGTCTCCGACTCATAGGAATCCTCTCACCCTCCTTGGGAGACGCCATATTAGATTGAGACTGGGATAAGAGTCCCGGGGGTGATCCTTGCAAAGGCGACGCCAGGATACCGTTGCGGACCGAAGGTGAATGATGCATTGGCGAATCCGACTCGTAAACTGGATCCGGTATCTTGTCCTTGTGTAAGCAAATCTTACCTAAAGCGAAAACCATCAACACGAGAGCGCTATGGACGCTTCGGAACGGTCGGCCAGGCTTCACAAACGCCGCCGACGGGCTTGCCTCATCCACAGCAGGTGATCGCTTCCTCTTCGTTCCCGTTTCGGAAAAGGACGGAGGTATCGCGCTCGGCTGGTTGACAAATCTCGCACTCGCGCCGAGCTTACTGTTCTGGTAGGTTTGAGACTTTGGTAAAGACTCGAGAAACACCTTGACCATCGCAGTGAGCTCCCTTGGGATGATTATCGGATGCATATTAAGGATATTTTCCTTGAAGCTGTTCACGTATCGCCATATCTTGGTCGAGTCCCACTCCGGATTTCCATCGACGTTAACAACTCCTCCCCTATATTCAACACCAGGAGGCGGGGTTAAGCTGCCTACTTGGCCCCATGCTTCTCCCATCGGCGAAGGAGATGCAACATCGGAACAATCATCCAATATGTCGGTCATTGTATGATCTGGTGGCGTTTCTTTGTCGGAAGCTCGAATGTCCTGATCGAACCCCTCACCTTTCCCAAAAACGCGAAGTATACCGCGCTGCTGTTCCAGCCCGATCGGGTATTCGTCCGGGTGAAATATCTTTTCTGCTTCCATCAGATGATGAACCATTCTCTTAATTGATGGCCACTTCAAAAGCAAACCGGCTAACGTAGTATGGTTTGGGGGCATAGCAGGTCTGCCAGGCGTTACGACCGGTCCTGGATTCGCTTCCACGTCGTCACCCTCCGTCGCCTGCAGCGTGAGTTGAGCTTCTTCCATGGTCAGACTTGGTTCTACTACGGTTCCTCCCGGGGATGACAATGTTTCCTCAGGTAGTGCTTTACTCGGCGTAGGCGAGGGTGAATTATGAAACGCTGGGCGCTCTTCCTCCTCGATCGACTCCTCAACCTTCAGCATATCGGTTCCGGGGTTAAGCTGCCTGATCTTCGTTTCTAGATTAGCCACCCGTTGGCTCTGAACCAGATTGGCCTGTGCCAATCCAGAAAGCTGGCTATTGATATTCGTGAGTTTGCTATTTATTTCCTCCCTCATCGAGGCCAGCATCTCTATTAAATCCGCGGTAACTTTATCCGGCCTACAATGTGTGGTAAGTACCTAGGTCGCTATCTACTACCTTATTATGCTTTTAACTCACTGTTTCGCCGGGGGGTCTCGATATTTACAGTCGATATTTTTTTCCCGGCAATTCTTACAAGGTTTAGTCTCGTCGCATTTAGCTTTAAGTTGTCTACAACTATCGCAAGCCTAGCATCGTCCCATGTTAGTTTATATGCGGCTGCTCGCTTAGGGGACCAACTACCTGTGAAGCACGTTGAGCTTTTCGCTTCGCACTTGTCGCAATTTCTAAAGGATATATAGAAGTTGGCGGGCCGTATACGTGAGGATTATCATATTGAGGATGCTGGGCAACTGGCGTCGGGGGAGGGGGGTGGTAATTCTGCGGCGGTGGCCTATACATGGCTGGCGAATGCGGCATAGAAGGACCACTATCGTAACTCATATGTCGCCGCGGATCGTCTTGGGGATTCGGATGCTGAGGACCATGAGGGCCAGGCGGGAGATTATCCGTAACGTTTCCGGTCGAGTTTGGTCGGCGCAGCTGGGGAAGTGAATTCTCCTCACCAGGATCTCTCTTTACAACTGGATCCCGATACGGCGAAAAAGGCGGATGCGCTGACGAGGGAGGCGGAGGCGGAGGCTGTCTATGTATATCATGCATTGACGGGTATGGCTCGTGTTCATGATGGCGACGGTCGTCAAGGTGGTGATGAGCCGGCGGCAAGGGAGGTTCTTGAGGTCGCGAGAAAGGAGGCGGATGTTGATATGGCGGCGGCGCAGGATGATGAGGACCTGGTGCCGACGGGTGATGTGCGGCGGTAGGGTGAGGAAGCGATACGGCCTGATGCGAAGACCACGACGGTCCGGTCTGTAACAGCCGGGGACGTTTGGTCTCAGGCGGCCCAGGTTCCATGCTTGGGGTGTTATATGGATAGAGTCATAGGCGGCGGGTAGAGGCAAGCACAGGTCAGGGCAAAGGGAAAAACAAAAAAGGAACAACGGGGAATGTGGTCATGAGAAAGGCGATCAAGGAAGGAAACCAAAAGGCCCCGAGCAAGATGGAACAATCGGCTCGTCGAGCGCCAAGCCCAAGCTCAGACTGCGCGCTGGTCAGTTAGGGTGTGGAGGAAGGAAACTGTGATGATGTCGAAGCTCTTATTGGTGTAGGTATGATGACATTGAAGGGTCGGTGTAATCGAGTAGGGGACAGGCTGCGAGCTCGTCAGTTCTCGAACAAGGCGCGTGGAGGCGGTACCGGGTCCCTGGGTGAAGCTCTACGGTTCGGAGGAGCCCAAATCCAAAAGATCAGCACAGTTGGGCAGCAGAAACGAAGCTACTACTACTACTACTGGTACAGCACAGGTTTTTCCCGTCGAGGGGATTTTCAAGGATCTTTCGAAGGGGGGAGGGGAGGGTGCGTAAGGCAGAAAAAAAAAACAAAAAAAAAAAAAGAACAAAAAAGGAACGACGTCGTCGAGCCTCAGGAGACGATGAGGTTTTGGTGGATTGTCAAACAAGGAATACCGCGAGACCACCTTGAGTAGCAAAGTGGGTAAAGAGGGTCATCAGCAACAGCTCAGGTTATTTCGGCTTCCAAGAGGCGTTTTCCAATGGACGGCGGAAGCCCTGTAAAGCTGGGGTGAAGTACGTACCGCTTAGGTACAGGACGAGACCATAGGATTGATACTGTACCGTATTGTACATACATACCTATATGGTACCTACTAATAGCCATGTAACTATGGCATTGTACCGCGTAGTTGAACCCTGGTCTGCATATACCTAGGAATGAGCGCGCGTATCAACTAGGGTAAGCTAGGGCCTAGTCGGTAAAGCAGGGGTCCTGGTGGGGACGGAGGAACCTCAGCAGGCGATCGATAAGTACAAGTACTATGTTTATTGCACCTTTATTACACCTATTCTTGGCGAGGGTGGATGGCCGAATGTAGCAGACCGTCAGCCAAGTGAGGTATGTCTGCGGTATGCAAAGTACGTAGATGGGTATAAGTAAGAAGTACCTACCTAACCTATAGCTAATAATATAGCAAGTGGTTGGTCTGGGTGACTTGGGTATGGGTAACGGGAGTATGCTGACACACGCCTTGTTATTATGGTGTTGTTGTTTTTTTGGTTATCTCTTCTGTTTCTACCTATCGAGGGCTGGGTACAGCGAGGATACGTCGTCCTGCTTAGAACCGAGGATATCACATATAGGACCGATATGTTGATATGTTAGGTACTATGTATGTATGTAGGTATGTAGTGTATGTAAGTACATACATAAGTACGTACGTTAGATATGTGCGATACTGGAGAACGACAGCAGACTAATATGTATAGGGTATATGTGTGTACATTGCGCATACCTACCCAAGGTTGGTAAGAGGTAGGTAGTAGTCTGTTAGTTCGTCCATTCGGTCGAGAGTATCAAGTGATGATAATAGTAACAAGGGAGCGGTGAAGAAGACGACCTCACGTGAATTATGTAGGTAATGGCGAACTTGTTGCGATAGCTTCTTTTTTGGAGCCCGCTAAGCTCCTAGATTGACACTTTTTTTTTTCTGTGGACTACCCAAACCATGCTCTAATTGACGAATGACGATTACTTCTGCTTCTTTCAACGAACCCAACTGAACTGAACAGGAACTAATATCGGTAGCTCCGTGGGTTTCGGAATTTAGCGAGTCTGCCACTTCGTGATGTAATTAGGTAGAGCATACTACTTGTTGTAGGTTGTAGCTTGCAAGTATTCGAGGTCTACCTCGATGTAGCTTTCTTGGTGTAGAGCTACAAAGTGTAGAGCTACAAAGCAGTTCTGATGAGAGCTCCAGCTTCCGAGCTATGCTATGAGTTTGGGAACTTGTGCGGCAAAATGGAACATGGTATGGTATTGTAATAGCAGCACATAAAATAGTTGCCCAATCACAGAGTCGAGCCAACGTATGTCTTGTCTGGACTCTGGATAAAGGAGGGGGGAGCTCTATCGGTATCTGTATCTGCGGGCGTGAGGGATGAGAAGAGATATGCGAAAATGATCGGAAGCTGACCTGGAGCAATTAGATGGCAGATAATCCCGTTTGTGTTACAGCGGATTTACAGGTGCTACTACGGTGTGTTACTGTGTTACCATAATACGTTAGAAGGTAGCACTTAACCAGCTAACTTACCCGTAGCACCTACTCTCAGTTATGGTACCTACTAGCAATAGCTACCTCCTTAGGTACATACCTCAATTGAATAACAGATTAAAAGCTTAAAGTAGCGATGAAAATCGTCACATAGGGTACCCTAGTGGCTAAGGTAATACCTACCTCTTCTCGTTTCTCTCTCTCTCTTTCTTTTTTTTTTTTCTCTTCTCTTTTCCTTGGCGAGTGCAGGTGGTGCCTCGTCCTTGGCATCATCTTTCTGTTCGGCCTGTCTCGCCTTAGTTCGCAGCGTGGTCCCAGATAAGTTAGAGCCGGTGGAGCACACTTGATAGAATACCTTCCTATGGCCGTTGTCGGTCTCGCCCATTATGTAGTTTCGAGAGGTAGGTACCCGTCCATCCAACGTAATAGGTAGTTGAGGTACATCATGTACTATGTATCAAAGCAGATGCCGGAGAGGACGTGGCTGCCATTTGCCTACCGTCCACGTTTTACATCTCATGTATCTACGAGGTACCTAATAAATCAAACAGTGTTTCGAAAGGGACTACACGGTGTTATGACAGTTTAGGTACATAGTACACTTGTATTAAATTTAGTTATGTACCTAGGTACCTAGGTAATTCGTACAATTCATTATTTTATTAGGTATCATCTGGATATGCATTACGTACTTACCTAAAGCCTAATGTTGGCAGACGCTTTATTTAGTACATATATTATATACCTGCCTAAGGTGTCTGTGAGTTACATAGTATGTTATTTGCATGTTGCTTGAAAAGATCAAGGCTCAAACTTTTTTTGACGGAGAAAAAAGAAAAGCCACACGATATGTAAGTCTTCTGTCTTATTCGCATATGGCTGGGCATGGATTAGTTTGCTTTCGACCCTGATCAGGTGTGCGTGCAACAGGGATATCCCGTACAACTTCACACGCGTCTAAAGCACGTCTCTGCAAAGGCGGGGCAGACTAATAATAAGCAAGTAAAAATGTTATCTATTCGCCGCTATATTTTTTTTTCTTTTAAAACGACGAGGCGAATAGTGTCACCCCTCAATCTCTATTACAGGTATGCTTGCTATAACTATAGTATATGGTAAAACTTATCCCTAGACAATTTCATAAAAATAATAAGGCTTTGTTAGGTATTTCCATGCAAACTAAAACCACAAAAGACTGAGCATCAAACTCGTTCTAGAATTGCTTATATGGCTACGATATGTTACAACGCTAGGCTTCGCACATTGTTAGCTCCGCTACTATATTTATTAGAGACATCTGTGGCTTTCTTTGACAGGGCCACATTTATTTAAACCACACTCTTCCTTTTTTTCGAGTACGAGTACGATCATCGTATCACATCGTCCAAATGACCCAATGACTGACCGGTATCTTCAATGGCAGACCTGCATAAGCCTGGCCCGTAGCTATATCCCTGAGGTATGTTACATACGGTACCTTAATGTTTCGGTTTGCGGGTATGCAATGTGTCGTCGGCATTTCTATCTTCCCATTTTCCGTTCTGCTAGCTATATGGAGATTACGGGAAGTAACCTTTACCTTACTTGACCTTGTTCAAGTTACATTAGACTTTAGTTGTTTGTTGTTAATTTTTTAGACTTCGACTTACGCTAAACAAGGGGTATTAGCCAACTACATCGTGTGTGCGGATTCCAACTTCTGTCAAGTTACAATATAAGAGGGTCGGTATACACTTATCGAATATTTTCGCTTTAGAATGAGTATTTAATTTCACTAATACGGAACTATTTCTTAATGTAACTACCTAATTATAACATTATACTTGAATTTGTCATCCATTACTTGAGACAAGACTATTTACACTAAATAACTCTTGGCTTTAACCAGTGCCGGGTTTAACATATGACACTCGCAGTTAAGTAGGCGGGTATGATTAATATGAAACATAAGGTTAAGAAAGATATTAAGCGTAAAGACTAACTACCTTCCACAATCAACCATTGAACCCTTGGTTTGTAGTTACAACTTACGCAAGTCCTTACGTTATACATTACTCATTAACTAGTCCTTGTCGGAACCACTAAGTTTACCTCTCTCATGCCCTTGACCGCTACAATTCCAACACACATTCGTACATTTTCATTAGTTAGCGTTTCCATTCTTCCGATCTAGCCAACACAACTAAGAGCTAAGCCTTGTGCTAACGCGCTGCTCGAAAAAGGTAGGTGCTTAAGGTTACCTGACAGCGTTACGAATCGTACAGGTTAGTTACAAGGTTGATATAAGACCAAACGCAATTGCCGAGTTGATAAGGGGTGTAGGGACGGGATCTCTAACTAGTTGCAAACTTCCTCGCGCAACAAATATGAAAGGCTTGGTGAGATGATAGGTGTAGGCAGATTCTAGCGTCTTAGAATGAAGCTCGTTGATAGGAACAAGCAAACCACCCCCCTCCTCTTTCCACCAATGCAGATAAATAATACCTAACAGCTCCTAGCCATTGAACATCTCCCGCCTTTCGTATGTACAATACATACATTCGGACCCCAATCCACCCATTAAAAAACCGGATCTCTACAGCGCCTTAAAGCTTGGCTGGTGGTGAGGAGAACATACTAGGATGTACGTAGATCGCTGTCAAAAGAGCACGGCCCTTCATGCGGGTAGAGTTGATGTGACATGCATGCATTCATGGTCATGCCGTGAGTACATTGCATACATACGTAGTATCTGAACGGCCCCAGTGAGCCTTAGATGGTTGACAACTGACCATGGATATAAGCTTTTTAAGACAATGTCCCTATTCCGACCACCTATCTATCTTCCAAGTTCCCGGGGCACACGTGCAACAATGCTCTTGGTGTCCATTGGCCTATTATTTCGCAATTTCACTCTATTCTCATCAACGCTAT